GTGAACGTTGAATGTATGTAATGTATACATAACACACATGTTGTACATACAAAGTAAAGTGTTTGCAAGTCAATGCCGAGGACTCCAATTGACAGAAAAAAACTGCATCTGACCCAGATAGGGAAAGTCTCCATTTGCAGATCCCCGACGCTTTGCCCATGTATAAGACGCATGTCTCACCTAACACGAATTTGGTTCAGGGGCGGCATGATACGGGAGACAAGCCAAACACGAACTTTGAAACTGGTGAAAAAAAAATCATTTACGGAGTAGTTGCCCAGGAAGCACGAGCAAATGCAAAACATATTAATCCCAGCAAGTAATAATATCGCAGTACAGTAGTGAGTACAGTAGTGCCCCGATAGTCCAGGAACCAGATATGGGCCCGGAGCCTATTATAGGTTAGTCCACATGTCTTGGGCAACATTGAATTTCGCTAATGTATGGTATGTTTTTATATTACATGTGGTCTAGGATCAGATTGGAATAATTTTTCTTTTTTTTCTCTCTTCAAGTGGTGGGGGCTGATACCTACTACTTACATTGGTACATAAAGAAATTAGCTAGTGGACGAGTTGCATAGATGTCGTCCGCTGTATTTTCTTCTTTGTCAGGATCAGGTTATTTTTAAGATGTGATTTTTTATTTTTGGGAATGAAAAAAAAAACATCATAAATAAATGAGAAATCTGTTGAATACAACAACGGAGTATACAACGCTGCTCCATAAAAATTGAGCAGATTGTATGACGTTAAATTGCCGAAAGAGGATTCTATGACCGCGAGTGGATTGTCTTTCATGATCATCTCAACACTTTTTTTGGGCTCCCTCCAGGGCTCCAGCACTCCCTTTTTTTTGGGCTGGAATCTTTACGTGGCTATGAAATTCCCTATTTCTCCGGACAGGGAGAAATTTCCTTAATCAGAGTTGTCGGTATTTATTCGGAGTAAAATTGGGTCCATCAAATAGATTGGCCAATGGCGTGATCACAACCTAACCATGGTGAGAGACGCGAAGTTCGGGTGGAAATGCCAGATGGGACTCTAGTAATTGCCGGGTTGGAGTAACTGACACCATAACCGGGTCTAACCTTTCTTTTCCTCCTTCAATATCCCAAACTGCGTAATTTACTTTATAATTCGGGTTTTACCACGGGGGGCTTGAGGCCGAATAGGCGGCGATCCCGGATGACGGCGTGCAGATCAGATCGCCATGCATTTGAGACACAGATACGTGGTCAACTCCGGAGTGCATCGCCGTTGGAGTAGCAGGTCCAAGAAGAATAGTGGGGTGGGTTGTTTATGGTGGCTTGGGCTTAGGCTGAGGCTTATTGGTAGGAATGTTAGTGTACGGAGTACAGGTGAGCCTAAGACCAGGGTTTCCCCGATCAAAGATGGGAGCACTCGAGGTCAACTGGTTAGAACAGAGAAAAATAACAAGAAAGACAAAAATGACATCTACATACTTGACTCCTTTGGACTCCCTTTCTGTATAGCTGCATGTGTTTTTCCTTGGAAGTTCAATGTGAGATCCGATTCTTACCTGTATAAGTACAAGTTCTGAGACCGCAGAATCTGCACATGCCAACCTAGGTATTTTCCGCCGAGCATAACAAAAAGGTGGATTCAAACCTTTTCAACCAGGATTTTTACCCACTACCCTGAGACCCAATATTCAGCACAAAACCCGGGCCGGGAAGATCTCGGCTTTGATTCTCCATTTGGACTTTTTGAAAAAGAAAAAACAAAAGAAAAGAACCCAGAAAAATAGGGCAGAATATAACCAAAAATTAATAATTACTAGTACAGAAAACCCATGTATACGCCAAGTGTGGTATAGTGAATATATGGAGTATTCAACCGAAGCCAACCCCAAACGCCCTGCGTAAGAATTGGGAATCGGTGGTCCACCCGGTCCACCCTGCAAGACCATGCGATCCAGCGATCTTCGCGCAACTCCCAAAGAACGATAAGCCCTGTGGCTCCCTCCAACGGATCCCAAGGGGGATTGACTTGACTAGGCATCTAGTCACCCGCGCCACCGTCGGCCGAAGACACCCAAGGATGACCCACCATGAACAAGGATATTCGCGGCCGTCTTTCCGGGCCCAAAACAAGCTCCTTTCATCCAGTCAGAGGGCATGGAGCTAGCAGGTCAACCGCCGAGCGTTTCTTCAGCCGATCGAATGGTTCTGGGCGCTTCCGACGGAAGCACTTCTCTTTTTTGGCTTATTTTGAATTTTTTCTCTTTAGAGAAAGAGAGAACGAGAGAAAGAAAAGGGTTGTACTTGGCAACAAAACACGAGATAGCCAACTTCCAACATTTAAATGCCAATGTCAATGCCAATGCCAGAAACCAAATCCCGAGACGCGCCTCGTTGGATACATAAGCAGAGAGAAAGTCTCTTTGGCATGAGACTGGTCACCCTATGGGCTCCAGGGCTCCATATCTTCGTAATACAGTACAGCAAATATGATTCCGAATACATACACTTTGCTTCGGCTTACATCCTTGATCCTGGAATTAATATAAAAAGGACTGCAGTTTGAGCTTTAGGGCAAATCGGATGAACCCAAGGCGTAACAGGGCGTTCCGGTGGTTTCCATCACTTGGTACTTTCTTTTCTTTCCCATCCCCCTCTGGTCTTCTCTTCTCAAATGTTCCCCCACGGCTCTCTCCACCCAGGTGCCTACACCTGGACCTATTTGAGTCTAAGTGTATTCGGATGTACCGAGTATCCATAATTCGACCTTGGATATTGGGAAATCCTCTCCACTGAGTGGGTATTACCTTTGAACGGGTAGTGCCTTTTAATTGCCGGCCTCGGTCAAGGATTACGCCAGCCCTCCCCCATGGTGATCCGATGGTCCATGACGAAGAAATGCCGAATATTGATCAAAGTTCAGAGTGGAACAGTGGGGGTTTGATACGGGGAGTTTGAACGTGGACGTAGTATTCCGATAATCTTTAATTTGGTTTTTGTTTTTTTCTTTTTCTTTCTATTTTTCTAATTTTTTATTTTACTGTATTTTTCTTGCTTTTTTTCTTGCTTTTCTTTTTTTCTATACGTCGATGGCCCTATAGGGAGGTTGGAATGCAATCGGTCCTGGTCTAATATTGGCACCTCTCGGGCGTTGACCGCGTGTGGCGTCCACCAAGGAGAGCCTCCTGCAAGCCCAAATCCGAAAGCAAACGAGGGGTCCAGATGTCTCATTCTGGTATTGAAATCTATTGCATTTGATTTTATTATTTTTTATTTGATCAATTTTCCATTTGGATTTTTTCCTGATTTTCCTGATTTTTTACAATGTTTTAGCTTATTCCATTTTTCTCTTTAACGGACTCACCCTAGAAGAGTATAGATCGATCCCACGTCGATCGTATGGTCATGACTCGTACCCAAGTAGCTAAATTAAAATCCATCTGTACTTTTGATCGTAATTATCATGTACCCATACAAACGGTCTGTTCCTTTGAAGCATCGTGAATCTGAACCCCTCCTTCCTCTCTCCTTTTGATCTTATCTTCCTTTTGGCCGTCTTTGTCTCCTTTTGGGCCCTTTTTCTTTCTTTCCTTTTTTCTTTCTTTTTCCTTTCTTTTTCCTTTCTTTTCTTCCCTTTTTCTTCTTTCTCGGCTTTTAGCTCACCTCTTTAACCCCGAGAAAACCGTGGGTTCAATCTTTCAAGGAGAAGGGGAGGAAAAGGCCGAGGATCATCCCAGGAAGAAAGAGACAGGGAAAAAAAAAGACTTGCTGGTTCGCGGGGCAAAAGTCCAGTATCAGTCTCGTTTGGAGTGGATCGAATTCGTCGCGGAGGACGCTGCTTTAGCGCCTGGACATTTCCTAGGATTCCCTGCACTACAGGGCTTAGTGGCAGGCAACGCACACAACCTGGGCCAGGGTTTGCTTTCCCCCAGTATAGTCGAACTCGTATGTGTCACCCACATTCGAAGGAATTCAAGCTTGATTTGGACTTGGGGGATCTGGCATCTTGTTACCAAAGGCACCCCTTTCTCTTTGTACAAAGATACTGGTCCGGATCAATCTATCCCGCATATGTTTGGCGTCCCTATCTATTAGGTCCCCCCGACGCCATCAGATTGGAAGCCGCAGATTCCCGTATTAACACCGTGTTCGGTGAGCACTGGAACAAAAAAAAAACCTTGTGATATTACCTCCTGCGATCGTGGATCTTTGCCCATTTGACTTAATCGGCCCGACTTCCGCGACTTGTGAGGCTAATTGATGTTTGTCTCCCCCGAGCCCTCGTTGCTTTCAGGGAAGTTTATGCAAGTCATTTCGGATCCCGCAGCCACCTTAATATCATGAACATCTGAATATGCACCTCAACACCGTGATTGCTATGGCTGTTCGGGAAATGCTATTCTAAATCAATCTCGACCTCTTCATTTAGTGACACCGGGCGTTCCAGGCAACGGAGTTACCACCGCATTCTGACCTCCACGGATTCGACTTTGTTTAGCCACGGCCTTGGCAATCCTTTTGCATTATTGCTTTGCATCTTCTATCGATACTTTTAACGAAAGCTCTTGACTCGGCAGATTTTGCTATAAGGTTGTGGTTGCCTAGATTGCCTAGATTGCCTGTTCAATCGACGTCTCACTTCTTGACGCCACTTCCATTCCTGTCCCGAAACCACAGAAAGCTGGATAGGTGAGTGTAATGAAGTTTTTGGATAAATACCAAAGGCGCAAATCTAAATCCCATTGTTGAGATACTGATTTTGTCTAGATCCCGTCCGTGTCTACGATTGAGACTCTCGGATCTTTCGATCAACCAAAATCAAAGACACTACAATCCCGGAAGCATAATACTCTAGATCAGTGTCACTCTTTTCGCAGAGAACGAGGTTATTAAAGACGGGAGCAACGATATCTACGGGGGGCAGGGCCTTTCAAAAGCAAGAGAAGAAAGAGAAGCAAATGGTGGTTTCGCTCGCATTCGATCCGCATCCTTTTATCTTTCAATTCACACGCCTGTCATGTCTGGCTACTATGCCGGACCCTTCGGTCGTACGTTACCCGCCACGGACGGTCAATCACGCGAACAGACTTCGGAGCGTTCAGCTAATAAGTCAGAATCCGGGGATTCCCCATACCAGCTTCCGCCACCACGTGCACCAGCAAACTCGCAATATGGGACAGATCCGTTTTTACGACAACGACAAGGAGAAAATGCAGAGGCAGGAACAGGTCTACCACCAGGAGAGCCTGCTTCGCAGTCACAACTCCAAAGGACCGAGCAGCTACCATCTGTGCGACATTTATTAACCCCTGTTTCCGGTCCGACCTTACCACCTACTGCCTACCATCAGCCATTCGGAACAGCAACACCCGGGACCGACCATCGCGAATATTCATATCCATTTCGTCAGCATGAGCCGGCGTATGCTTCTCAAATTAGTACAGGCTCTGCACAGGATAGGGTCCAAGGACGCACAGAATCATTTCCGCAGCCGCAGACAGGCACTCTTCCATCGCTATCACAGGTCACCATGCATAGTCCTCGAGAGATCAAACATCACACGGCGACAAGAAGTGACCCATCGCCTGCGCCATTTCAGCACAGCCCATCGCCTTACCACGGAGCGCCGTTTCACGAAAACCCGCCAAGCGTAGGAGACATTTCATCTCCCGAGAGCGCGAGTCGAACGAAAGGCCAGTCCGTCCTTCCGCATGTTATCGACGAACGATACGTTGAAGGAGAGGGGATATGCTATGTTTATGCAGATGGAACTCACGTCCCCAAACTAATTGGTGGTATCCCGGTAAACGCCAATTGGGGCATTACCAAGGCTGGGAAACCAAGGAAAAGGCTGGCACAAGCTTGCCTTACGTGTCGTGAGAAGAAGATCAAATGCCAACCGAACCTACCCAAGTGTGATCAATGTCAGAAATCTGGACGGGAATGCAGGTTCGAGAGTGCGTACGTAAATTTTCTTTTTGATCCTGTTCCATTTGCTTTCTGCTAGCAAAGAAGCATTCACGTCGAATCAATGCTGACCATTCTTCAAGCCCTCGTGGGAGTCGTGGTTCTCTAAGAGGATCTAGCTCAACAGGGCCGTCAAGTAGATATGACATGAGGGAAGGCTTTTCACCGGGCCCTCATGCAGCCTCCGACGTTTCCCCCTCACTTTACAATTTGCCCCGAGCTTCAAACAGCGCCACTTCGCTTCCCGGGACGAGTGGTCATTCACCAGGGTCCGAAGGTCCATTGCTTACACCATCGGTCAGCGAAAGCACATACGATACAATGACAGATGCGGAGCGAGCATACCGGTCGCAGGGGTACAGAGGACCACGGTCCCATGTTGTCGGTGACCATCCTATTACCAGGGCCCCCGAACATACCGAGACGCTTCGACCAGAACATTCCAATATCTTTGGAGACCTTCGAGACATCAATATCGACGATCCCCTCACAAGTTCCTGGAATGTTGATCCATATCAGAGTGATCCCGAAATGACAATGCACTATGTCGAGTCTTACTTCACATCGGTTAATGAACTTTACCACATATTCCCGCACACTCGATTCATTTTGTGGTTGAAATCTTGTCATACAAAGTCGGCTGAAGACAACATGTTATTATACTCAATGATGGCTCTGGGCTCTATCTTCTCCGACCGATCCGAAAGAATCATGGCACTGAGGCGCTATTCCCGGATTGCACGTTTTGCCATTCAAAAGAGCCAGCATGTCTTGTCTTTGCAGCTTACTCAAAGCCACTTGATTATGAGTCTTCTTTACTACGCCACGGGATCTTCAGTAGGGTCTTGGGACTCGATTGGCGCAGCCGGACGAGCAGCTAGTGGTATGCGATACAACGTGGAATCGGGAGGAGTTGTTGTGGATCAGAACCAAGTCTGTGACTATGGACTACATCCACAGGCTTTGATGGAATGTCGCCGGCGAACATACTGGGTCGCATACATTCTAGATGTCAGAAATCCCGCATCGCACAAAATGAGAGCACAGGCTAACCTTATCACAGCGAGTCTCGAGTTTCTTTTCCGCAACTTCCACCTTCATCCCGTCAGAAGCAAGTTTGATCCGACTTCCATGCCGCGAGGAGATATACGAGGCACAGCAATACGCAACTGCCCCTTACTTCCAATCCGTCCTCAACCAAGCCTCCGCCACAGACGATGATCGATCCGCGCTCAGCCCCATGGCATTCTTAATCCAGATCATGTCAATCTGGGGAGACGTACATTTGAATGTGTTCCGCCTGGCACATGCTCCATCAGACGGCTACGCTCAGCTTGCAGAGGAGTTCCATGCGATAATCACTCATCGTGCCGACGAGTGGATCAAACAACTCCCCGAGCATCTGGTATTCTCCCCCGTCAACCTAGAGCGGGCCGCCCAAGCAAAGAAAGCAGATGCTTTTCTCTCCATCCACCTATTTTACCACGCCACACTGATGAAGCTGTACAGACACGCTCGGTATTCTAGTCTGAGATCCGAGATCCTAGTTCAGTATATCCACCGAGCCCGATACCACGCCGTGGAAGCTCTCAGAATCGCCACGGCAATCTTGCCCTACACTAGTACTGACACGACCGGACTTGATTCGGTACTCCTCAGCCCATCCATAGGCTACCTGGTCCTATCCGCAGTGGATGTGCTCAGCTCAGCCGGCTTGGTAGCTGAAATATCGGACTGTATACCCTTGGTCAGGGGTGCCCTAAGCCTAGTTCAGCTGTTATGCCGCCACTGGGATAGTTCCTCGGATCTGGTCAGCGCTATTCGAAAGCGCTTGACATTAATGATTGATTGCTTAAACGACCGGGCTCGATCACATGACAAAATCGGCTTTGCGGTTGATGGACCTTCTCTCGAGATGAAGGTCCGCACAGCTTCATCTCCGCCGCTTGGCGCCCTTGACGAGGACTTATTCTACGGATCGATGCCACGAGAAATGCTCCTCCATGCCATGCGAGTCGATGATGTCTCCATCTCGGAGAATAACATCGTCTGGCTCAAAGATCGCTGATCGTATTTTTTCAATTATGTTTGTTGTTTTAAAAGCGGGCAATTTCTGTTCCTACTATATTCTTCCTCCTTTTCCGCCAAAATTGACTGACAGCCTACTCCATTCTGTGAGCGGTATAGAAAAGACAAGCTTGTTTCTATTGCATTTTTTTGGTTGATCTCGCTTGGGATTGTTCATATACATACATGGAACTTTGAAAAGGGGACAAAAGGCGCCAGTGGCTGGCTCCGGTACTCATTTGTTTCTTGATTGTCTTTTTCTAACGACGTGATGGCATTATTATCTTGGTGGTAGCCTGTTTTTTGTGGAGTACTGCGCCAAGCATGATCAAGATTGAGATGATCTTGTCTACTTCTGAATTGTATTATAAAATATGACATTTCCCTTCTGATTCTTCTTCTGATTCTTCTGATTTTGAGTTAGCTCGGGGCGGCTGGTTTGTATCTTACTATATCTGTATTCAAATTGCATTTGAGGCCCTGGAATAGGTGAGTGTTTGAATTCCTACATTTGACAGCCGCTTCTTCTCCAGGGCTGCATGTTGTATGCCATGCTTCTAGTATTTTGTATGATACTTTGATCAGACTATTATGATTCTAAGGTTACTTGGCTTGGAAATGGAGAAATCTTTCATTGTATCATGATCAACTAAGGGCTAAAAGTACAGTACAAAGAACAATACACCTGAGCGGTTTGCCTCTATTCATCCCATTCGGTCGTAAAGTACCGCCTAATCCAGGTCATATTTCCCTTTGATGGGTCCATGATAGTAGCATAGTGTGTCTCTTCATTTAAGACGGGGAATGTCGTCAACCAATTCACCACACATTTCTCGGTGACAGCAACATCAGAATCATCATTAGGATTCAAAACTGCAATACGTTCTTCTTCCGCCTCGATCTTATTCTGCTCCTCCTCTCGCTGCTTCCGCAGGCGCAGTGATGACCGTGACCCCGATGATGTGGGAGGATTTTGAATTTGCTTCCGAATTGTCGGAACCTCGTTGTGTCTTCGAACCTCGGCATCCCATTTTGATTGAATGCAGGAACGGCGCAAGTTACTATCCTCGATCAGGTCTGCCATAGTTTGTGCTTCCTCCGAAACCAGCGAGAGACCTCGATGATTCTTCCTCTTTGCATCAGCCACGACTTCGGGCGCTGTCGAGCTCGGTTCCTGATCATGATTCGTTGCGACAATAAACGCTGGCGAGGAGCGCACTACTGCTGTTCTGTGATCCTTTTCCATGATCACTGTTGAGGCCCCGTCGCTGAAGATCAGATAAGCAGCTGTTGTGGCCATGGTAGGAACATTAGTAACAATGTCCGCAAGAGTCGAAAACATCGACTTCCTGCCACGCTCTTCAGAAGCCGGAAGCAATATACACTGTCGCAGCAGCGAAGAGATAGACTGCCGCAGTCCAAGAAGCACGAAGAGGTGGTTAGCATAGAAAGCAAAATCCCGCGTAGTGTCGTGCACAGGCCTGAAGTTAAGTGAAGCGCTTAAATCCTGTCTGACACCCGTGAGCACGCCAACGAATCCCACATAAGTAATGCTCCTCGCAAGCACCTTCTTCGGGTCCGCATCTCGAACAAACTCCAGCTGCACAATCAAGTCCCGCAACGGATCCATGCCCCAGTCCAGGGTGCGGAAATGCAACATTTTAGTCGCAGAGCTAGATTTGCTGGACCGGACTCGCACTCCTCCGCTTGTGCATCCCATGAGCAGGTCGAGGACCGTATTCAGGCAGATGAGCAAGTACATGTCGATATCGGTGGTGCGGCTGATACCGCGCAGTTCCTCAGTTTCGTCCCGGGTGTGAAGCTTGCGCAGACAGAGCCAGGCAAGCTTGTGGATGAGCTGGACTGGGACTCTGGGAGCAATGGATTTGACCAGCTCGTCGAACATGCCGCGTAAGGCACGCATTCTGTCGCGGTACAATGTTGCTAATGCGACATAGCGTTGTGCTGGAGGGAGCGAGAGATTGATTCTGAAGACTGGTGGTATTTCACCCATTGAAGACATATATACTGGCTGGTTCATGGTCGCCATTGGGCCGGAGTGGGGTTCAAAGAAGAGTGTGGGTTTGCTTGGAGGAATGCGAATGGTTGAAGCCTAGAATAGCGGCTGCGGGGGATGTGATGAGGCTCGACTGTTGGTCCCCACCCTGTCACCCCCTGACCGCACTCTCTGGGCAAAACGGGGTCAGCTCGTATTGAAGGGCATAAGCTAATAAGCTAGAGTCATTTAGGCGTGGTTAGCTACAATGCTAAATTTTACATTGTTGATGGCCTCAATTTCAATGTTGTAACTATCAATGATTTTTGTATAGAACGACTCAAGTTACTTCACAAGTAGATCATGGGAAGCAATGACTGACGAACGAGGTTTTTCATAAGAACTCACTTAGAACTTGGCTTTTCAAGCCTGTAGGTCTAAGAATCCACTGGAATCCGAGTTATGCATTCCGACGCATGTATTGCAGATGTCTGCCTCAGGCATGCACTTTCTTTGTTTTTTCTAAGGTTGAAATCTTGTGATTTTGTCTTGACTTTGGCTTTTCTATCTCCAGTCATGTATGGTCCATAAACAGCTTGCTCCAATGGCGAGAGTATCCATTTATTCATCAAATGATTCTATCGAACTTCACTTCATGTCCAATATATGTAGTAGTAGGTACCCCTTCGATTTGCGGGGCCTGCGGAGACCGGAAAGTTTCTCCGGCGCGGTCTCAACCTGGCTTTGCGGCACCACTGCCCTTTGCACCAAAACCAGAAAGACCATGGAGCTTTGTCGCGTCTGATTTTTCAGAATCGATCTCGCTAAATAAGACGCTTCGATGTCGGGTCCCTTCAGCGACACCGCGGCGACCGCGGCGCGGGGCTTTGGCGCGACTGTGGAGAATGAAGAACTCGATGCCGACTACAGCATGGTCGCAGATGAATACCCCGACGAGGTCGACTACTATGCCTTGCTAGGCTTATCGAAAGAACCACCTCCCACCGAGGCCGAAATTCGCTCCGCATACCGCAACCTTTCCCTGAGCTTCCACCCGGATAAGCAACCACCGCACCTCCGCGAGGCCGCCAACCAGCATTTCGGTCAGATACAAGAGGCATACGATGCTCTCATTGACCCGAAGAAGCGCACAGTATATGATATGCTAGGAGCAGAGGGAGTGAGACGAGAATGGGGCCATGGGGGCGCCATGGGTCTAGGGGGAGAGGCGCAGATACAGGATGTCGGCGTCAAAACCATGGCACCCAAGGAATTTCGACAGTGGTTCTTGAAAGCGATGAAGAAGCGTGAGCGGAAGGCCGTTGAAAATCTAGTGAGGTCCAAGGTGCGTTCATGATGTGTTTCCTTGAATCTGATGTTCTAGAATGAGCTTTTTTGCTAACATGGTTTGGTTGTCACTGTAGGGAACAATTATTATTGGAATAAACGCATCAAACACCATTAGAGTGGACAATGCCTTGGAAGAGTTGACTATCCATGTGCCATCGCCACAGTTGAGTAGCTTTGGCGCCAAATATCAATTTAAGGCACCTTTGCCCCTTCCTGGCTTCCTGGCCGAAACTGGGGGAAATGACGAGGACGAGAAACAGGACCAAGAAAAAGCTCAGTCAGCGGAAGATACTACAGCTGAACTTGGGGATTTTGGAGAATTAACAATTGCCGCTGGTATCGCTGGTGGCCTTGGTCGTCAAACGACACCTTACATTGTTGAATACGAGGATGGAACACAGGAGGAGCTACAGGTTAGTTGCTCTCCATCAACCGCCTGCAGGTCCCAGCTTCTCGTATTAACTCCCTTCTAGTTACAGGGCGCTCCCTATTTAGCGGCCAAGGATATACACCTTGGTGCCACCATTGTCCCCAACTTCAGCAAGTTGGCAGGTAGCAAGAGAATTCTCACTTGGCGACCTTTCACATTTCTCAGAGACTCAAAGGTCTCTATCGAGGGTGAAATTCTACCAGTACCCTCCCTGAAAACCTCGGTAAATCGAAGTATCCAGCCAGTTGCTGGTACTAGACCATTTTCGGTGACAGCCACTACCACTATCACACACTCCCTATATGAAAGTCCTCCAGCCTTAGAACTCGAAGTCACCAAACAGGTTACCAAACAAAAAATCGCCTTCGCTGCATGGTCAAGTGGCTCATGGGGATGGCCCGAATTCTTTTCGCAACGTTTCACGTCCCTTGGGATGAGTCCCGAAACCCTCCTCGCTACGCATTATGAGGTCAGCAGCTTTCAACTTGGTCTTCTCTCGCTTCCCGAAAGAAAGGCGACTCTTGAAGATGACGGTGAAGATGAAGTTGATGATGATGATACGTTGAACCAACTTCAACAGAAGAGACTGGCTGCCCATCGTGCCGCGGAGTCGTGGCAAACGTATTTGCAGGCCACTCCCGACGGGTGTGCCTTGATCTTGAAATACAGCCGAAACTTGTTTACTGGCAAGCCGTCAGATGATCCTGTCAGATCCGAGTGGAGTAGCGAGGGATATTTCCCCATGCCGAGAATGGAAGAAGCTCGCGCAGTGCGACTTGAAATAAGAAGCGTAATTGCTCAAGACCTGACACCTAGCTGGACTGTGCAGGGTACTCGAAAGGTTGGCGAATATACCACTGTTGGGCTAGGTGTTGGTATCGCACACACAGGTGTTAGCATGACCGTCTCATGGAATCGTCTCGGTCAGGGCTTCAATATCCCCATCATCGTCTGTCCTGCAAACGAGGCAAACCAAGGTGCTGCAGTCTTTGCTACACTTGCTCCATGGTTAGCTTATTGTGCCATTGAATTCGGCTACATCCGGCCACGCGATCGAAGAAACCGACGACAAGCGGCCGCTCGTCGTCATAACGAGCTGAAGAAGCGTATTCCTCAGAAGCGAACGAAGAGCCTAGAAGCTATAGAGCTCATGTCCGAGCAAGTGCAAAGACGACAGGGCAAAGAAGCGAAGCAAGACGGTCTTGTGATTACTAAGGCGGAATACGGCTATGACCCATCAACAAGCAAAAAGCTGCGGGCTAAATTCCCTGACTCTCGACTGATTGATGTGACCATCCCAGTGGCTGCGCTGGTTGAGCAAGGCCAATTGGGTATCCCTCAAGACACTATAAAAGTAAGTACTATGCCTTGCTATTTTAGCTCATGTGTTGTATGCTGATAATCATTTCCTAGTTCCATCTTATGGGATTCTATGACCCTGCACCTCTCTTGCCAAAGCGACTTCGTGTTTGGTACACCTTCCAGGGTCACCCTCATTTTGTAGATGTTGGTGAGAAGGAGGGCGTTTCTTGCCCCATGCGCACGCACTTGTTATCAGCTTGAGTGCCTTTAATACCCGACAACCGTGAGTCTTTGATATTGTAGTAAAGGCGCCTCCAAGGTTCTCTTGTACTTTATTGCATTTTTTATTTTATTTTTCACACAGTCGCCACAGAACATTCTCTGCTCATGTCGTCATACACAAGAGTTTTGGTGAACATAAGATCTCCAGATGTCGATTATTTGTTCCCATAAAATTTACTCTAGATTCATGAAGCTGAGACAATATTAAAAATAAACAACATGAAGAAGCTTGGAAATAATCTTGTTGTTCAAATCTTCCAGTATGTTTACTTTCAACGCTTCGCACTAAACGTTGGTGAATCGTGAGGGCGACCATGGTAGGGCGGGCCTAATACACCTCTTGCGCAGCCTCCCAAAAGCTAAGCGCATCACTGCGAGATCTTCATCTCTCCCAACCACCCTGACTTGAAAGCGTTGCTTTGCTCTTAAGTCGCACAATGGCTTCTCTTGCGTCGGGGCTTTTCAAGTCCCTCCCAAAGCCTAAATACTCTGGCGAGGAGGAAGAATTACCCAAGCATGCGCAACCCCGTGGTCCACGTGTAGTGGGCGCCGACCAGCTTGACGAGACTCAAGTTGTCCTACGGGTAAGCTTAACACAGACGTGTTTGATGATTGCCATGTAAGCTGACCTAGCATGTTATTTTTTTTTTTTACAGAAAACTGGCCCCCCACCCTACGGAAACCGAACAGGATGGCGACCGCGAAACCCCGAAGATTTTGGCGACGGCGGCGCGTTCCCGGAGATTCTAGTGGCACAATACCCCCTCGATATGGGTCGGAAGGGAACACCCTCAACATCCAATGCGCTTGCAGTCCAGGTGGATGCCGAGGGCAAAGTCAAGTACGATGCGATTGCCCGCCGCGGTCATAGCGATAACCGCATTGTTCATGCTTCGTTCAAGGATTTGATCCCGCTGCGGCAGCGGGTGGATATGGGAGAAATCTCTCTTGACAGACCATCTGAAGAGGACGTTCAGGCACAGATGGAAAAGACAAAGAATGCGCTGGCTATCCTGGTTGATGGAGCTGTGACCGCACAGAAAGCCAAGACCGTCAAGGGCGGAAGCAGAGCTGAGCCGACTTTTGTCCGATACACGCCTGCTAACCAGATGGGCAATAATGACCCCAAGAATGACCGGATTATGAAGATTGTGGAGCGACAGCAAGATCCTATGGAGCCTCCCAAGTTTAAGCACAAGAAGATTCCCCGTGGCCCGCCATCCCCTCCACCTCCCGTTATGCACTCGCCAACCAGGAAGCTCACCGCCGAAGACCAAGAAGCCTGGAAGATCCCTCCACCTGTATCGAACTGGAAGAACCCGAAGGGTTACACTGTGCCCTTGGATAAGCGTTTGGCTGCGGATGGTCGTGGATTGCAGGATGTCTCGATTAACGACAAGTTTGCTCAATTTGCCGAAGCATTGTTCACTGCCGATCGTCATGCTCGTGAAGAGGTGCAACTCCGTGCTCAGATGCAGCAGAAGCTGGCAGAGAAGGAGAAAGCTCAAAAGGAGGAGCACCTACGACAATTGGCACAAAAGGCCCGCGAGGACCGTGCTGGACCCAGTCGCCGTGAATCTCGACCCCGATCTCGATCCCGTAGCGCCAGCCGCAGTGTTTCCTCTTATTCTTCGAGGTCTGGTACCCCGAGTGAAGACGAAGGTGCAGCTCGGGAGCGAGAGCGGGAGCGTCGTGAACGGCGACAGGAGAATGAGCGGCAGCTTCGCCAATCCCGCATGGGTACGGAGCGTCGGATTCAGACTATGGCGCGTGAACAGAACCGTGATATCTCCGAAAAGGTGGCTCTCGGATTGGCCAAGCCAACCCAGAGCTCCGAATCCATGTGGGATTCGCGCCTGTTCAACCAAACTAGCGGCATGAACGCCGGTTTCAATGAAGATAATCATTATGATAAACCATTGTTCGCTGCGCAGGACGCTATCAATAGTATCTATCGTCCTCGGGCTCAAGCCGATGCTGATGACGAGGGGGCTGATGAGGGTGAGATGAGCAAGATCCAGAAGACCAACCGCTTTGAGGTTCTGGGACGGGCTAAGGAAGGTTTCCGTGGTGCTGCTGATGCCGAGGTAAGCATAACCATACTCCGTGGAAAGGAAGTTCTCGCTAATAAGTGACATTTAATAGGAGCGCCAGGGTCCTGTCCAATTCGAAAAGGACACGGCCGATCCGTTCGGCATCGACAGCATGATTGCCGATGTGACCACGGGTCAGAAACGCTACGGAATCCAGGAGTCCGAGACAGACGATCGTGGATCCAAGCGTGCCCGAGTGGATGATGACTAAATTACTGTATTATTGTGCATTATACGACTTTCTGGTTTACTTTTTTGTGCCCTTGGGCTGCAAGGCGATTCGAGGGCAGTCTTGCGTGCATTACGGGCGTTCGGCGATGCGATATCTACAACAATTCCCAGTTCAGATAACCAAAATTCAAGCGACTTTATTGATATTTCTCGTGCACTTACTTCCGAAGGGTCTGGGTTTGATATTTTTCAAGGGCCTTTTTGCTCATTGCTCTCTCCAGTAATTAAACTGCCAGGAAAAGTTCCAATCGCTCCTGGGAATGCCTTGATGAAAATCAGTCTGCTTGTCCGCTAATATGGAGGCCAGCGTCCTCAATGCTTTCGAGACAGACCGGACCTTTATTAGCCCAATGCATCAAGGGATATAGACCGGATTGCTGAGCAGCCTGGCCTCACCCAGTGCGCACGACCGGAGCAAAAAGCGCGGGAACAGCTAAGTAAGCAGCTCGTCTCAACAAAACGCTTGCCACCATGTGCATTGTGCCCAGTAATCGCTCATGAGACTGCGTTGAATCTTTTCTCTATTGTTCTTTTTTTACGACCACCTGACGCATCGACTGAGACGTCGCAATAAGCCGATGCGGAAAAATGCAATTGTCACGTCGCCCTATCATAGGTGCGTATGGACATCTGAACTGGCTGTGTGCTATGGCTCTTCACCTTCTTGTGAACTTAACACTATCGGACAACACAAATTCTAAGCACTGATAATATAGATGATCATGGAGGTTATACAACGGACTGAGTCATTCAAAATAAATAACGGCCGACTGGAGTTTTCCTATGTTCAGGTATTTGTCCGGCAAGACGGCGTACTATATACCGGGAAATGGCCGAATCGATTTGATTCACCGAAGACGCTAGAAGATCTTCGGGACATCGACAAAGTTCAAACGGAGGATAGAGGTCCAGAGGTGGATCCTACTTGGTCAGCAATTTATTTGAAAAAGCCAGATCTCCTGGCGTACAACAATCCAAATCTCGAAACGCAAATCGCTCGCGAAGTTCAAACATGTGAGCTTCTTCGCAAAAATCCCCATCCGAACATTGCCTCTTACTACGGCTACCAAGAAACTCGTGGCCGAGTTTCTGCGCTATGCTTCAAGCGATACAAGTCCTCTTTACTTGAAGCAGTCAACCCTCAGCGCCTTGGTAAAGCCGCTTTCCTCTCATCTGCGCGAGAACTAGTGAAAAGGGATATGAAAAATGCGTTGGACGGGATTTTGCCTGCCATCAAACACTTGCATTCCCTTGGACTTGTGCACAACGACCTTAACCCTTCGAACGTCATGCTTGACGATGACGGTACCTTTATTCTTATCGATTTCGATAGCTGTCGATATATCGGGGAGTCTCTACGCCAAAGCAAAACGAAGCGAACAGTCTACTGGCATGATGCCTCTATCGATACCTCGCTCGAGAAAAATGACCTTGACGCTTTTAAGGATCTGCAGATCTGGCTATGTGGACCAGCCGATGAAGAATTCGTCTTTAAAGGAGCAACTTGTTAGTAGAAAGCCAATCCCAAGTGGATCGGTTTCTCCCTTATTGACCAAAGTACTTGTCATCTTAGCTTAAATTGATCCAATAGAAATCCGTACCGTTAGTTCATCAGAAGTTTCTGCTGTTCACATACTTCTAAGCCTCGATATTGTAGCATGCACAGTTAGGGAGTCAAATATATGAGCCCTTTAGTGCTAACGGGTCTGGGCTTCAATCCACGTAAGTCCCTGCATATGTTTGTCCACTTATCGCCAGCAGGAGGGTATAGTGTAGGGTCACAATATGCCTCACTGTTTGGGTATATTCCACTGGAATTGGGTCAACAGAACAGTGGAGAATGAGATTGGTTATTAATGCGATCAGTTAGTAGCAAAATGATTCATATCAACAAATACCGTTTAAATTGAAATGGACCTCACCCATCATTTTTTGTTCTCGGGTGCTTCTAATTTACATGACAGCTCAAATTGATTTGCTCGTCCTGTGCATTTGAACTGCCAAGTGCTGGTCTAACCGCAGCCTCGTTCTAAAAGTGCCAAGAGGATAGAGACGGCCTGTTCGGTATGATTTGTCCGTGGATGCAGGCTTTAGCCTAACCTTTGGAGCATTAGCCAGTCATAGCATTACAACCTCAGAAGGATTTTGGGGCCAAATATCGGCTCACTCAGGAATGACGGACTATTTGCCCCGCTAATCTGGAGTGAATACTACCATCTCCCGATGTTCGGCCGCGTTTACCCCAGTCTAGTCCACGCACTAGCCGAGATTGGCCATATAATTTATGTAAACACTATGAAGTACGGACAATTTGAAACCCTGGGACATGGAAGTGGAGCCTCATAGGCTAAAATTTGCTCTGCCCCTACACCCTGCATATGGGCGTACACTGTTAAGCCTGACGTCAACTGGTACAAATAGTTATTTAATGTAGCATGCAGTGCCCCTGCGCCAGACTGATACATCATATGTACCACACACAATGATTTTCCGCCAATCCTACATCGCGTCGTTGTTGGCAGTACTGCCCCAGGCGTTGACCTCTTCTACATGTCGTTGCTTCCCAGGCGATTCTTGCTGGCCATCTGAACGTGCCTGGTCACAATTCAATAAGACTATCGACGGACGACTAATTAAAACGGTCCCGCTTGGCACACCGTGTCATGCGCCTGACTACAATGCTACCACTTGCGCAGCGTTGGAGGCTGGATGGAAGCTTCCAGAGGAACAGTTTGTCCACACGGAATGCTTATGCTAAATTCTGTAAGAAAAAAAAAGCTGAATCTGTGGTTCTTCTAGTTACGATTCGTCTTCCTCCGTAATGGCCCCGTTTTTTGCCAATGGAACATGTGACCCTTATCACCCTGTCTCGAAGCCTTGCACCTTGGGCAATTACGTTCGGTACAGCGTGAATGTCACCAGCCCCTCTCAAATTTCGTCAACCTTGAAATTCGCAACAATTCACAACATTCGTGTAATCATTCGAAACACTGGTCATGACTACAATGGCAAGTCGACTGGGGCTGGAGCTCTTGCAATCTGGACCCATCATCTCAAGGATCTAGAAATCCATGATTATAAGGACACTCACTACAATGGCAAGGCCATCACTATGGGGGCTGGTATCCAAGGCTTCGAAGCCTATGAGATTGCAGATGAAAACGATCTCCAAGTCGTTGGAGGGGAATGCCCTACCGTGGGTCTGGCAGGTGGATATAGTCAAGGAGGTGGACACTCGGCTCTTTCTTCCCGTTACGGGCTAGGTGCAGATCAAGTCTTGAAATGGGAAGTTATCGATGGCCAGGGTAACTTTATCACCGCCACTCGAGATAACGAGTATTCTGATATCTTTTGGGCACTGAGTGGTGGTGGCGGTGGCACCTATGGAGTCGTCTGGTCCATGACCTCGAAGGCGCATCCCGGAACCCCTGTTTCTGGCCTCAATTTGACTTACACTAGCACCAATCTCACGGCGGATACCTTCTATAGCACCATTGAGAAGTTTCACGAGAACCTTCCTGCTCTCGTTGACGCGGGTGCCATGTGTATCTGGTACTTTACTAACAGTTCCTTCTCGATCTCTCCGATCACTGGCCCCAATATTCCTGTTGCCAAGTTGGTGAATCTCCTTGAGCCTTTCACCACAAGCCTTGATAATCTTCACATCAACTACACCATGGCAACGGGTCAATACAGTAGCTACTACAGTCAGTTCAAGAGTATGCAAGGCACGATTGAGGTTGGCATTGCGCAATATGGCGGTTATCTCATTCCCAGATCGGTGGTAGAGAACAACAACAAAGCTTTGGTTCAAGCCTATCGTGAGATCACGGAAGCTGGTGGGACTTTCATTGGTGTGGGCTTGAATGCTTCACACAAAGTCTCTGGAGACGTTTATAACGCAGTCCTTCCTGCCTGGAGAGATGCACTGATTGATACGACTTTAACCACTCCTTGGGAATGGGATAATGATGCTCTGATGCTGGAACGTCAAAACCAGATGACGTACGAGTTCATCCCCAAGCTTGAAGCACTCGCCCCTGACTCTGGTGCCTACTTGAACGAGGTATGTCTATAGAGCCAATGAAGATTTTGTCTGACAAAATTTCGCTCAAATCGCTCACCGCATTGCAGGGCAACTTCCAACAGCCCGACTTCCAGAAAGTCTTTTATGGCAGCAACTATGATGCGTTGCGCAAAATCAAGTCCAAGTACGATCCTGATGACATCTTCTACGCCAAGACCGCGGTTGGATCTGCCGAGTGGAGCGAAGCAAATGATGGCCGGTTGTGCAAGGTAGACCAATGAAGACCCTCGCCGGTTGAGATAAGTAGTTTATAAAATTCCATATGATGGTGGAAATAGTTCTTAGAGATGTGCATGACATGAGACAATTGTTGGACATTAGACACATTTTAGCAAAACTTCACCAGGCATCCATTATCATGTCTATATAGTGGCATACACATGTGACGGGCGAAGAAATCAATGAATTGAAATGACAGTGGGTGGGACAAAACATATGAAAGTCATGTACTCCAAGATTCACATTAAGTAGGACAGAAAAACTATTTGTCATACATCGAAGTCTTGCCAACATCGGCTCTAGTTCTTGAGCTCCGTTTTGTTGGGAGACAGCACATCCTCCAGCCACTTGTAGGAGACTGGCAGACTGTTAGGGTATCCCATATGCACCATGCCTTCAAAGAAACGACCTTCTTTGGGTCCACCGTGGTTAAACAGCACCAGACAATCTTCGATGGGGACGACACCATCGTTCACGCCCTGGAGCCAATGTCAGCTATAGATCAAATCTCCAAAAGATAAAGAGGGAGACGAACATTGAGCAGCAGCAATCTGCAGTTGGGCTGATCAACAACCCCAGTCTCGACGAGAGAGAACTTCTTCTGGGAGTTCTGGATGAAATCCTCTGTGGTAGAATAGCCATACTTTTCAGCCCAGCAATCGGTGATCCTGTAATCAAACACATCAGCCTCAAACCCTCAATTTGACCTGCGAAAAAGATAGCTCTTTCCACTCACGTAAACGGATACTCGTGGTCATTGACCTTGGCCAACCACTCCGGACTAAGGAAATGATGCGACCCAGGCCCATGAGCCACAGAGCCCACAAGCTGATCGCGATGCGTACAAGCCGCGCGAATGGCATAAAAGCCACCAGCACTAAGTCCCCAAGCCGCAACCCGACTCATATCAAACTCAGGTCGCCCCGCCATATACTGCAGCACAGCAGTCCACTGGCGATCCGCGGACTCCGGATCCGCAGGGTCCGCCGGCGAATCCGCAGTGCCTGGAATCTCGCAGATCACCGTTGCCCAGCCGCGGTTGATGATCTCATGGGTCCGCTGGCTGTTGTCAGGCCTGTAGCCGTCCAATCCTGTCATGAGCAGCACGACGGGGACGGGGTTCGAGGCGGTTGCTTCGACGGGCACGCGGATGTACAGCGGGATGCTGGGACCGTCATTTGCGGCGCGGTGTGTGTGGGGGATGATCACCTCTTTGATGATTGGGTTCCAGAGGGAGGCGGCCTTGAGATACAGGTCTTTCTGGCGGTCGAAGGCTGCGCGCTTGACGGCGTTGTCGGGGCGCGTGGTTGGGCTTACGTAGGGGAAGCGGGCGATGCGGAGGACGACTGATGCGCGGCGGTAGAGGTCGGCTGCGCGGGATGGGTGGTCGTATTCGAGGGCTTTGATGGCTTCCTTTTCGAGTTCGTCGACTATTGGTAGGAAAGTGTTGGTGTAGGCGTCTGTGAATGGATCGTTGATGTTGTTCTATGTATTATGTTAGTCTTCTTTTTCGAAAGTGGAATTGATTTGACTAATGCCAGTTCCATCAATTCATATTGGATCTATACTCACTGCGATCAGCGACTCGAAAATAGGTTCAAAGTCCTCGAATGATCCATCGTGGAAGGGATAGATGGATTTCGAACACTGTATCATGTACGGTCAGCGGTTGTGCTTTTGTATAGATGCCCGGATTCAAGCAATAGTAAGTAGAACTCACACAAAACTTCCACTTTGTCTCCCAAAGAGCCTTGATAGATCCTTTGTGAGGGTACACCGTATCAAAACGGTCTCCCATCATCCATTTGGTGGCCATTGTGAATATCAAGATATTCAAATGTTTGGATATCCAAGTGTAGATAGATTAGACTGTGTTTGAGTTGATCTAATAGAAAAACCAAACTACGAGATTTTAAAGAAGAAAGACAACTAATTATCCACTGGGCGGATCACTTCGATTTATTGTACAGTCGCCTAGTCCCTACTACTGAGAACAGAAGAATCCAAGTAAGCTTTACAAGTATGATCCATGGATGATTTTTCGAGGATGAAAACAGTAAGCGGGGATGGCCAAGCGTCACGGGGATTGTTGCACAGAGCTTCGGAGAATAAAGAACGCAGTAGTCCTCAGTTCAGCGATCCATAGCTTCGATGACTTGACCTCGGAGACATTTCCCGCGCGAGAACAAGGGGTTGGTCTATTTCCGCATGCGGCGTTAGCGAATAGAGCAGGATCAGACTCCACTAGTATTTAGTACGCTGTATTTTCGATTCACAATTTCAATACTCAATTTTGAATAGATATGAGGCTTCTTTGTTTCGGTTCAAAGAAACTTCGACCTCTGGGATAAATTACAGCTGATTCAAGTTCTCTGTACGTTTGGATGTTTGGGACTTTGTCAGCTTACCTAGGAGACATGGATGTGGAATGTGACACATACACGGATTACTGCATGCGGTGAAGCGAAGTTGACATAGATCGACGCCCCTATGCTTGGCATTCTTGGGTGCCGGTGCCGAGAATCTACGATTTATGGTACTAGGTCCTGTACCTAACATTGAATTCTTGGTGGTTCAGTTTACATCATGATCCATCAGAGCTGAAGTGAAAAGACGTCGTGTATTGTTGGCATTAGGATTAAAGTCTACTTTGGTCGACTAACAATTAGCGACATGCAGCTTATATACAAGCCTGTTGAACGCAGACCAAGTGGTCTATTGCTCGTATTGTCCCCAGTACTGGAAGTCCTTGGGTAGGTCGTTGGGACTAAAAAGGTATTAGTAATTTGTGGGGTAACGAAGAAGAAGTAAACTTACCCAGAGTCAGGAGCAGGATGAATGACTTCATCACCGTCCTTGACATATTCGTTGTTCTGGTGGGCATTAGGCCAGTCACCCTTGGTATCATCTGTGTGAGCGACGATAGGCTTGCCGTCCGGTCCGCCAGGAACTTGAGCTTGGGACAGGTCGTTGTGGGGGTTAGGCCACGGGCCCTTGGTATCCTCTGTGTGTCCATAGATAGGCGGGCGGCCATCACTTCCATCGCCAATCTGGGCGTGGTTCTGATCAACGTGAGGCTGAGGCCATGGGCCCTTAGAATCGTGCTCATGGGCGTAAATGGGCTCGTCGTGAGCGGGTGGGTACACAGGAATTAACTCCACAGGGTGGGGAGCAGGATGCTCCGGGGCCACTTGGGGTGCAGGAGCTGGCGCATGGTGACCAACAGGTGCAGGTGCATAGGGGACTGGGGCAGCATGGGGAGCTGGTGCGACATGGGGAGCCGGAGCCGGGGCAGCGTGCGGAGCTGGAGCAGCATGGGGAGCTGGTGCGGCATGGGGAGCTGGTGCGACATGGGGAGCTGGTGCGACATGGGGAGCTGGTGCGACATGGGGAGCCGGTGCGACATGGGGAGCTGGTGCGACATGGGGAGCCGGGGCAGCGTGCGGAGCTGGAGCAGCATGGGGAGCTGGAGCAGCATGGGGAGCTGGAGCGGCATGGGGAGCTGGTGCGGCATAGGGAGCAGAACCTTTGGAGCCGGGAGCTTGTGAAGCGGGCTTTTGAGCATCAGATCCTTTGGCCTTAGTGGTCTGTGGAGCTGGCGGTGCAGCAGCGGCAGGTGCCACAACTGCTGGTTTCGTGTTTGTCGCAGGCGCGGCAGCCTTGGCTAGTCCATGATACGTAGCGCCGTGGTCATTGTCTGAAACCTCGGTATTTGCGCCTGACAGATCCAGTCCTTTCTTGCCAGCAGCATTTCCAGACGAGGGAGCCGGATAGGCTGCGCACGCGTCATAGTGGCTCTGAGGGGGAGGGTTCACGGATTGAGGGAAAGTTTCCGGGGCCTCAATGATAGTTGCCATCAAACCAGCCTCGACATGCCATTCGATGTGGCAGTGGAGCAGCCAGACACCCGGGTTATCAGCTCGGAATCGGATGACAGTGTGTCCCTGAGGCTGAACCATGATTGTATCACGGCGAATGGGTGTCTGTGAGACGTTCTTGAAGTATTGTCCGGTAAAAAGACCCGAAACAGATCGCTGCAGAACCTGGAACTGGTGGCCGTGTAAGTGCCACGGATGGAGGTTGTCGTGATGGTTATTGATAACGATCTCAACAACTTCGTTATGCTTCACTATGATTGGATTGACCGATCCGTATACATCAGGGTTGGACGCAAAATCGGGACCCACTGTGTTTGCAGTGTATAGGGTTGGCACATCCTGGGGGATGTAAGTCTTGTTGTTAAGGGTAAAGCGAGCGACACCGTTAATGTCAGCAGAAGCTGCATCCAAGATGATCTGATGGTTGACGGGTTGAAGTAGAGCCTGGTGATCGGCGGGAACAAAAGCAACATCATCCACAAAGTGCTCCAAATCGTAAATTACAGGAGGTGGAGGCAGGGGCTTTGCTTCATCATACACTAGCCATGCAGTGGCATTGGGGTTGTAGTTTGCTGGAATTGCGCGGTTCTCATAGATGAACATCATGTTAACATCCATGCTGTTCCAAATGGCGAAGTTCTTGCTGGCATCTTTCTTGGTGTGGATGAGAACACTCATACGCTGTCCAGTAGCAACGCGAAGCTTCTTGTCCCCGGCCGGGTAAGGCTCGGTGTATATGCCGTCCACTTCGACCACAGTCATTTCATGTCCGTCGATTACCCAAGTGTGGCCTGGCCAGTTACCAATGCAAATGATATGTACCAGATACGTCTTGTTTGGCTGGACCTTGATTTTCGTGTTTTTGGAATCGTTGATGAGTACCGAATTGGGAAGTGGCTCATTGCCATGGAAAGCTGCCTCATTTTGGGTCGATTGGTACTTCTCAAGTAAATCCGGCATCTGGTCATGATACCAATCGCTCAGAGTAAGAGTGAACTCCTCGTCATATTGGAATGGGGGCTTAGGATCATGGACAATCAAAGCACCACGGAGACCATCGGGGTATTGGCCCATGTTGTGCGAGTGATACCAGTAGGTTCCGGTTTGGTTGATCTAGGTTATCGTGTTAGTGTATTGTTAAATACTGTATTATTGAAGGCAATCGGCTACTCACGTCGAAATGGTACTGAAAGTGCTTGCCCGGAGCGATGGGACACTGGGTAACAGAGCTGTCTCCGTCCATGACACCGGTTCCAAATTGGCGGATTCCATGCCAGTGGATACCGGTCGATTGGTTTCCGAGATGGTTGTTCACATCTACGATCAGTCGATCACCGACGTCGACATCAATCTGTGGACACGGCCATTGACCATTGATACCAATCACAGGCCGCTCAAATCCATCCGGGGAGGCATTGACCCAAGTGATGTTCCAATCCAGGTAGACATCCTTAGCGGCTGCCAACTTGGCCGCCCATCCAGCCAGAAGAAGGAAATTAAGCTTTGCCATCGTAGTCGTATAACGAATGACTATCAAACTTGCAATCGGAGGGATACCTAAATCCTCCGATATAGTGATGCAAGCTGATCAAATTGCGGAAGGCCGGAAAAAAATTAAGAATAAAAAAGAGTGTGTCGGCCGCTGTGTTAGTCGAACAAAACAAGGGCATCACTTCCTTTAACAATGCTCCAATCGAGCTGCGGTAGGGAGTAATGTTGTTTGGTTCCTGGATTCGGTGCCATGCTTGCTGCAATGCTAATTTCTCACGCGTCATTCAAGGACTGTAAAAACAAAGCCCTAGATACAACTGCTCTTAGTCAAGCAGTGCCCTGAGATTGACATTTTCAATCCTGAGACATTCCAATTGTGGGTTGGCCGTTGTGGCATGTTGATAAATAACCGAATCGGGCCTTCCCTTTGGACTCGTACGCAAGGGGTCGCATGCCGCCCGGGTCAGTTCCAGTGAATCATCAACAACTCAACAATAATTTGGGTAAACGTGCGGAAATCAATATCCTTGAACACTGATCTGAGCTCAGAAGCTTCCAAGCTTATAAGGTTCGTGGGTGCAATCAAGATCGCCAGTATGTGATGGTGATCTCTTTGGCTCTGTTGTATGTAGGTTTTCATTTCACCGAACATTGTTTCTGGAGATGAAACATACAGATATGCACTATGTAGTATATAAATATCACATATCAAAGTTTTCAGGTTCCGCGCCATATATGGTGGTTTTTGAAAATCTCATAGTCAAAGACTGTTGCTGCTTGGTTCGCTCATGCGACCGAAATTTGCTTCTGAGCACTTTAAAGGCTGACGTTTTATTTTGCACACCAAGTGGAACTGAGTACGGCTTCCGGCTCACCGATCGGCTCTTTGGGCCTTATATAAGCTCAGGCGCAGACTCAGTAAGCGGATCAGTTAGCTTAGCCAGGGTATCTGTTTATTGCGGCGTTCCCTTGTTTTGCCTGGTCATTCATCGAGATTTTCTTGGAAAAGCATTCTTCAACTTTAGTTATTTTCGGGGGGGGGGGAAGCTCAGTCGCGCTCTCGGTTCTCAATATCCCTCAATGGCTCATGATAAACATCATGAAGGCACGTTGCGAATAATGATTTTCATGTATGTATACCCAGTAGGTATTGACTTAAAGTAGTGGATTTCCTCCGTGTTCACTAGTTAGTTGGTGCCACGAAACCGGCCGGAAGAACCGATTCCCCGGTCATGACAAAGACCTATAATAACAGGAACAACAGGGTTTCCCCACAAGACCTTGTATTTTCTCGGCGCCAAAAAAAAAAACGGAGGATTAAGTCTGTCATGAGGTATCCCTGTCAGCCCAAGCACGAACACCAAAATAGGGCTTTTGATCCCTCAATATGGTTGCCACGTCGTATCGGCGGGGGTATGAGCGCCCACCCATTTCACACATGGGCTCCACCCCGAGCCAGCCATGGTCCCTTATCGCAGATCGTCGGTCCGGTGGATGGCCAACCGTAATCTCGAGCTCCGTATTAGAGGGCCAAGCGGGGCGTCATATCCGAAGTTCTCCATAATCGGATGACAAGGCCGGTTGCCGTCGGCTTTCCACGTTGTGTAGAAGATAGTAAAAGTGCCTACTTGGGGGCACCTGCATGGCGAGGATAGGACCTCAGGATGTATATTTTGCCCCCGATGGCCAGTGCTTTCTTTCCGGTCGATCAAGTGGACAGCGCGGGGGTACGTGCAGATTGATAAATTAGTGCTGTCCGATTGGATGATTTGGGAGAGAGACTCCAATATGTCATCATCGTATAGTAGTAATGTGCATCACTTTGCAGGTACCTTGAAGTGAATACCAGAGCTAGGGTGTTCTTGGGAGTTCTTCCCCCACAGAAAGTCAGGTACCAAGCCAACTGCACGACATAGAATGGGTCCGTGGGCAACCGGGAGCGGCGCCTAGCGCGGGGTTTTTTTTGGGATGATAAGAAGAAGGAGATAAAGTGAGATTTTGCATGGGATTTGGTAAAGCTCCAGCGATTACAAAAAAAAAAAATCAAAGTCACGGGTCTTTCCCTCTTTCCCTCCATTTTCCCTTTCGAATTAATTACAATCATTTGCTTCTCTTCTTTGGAACTTTGCCATTTTCGAGATTCTTGGAGTTCCATTTCTTTGACTCATTTTCTTTCCCTCCAAAATCCCCCACTGACGCAAACTCGTTACCGATGGCGTTTACCCCGTACTAGCATTGTGTCGCTGCATCAATGGCGTAATCTCTAGGAACCCCATGAAATAACGTGCCTTGCAGAAAAAAAGAACGTATGGAATACTTCTCCCAGGGCACCGTGTAATCCTCGACTTTTCCTCTTTTCCTTATACCTCTCCACCAACCCTCTTTACGCCACTCGCCACCAAAAGAATGGATCAATCCTTGACTCTGATCGACGCCCAGGTCCACTTTGTGGTAAGTGGAGCCTTCAGCCTTATTTATCTTCTGCTCTGGATATTTACCAATATACTTACTATATTCCATAGGAAGAGCGCCTGGTACTCGTTCACATCCCGCTCGAGCTCTACCCTTATTTCTTCAAGTCCGTGTTGAGGTTGATTTATGATGAAATCGCTCCATTGGAAGAAGATCACAAGGATGATGATGACTCGGCCGAATTTGACGAGGGTTCTGTCCAAGACCCCGAGTATCGCCAACCGGCATTTTTGAACGTGTCCATCACCCCCGTCGAGGTCTCGGTGATATGCCCCAGGGCTCTTTTTCAAAAATATTTCGATCCTACCTTCACCAAGCTGGATCAATTAGATATCCAACTCCGTTCGCGATTGGTTGTGAGTGATAATGACTACATTGCGATGCAGGTCCTAGGCCAAGGCCTGGTGGCTGGCAAGCGTGTACTCGAACTGACTAGTCCGCTCGCAATGGCGGGAATGTATGTACTCATTTATATATCCATGTCCAATATCCGATATATACACTGTGACAATATCATGCTAACACCAAACCTAGTTCCATCTTCTTCATTTCCACTTACTTTTCAGATTACATCCTTGTACCATTCCACAGCAAAGCAAGTGTGATCTCAACCCTCGAGAGCCGAGGCTTCCAGTTCGAAAATGCCACAGCAGCCTTCATCAGCAATGCCTTCAGTCCAACATCACCATGCATCGAAAAGTCGCTCGGCGACCTAATCCCGCCCGTCACTCCCCCTCCATCAACACTCGCCGAGCTCCAAACCCGCACTTTTGCGAACCTTCGCAAACGCGACATTTCCCCATTCGTAGACGAAACCTTGCGCCTCGTCCAATGTGCCGCCCACCATCCGTACAATAGCGAAGCAAGCTCCATGTCTATTCTACGTGACGCCATCACCACCGCCCTCTTAGTCGACAAACCACGCTTCCTCTCTTTGACCCTCGCAGCACTCGACCCCGCTGCATCCCTTCTTCTAGAAAAGCGGCTTCTCCCCCGCTTCGCGAGCCCGGCAGCCTCGCATCAAAACTACGAAGATGGCTCAGGGCTCCTCTTGGGCTCAAAAGAAGACTACCTCATACCGATTATGCTAGACCTGCGCGATCTGCCTCTCGAGGCCTCTGGCATCGTTTGCGGCGTGGCAGGTCGACTTGCAGAGGCAACAGATAGCCACTCCTCCCGTGCCCCGGATAACGAGAACCCGAGCCCTGTCAGTAGCAACTTGAGCGGTGTCATTGGGTCTGTGACTGAGCTGTTTGATACCTTTGGAACACGCTTGGCGCTCGGTGGTCTGGATAAGAATAAACGACCCCAGCCACAACAACCCTTACCCGCGACTACCCATCACCTTAAGCCGGACCTGGACTTGTCGGCCGATGCGGTAGAGATTAGTTTCTTGAGTACTGCGCGGGCGGGCACGATTATTGTTGGGGAGGACGAATTGCGTCGGGCAATCGATGCGCTGGAGGCGGAGAGAATGAATGATAAGACTCTAGGGGGTGATGATGAGTTACCGGCGGAGAACGAGGATACCGACGAGACTGCATAAGGCTGGTGTTTTTCCCCTCGATTTCACTTTTTTTCTGCTTTTTTCCCCAAGGTTTGTGTCAGTTGCATCTGGACGGTGTGTTTTGTTATTCAATTTCATATTGTTGCTTATGGCGAATGATGGTAAAAGTGACTTTTTAGTTATTTTGCTTTCTTTTCTTATTTTCTTGTATGCGGTTTGCAAAGCCATCTATGTATGATTACACGATCTCCATGCCCAATTTGACTATGTTCACGCTGGTTTTTGCTGCGCTGCCTAGCCCTGTCTCTATCAATTTTCATGGTTCTTTTTTTGACATGCCGTTCATGCATGCTGGTGCGTAAGGTTCCCAGGTTCTACATTCAAATGTTATTTTAATGGGTACCCCTTTGCTGCTTAGGTACTAGGAAGCGGGAGAGAAAAATATGATTCAGCGTATGGGGTATCAAGTTTCAGCATGAGATGCTTCTTATTTTTGTTCTCTTAAGACAGCTGTCTTCCAAGCTTGTGGTCCAAATGTTGGCTGGTGCCCATGGCCGCGCATTCATCTACTCCAAGTCTATGTTGCAGTGGTAGGGCCGAATCTCTTGGGCTCCGCCCAATTGATATCCCTAGAAGCCTCGCCTCTTTGGTGATTTCGGCCGACTGAAAGTCGACTAACTATTTAAGTATTTCTGCAAAATCATCAAGGGATCGCCAGCACATCAAACTCTGAGCCCGTTCAAAGTTCTTTGGCAATAATCGACTTTCAACGAGACTGGTCATGCCCTCTGGCCTGCCCGTGTCGCCTTCGAAGCGGGGCTTGGAAATAAAATTCCATCATGTGCGACGGCCAAGGTTCGCAAAGTTTGAGGCAGTTGAGCCACAGACATATTTGGTGGTTATGTGTGTTGTCCGGCAGGTATACTCAAGATGTCCTGCATTTTGAGGGTTTGAAGCGGGTCAGAGTCCCTCATCCAAAATAGGTCAAAAGATAGACAACATGGGTCGAATGTGGAAGTCCGATTAGCCTTCGTCTGGTAGCGATGATCGTTGGTTGATATATCATGAGCCAAAGACCCGAACAGTACCTGTCCAGCATTAGTTTAAGGGGGTTTCTTGAAGGAAATATTGATAGAGACAGAGGCAAGCGACTTACCATCAGAGCATCCGCCGGCCCAATGGCCACCCTCGTTCCATGCCACACAGCTCACTACCTTGACTTTCTCGCCCATTGGCACCGTCGCGACAGCCTCTCCAGTGAGTACATCCCAGGCAAAGACAGCCGCGCCAAGGCTAGTGTCGTTTTTCGGTGCTTCGCTGCCACTGAGAACCACTCCATCCCCCTGTGCAAAAACAGAGCGAACACGCAGTTCATCGTTGCGGTAAGAATGAGGAGACTTTGCAGCGTGCGAAAAAGAGTCTTTTTCTTTTTGCGGACCTCCAAAAGCCGCGAGAAGGCTTCCATTTGAGCGATCCAGCATCCGAATATAACTATCTAGCGTAGAAGCAAGAAGTACATTCCCGTCTGCCGAGCTTCGAATACTCGTTACTGGATGTGCGAGAACATCATCGGTCGTCCTACCCATCCGAACGTCATACACTCGCACATGGCCATCGTAGCTACCGCTCGCAATCGAATACGATGGCATGTGAACATGAAGACATGAAACAGTGTCGCCTGCCTCAGTGAGGGATTGAATAGGCTTATGGTCTTTGGAGCGAGTATCCCAGAGGTTTACTGTTGTATCGGCACTACCTGTAGATGATCAAACGAATATCAGCAAGTTTGAGGCTTTTGATAGACTTGGGTCGGGGAAGGACAATACCAGTGACGACCACCGAATCTCCATCTCCAGCAAATTGTACGGCCTCAACCCTGCTAGTATGACCAGTCCACCGTCTGGTTGTGCTACCTTGCTCGACATCCCACAAGAAGACTTGGCGGTCCCCTCCTACGCTGGCGAAGCGCGCATTATCTGCAGCAACTGCCACGTCGAGAACAGAGTAGCCATGGGCCTCGTATCGTTGGATCGGCGATATAGTTTCAACTGGCTGCGCAGAGCTTTCGACATTATTTGGAACAGCGCGCGACAAGTGAATGGCGCGATCGGAAGAACCTGTGAGTATGTATGTGCCTGGATAGCTAGAGAAGGTCACGGCGTTGACGGGGGCTGGCAGGAAGAATTGGGGGTTAGTTTTACGTCAACTTATAGAGGTTCCTGTGCAGCATGACTTACCGTTATGTGTTTTTAAGGTATGCAGATGTCGGGATGGGAATCTTTTTGGCGGCATGACGAACGGATCGTTGTAGAGAAGTTGTGTTAAGTGGTGGGGGGAAGCTTGGAGAAAATGCGGATGCGCGTGGAGCTCAGGAAAATGGGCCCGAGCTCCTTATACTCCATGTAAACTTGAACTATATTTTGTCTCTTACTTCTAATATATCGAAAGGTTGTATGAGACCAAAGCTACTACATACACTAGTACTGAGTAGTTTCTTCATATGCATTAAAGGAATGATTAACTCTGTATTTTCCCGCGCTACAGAAAACAGGAGGGGGTTATTATCAAGAATGTAGACACCATCGCTAGCTACCAGCGGTAAATGGATATAACAGAACGAAACGGACCAGCCTCTTGAGGCGAAGTTGCGCCCTCCCAAGCGCATAAAACCGGAAGACGTAGGATACTCAAAAGAAGAAAAAGAACGAGGGAGCTTGCACGACCCGCTTGCTCCCTTTTTGAACAACAAGGGCTGATGCCCACAAACCCATCTTAACGACGGCCATGGCTGCGGGTGCCGGAGCCCTGCAGATTCTCGATCTCGCCCTCGAGTTGTTTGATCCTGGAGTAAGTTAGTATGGAAAACTGTAAAGTGAAAAACAAACGCAAGGTATACATACGCCGCGTGAGTGGCCTCCAGATCCTTGTTGAGGCGGTCCCGCTCGGAGATGAGCTTCTGCTCCCACTGGCGGAAGCGCTGCTCCTCGACCTTGACCTGCTCGGTGAACCGCTTGCGCAAGTTCTCCTCTTCCTCCTTGAACTTGGGGTTGTCAAGCTTGCGAGGCCGGGCCTCACCAAACTTACGGGTCTCCATCTGCTGGGCGCGGTAGGCCTCGTAGTGCTGCTCTTCCGTGGTGTGGATAAGATCAAGCATGTGAGTGCGGATCAAGATCGATCGGAGCTTCTTGAAGTCACAGTGATCCTCGTTCTCAACCTCGGCGACACCCCAAGCGTACTGACGACCCTTAACGACACGGCCATCGTTGGCCTTGACATCTTTCTCGGAACCGATAACGGCGAAGGGCATGGCAGCCATCAAGCTGCGGGCGTGGGTAGCGGCGTGCTCATCGTCCTCCTCAATGGGCGGTGTGTAGATCTTGATTCCCTGGGCCTCGATGACACGGCGAATCTGTCAAGGGATGGTTAGCTGAGTTGTTTTTTTTTGGCCTTCAACAGAATAGATCAGCAACCACTCACTCTATCCTTGTAACGGACAAGGTCGGCATGGCTCAGGGTATCGGCCTTGGCAACAACGGGGATCAAGTTGACACGTGAGCTGAGACGCTTCATAACCTCAATGTCGAGGGGCTTGAGGGTGTGTCCAGTGGGGCGGATGAAGTACAGACAGGCGTGCACACGCATGTCAATCTTGTCTGTCCGGCGGGGCTGTTGCTCCTGGAGCATGTAAGACTCGTGCTGGTCATCCAGGAACTCGATGATAGGCTGCCAGGAGTCACGGTTGTTGACATAGTCGCCGAAGCCGGGGGTATCAATAACGGTGAGGCGAACTAAGCAAGAGACAACCGATTAGTGACTGTCACAAATAAACTCCCTCTAAACGGTGAAGGGGGCCCCACCTTTGAAGAACTTCTCCTCAAGCTCGGCCTTGGTGATTTCAATCTCGACGGTGCGGTCAACCTGCTTCTGGTGACGGCGCTTGTGATCGGCGTAATTTTTAATAGTGGTGGAGAACAGAGTGTTGATGAAGGTAGTCTTTCCCAATCCTGACTCTCCAGCAACCTATCGATCGTGGCGGTTAGTCGTCAATGTACCCTATCGTGGTATTGCAAGCTCCGACACACCATAATTGTGAAAGCCGCACCCCGCTTCGCAACAATCTTGTGTCTAAAGGGTTATCAATTAATATGTTTATCCTGGGCGGATCCTAGCTCTCGATTGAGTTCGACGGAATACACACCGCTGGTTGGGGAGCTACATGACATAAATTGATTAGCGACCAGTTCGATCAACTTTCATTTCGAGGTTGCGGGAAATAGCTTACATTGGCAATGCCAATAGGCGTGGCAGTCTCGGTTGTCGACATTGTGGGCTAAAAGGGAGATGAATGAAGACAAGAAAAGGGGCAAGAAGCTCCTCAAGAGAATTACCAAAAGGGAAAATGTGGAAAGATAAAAAGCCCCCAAGAAAAGCGTTGGATTGTAAAAAGGGGAAGGCGTGAACCTGACTTTCAGCGGTACTCTTTCCCCCCTGAATCTCCTTTCTCGTTTTCTGGAGTAGAGCTGGCCCTTGCCTATCTGGGTTTAGCGCATAACACTATACCACTTACGGTCCGGGTTCGGATAAATCAATGATGCGATGCTTATCGCATTGATTCCGCTAATCAGCTTGAAATTTTGCATCGTGAAGCTGTCGCAACTAGGAAAATGAAGACCGATTTCAAGGTGAGTAAGGGCTTTTCTGCATAGTGTCATATCATGGACTTAACATATCTAACCATTGTATCCTAGTTCTCCAACCTTTTGGGGACGGTCTACCGTAAGGGCAATCTGCTCTTTACTCCCGATGGTACCTGTCTACTTTCGCCAGTAGGCAATCGGGTCACTGTCTTTGACCTCGTACAGTAAGTGCTCATCTGGCGGTTCCAATGGGGCCCTTGACCCAGGGGTTTGGCAATTCTCGGTTTTCTGACCTTTTGGGCTTCTAGCAACACCTCTTATACCCTTCCATTTTCGCACCGCACCAACATCGATCGCTTGGATCTATCCCCGAAGGGAAACTTGCTGTTGACCGTTGACGAAACTGGCCGAGCAATTCTGACCAATTTCCAACGCCGAATCGCTATCCACAACTTCTCCTTCAAGGGCCGCGTCACTGCGCTCAAATTTTCCCCGTCCGGCCGGCATTTCGCAGTCGGCGTCGGCAGACGCTTGCAAATCTGGCAGACCCCATCTACTCCTGGAACCGAAACCAATGGCGAGATTGAGTTTGCTCCGTTCGTTCTTCACCGTGATCTGGCTGCACACTTCGACTCTATCTCGAATATCGAGTGGTCAAGCGACTCCCGGTTCTTGTTGACCGCATCCCGAGATCTGACTGCGCGAGTATGGAGTTTAAATCCCGAGGATGGGTTTGAGCCTACTACTCTGGCGGGCCACCGGCAGGGTGTGGTTACAGCGCACTTTGATGTAAAGCAGGAATTCATCTACACCGTTTCCCAGGATGGAGCTCTTTTCCGCTGGGAATATGTCGCCAAGAAAGACCCAGAGACCGATGAAGAAATTGGAGAGGCTCAGTGGAGGATTACGAAAAAGGACTTCTTCATGCAGAGCGATGCGAGTGTTAAATGCGCTGCATTCCATGCACCCTCCAACTTGCTAGTGGTTGGCTTCTCTAACGGTCTTTTCGGCCTGTATGACTTGCCCGAGTTCAACATGATTCATCAGTTGAGGTAAGTGAAATCCTTGTTTATTTTGGCGTTTCTCGTCAATTTTGACTAAATTATCATTTTGTATAGTGTCTCGCAAAGCAACATTGACGTTGTTACAATCAACAAGTCTGGAGAGTGGCTTGCCTTCGGTTCCTCCAAGCACGGCCAGTTGTTGGTGTGGGAGTGGCAGTCAGAATCCTACATCCTTAAACAGCAGGGTCATCTTGACTCTATGAATTCTCTGGTTTATTCACCAGATGGACAAAAAATTGTGACCACCGCCGACGATGGCAAAATCAAGGTATGGGATGTGAAGTCAGGCTTCTGCATTGTGACTTTTACCGAACACACCAGCGGAGTGACTGCATGCGAGTTCGCCAAGAAGGGTAGCGTTCTCTTCACCGCATCCCTGGACGGATCAATTCGAGCATGGGATTTGATTCGATACCGTAACTTCCGCACTTTCACTGCGCCTTCGCGACTCTCGTTCTCTTCTTTGGCAGTAGACCCCACTGGAGAAGTGGTCTGTGCCGGATCTCCTGACTCTTTTGATATCCATGTCTGGTCTGTGCAAACAGGCCAATTGCTTGATCAGCTTTCCGGTCACGAGGGCCCTGTGTCGGCCCTCGGCTTTGCTGCGGATGGTAACCATTTGGTCAGCGGTAGCTGGGATCACACTGTGCGAATTTGGAGTATTTTCGGCCGAACACAGACTAGCGAGCCTCTTCAGCTTATGTCCGACGTTCTCAGTGTGGCTTTCCGCCCTGATGGACAACAGGTAGCGGCCTCAACCCTGGACGGTCAGCTTTCATTCTGGTCAGTGGAGGATGCCGTTCAACAGGGTGGTGTTGACGGACGCCGTGACGTATCTGGTGGCCGAAAAGCATCCGATCGCACAACTGCTGCTAATGCGGCAGGGACCAAGTCTTTCAACCGTATCACCTACAGTGCAGACGGTAGCTGCATTTTGGCGGGTGGTAACAGCAAGTACATTTGCTTGTACGACGTTGGTACGGGCTCTTTGATCAAGAAATACACAGTCTCAGTGAACCTGTCGATGGATGGTACGCAGGAGTTCTTGAACAGCCGAAACCTCACCGAGGCTGGCCCTCGCGACCTTATTGATGAAACAGGAGAGGCTTCTGATAAGGAAGATCGCATTGACAAGACTCTCCCTGGTGCGAAGCGTGGCGATGCCGGTGCTCGCACTACTCGGCCTGAAGTACGAGTGACCTCAGTTGATTTCTCCCCAACTGGTCGTGCCTTCTGTGCTGCCTCTACTGAGGGTCTTCTCATTTATAGCCTGGATGATGACTTTGTCTTTGATCCATTTGATCTTGACATCTCCATCACTCCTTCCACTATTCTTGCCACTGTCGAGGCCGCCAAGAGTGCTTCCGCGGCTGGTACTGTTGATGATGAAAATACCTTCATTAAGGCGCTGGTCATGGCATTCCGCTTGAACGAATCCAAGATTATCCGTGCCGTGTACGAGTCGATCCCGCCTTCGGACATTCCACATGTTGTCCGCGCCGTGCCTACAGTGTACTTGCCCCGTCTGCTCCGCTTTGTCGCCCTCGCAGCCGACGAAACCCCGCATCTGGAATTCAATTTGATGTGGATCGAGTCTCTGTTCAGTTGCCACGGTCGATACTTCAAGGAAAACTCCGGGACATTTGCCCCCGAACTTCGCGCTGTCCAGCGAGCTGTCGATGACATCCGTGAAAACCTCAAGCGGTTGACGGAAAAGAACCTCTACGACCTTAATTATCTTCTCTCTACGCCTGTTCTTGCCAACAAGAAGTCATCAAGCGCAATGTTGGCTATGACTGCGGGTCATGTCGAGGAAGAGGACGACCAAATGGCCGACGCCGATGCCGATGCCGAAGACGGAGAGGGCGATTGGGTTGGATTGGAATAAATAATTCCATAATAATTACCCCCTCTGTGTATGTCTACTTTGCATCTGCGCTTGGCGTTTGTATATTATAGGACGGTAAAGGGAAATCTGTTCCCTCAAAAGTGCTGTGTCTAGGTATTAGAGAGATGATGTTGTCTTTTGTTTGAATGAATCTACGTGTGTAAACATAACCTTGCAACTCTCGTACCGTAGTATACTAGTGAACAACAGCTTGGCCACAAAACTGATAGATGTCATAGGTAAATATCACTCCGCCATTGCTATCATTTGCACAGATGTATTCAAATAACTGGACAGTGTCTGTCTAGCTCATCTTTGACATCTGGAAGCAGAATGTAACAAGTCCAACCCCTGTTAAATGTTTAGAAACAATAAACCGACAAGGCGATTATTTGTGGCTCTCGAATGAATACTGCGATCTTCCTAGCCGCCTGCGTAATTGGTTTAGTTCTCTTCAAGTGCAATCTTTTTCATTTACAAAAAAAAGTAAAGAGGATGAAGACGAGAGAGGGGATGTACTAAATAACTCGCATAAAAAGACAAAAAGACAAAAAGACAAAAAAGAAAGGTCGTGCCCGGGATCGAACCGGGATCGCCAGAATCAGAATCTGGAGTGATGACCATTACACTACACAACCTTAATTGTTATTAGGGACGCAAACATTGGCTATATGAAGCCGCGGAGGACAATTGCACAACTATGCTGGCGAATTCAGTACTAATCTATGCCTTCAGTTTATGAGGAGTAAATGCGATAAATTAAAGCTTTATATTTTAACAGTCATTGTTTATTGCTCAAGTGCATCTAAATCAACGGTTTCTCCCCTCTCTTCGCCCTCCAATAGTTACTGTTTCTTACGCCAACCAACTGTCCGAATATATAGTTAACTTGCAAATGTCAACTGGTCAGGATGACTAACAAGGCCGATGGCACAATAAATCCACCGGGACAGGCTAGATATAAGATCAAGGAACACCATGGGAGCACTACCGTTGATTGTTGGAGGATAGGGTATCCCTCTTTTTGACGCATCAACGTTTTCTCACTCAAGTGCTTTCTTCCTGGCTTTCAATTAGGTCTCGTCGAATATTCACAGGGTCCTCAGATTGCAATGTTTAAGTATATTTTCTTTCAGTTTGGACAGAACTACATAGTATCCAATACACATAAAAAGAGCCGAGCAAACCAAATATGCGTAACAAAGTAAATCAACAGCGCAGGAGTTATGGGTAGAAACAAAGACTTTTGACGCGTTTGTACTATGATCTGGAATATTCCGAGTGACACCCTTCCAGGGGTATACTGCCCGACAGGACCTTGTGTTACCAACTAACATGTACTCTCCGCGTGCTCGCTCTTCTTGATTTAAGATCAGCCCAGGATTTTCATCGCTCCACATTCCGATTCCCTTGCTTCTATCTCTTCTTCCATCCGTGCTTGAATGGCTGGCTCTATTCTCTGGCCCCTCCTGGGGGTCTTGATTTACTTTTTTCTCCGCAGATCCATCAATCCTCGCCTCAAACACATTCCTATCGTTCGTTACCGGTGGTACGTGCCCGATGTACTCAACAGACTCATCTTCTATCCAAGGGCTTCATCGATGATATATCGGGGCTACAAGGAAGTATGTCAATCAGTACCTTCAAGAGTCATCGTTGAGCTGATTCGTACTGATGCAAATTATAGTACCCACATCGACCCTTCCGTGTACTCACAGGTGATGGCGAGATTGTTGTCTTGCCAGTGAAGTATCTGCCTGAGCTGAGACACCTTCCACCTTCTGTCATCAGCTCCCTGGATGCACAATACGAGGTATGATATTATCCTGCTAGCTCAACTTTATATTGTTGCATTCACGACTGGAACTCCGCTAATATTCGAACTATTTCATGCTTAGAATGCCCTGGGAGAATACACTCAGATCATAATCAATAGCTATCTCCCTTCCATGACCGTTCGGAAACGCCTGACACCATCTCTTGGTACTTTGCCAATCATCCATTTATCCACTCAAACTTTCTATTGCTAAACATTGCGCAGCACGAGTGATCCCATGGGTGATAGATGAACTCCATCGAGCCTTCGATGCCGCCATTCCAGAATGTGAAGGTATAACTCCGGAAAGGCATCCCATGAGCCAAACTTGGTACTAACAATCCGTCCTCTTCCAAAGACCATTGGGCCCGCATCTACCCCCACGAAGTATTCATCCACCTAATCACCTGCGCCACATCTCGCGTCATGGCAGGCGACTCACTCTCCCACAACAAGGAATGGCTCAAGACAGCAACAAACTACTCCGTGAACGTGGGTGTAACCATCTTACTTCTCCGCCCATTCCCAGTCTTCCTCCGACCAATAGTGGCATTCTTTCTCCCCTCCGTCCGCGCCATGAAACGCCAGCTGCGCTTCGTGAAAGATCTCTTCGTCCCAATGATCAACGAGCGGCGTGCTGCTCGCGAAAAGGCAACGGCTGAAAATGACCCAGGGTATGAGGCCCCGGATGACTTCTTGCAGTGGATGATGGATATGGCGGAGGACGAGCAGGATATGGATCCAGAGCTGTTGGCGCATCACATGCTTCTGCTTATGAGTCTTGCCGTTGTGCATACGAGCTCCATGGCAATGAGTCATGCACTTTACGACCTGATTCTTATGCCTGAGTATCTTGGTCCGCTGCGAGAGGAGGTTCGAGAGACGCTGAAGTTTGGGTGGGAGAATGCTACGAAGGCATCGTTTGACAACCAGCGGAGGATGGACAGTTTCCTGAAGGAGTCTCAACGGTTTGGGCCACCAGGGGAATGTGAGTATAACGACACAACACTCTGATATGTATATTTGAACATTGAGATGTTATGTACTGGTCAATGGTGGATGGTTTCAAAAAAAGTGTTGATGACATTCGAATACTGATCTGAGATTCCATAGTGACCTTCCACCGCATCTTGAAAAAGCCTTTGACCCTATCAGGCGATCTCTTCCTGCCCGAAGGAACTCATATCTGTTTTCCCGCAGGACCCCTCAGCAAAGATCCAGCCGTCATCGCCGATCCGCAGTCATTCGACGGATTCCGCTGGTGTCGGAACCCGACAGACCGGCACGCTTTGTCAACATGTGCCGGTGGCGCATCCATCACAGACGAGAAATATGCTGAATCAAACGATACCGAAGAATCGTGGGAGGACGGGCGCACACTCTCACTGGTCCCGTCGACATCCACCAGCTTCGTTAGCATCAGCCCTTCAAGTATGCATTTTGGAGCGGGCCGGCAAGCTTGTCCGGGTCGATTTTTTGCAGCATGTACGATTAAAGCGATCTTCAGCAAGATTATTATGGACTATGAGTTTAAGTACGAAGATGGCAGGGGTGACCGCAGACCGCAAAATCTCTGTGTTGGAGAACACATTTTGCCGAACACTAGTACGCCAGTGCTATTTCGGAAAAGGGCCGTTGACACGATTTAGTTTCACGGCCTTGGAATGTCCATTTAAACCTCGGACTGAGATCGGATTCTGACATCGGGATATTATTACAATGTGCCAGTTGTTCCAAGGTTTGTTATGCATGTTAGCTGTGGTCGATAGACTTTTAACGTTCACGCTTATTACAACCTTGGAAGGTTATGAGTTGCTTTAGAAGACATGATGAATATTTGAAATCTTTACATCCATTCAATTCTTTTTTTTTCTTTCTCGGGGGGTTTTTTTTGTTTCAAAGACTCGCCTACACACTAGTAGGTATCTTAATCCGTTCCCGTGTTGATAAATGCCAACAAGACTCTGTACATATAAGGACAATATGTCATAAATATCGTAAACGGGAACAAAGCAGATCAAATCACTGGTCGCTCGCAGGAGCAGGGCCACCTCCGCGACCACGGCCATGGAATCCATTGCCACGACCACGGCCGCGGCCGCGTCGCTGAGCGACTACCGGTGGTGGAGGAACCTGATTGTAGCTCTGCGGGCGGAAGTTGGGATTGTTTTGAATGACCCCCTCGCTAGGATCACCATTTTCAACGGATGCATATCCGCCTCTACCGCCTCTGCCACCGCGATTGCCGTTAGTTGGGGCGCCCCGGTTACGAGGGCCGCGCGGAGTGCCGCCATTGACGTGGGGCCGGAAGGGCAGCGTAGTGGGCGGGTTGTTACCGGGACCACCACGTCCACGGGTAGCATTGTTTCCAGAAACAGCCCCCTGGAACGATCCCCTCAAAGGTGGGGGAACGGGTGCATTCTTGAGCTGTCCCTGTCCGTTGGGGCCCAGAGGTGCACCATAGCCAGGAACGGTCAGAGGTGTAGGTTCCTGCTGGGTTTGCTGGCCCGTGGCAGCACGAGAGCTAGTGACCAATTGGCGGTAGGACAAGTTTAGGACCGAAGACGCGGGAACTGTCTGGCCACGGAATGGCGCACAGCGCTTGCCGAGATCCGTGCCACTCATGAAGGAAGCGTCAAAGACAACATCGAGCAAGATTGTGAGCGGGGTTCTGGTAAGACCCACCACGGTGCCCCGAGTGGCAATAGGAACCTTGCCGGAATTCTGGGCATACACGACGCGATCACCAAGCTTGAATGTTTGGCTTCCAAGGCGGTGCTCCACATCCTCAGGCCGAAGCAAAGCACCTCGGGGGACGCCGCGAACTTTCTGAGGCCGCATCTCAGGCTGCGACTTAGTGAATTCATCGGCGTCCTGTTGGATAAGAAGGACAATATCGGAATCCAGTTGCTCGGCTTCAAGGGGAACCCTTGCAAAATCCTTAGCTTCCACTGCCTTAAGCCAATCACGAATCTCCTTTATTTTTGCAAGAGCAACATCTTCCGGGTAAAAATCAGTTGGAGAGTAACGATCGCTCTGAGGATTGCGCTGGATACCAGCAATGAATTCAGGGAAGGTAATCATGTACTGCTGAAGCAGGTTAACTGCCTTCTGGCTGAATTCCCAACCAGATTGACCACGGCGAGAATATCCAAGGACCTTTTGCTTGCGAGCTTCGAACTTGAGGTTGAGGCCCAGATTGACACGTTGGCCCTCTACGTCAACTGTGAAGGACGACGTGATCCTCGCTAGCACCAGAGGATTGAGACGCAGACTCCGTGCAATAGCATACGAAGGCATGTAGGGGCATGATCGCTCAGCCTCTGCAACATGCCGTCTTCCAAATTCTGGCTCTTTGCCTTTCACCGCTGCGACTAACCCATTCACCTTTCCATCAGAGTGACCAGTCACATGAACGGGTCTGCCGTAGTTGAAGTCACCCAAGAAGAAACAACGAGAGTTTGCGGGGAACTCTTCTTCAATTGGCAGAGCCTCACGCTCAATGAAACGCTGGTCGGGGTTGACGACATCGTCAACCACCACCTGGAGAGCATAGTCGGTTTCTTGTCCAGGTATATCCGCGAATTCCTTGATGGTAGCACCTTCTTCGGTCTTGGTCATGCCCTTTAGCAGTTGAATATGGAGGACTGACTCAACACCTCCGATAATGATACCCAGCCGCTTGCTGTAGCTACCCTCGATCTTGTCTGCCTTCTTCTTCCACTGCTCGATTTGTTGAGGCGTGTGCGGGATTTGGACAGCATGCTCCTCACCCGGTGGAAGAATGTAGTCAAAAAGTTCGTCTGAAACACGAACGACTAGTGCTTCTTGCAGGAATGGGAATCCAACATGAACTCGCTTCCCAAGCTTTGTCTTGGCCAATTCGACGCTGGTTCGACTGGATGGGTCCAGGAGGGTGATGACCTGGCTTTCATTCCGACTTTCCTGTTGGAATACACAGACTCCATGGAAACCCAGCTGACCGACACGTGGCAGGGTCTTCAGACTAGGGAAACCGGCCAGAGCGGCATCACCAAGCTGCACGCCGTCCATTAAACCATGATATGGGACTAATCCATCCATGGTAGGGAGTTCAAAAGTATTCTCAATGCAGCGACAGTTGGGAACGTCAGGGAATACACCAGGCATGGAGGAAGGATAAATGAAGTTCACATCAGGTGAGTGTGTGAATTTCAGGCTAGCCCCAAAACCATTACGAGATTTCTCGTCAGGGCTAAGGAGCTGTTCTCGTGTTTTCATAGCATCCAGGAGGCGCTTTTCGTCGATGAAAGGAATTTTGACCACGGCCTCCCACTCCATCTTTTTGCCGTTCATGTCCAGGTCGAAATCACGAGGGTAAAAATCGATGATGGGAGATTCCGGTGAAGTCATCAGCTCCCAGTAGGCGGTTGGCACAATCTTCTTACTGCGATCAGGCAACACACCCATCAGCTGCTCAAAAGGCCTGAATGGCTGACCGAGTCGGAAATTCATATCCACACCCAGCCCCTTCGTTACGTCTGTTTCATGCTGTTAGTAAAAAAAAAACACTGGACAAAAAGAGAATACAAAGCACTCACCCGAGATCATGGGGGCATAGTGATAGCGGAAGAACCAGGACCACGATGCGATACCCCGATAATAATAGAACAAGACCCACTGGAGACCTTGCACATAATTCTCTGCAAGCTTTTTCATCTCATCCTCGTTGTCAAGTCCCCATCCGAACTTAGAGCGATAATAGGTATCTCTCCACTCATAGAATTTCTCGTCATATTTCTTTTCAGCGGCCTCTTGTGCCTCTTCAGGGGTCATTTCCTGTACTTTGGCCTTCTCGTACTTTCGAATAACCCGCTGAATGGCCAGGGTTGCCTCCTCGTCATCGTCTTCCTCCTCACTATCATCATGCTCGGGCTTAGGTAGCTGGAGTCTCATGAACCGATCGCCACCCTCATTTTCTGTGGTGGACCATGGTACTCGAAGTTGGTCTGCAAGTTTCTCCACAAAGCTGCGGTCGCGGGCCGGTAAAGTAGATGGGAAATCCAAAGGTTTCGCTTCAGAACCTTTACCAGGCCGATTCAAGACGTACTGCTTTACTTTCTTCAGAATATCCTTCTGAGATGCCGTGATAGTCAACTCCTTCGGCCTGTTCTCCAGTTCGAGCGAGCCGTCATTCTTTTTCGATTTGACCCATTGAGCATCAGAGTTTTCGAGTTCAAAGAAACGATGCTCGAAAACGCTCATCGCATCAATGAGTTTGCCTAGGCGCTCCAGGTTGATTGTACCTTCCTCGTTAATGTAGCCACCCATCTTGGGTAGAACTTCTTTGTAGATCTTGAACATGAGCGCCAATGCACCCTCATTGATGTGCAAATTGGGCAAATTGGGCAAGAAATCATTTCCAACGAAAAATGCCATGAGAATAAAATCATCAATAACACGCTCCATATCAAATGGGAAGTTTAGAGTTCCTTCTTGCTCTAGCTCTTGAAATTCCAATTCCAGATACTCCCGGACCATGCTCAGATGCAAGAGATAGAAGTTTTGATGTTCCAGTTCCTTGGGCTTCTTTTGTGTCTGACGGCCAAATGTCACCTCCTCTCGGAGAAGACAGAAGTGAGGGTCATGGCTGAGAAGACCCAGCATGATCAGATCCGCATCTAAACCATACAAACAATGCCGCACGTTCGGATGGTAACCGGGCTGCGCTTTCGCTTGACGAATGTATTCCATGATCTTGTGCTCTCCTTCTCCGGGCACCTCATGTCCCGAAAGCACGATTTCTACGCCCTGCCAATCCGAATCCTCGGAGATCTTTTTGTTGATGAAGTATTTCAATTGTTGTGTGAGTCTCGCCATGAAACCGGTACCAGGGGTGATACAATTGCTGTCGAATGGGTCTTCTTTCGGCATCTCCATTCCCTGTGCAATTGCTTTCTCTTTCGCATTTTCAGCGTCCAGAGCGGTTCGGAAGCGGCGCGCACGTTGTTGGTTCATCTTCGCTCGTGGGGCGACACCATCGACAGCCATAAAAAACAACTTTTGGGGTTTAATCTTTCCGAAAAGGTGCTCAATATAGTTGAAGATGGCAATAAACATTTGTTCCTCCGACATGCGGAATGTCGGAGAGTCACTGTCGCTGTGTGTGCAGTTGTGAATAATTCCGTTCATATCCAGATACAAGCTGTCGAACTCGGGAATACGGCTCTCCTTGATGAGCATGGAGATGGCGGGATACCGCTCGCTCAGCCAGCGGAAGAATTTCGGAACACCCATTGTGAATTATCGTTTACAATAGAGGTGGTAGAAAAGGTGGTCGTTGGAAAAACCGTCGAGAGTAATTCAACAGTGCGGGGGGTGAACTTGCCGCAAGGGTTGGTCTGGAGGATGTGGATGCGTCACAGGAATCGGAGGTACCGATCGGCGGGGAAATTATTCGATATAAATCCGTCGTCTCGTAATCAAACAAGAAGAAAAAAATACCTCTCGAGCTCAACGCCAAGAATCCCGCAAGAGCGAAACACAGCAGAGACACAAGAAGGAAAGGGAGACACCAGGGTAGATGAACAGAGTAAAGTTGCAAAGTTGCAAAGTTGGGCGTGAAGCAAGCTGAAGTCCATGCCAAGGAGTATCTCTCCCATTCGGGACTAGCGCCAACTGCTGCCCATTAACGCGGGTTTCGCGTTTGGAATCGCCCTTCTCTGCTTCTTTGCTTCTTTGCTTAAGACTTCGGCTTCTTTTCCTTTTTCAAAAAGGCCTAGTCATCCCAACTTCCAGTCGCTTGACGCATTCGCGTGAGAATACATTACTGCTTGCAGCAATGGACACATATGAGGATGAGAACCGTGAGTTTACCGGCTCTGGAAATTGGTTGCTAGAAATCTCCGTTCTAACTGCGCAGTAGCCACCGGGGTTGAGGAGCAGCAGGAGAAGGAAAGCGAGCACAGCAACGAAAAGATCATCAATGAGGGTATGCGCTGATATATGTTTCGACATTGTTTATTCCATCAATCCCCACCTGTCCAAGTTGAAGAACAAGGCTAACTTAACTATCAATAGAATACAAGACATGGAAAAAGAACGCGCCATTTTTGTATGATATGATTCTGAGCACAGCTTTGGAATGGCCCACCCTCACAACCCAGTGGCTTCCAGACAAGCAGGAGTGAGTCTTCTAAGCATCTCTTCAGTCCCACAAGGTTCAAAACTGATATTTGGCCCAGAGTCCCCGATAAGCCTTATTCTACCCATCGCCTACTTATTGGTACCCACACAGCCGGTGATGCTCAGAATTACCTTCAAATCGCGCACATTCAGCTTCCAAACGCCAATGCCCCGAACCCAGACGACTATGATGAGGAGCGCGGAGAGATCGGTGGCTACGGTGGCGGACCCAAGAAGCCCCAGATGGAGATCAAATTTGAGATTGCCCAGAAGATTGATCACAGGGGGGAAGTTAACAAGGCCCGTTACCAGCCCCAGAACCCCAATATGATTGCGACCATGTGTACCGATGGCCGGGTGATGATCTGGGACCGTTCAAAGCACCCCAGCCAACCCACTGGTACTGTGAACCCTCAAATGGAGCTCCTAGGACACGAGGCAGAGGGCTTCGGCCTGAGCTGGAATCCACACAAAGAGGGTCACCTTGCTACTGGTAGCGAGGACAAGACTGTTCGACTCTGGTAAGTCACTAATCCTTGCCGTGAGTCTCGATCCGGGTCACTTACGAAATTAACGTTAGGGACCTTACGACATACACCAAGGGCAACAAGGCCCTCCGGCCGACCCGCACCTACACTCACCATTCTTCCATCGTAAACGATGTTCAGCACCACCCTCTCCATTCGTCTCTCATTGGAACCGTCTCCGATGATATCACCCTTCAGATTCTCGATATTCGCTCTGCTGACTCCACCCGCGCAGCCGCATCAGCGGAGGGGCAGCACCGCGATGCTATCAATTCCATCTCCTTTAACCCGGCAGCAGAGACAATCTTGGCCACCGGTTCCGCTGACAAGACTATTGGTCTGTGGGATCTTCGAAATCTCAAGACCAAGCTTCACTCATTGGAGGGTCACACAGACTCCGTGCAGTCTATCTCGTGGCATCCATTCGAGGAGTCCGTTTTGGCCAGTTCCAGCTATGACCGGAAAATTATGTTCTGGGACCTCAGCCGTGCTGGTGAGGAACAGACCCCGGAGGACGCGCAGGACGGTCCTCCCGAGCTGTATGTGTTCTATAATTGCTTTAATGCAATTCTTTCTTCCTTCAATGCCTTGACTAACCTAATTTCCAGTCTCTTTATGCACGGTGGTCACACAAACCGCCTGTCTGACTTCAGTTGGAACCTCAGCGATCCATGGGTGCTGTGCTCGGCGGCCGAAGACAACCTCCTGCAGGTATGGAAGGTGGCCGACGCCATTGTGGGCAAGGACCTGGAAGATGTCCCTACCGAGGAGTTGGAGGCATGATTTTTTCTGCTTATAGTTTCTTGGTCTGGTTTGTTTGAGTTATTTGCCGAATGGTACTTTTTCCCCCATGGTGCGCTTGCCGGCGAAACATAGGTCTGAGCAATTAAAAACATTTTAATACTCTCCCGAATCTGCTTTTAATCGTTTCAAGGGTGACATATGAAATCACGAAAAACCCATGGGTTAATATGTTATGTGTTTTGATGCTGAAGGTAGTGGTCACCAGGTGTATCTTCTAAGTGGGGTCATATAGATTACTGCTCATCCCAGCAGATCCTTAAAATCACGTATACGCTGTAAATTCCGACCTATACCCCTCCTAGACTAGTTAAAATTGCTTGGGGCTCGCCAAAAAAAAAAAAAAGATGAAAATTTACTTGCGCACACAGTCAAATATTCTTGAGCTTTCTTACTCTTTAAAACTAGGAACGAGTGTTGAATTTTAGTAAATTATTTTTTATGACTTTTATTTTGTATAGAATCCGTTGTCACAGCACTCCGTACAAGGAGATCCAGTTCCCTTTTGCTTCATTATCGTTATCGGAGTCGGAACTCTGTAACGGGTCTCTCCCGCGGACAAGCATGAGCTGTTGATTGGTGGACAAACAAGGCGGTGTCAAGAAAGATGAGGGGGACTCGTGAAAGCGGCTTAGCGTGACTCTCGGATGGTCGTTGCGTCAAAAAAAAAAGTAAAGTCATCCATGCCGATGCTGACCTGATACTGGAGGGTTCAAAGTCAATTTTTTTTTCTCTTCCCTTTCAATTCTTCAACTTTGGATTACCTTGAAAATCTTGCTCTACCATCCAACAAAGCCAGCTTCCTCCAATCTCGTTCATAATGGGCTCAGGATCTCCTCCGGCCCCGAAGCCTTCTGCCATTCCATCCCACATGTTGAACGGCAGCTCCCCTTTGCAGTCATCATCGGGCACTGGCCCTGGAAACAGAACGCGTGATGCCCGCGAACGTGAGAGCCTTAACACCTCTATCCGCTCCTCCTTTGCCCCAAGAGTTCCCGTGGGGTTGGGGTTCGATGTTGAGGATGTTCAGTCTGCCCCACCTCCATCTGATGATGCTACCGTCCGCGAAGAAGGGCCCACCCACCGTGCCCTCGCAATTCGGTATGCCTCAATCCTAATTTTTCCTAATCAATTCTCCTGTCACCAATCTTTTAACACTCCCACAGCGGAAGACCTACTTTGAATGACCCACCCCGCGATCCCCGGGATGAGGCCGATCCGTTGACCCCGCCAGCGACGGCATCCCGCCCCGCCAGCCCCTACACATTGAACCCCCCAATCGACTTTGATGGACTCAGTTGGCCCTGTAAGTGGCTACCATGCTGGTTTGGTATTTATACATTCGAATTTGCTAATTTGTTTGCTTCATAGGCCCCGGAACCCGGCAGCGCTTGGAGTCGACACCTGAAGAAAACGAGGAACGTGTGAAGAAGCTGGCAGGTGCTGTACGAACAATCCTGGAGTGTGTCGGTGAAGACCCTGAACGTGAGGGCCTTAGAGAGACCCCCGAGCGCTATGCCAAGGCTATGCTCTACTTCACGAAGGGATACGAAGAGAACGTGCGGGACTTGGTGAACGGAGCAGTTTTCCATGAAGATCATGATGAACTGGTCATTGTGAAGGACATTGATGTCTTTTCTCTGTGTGAACACCACATGGTCCCCTTTACTGGAAAGGTATGAATTCTTGTCACTTGCATCTATGCGTGGCGAATAGTAGTGACTGTAGTGCTGACTGATGTGGGGCAGATGCATATCGGATACATCCCGGATCGCCGTGTCCTGGGACTTTCCAAATTGGCCCGTCTGGCTGAAATGTTCTCTCGCAGACTTCAAGTTCAAGAACGCTTGACTAAGCAAGTGGCTTTGGCTATTTCGGAGGTGCTGAAGCCTCGTGGTGTTGGTGTTGTCATGGAATCTTCCCACCTTTGCATGGTCATGCGTGGTGTGCAGAAGGTTGGCAGCACCACCACCACGAGCTGCATGCTGGGATGTATGCGGTCAAGTGCCAAAACCAGAGAGGAGTTTTTGACCCTCCTGAATCGACGATAAATTCTCTCAACTCTTTTATCTGTGTCATATGCTTCCGGCTTGATCCGGGATTGGATTCCTACTAGTTACGATATTGGAGTTTGGGATGTGACCTTTCAACAGGTTTACTTAATGTTGTTTTTATTTTATTTTGAACATGAGGCTCTAGCGGGGATTCATTTCTGTTTTCTGTTTTCCTTTCCCGTTTTGGATTTGTTCTTCTGTTCCTTCTACCCTTTCCCCTCTTCTCCATTTTATCCTGGTTCTTGCATATACCACCGGCAGCTTCATTGGACCCCACACATCCATACTGCCTTTCAACACTCTGCTCACTCGTTTAGACCCACCTCAGGGCCTATGATCATGACTACTCTTTGTTGCTGGATTTTACGTTCTGGTTCAAGGATCACAGTTTTTCTTCGACTTCATGATGTTTCAACATTTGTGCCACCAATGCGATGGTTTTCTCTGGTCTTCTATTTTTTATCTTGCTGGACCTTGCCTTTGGAGATTGACATCCTCTTGCCGGCATCAGCTAGGCTGTTTCAACACTTGAAGTTTTTATTGTTGTACTCAAAATTCTGAGAATAGGGCTGTAAGGCCATGTTATCTGTATCCATGTGTAAACTGTTCATATATGAAGAAATGCCATGTACGGTTAGAACACATTCATCTGAATCAACTCGTAGCCTTGAATGGGTGACTGACCTTCAAATGTTATGTCCAACTTTAGTAGCTCTGAAAATCTGAGAATATTCAAATGTTAGCCACTCAACACTCAACACTTGAAGCTCAAGCTCTCTCTAAATGTTGAAACATTCAAATGTTGAGCCTTCAAACAGCATCACCAGTGCTGGGCAGTTGTAAGGTTCCTACTAGGTATCAATTCCAACCCTCTGGGTCCACAGTTGCGCAGGCTTGAACTTTGGAAGTTTCAACCAATGTTTACTATTGATGCCCTATTATTCAAATTGAATGTTATTTGCACAATCAATAGAAGTTTTGATATGACTAGGAAAGTATCATGCATGTGCAAATGTGTAAATTATTTGAATCCTCCAGGGTTGGAGTATGCCTAGTAAGTATACAGTAGTATTTAGAGTCGTTCTTCATATTCAATATTTTAGACTATCTATCCAGACATGTGTTCAAATCAATTGAAGCGCACCCTCAATGTTCCAGAAATACCCGACGGATGATTCCCGGATCAATATCACTTGGTCCTATATGTAGATGCCTGCCTAGGTATAAATATAACGTATACATATCTCAAGTGGTCCCTAGAAGATTAAGATTAGCTAGATATCTTAGAATGTCACTAGGTACTCGTAGCATGCTTAGGATTATTATGTATATCTTATATCTCTCTAGGGCTTCATTGGCCTTCAAATTTTAATTGATTCCATACTAGCGTCACTACAATGTATGACAATGTTCGAATATTTTTCTAAAACCATACAGTTTACTTTCAAATGTTATCTCCAACGAACATGTGCATGCACCCGGGTCTAGAAATACTACTACTACTACTACCATGTAGTAGGTAGTAAGAGACAAAGAGAACATTGAATCTTTATCGTATAGTATAATGTCGACATCTCTGGATCAAATAATCTACAGACCAAACATTTGAAATGAACAGCTGTTCCTTACAAGTAAATCTACGATATATGTGTGTAGCTGGACCTTGTGTACTGAGGTTAAGGAGGGGGCATGTAAAGATTTACTTTGTATTTTGGAGCAACCTCCGGGGCTTAAGCACTTTACACACGTGCATGTAGTTAATCCGCAACTTGAAAGTCCTTCAAAGGCTTCAATTTAAATAGGGAACGCGCGTATCTCATTTTCTTCCCTTCTTCTTCCCTCTTTCCCCATCCTCCTCTTCGCTTCTTTCAACAAGTGCCTATCTAAGCTCACGCCATTTCCAACTAGCTTATTCGCGCATTTTCTCTCTGTGTTTGTTCGTCTATCCGTTTATTATGCAACATACGCACATATCTTTTTAACTAACCTTTCATCCTTTTCTCCTAGCATTCGTCTCGTTACTCAATCAGTGGTGACGCGTCTCCAACTGCATACTCGTGAATTATCGAACTCATCAAAGTTTCCCTATCGGGGTTCCTGCGGAGGCTGCTACCCCCTAGGAATCTCTCTCTCTACAGGAACATAAACCTGTACTGGATTTATCAAACATCCAAAAAAAACCACGGCTCCATTTGGCGTCACGTCACCTCGATAAAACAGGTTGCTCGGCACCTCGTGCATAAGATTACTCGTAAGACCAATGAATGGCCAGGATGCTTGACATTGAATGCAAGAGACTCTGATAATAACCGGGTGTATCAACTGCAGTTTCACGGCATCGATATGAATAACAACAATGTTTCCCAGGGGCACACTGGGCCTGTTACCACACAGGGACCTGTGGGCCCAAATGCTCCTACTCAGACATCAACTGCTCAAGCTACCAACATGAACAATTTGAGCAACCCGGTTTTTAACGGCAATCCAAATGGTCCCCAGGGCATTGCCACCCAAAATGCTCTCCCTGCAGGCCCAGTTTTCGTAAACAACCAAGCTCAAGCTTTGCCTGTGCAGAATGCCAATCCTGGTCTTCTCGCAGGTCCTTTTGTTCTGAACCCCCAAGCTCAAGCTCTCCCTGTGCAGAATGCCAATCCTGTTCCTGCCACAGGTCTTTTACCCCTGAATCCTCAAGCCCAAGCTTTCCATGGGCAGAATGCCAATCCTCTCTTGCCCCCGAATCCTCAAGCCCAAGCTTTACCTCTGCCGAATGCCAATCCTGCTCCCTTTCCTGCTTTGCCTCAAAACCCTCAAAACCCCCAACACACCAACCTCAGCGACCCTTACTCTATGGCCGGATATGGACCCCAATACGCACAGCCACTCAACGGACCATTCATGGCGGGGACTGGCGGGTTTGGTATACTTGGAGTTCCGCATGGTGGTGCAATTCGCAGAGATATCCCAGGAGGAACGTTTAGCCCTACTGCTCCTTACACAGATGCGCGCTTTCTGGCTGCACACCAAGGGGTTCAAGGCAGCACCACTGTCCATGCCAATACCAATGATCTGATGTTCCCAGATCGCATCTCTTCTCCTAGTGTGCATGGATCAATCCAGAGAAATAGCCAAATTCAAGCTGCCGAAGGCCTGATATCCGGGGCTAGAGCCCCTCCTCCTGGCTTCCGAACGCGCACTATCCCTCCTCGATCTCACTATGAGGGTCCATATGTGAACGTTCGAGATACAGTGAGCGTTGCACTAAGTAGCCAAACACCCTACCACGATGCTTTGCATCATCAGCGGGTCCGAATCTGGGCTGTCAGTTCCTGGCTCCATGATTGTCGGGATCGTCAACGAATGTTTCGTTCTGGAAACCAGGCGCCTGTCAACCCGCCTGGCCATCCTATTGGTGTTCAGCCTCCCAACCAGCCTCCCAACCAGCCTCTGAATCCTCAAACCTCAGCCCAAGAATCTCACAGCCTTTCTGACGAAGAGGTGCATGATGCTCAGCCTAGGGCAGCTGGGCTCGATAGTCATGAAGCTTCTGTTCCAACAGGACCGCCTCAGCATTACAATGAAAGAGATCTTCTCCAGGCACGACTGATCCGAGTGCAGCTTGTTGCTGGCATTCCTCCTGATGAAGTCATCTCCATGGACAGCTGGAGCAGAGAGCAAGCCCGGTTGGGTGAAAGAAGATCATTCCTTCCGAGCGTTTTAAGAGTGCAGCAATCGAGTGGAGATATCTCTATTCCTGAAATCACCCCTGCACGATTCCATGGGCGCATTGAGCCCCTTCCCCTCAGCCCGGAAGGCTGGCTGCCACCTCTTCCAACTCGCCAGCCTGCTACCACCGTCCAGAGCATTCACTTTAGTGGATCTCTTCCCAGGCCCCAGGGGGTACATGATGCCAACCAAGATGCTTCTGGATCAAACGCAGGGGCCTCTGGATCCAACTAAGATTTCCTTAAAAGTATCTCTCCTTGGTATCTGCCAGAGAACCAGCGATGCTGTGATGAACGACTCGATCGGCAGTACATGGCACCTACGAAAAACCGCCAATTCGGCAGGCGAGGGTCGAGATTAGAAAGAGGAGGATGGGGTATGATGCTATCCTTAGACCCAGATATGATGGAAATTAGCAGTGGACTTAAGAATGTTGTGGATCTCAAACAGACTTCTGGAGGGAAACATTTTTGCGATCTAAAACATTATTACGGTGTCAAATTATCGAAGAAATTAACAAGAATTTATCCACAGGGATATGATGGATTATCAATAAATCGATGTTGTCACCATCACAATGCATCTAATAAGAACAATAAATTGAAGATGCTTTTGTCTCCAAAATGAAGAATGTTCCTGTACTTGATGTATAGAATACAATGGACGAATGGAATAAATTGGCCAGAGAGCTTGCCAAGTCTCATGCGTCCAGGCACGTGACCCAGCACATGACCTGTGGTCAAAGTCCCGCAACCTCAGCCCGACGTGACATCAACACCTCTTTCATGTCCCCCTCGCCCCCAACGGCTTGCCATGGCTGCACTCCTAAACAGGTCATTTCCCAGTTATAAATTTTCTATCTCATGGGTTTTGGTCAACACTTCCCCCCCCAAATCACCCTATCGGATGCATTCAGTATATTAAGCCACACAATGCCAACTCATCCCACGGTCCCAGGGTGAGGACCAGACCGCCGTCAAAGCGGCGCAATCAACAACCCCTTCATCAACAATTTCGATTCCATATAATTCTCTTCCTCCACGATCTTAGGTCGACAGTGGAATTTATTTTTGTATTCTTTCTTATTCGAGATACAGCGAACTTGTTGAGGAGGCAACTGTGATTACGGACTGGCCTGCGAAATGTTCTATCTTAACAGCTCTTCAGCGTACTGCTTACCATTTATGTCAAAGGTACTCGATTGACTTGACCTGCTTGCAATTCTGGTGCAGAGAGCCCGGTCCTCGCCTGGCAATTGAGCATCATCCACGCAACCGAGACGATCTGCTAGTCTTCATGAAACTCAACCCTGCAGTGCACACATAGCTGGTTTTCGAAAGATGTTTGGAGGAAGCTTGGAAATATCTGAGAAGCAATTGTTTATGGGGACTGGGGAACGAGGCTCCCTTGTCAGATACCACCCACCTGGTTTAACCAGATGGGGTCTGTTTTTTTCAGATAGACATACTCTTTCTGTCTATTTGCTGTAAACCATTACCAGTGCGGCTCCGCAGCCGGTGGTGGATTTTCTGTCTTTATTTAACCGGGGCCAACAACATGGTGTCCAGTTGATTTTGCAGACCGCCGCTCAAACATAACGACTTATAATGGGGTCCTTCATACCCGAGGTGAAACAGACAGCTTCTCTCCAGTTACGATGCTGCTCCCGTCTTGAGTGGACCTGACAACAGCACCATGACCGAGAACAAAAAGGCGAACCTCCACATTCGGCTTATTGAACCAAGCTTGGTCCAGCTTGTTGCAGCGCTACTCGACTCGTGACCAATCTGGCTTTATGCAGAACGTAGATAGAATGACCACTTGGTCCTTGGTGTGATCTTGACTCAGGGCAATTATACGGCGCGGGTGTGAAGAAAGAAAGCACCCCAGATTGAGCCGTGCTACGATTGAAGTGACCACGGTCACGAATTTGATCTTTCTACTGGGACACAACACAGGAAATAAGTATCCTTTTCAAGCTACAAAAGCGAAGAAGAAAGTGACAGAGGAGATGCAGAAAGCACAGACTGGACTGCATCAGGAGTCCCGACTAATGCACGGGCAGTGAGTGCATCATTGCTACGAATCCAGTTGTAGAGCCGCACGGGCCACCACAACCAACATTCGTCTCTCACATTGATATTGATTGACGTTTCCGGGAACCAAGTAGATATGCCCTGGGATTGTGATACAGAATTCTTGTTCTTTTCCCCCCTGTCTGTCGATGCTATCTGCAGCATCTCAGAAAGTCCCGAAATCTCCCCTTGCTCATCCAACTTCAATGCAGCCGGAAAAACTGATGGTCCGGGATCTTCCCCCCCAAATCAGAACTTCCGCCTGAGAGACGCGGTCACGATCGAATCGGCTCCACTTGCGCTTCATTCGGCTTCAAGTTCTCGCGAAGATTGCCAACTTTCCCAACCCCGATCGGTACACAAAATTTAAATTCAGGAGCCAAAGCTAGATGCTGCTGGCGACGTTTACATGGCTGGGTCCCATAGGAGTCCAGTGCTGAGAGACCAGTGGAGTGCCGATCCAGACCGCGACACCCATTCTAGGGACAGTCGCAGAGGTCGAGGGTCTCATCGAGATCGGGGAAGAAACCGCCATCGCGATCAAGGTCGTCCATCAAGGCCAAATGAACGTCGTTTCGAATATGCTGGTCGCTCGCCACCTGCATCTACACGGATGTCCCGCCTCGGCCCTGACACATCTTTCCCAGCAGGTGGTGACTCTTCCTTTGCCCGATCCCCACCGCGTGGCTCCCCTGGCCCATCCCCGGCATTCTATAATACTCGGCGACCGGATCAGAACCGACCTCACTCACCTGGCGACTGGAACAATCATTCGTCAGGAACTTTGAACGGTGGTGGCCCAGGTTTTCGACGAGATGAATCCCCTTCTGGGCCCCCATCCAAACGTAAACGAACCCGGTCTCCATCCCCCCGTGGCCAAAATGGTCCATTTCCTCCGCGACGATCTTCATTCGCAAAACCTGGAGATCGACGCGACCGGAGTCCCTCCTATAAAAACCGAGGAGGGCGGTTTCCGGGGCGTGGTGGTCCTAGAAGAAGATCTCCTCGCCGGGGTCGTGGTGATCGCCGTGGAAAAGACCGCCGCCGCCCCGATATCCCACGTTCGGATCGGGACCGATCTAGGTCACCCGTGCGCGACCGAGGATATAATCTATCACCAGACCGTCGCTCTCGGCCACCGAGTGGTGATGGCTACAGTGATAGAGGCTCTCGCTATAAATCTCGCTCTGTATCTCGGCATTCTGCAGGCTCAAGGAAATCCCCACATCCTCCACATCCAGCAGGGGGTGAGACAATGAGTGCAAATCTACCAAATAGGTCTGTTGTTGATGAAACTGGTCGCTCTCCCTCACCCCGTCCAATCCCGAACTTCGATGACAACCAGCGTGGCCAATTTCCAGTACATGGAGGGCGACAATCCGATATACCCAACAAGCAACGTCGTCGGTCACGACCACATCTTGATGCTCAGCAATATTCAGCGTCACCGCAGATCACCTCGACCAGTTCACATCATGGATCTCCGCCGCCTGCTTCTCCGCACTCCGGAGGACGAGTTGGTTGGAACGGTCAATCTTCATATCCCGCCCCTGCGTGAGTTCTATCTACCTGTCTACCACTCATACCTTACCAGGTCCTTGTGCTAATCTGAACTGTCCGTAAGTAAACCGTCGTCACCTTACCGACAAGACAATCACTACTCTCAAAATCCTCCCTCGGGACAATCTCATCAAATGCACCAATCCATCGATGGTCCATCAAATTCTCACTCTCAAGGTTATATTGGACCTCCATATCGCGGAGGCCAGTCTGGCTATCGCGGAAACCATGCTAACCAGGGCTCAGATCACCGATACTCTGGCTCTGGTTCTCACAATTATAACAATGGACCAGCCCATCGCGGTGGCAGGGGTAATTTTAACAACTTTCAATGGACTTCGCGTGGTCGTGGTGGGCATCAAAGTCCTCGCCCATTGCATTCTCGTGACCCCCAGACACCCACTCGCCCATCGTCCATCAATGATCCTCAATCACCGCGTGATCTAGATGATGAACTCCATTCCCATGCAGCAGACAGCAGAGGCAGAGATACCGAAAAAGAAGATCATAAGGCGCCACGACTAATAGAGAGCGGGGATGGCAGCGCGGTTACTAGGGATATGCAACTTCCAGCTGGCCACCATGAGGCTTCAACTCCGGCAGACAAGGGCGAAAAGTTCAGTTTCGCCTTCAAGGCGAAAACCACTCCTAATACAGCCCCAAAACCGGTTCCGGATCTTGCGCAGCGAATGCAAGTTCGCGAGGCGCCACCTCGAGCACCTGCAGCGGATATCACATCCCCACGCAATCGGTTAACCAACGGACCCTTACCCAAATTTAAGCCGGAGCCGCGTGGTGATCGTCGTGGACGTGATCGTGGACGAGATAGGGACCGCAGGAATTTCCGTGAACCACGAGAATTTCATGATCCTCGAGACAATCGAGATGACCGCCGAGTCGATCAACGTCGTGATCGACGAAGAGGTGACCGCCGTCCTGACTTCCAACCAGATCGTCGGAGAGATATCTCACCAGATCGTCCCAAAGAGACGCCCAAACAGACGAAGATTTTAACTCGGTACAAGGAACGCCCAACGTTACCTGCGCATTACGCCACCGTCGACTCGGTGTACTACCGGAAGCCGGGCAACGAATCTGTGATCGGCGCAGGCACGTACGGCAAAGTATTCAAGGGCATCCACGTGTTTACTCAGCGTGCAGTTGCTCTAAAGAAGATCCGAATGGAAGGCGAGAAAGATGGGTTCCCTGTTACAGCTGTGCGAGAAATTAAGCTCCTTCAGCATCTTCGAAGTCACAACGTGGTCAGTCTCTTGGAAGTCATGGTTGAGAAAAATGAATGCTTTATGGTTTTCGAGTATCTCTCACATGATCTGACGGGGTTGATCAACCACCCGGAATTCTCTCTCAATCTTGCCCACAAGAAGGATCTGGCCAAGCAAATGTTTACAGGGTTGAACTTTCTCCACCACCGCAGTGTTCTGCATCGAGACATCAAGGCCGCCAACATTCTGATCAGCAATACTGGATTATTAAAGTTTGCCGACTTTGGCCTGGCACGTTTCTTTTCAAAGAGCCACAAGATGGATTACACCAACCGTGTGATTACAATCTGGTACCGACCGCCTGAACTTCTCCTAGGCGAGACACGGTACGGCCCAGCTGTCGATGTGTGGAGTGCTGCGTGTGTCTGCATGGAAATGTTCACCAAGAAGGCCGTCTTTCCTGGTGACGGTGGTGAAATCAGTCAACTTGACAAGATCTACAACTGTTTAGGCACTCCAACTCGGGCTGAGTGGGCAGATTTTGGGGAAATGCCGTGGTTCCAAATGATGCGCCCTCAGGAGCGCAAGAGGCGTGCATTTGAGGAAATCTACCGAGAGGTACTGACTCCCGCTGCAATGGATTTAATCTCATCAGTGTTCCAGTACGACCCTGCCAAGCGGCCTAGTGCCGAGCAGATATTGCAACATCCCTACTTCCTCGCCGAGGAACCGGCTCCTCAGCAGGCTACTGAGTAAGTGTGCTTTGGTCTTCTCTTTTTTTCCTCCTTGAGTTTGCTCCCTAAACTAACTTGTTTCTAGACTGGAGTTCATGGAAGGAGACTGGCATGAATTTGAATCCAAGGCACTTCGCAAGGAAGCTCGTCGCGTCGAGGCGCAGGCGCAAAGTCAGAAAGATCGGGAGAAGCGCAAGACGGAAGCCTCCAGTGATCGTGACCACAAAAAGGCACGAACTGACACCCCCTGATCAGCAGGTATAGATCCTCACATGCATGAGTGACATTTTGCTTTTCTTGTAATTCGGCATTTGGCGTGTGTTTGGAGAGGGGGGAGGGGGGGAATGACGCATTTACATGGGAATTCGTTCGGGCCATACGATTTGGGGCTTGCTTTTCTAATTTATTCCCCTTGAACTTAAAAATAGTAGCATATTTCGAAACAACATTGTTCAAATCTCCATGTCAGCCTTGCATTTGAATTAGTAATAGTAGTGCTTAGCAGAGAGTCAACGTGGGGATATGGTTCCGTGCAGATATGTACGTAGTTGTGGCTGTCAACTGGTGAGATATATGGTCACTGCATAAACAAACGTGACCAGTTACGGAATCTAATTTGAATTTCCGTCAGTCTATGACCAGCAGGAGGGAAAAATACCCCAAAATAAACATCGACAACATGAAATAAGGGCAGGATGATCAGACTTTGCCAAATAACCTCACGCCCTACCAGCCCGGTAGAAAACAAGGGCGGTTGAGACTTCGGATTACCAGAGAGCTCTAGGACTTTCTTCATTTCATCTCGACGGGGAGATGGGAGACAGGAAACAGGATATGATGTGGAAGATGAAAAAAAAGATATGAAATTTCTATGGAAAGGACGTACCCTATTCTATAAACAAGGGCGAAAAGTAGGAATAAAAAGATAACAGTAAAAGAGGGTATGTATCGTCAATCAGGTCATCGTCAAATCCTGGGTTGCTCCTTGGAGCCCTCGTGAAGATGGTTTTAGATGCGAAATTTTTACTCTCGACTCACACATCGGAAATGACCGGGCCGTAGAAAGGAAGGATCCGGGCATTGATTTGAGTTGGTGGTCTTGGTAAAAGAAAGAAAAGAAGAAGAAGAAGAAGAAAAAAAATTTCTCTTTAAAAGTTGTCGCGGCTCGGGAAAATAGACGGTGCGGCAGCCGAAGCCTCCGCTGATTGGCTACGATGGAGCTTCTGCGTTCGAACTTCGAGTCTCCAATTCCATTTCCATTTGCAATTCCAATTCCAGCATCCAGAACTTCAATCCTTCTTCATCCACCTAACGCTTTCTCTATAATACCCTCAACTCCCTTTCTCTTTCTCTTTCTATTTATTTTCAAATCCCCCCGCGCTTTCAGATACCATTTTTCTCCCTCCCCCGCCACCTCCGTCCGCACCCTCCGCCGCTATCCCACCCACTTTGCTTTTTTTCCCCTCGCTCAATTTAACCACTCTCTGCATACGTCATTGATCGGAACTGTGCAAGCTGTGTCTTTGTGGTGTCGTGTTGTTTCATTAAAAGCTCTTTTCTTCTCCCGCATGACCGCTCGTGTCTCGGGCAGCCTCACCCGCCGCGATGGATAATGCCAACTTGTGGACTCGCCGAGCAAAGTAAGTCCTATTCAAGACAGAAAATCTTTATTTTGCCTCTCCCCCAAAACCCGCCAGTCCACTGACTTTACTTTGCTCTTTTGTTATTAGCTCCTCCAAACTGTCTTTGTCCATGTCCGGAACCGACGGCAAGGACGGTGCCCGCGTCGACTTGCCCCGCTCATCCAAACGATTCGGCCCCGACAGTTCGCATGGCCGCTCCAATCCCTTTAACGCAGTATCCCCCATGTCTACCGGGGTCTCTTCTCCATCTACCAATGCCTCATCCGCCTTTGGCCTAGGATCGGGTGCATTCGCCTCGTTCGGCGCCCCCAAGTCCGGAGGCTCCTCAGAAATAAAGACTCCCGGTGAGAAGCGCGATCACTCTGCAGAGCAGGAGGATGCCATTAGAGCCAAGGCCCTGGCCCAAGCTTCCATGTCCGGGCCTGGAGAACATCCGCTCAAGTCGACCTGGATCGTCTGGTACCGTCCACCTACACCCAAGTACTCGGACTATGAGAAGTCGACCGTGCCGCTGGCATCGATATCGTCGGTAGAGAGTTTCTGGGCCGTATACTCGCATCTCAAGCACCCGTCGCTGCTTCCGACAGTGTCGGACTACCACATCTTCAAGAAGGGCATCCGGCCCGTTTGGGAAGATGAGGCGAATAAGCGCGGTGGCAAGTGGATCGTGCGACTGAAGAAGGGTGTGGCAGATCGGTACTGGGAGGATCTATTGCTGGCGATGGTGGGTGACCAGTTTGCCGAGGCTGGGGATGAGGTCTGCGGTGCCGTGCTGAGCGTGCGGGGCGGCGAGGACGTTTTGAGTGTATGGACACGGATTGATGGGGGGCGGAACATCAAGATCAGGTTTGTCTTAGCAAATTGCTTTCCAGTCACGATGCAACAAAATCACTAATTTTTTTTCCTGCAGAGAAACGATCAAGCGTCTGCTCGCCTTCCCGTTCGACACCAACATTATCTGGAAGAGTCACGACGATAGCATTGCTCAGCGCTCTGCTATCGATCAAGCTCGTCACGAGAAAGTGACCGCATCCTCTAACCCTGCGGCCCACTTGGGTTCAGAGCGGCGGCGCACCGGCCTTGATGATTCAGAGAAGTCCTCATAATGGTCTCTCGAGATTCTGGCCTTGAGCCCTGTACAGTACAGCCGACCAAAAAACCAAAAACACTTTTTTATGCACTTACTCATTGGGACGCGTTTGGGTCTGGGGGACGGCGGGGCATCGAGGCGAACTCAGCGGTTTGGTTTGAATATTCTACTTTTTTGAGTGAAACTCATTTATGTCTTGTTTGTGACCCTTTTTTTTTCTATCTTTTTTTTTCTCTCTATCTGCCTTCGATCATGCGTGACGTTCCATTATCTCCTCCCTGATGCGAAAAATGCAGCTGTAACCTGCAGATGGCGTGGCCAGGATATCCGTTCTACAAGTCTACTATCTAACCGTAGGTAGAGTATGTTCATTCAGTTGGCTTCAAAGCAGCTACAATGTTACGCATTCTAATCCCCGAGTTAAGCTATTTGAATATACATAGGTATATTTCTTATTACGAATTCAATTCAACGGTTTTCAATGCTACTAGTGTATGTATTGTGTTTTAGCGATGAAATGAAGTACAAGTAATGCACTAGTAGTTACTAGTAGACTAGCACATTTAGCTACTACACTTAAAAACAATATTTTCTGCCTGACAAACCTGGCCTTTCATCCTGACCGCCCGGCGATAGGCGATAACCAGGACGAATCTTCTAACCATATCGGAAAAAAAAGCGACTGGGAAAAAAGGGTAGAAAAAAAGGTCAAGGATCACCGAGGATGGGACCGATGCTGTGCTCGGTCCTGCCATAAGGTGTCTGTCGCTCATTCGGATGCATATCTTTGGAAGCATTTCTGAGTACTTGAACTTGTCGCCGCGTCGCCCGCAGCCCGCCAATCGTCAACCGCAAAATCGCCAGCTCTCGAATCACAGCAATCCGCCCTCCACGCGCCGTTCTCCCTCTCCAACCCCTCCTAGACCTCGGCGTCGTATAGATTCTGTCCGGCAACAGGAATTTCTCGTCTCGGACCCTGAGGAAAACCATCACACCCCGCACCACATCCGCTTCTCGTCGCACTCCGCCTCAGATCAAGATATTGATTTCAATGATCAGGTTCGTGGCTTTCAACCTTTTTGATGCGTGTCTCCGCTCAGGGTTTCTTTGCCTGTTAGTGTGTTGGTCTGTCAGCCATGTTCCACCATATCTATCAGACTTAGCATATAAAACATGTGAACCCTTACATCTGACTTGTTTGCAATTTCCTTTGTACTGAATTTGCTGTATTGAGTTTGCTTTTGCTTTTATAAGTACCACACAATACTCATTCCAACCTCTTGACAGCCCACGAAAAGTTATGCCAAGACTACTTCTTCTACTACAGCCGGACCTGCAACCACTTGTGGGAATTTGCGGTCTCCGTCGCTTCAACCTGACATAGACTCCGCCGCCCAGTAAATATACCCTTGCGCCCCCAACAGCAGACGTGTATTAATACTCCACCACAGACTGGGTGACTCTCCACAGATGTCACATCAGGATCCGAAGCGCAAGGATGACCAAGCCCGACAAGATGAGGCTCGCTTGTTGGGGGGGAAATTCAAGTACGTCTCACAGAGGGATCTCCGTCATATCTCCTAATGTCTGATATGAAGATCTCGAGCTGACCAAATTGCACTTCCGCTCTTCTTAGGGATGCAAACGCAGTAAAAATCAAACCTGGTGCTACATTGCAAGGCAGGAAAAAAAACCCCGGAGTAGGTAACATTGATCTCTCGCTGAATTTCAATTGGAGAACTATTTGATATTGACTCATTTCCAGTCAAATGCGGCGTTTCGTCCTCATAACCGAATCTCCCATAATGCGCGCGAGAGCGGACCGGTACCTGCCCGGGGGAAGACAAAGCAAACTGTCCCGATTAATAAATTACCTCATTTGGAAGACGCGTTTGAGCCTTCCAGTCGGCCAATCAAGAGGCGACGTCAAGATCCTATTGGAGATGGTTTTGACAATCAGGGAGTCAATAACCCTCTATCCCCACCAAAGAAAACACGGGCTTCTCCTGAATTGGGTGAAATATCCCCCAAACCAAAGAAGAATGCCCTCCCAATTCGTCATAATGGTACCTCCCACTCGGAAGACGGCGTTGGGTCTGCCCCAAATAGGCAGCTAGCTCTTTCTTCTCCAGATGAAAGATTTACCGCTCAAGCTACTCAGCAACGACGCTCCAAATCAGGTGCTTCGGAGCCTTTAGCGAAATCAGGAAAGGCCAAACCCGCCCGGTCTATCCTTGATAGCATTGATATACCGATTCCAAAAAAGGGAAAAATGGCAGCCCGGATCCAATCGATCCAGTCATCTTCCGTCAAAAGGAACGGCATCATACCCTCATCCGGTTCAGAAAGCTCCGATGAACTGCAGGGAGAAGTTACAACCCAACCTGCTCCAAGGAAATTAAATGATCGACAAAATCAAACTCGTCTCTCATTTGATCGAAGTTCACCTACCGACATTGTGCCCACCAGGTTTGCAGGATCAAACCGAAAGGCCAAAATAAAGCATAATATCTCAAACTCGGACCCAGTCCGACTTAGCATCATGCGTCTGCAATTCGGCACTGTCAACGTCAAAAGCGGTGCCAAGGGCAAGAGCGCATACATCTATCTTGTTGACGAGAAACTCGAAATCGGAGATGACATTAGCGGCACGGGAGAACATATTGCAATCCCACTGAGCAAGGTGGTCCGAATTCATCTTGGGAAGGATCCCAGCCGAAAATTGAGACTGAACTTGTCCAAAGGGGCTCTACCCATGGGTGATAAGGTCGACATTGAATTTTCGGATACCAGCAACAAGAATCGTCTTGCTCGTGTATTGAAAGACAAGTCGGTCAAGATTCTAGAGCAAGAACCGTAAGTGCTACTGTAACTTCTTTCTAATAGCAAGTCCACTAACCGGCGAATCAGAGGTTTCATGACCAGGGCTTTTCGAACCCGGGAGCAAGAAGTAGCCGAGTTTCACAAGCAGCCTAAGAGACCTCTACCGGACTTCGACCAGACTCCACCTGCAAACCCTTCTGTGCGTCGTCCGAAGCTTTCGTCTGCCCTGCAGGATTCGGCCGAGGAGCCTGTCACCAAGCGAGCAAAACGTGACGTTTCTTCTATCTCAAAGACAGGGGATAGTCAAGCTGAAATACCAGTCCCAGAGCACAAAAAGAGAGCAGGCTCGGACGCTAGTGTCGAACTTCCCGTCAAATCGATTCAAGAGGTCCAAACTCCACTTGAGCGATCAAGTCGACCAACTCGGCGGACAACACGAAATACCAATAATAGTTTCCATGATCTTTTCAAAGGAGCTCCTCAGCCAAAGGATGAGAATCGAGACAATTGGAAGAAGCCAATGGTATATCCCCGAAGCGGGAAGAAGCGTGCAGAAGTCAGCGTTGAGGATCGAGACCGTCTGCGCGAGGATGAATTCTTGAATGATAACTTAATCGGTTTCTACCTACGCTTCCTGCAGGATCACCTCGAACGTACGAATGAGGCTGCTGCGAAACGAATTTACTTTTTCAATTCCTTTTTCTTTGCTACCCTCACCAATACTGCCAAAGGCGATCAGGGTATCAACTACAGTGGCGTGGAGAAGTGGACTCGCAACATTGATCTTTTCAGCTACGACTACATCATCGTTCCAATCAACCAAAACGCGCATTGGTACGTTGCAATCATTTGCAACCTACCAAGCCTGAATGTTCCGCCTCCTGGCATTGTGGACCAGTTTCTGGCTTCCATGAACGACAAAAAACCGTCGACCCCGACAGATAGTGAAGTGCAGGAAGTCCTCGAGTCTCCAGAGCCCGAGCTAGCAGTCTCAGCTGCAGCCGCCGGTGTCGAACAAGAGGCAAAAGTCAATGAAACAGACTTGGAGGAGAACCTGACAGAGACTCCTTCCATGAAAGCCGTGGAGGAACCAACACGGGCAGACAATGCAGAAGACAGTGGAAGCAAGATTTCAAATGATGAATGGCCCGACGGTGATGAGAGCCAAGCTTCGCCGCCTCCTAAGCTCAACCGTCTGCTTTGGAATCAAACAGATCCCATCAAGACTTTGAGCCAGTCTACTGCTGCCAGTCAGCCTAGTCCCAAGACCAAGAAGAAAGGACGGACTGGTCCAAAATTGCACCCAAGTCAGCCAACCATCATCACTTTCGACTCTCTTGATGTCCCTCGTTCTCCCACCATCAAGATTCTACGCGAGTATGTCTTCAAAGAAGCCGAATCGAAACGTGGCGTCGATATCAACGACCAGATGGAAATCAAGGGCATGCGCGCTCGACAGATTCCTATTCAACCAAACTATTCTGACTGTGGGCTATATCTGCTTGCCTATGTTGAGAAGTTCGTGCAGAATCCCGATACCTTCATCAAAAGGGTGCTGCAGCGTGAGATGAGCAAAAAAGATGACTGGCCTCCGCTCGAGTCTGGTCTTCTGCGGTACCGGCTCCGTACTTTCTTGGACGACATGTATGAAGAACAGAAGCAACTGGAGGGCAAGCTGGTTATGGCTGATCAGGAACGGATTTCGTTTTTACTGGGCCCCCCGCTTCCGAGTGAGGAGGATGAAGAGAAGGAAGAGAACGGTGAGATCGCAAAAACAGAGGAGCAGGAGCCAATTAACCCCTTCCGGGATGTGGGCTTCGAGGCCACTGGTAAAGCTGCGAAGTTGGCTAGTAAGGCAACCAAGACATGTGCTGCCGACAAGTCACAGTTGGTGCCCACCGACCCTGTCCCTTCGAATCCCTCCTCGGAGCAGGATAGACAACCCGTTGACACGGAACCTCTCAAGGGTATTTTTGAGCGTCGCTCATCCGACCCTGGTAATATTGACCGTGATGTACTTGGCTTGCCCGGCAGCCAGGAGCCGAAGACCACTCATGACGGCAAGAAAAAGTCCAAGAGTGAACATGGCTTGACACGCCGAAAGGAAAAAAGAAAAGCAACTGCTGCTTTCCCTGAAGACGCCGATGCCGTCAATGGCAGTTGTCCAAAGACAGAGCATCAAAAACCCTGCGTCGAAATTCAAGTCAAGGCAACCCCACCACCCGATGAGCCGGTGCGACCCCAAAAGAGCCCCCGACAGAAGAAGCAAAAGAGTTGAGAGATATCTCAAAATTGCCTTTATGAACCTGTATTTGTCGAAATCCATGATCTGTTCCAGTGCATTTCTTTCGGTGTTCTGGTTAGGCATATCTTGTTTTATTTTCTGTGTTTTCTTTATTATCTCATTTTGATTATATCCTGTATCATTTGTGGTCTGGTTTGCTTGTTTTCCAAGACTCTTCCCATCATGCATACATACACATACTTATCCGGGGGCCGGTGCAGGGCATACGGCGTTGTATGAGTTTCGATAATCTTGATCGAATAGCATCATATTTCAAATAGTTAATTGCAGCTTTATAGTTTCAATAAACTCATTGTTCCTGATACATGTTGTATCTCTATTCCCATCCAGGCTACTACTGCATTCTAAATATGCATGGATATCCGAGTAAAGCCTACCACTGACTTTCATCCTTCTCAACCCACCAAGCCATCTTATCCCTCTTGAACGTCTCAAAATCCCACTCCGCGCTCTCCAGCCTCTCCACGCCGGCAGTCCACACGTAAGTCACAGCATCCACTTCCTCCTGCTCATCCGCAAACTCCGCCCCAGCAGCATCAAGAACATCCCGAAGATTCCCACCCGAATTTGAAGTTGCGCGTTCGTGGCTCTGGTCCTGGTGTAATGTCTCTTTCAAGGTTCGCACCTTGACCTGCCCGTGAGCATACTCGTTTCCTTCGTATATATCCAGACGATGGACGTCTCCGTCCGTCAATCCAGAGACGAGGGTCCCAAGAACGGATGTTCGGGCTGAAGAATTGGCCTCAGTTTGATTGTCTGGTTCTGCGCCGACTTTTTCTGTGAATTGTGTCGATCCAGATGCAGGAACAATGCCCGGGTAGTCCGCACCCCGCACTCGATGGCGCCGGTAGCCGTGCAGCACGGCGGGCTGGAAACTTAAGAGCGCCTTTTGCCAAGGCTCTGGATCTGCACGACCATATATCACACGATGCAGCATTTGAGGGGCCATCAAGGTTCCTGTTGGTTGTTAGTCAGTGATTCCTTTCCATTCATTGTTGAGGCCCTGAGGGGTATGTATGGTGGGTGCCTCCCGTATGGAGCTAAGTACTGACTATCCGGGGTTGTTTACCGTAGAAGAAGAGGACGTGGTCGCCCATTGTCCTTGTGGAAGCGGACAAAAACTCAGCAAAAATATCAGAAAGTATTTGATAATTCTAGGCCTTTCTTTTGAATTTTTTGATAGGATGCGAAAGGTAGAATCATACGTGCAAGAGTGAGTTGCGCGGAGACTAGTCACTAGTAGAGTTACTATACTTTGAAAGGGCTTATCGGTATCGGATTTATCGTTTATCGCGATAAGCTCCAAACACGCCCAGCTGGCTTCATCCGCGCCCCGACTTTCTGACTTGCCACGACCCTGTCGCAACCGCATGATGCATTCCTCTCTAACCCGCGCGCAGGCCGTATTCGGCTTCTTCACCACAGTCGCCTGTGTGGTAGCTGCCTTCGCTGCGCTATCAACACTATTATTCCCCACAACCGCTACGACGACATCGGTGGACTTGAAGAATGTCCAAGTGTAAGTTCCCTCTGCACCCAAGCTTGAGAGAAGAGACAAAGCAAAGCAAGGCTTAAGTCCAGTCCGTCTGACAAACACCCTGGAATCTGGGAGCTTTGGTTAATTCCATCACATACCCTGATCATCTCATACTAATCCAATCGCCAAAACCCAGAGTCAAGGGCCGCCCACACTATTACTCCACCAAGCGCTCCGAATACGCACAGATCCGCTTCGATCTCGACGCAGACCTGACCCCGCTCTTCAACTGGAACACCAAGCAGGTCTTCGTCTACGTCTACGCAAGCTACTCCTCATCCAACGACGCCAACTCTCTGCTCCGCGACTCCGAGGCCGTCATCTGGGATGTCATTATCCCGGCCCAAACCTCCCCCTACACATGGGATAAGCTGAAGGAGAAGGCGCTCGATGCGCTCCCCGCGCCCATTGTGGCGAAGATCTCGCCCGGCTCTGTGAAGAAGAGTAATAAGCGCGCTGGCTCCAAGGCGGCGGCTAGCAAGAAGGCCAAGGCTAAGGCGAGCGCGAAGGAGGAGGCTGCACCGGGACTTCTCAGACTCAGGGGACAAAAGGCCAAGTATCAGATCAGTGATATTACGGGGCTGCTGGCTGAGAAGCAGAATGTTACTTTGGCTGTTGGGTGGAATGTGCAGCCGTGGGTTGGGGCTTTGTGGTGGAGTCCTGGGTCTGGGGCTGTGCCGAGGACGGAGGGTACCGTTCTGAGGAGTGAGGAATTTGATTTCCCGGCTCTGAAAGGCAAGAAGGTTGAGGGACAGAGTGAGAGTGTTTGAGGGTGTTATACATTTGTTGGGTAATGTTTTACAGATTCAGAGCAATATCTAGATATCTAGATATGCATCTTTCAATCCTTTCTGGGATTTACTATGGTACTAAAAGAACAAAATATATACTCGTCTTTGTGAGGAATGGAAGATTTGCCTACGGTCTTGGATCCTCAAATGTTGGAAGCAGGGAAGTCAAAAACATGAAATATAGTATGAATAAGGTCAATTGGCTATTAGGGTACTGGATAAGCTCAAAGCCTGCACAGTCGGTATTGGGAATTCCACCCCACGTGCCATACAGTAGTATACTCCGGAAGAAAACTCCACCATCGCTTATAACAAATCATCGCCACAGGTGTGTCAAGAAGTCAAGAAGTCTCAACATGCTCAGATGGTGCCATAATTCCGGTTCTTGTGACCACCATTCTGGACGCGCTCCGAGTAGACGCCGGGCGCCGGTCGTTGAGTTGCGCGGGTCATAGGATCCTGATTGCGGCGATGGTAATAGATATATTCCAGGTAGAAGGCGTGGACATGACCGGGGAGGTACCTATAAGTAAAGCGTCAAAATGTGCATTCAGAAGAGACTGTGAGCGCGGGGATCTTCCACTGTACTCACCCCAGAATCGTAAGAAGGACATTAATCCAGAAGTCCACACCACAGCCGGCGGTGAGGAAAACACCGAGGGGAGGAACTAGTGTGCGGTTAGCATGGTGAATCTGCGTAGATGAGTCGCTATTGATTTCCGGAGATGATGTGGAGAATAGCTCCCCACAATATCCAGCACGGGGCAGGCGATGGTGCAGAGAGGCTCCAAATGTCACCGGAGATCAAGTCCACTTACTAAAAATAGTGATAATTATCAGACAAAGCATAGAACAGGTGCCTGCCATGATGGATGGATTGGGTTGGTTGGTTTGTGATTGTTTATTGTTCTTGTGGATCAGATCGGCTGGAGCGTTTGAAATCGGCGGTTGCTAGGAAGCTGAGAAGAGTGATGGCGAAGAGGAGGACGAAGATATAAATGGGAGCATTCTCATCTCTTGGCAGAGTAGCACGTTTCATGATCGGCGGTTCAGACGTCAGAGGGGGGTCAGAGGACTTTTCATGGGGCAACCTTGTTTCAATAGAACATGAAGTTTGGCCCACAGCAAGTATAGGGCTGAGGCACTGACGTCATCTTGTGCCTGGTACCGCTGGCAAGTACGAATTGAAAACCACAAACACTAGGCAACAGATGTACTTCCATAGTCCCTGGTACACATGAACTCAGCCCCGTTACTAAGGTCATTTTGATGTCGTACTTTTGGGCTACAGGGGACCGAAAATAGTACAGGTATCAAGGTGTCATACGTAATTCAAATGTTAGGTGGCTAGACACCTGGGCATCCCATTAAGTTGGTTTTTTAGGTAATATACCTACTAACTATGGGCTTAATACTTGGGATGGGTATATTATAAGTACTGGAGATAAGCACCCACCAAGTTCTTGGTAGATTAACAGGTTCTATAACTAGCACCTAGCTAACACCTACCTAATACTAAACTGATAAATTTCTAGGTGTTTTATCGGTTTTCCAAACTGTGCGGAGTGTCCACAGACAAGATGGAAAGTAGCCTTTTTTTTCAAGTGTTTGTCGCCTGGGGGGTTGCAAAGCCTGGTTCCTATTGTGACCTCGATTCTTTTGAGTGGGATGAAGACACAGCTGGTTGGGACTGGTATATTAAATGGCAGTGAAAAACCATCGCGGTGACGAGCTTTATAGACACGCGCACGGAGAACACTAGACCAAATACGGAACACTAAACCGTATTGGGTAACTCGCCGTCATCGCAGAATAAATACGTTGTACGCCCAGAGAACAGAACAAGCCACAGGAGTACAAACGTAAATAGATCATGATAGTAAAGTCGGAAAGAAAAACAAAAACAAGGTTGCCTCCCTCACACAGCATCTATGGCTGCGCGCGTCGTCACTTGTTCGTTCTTGTTCCCTAGCTTCGAGATCTGCAGGAAGGCATCCACTCCGTAGCCCTCCAGACTATGCAATTCCAGACTCCCGGCCCAGTATTCGGCATAGACTCGACTCATGGGAAGGCCCATACCAAGTCGGAGGTTTGGATGTCTGGAGGTCAGACTATCCAGAGAACCCTCGTGGTATCCTCCTAATTCTGCTTTGCGCCCGCTAACTTTTAATTCCTGCATTGTCGCGGCCATCGCGGGGACCCGCCCCAGGTTCTCTAGCCGCGTCTGTGTCCGGGGTCCCTTGCTGAAAGACCACAGATAGGGTAGGATCTCACGTGGAATGCCACCGCCCTGATCGGAGATGCGCATGATGACGTGTTGAGGGGTTTCGCAAATAAGTACCTGGATGGGTGGCGGTGGCTGTGAAGAATTATGGTACTTTTCAATTACAGCCTGGACTGAGTTGCGGAGCAGCTCCCCAACCACGTACTCCAGGTGGCTCAAAATATATGGGAAGGTGGCGTTCAAATGACCCTGGACATTGATGGCAGGAATCTGAGGGGATTGGGTGGTTTGTCGCATCAGGTCTTGCGCCACCTTCCCACATCGCTCAATTACCTCTTTGGCATTGCACTTGAGGAATACTTCGCCTACAAAGTCTGCATTCATATCTGTCCGTTCGTGCGAGTCGGGGAAATGCCACGGAGAATTAAATGTGTCGGTCAGAGCCAGATGTTGCTCTGCAATAACGCGACGAGAGATTCTCTAAATCCCAAAAAACAAAACATTAATATAGATGTCCACCACGAAACGGGCTTCCAGGTTGGGATTCATATGCATACCGCTCGCAGCAAGGTGTTCATAAAGCGATCCATCTCATCAGGTGGGAACAGCTCACGACACTGCAGGACTCCGGTGGCCAAGTTGGGAATGACCACCAGGTGCTCTTTCAGCATTTCCTTGAGTACATCGCAAAACCGATCATTGTCGTCCAAGCTGCAGATCTCAGGAATCACTCGGAATCGTTCAAAGGCCTTGTAGTACAGCTCGTATACGAGGGATAGGTGGGGGTTGGAGACTACCACGAAAGGTAGCTGTTGGATATCTCGCAGTCGATGCGCCAGACTGCAAGGAAGCAGTGAGTTAGTTATTAAAGCTACTAGTATTTGTGTACCTTAGTATTTCGAGGGATGGATAATCCCAAACGTACCGAGTGGGTAGCTCGGTCCGCACATAGTTCGCCGAGCTAATCAGTCGAGGCTCTGTTAATGTACGGCCGAAGAAAGTTAACTGGCGGAGACTGATCGGGCGGATGGGGCGTTCCACCCATCTAGATATCACAACAAGTTCCCGGTTAGTTTTTCGGGTGGATCATGCAAGGACTTTCCAAGTGCGGAGTCACGTACTCATCCACCGCAGAGGAGGGTCTCCATGGTGGTGGCTGGGCACCAGAAAAGAAGCGTGGTTTAGGAGCACATCGAAGAGCCTGCCAACGTCTTAGACGTAACTGCATTGTGCTCCATGCAGTCCAGGCAGTGGACTTGAAGCCAAGATCAGAACTTCCAATGCTCGGAGCTTATGGAGTCGCATGTGCTCGGGCGGTGATGAAGTCTTCACCGCCTTTACGAACGTTTAGCTCATGTTTAAAGCGAGTTATTTGTTTCTTGATTTAATGTAGTGAAATATTAGTATCTTTTATATTTCTTACTCAAATCTACACACAGAATATCATCAGAATCACAGTTTCATGTGGATTGAATTGATTGCCAAGTCCTAAAGTGATCGTAAGTTGCCATCAATCTCATATAATACGAACATTCAGATGGTTGAACACATGCTTTGGATTGCATGTCGAGGCATATGTACCCACTTAGCAGTGGAAAAAGAATCTGGAAATACAAATGGAACTAGCTCACTTCAAATATTTTGCTGCTTATTTCAGAAAATATTAATAGCTATATACATTATACTTGTACAGGTGATCTCATAGAAATCTATCATGTCGACTACCCAAGTTAGGGCTTGCACACTGAGAGCAAAGATGAGAAGAAATATGGAAATCTCGAGAGGAAAATACATAATTGCACGTAAATCATAACCTTGGAACAATGAATTAATATCCCTGTCGATCCTTCTGTATCTGTTAGTTCTTGGGTCTTTCTTTTACTCAATACCCAATTTCCTTCTCCTTCTTAATCACCCGCGTTGGTTCTCAACTTGCTGTAAATCATTGCCGAGCGTTCAAGGGCTCCGCCACCGCTAGCTCTCTCCAATCTGCTGCTTCAGCAAGAAATTCCTCCCGACAACTTCTTCCCCAGAGTCTGCATTTCTCCCACTCTTTTCTCACCCCCTTCTTCCTCCATTTAAATTCCTCTCCATTCCGACAAGTGCCTTCCGGCTGGACGGGAGGGCACTTTTCGCCATGGAAAACGTGAGTCCCGACCGTGCCCCTCGTGTGTGTCGTCATTGCAGATCTAACCGTCAGGCCCCAGCTTGCGGAGAACGACATGCTTGTCGACAACTACGAACAATACCCCAATGAGAAGACTGATATTGTTGTTGTCTCTCGCTCAGGCTCCGATGAGCCCGAGCCTGCGCCTTCTGCAACTGACCGTATGTTTCTTTGATTCGTTTCCCACTCCCCCTCTTCCGCCGCAGAACCCGATCACAACAAGCATGACCCGACCGACCTGGCATCGCGGGATGAAACGGATGCGACCGATCGGATCTGCGAGGACCAGGGGCTTATATCCAGAAAACCCGCCTTTTGCATCAATTTGTCACATTCAAGAAAAGTTTGGAGCTGACCGAGGCATATTCAACCATTTTAGATGCCGCCATGATGGCACGAGTCCTGCCGAAGCCCGCCGACCTCGAAGCCGAAGAAGAGACCCATAATGTTTGGCACATTAAGGATTGGAGGAAGTCGGAACGCAAATTGCATGGGCCGGTCTTTAACTGCGGCGGATCTCCTTGGTGGGTGACATAGCGAAGAGAAACCCTGCAGGCGCAAACATTGACTTGAGAATTAGGCGAATCCTCTTCTTCCCGTACGGAAACCACTCCGAACATGCCTCGTTTTACTTAGAGCATGCCTGGGAAGGTGAACCACCTCAAAACTGGTACGCCTGTGTGCAATTCGCTCTGGTCCTATCAAACGTCAAGGATCCCTCTATTCACGTCTCTCACGGTAACTACTATACACTCTGATTATGAACCGAATTATCCAGCTAAAAGTTGGCACAGTTGCAACCCATCGATTCACTGCGGATGAGGGAGACTGGGGATTCACCCGATTCTATGATATCCGAACCCTTTTCAACGAGCCTTGGGAAGGCAAAGGCGTGCCACTGGTGCAAGATGACGAGGCCATTATCACAGCATATGTCCGCGTCGTCAAAGATCCTACCGGTGTGCTCTGGCATAGTTTCCAGAAGTAAGCGCTACATGTTTCCAATACTATCGATACTGGATCAATGGCTAATGAGCATCAGTTATGATTCCAAGAAAGAGACCGATATGGTAGGACTTCGAAACCAGGGTGCTACCTGCTACCTGAACTCGCTCTTGCAATCGCTTTATTTTACCAATGGTTTCCGGAAGGTATGGGATGCAACCTTTCCCCTGTTGCTTTCAATACCTAATTATTGACCATTATAGGCTGTTTACCAAATCCCCACCGAGGAAGAATCTACTCGTGAAAACAGCGCATGGACTCTTCAAAGACTCTTTTACAACCTGCAAACCAGCGACACGGCGGTTTCCACAAACGAGCTGACCGTCTCTTTCGGCTGGGACTCTAGACAGGCATTTGAGCAGCAGGATGTCCAGGAACTTTCACGAAAACTAATGGAACGACTAGAGGAGAAGATGAAGGGCACGGTTGCGGAGAAGGCATTGCCTGACATGTTTGTAGGCAAGACAAAGACCTATATTTCTTGCATCAATGTCGATTATGAATCTTCACGCGTGGAGGACTTCTGGGATATTCAGCTGAATGTTCGAGGTAACAAGACCTTGGATGACAGCTTCCGCGATTATATCCAGGTTGAGACGCTGGAAGGCGAGAATAAGTATGATGCAGGCCCCCCACATGGCCTGCAAGATGCGAAGAAAGGTGTGATCTTTGAAAGCTTCCCACCGGTCTTGCACCTACACCTCAAGCGATTCGAGTACGACCTGAATGCTCTTACGATGATGAAAGTGAATGACCGACACGTTTTCCCTATGGAATTTGATGCTGCCCCTTATCTCTCCGAGAATGCCGACATGTCCGAGCCTTGGACTTATGAGCTGCATGGAGTCCTGGTTCACAGTGGTGGCTTGGATGCGGGTCACTACTACGCGTTCCTGAAACCTACTAAGGATGGAAACTGGTACCGCTTTGATGACGACCGAGTGAATCGTGTCACGGAGAAGGAAGTTCTGGAGGAGAACTATGGTGGAGAGTATGAATTGGCGAATGGAGCCACTGGTGTTCGACAGCCATACACCCGAACTCTCTCAACGAAGCGGTCAATGAACGCGTACATGTTGGTCTACATTCGGAAGACACGAGTGGATACTGCTTTATTCCCGATCACGAAAGAAGATGTTCCTTCCCACATTGGTGAGTGTCCCTTGCGTTGAACCCCTGCGCTTTTGAAATATACTGACCAGGCCACAGAGACGCGCTTGGCCGAAGATCGGGCGGAAAATCTTCGCCGCAAGAAGGAGAGAGAAGAGGCTCACCTGTATATGAGCATTGGCGTTCTGACTGAGAAGTCCTTCCAATCTCATCACGGGTTTGACTTGTTCAGCCCTGAACTTCCCGCTGAAGATCCAGCGCAACCCACCCAGTACCGTGTTCTGCGGTCAAAGAAAGTAGGAGAGTTCGCGAAGGAAATGGCAGATGAACGAGGTCTCAGTGCCGATTCCGTCCGCTTCTGGGTGATTGTCAACCGTCAGAACAAGACCGCCAGGCCTGATCAGATTGTCACTGACCTAGAAATGACCGTTGATGATGTTTATACGAAATTTGGTACCAAGGGTAACGCTTTCCGGCTTTGGATGGAGGTTTTGCCGGACGGTCAATCTTGGCCTGAGGGCAATGACTCGGCTTTGATCTTTTTGAAGAACTTTGATGTGGTAACTCAAACTCTGAGCGGTGTTGGGCCTGTTTATGTACCCAAAAGTCAGAAGGTTGGCGATCTGGGACCTGTCATTCTCCAGAAGATGAACTGGCCTGTGGGTACTGAGTTTATGCTCTTCGAAGAGATCAAGCATAACATGATCGATGTTATGAAGCCTAAGCAGACATTCCAGCAGTCTGAGATCCAGGACGGTGACATCATTACGTTCCAACGGACAACAAAGGAGTCAGAACTACCAGCCTCAGCCCTATACACAGATGCCCGACAGTTCTACGATTATCTGTTGAACCGCATGGATGTTACCTTTGCCCCTATCTCGGCTTCCGAGTCCGAGGAATTTATCCTGACTCTCAGCAGGAAGATGACCTATGACCAGTTTTCGAAGAAGGTGGGCGAACACTTGAATGTGAACCCTACCCATCTGCGGTTTGCGCCAGTCATGGCCAACACGGGCAAAGCCAAGCCTTTCCTCAAGCGAGTCAACACTTCAACACTAGCCCAAATCCTCAACGGCACATATGGCACATATGGCTACACTATGCATCGATCGGATGCTTTGTACTACGAAGTTCTAGACATGAGTCTCAGCGATTATGAAACCAAGAAGTGTTTCAAGGTGACAATGCTCACTGAAGGAATCACCAAGGAAGAGACTGTCGAGATCCTGGTGGGTCGCAACGGAAACGTCGCTGAACTTCTTGAGGCCCTGCAGCAAAAGTCAAAGCTTGACGATGAAGCTTTCCAGAACATGAGGCTTTTTGAAGCTCATGGTGGAAAGTTCTACAAGGAGCTTCGTGAGGATTTCAATGTGGCTTCCATCAATGAATACTCCACACTGTATGCGGAACGAGTTCCCGCTGAAGAGCTGAACATGGAAGGCGAGGACCGATTAATCAACGCCTACAACTTTGACCGAGAGCCCAGCCGCCCTCACGGAGTTCCCTTCAAATTTGTTGTCAAGCCTGTAAGTCGCCTTTATTTATCATTGGATTACATTTTAATGTTGGGGCTGTGCTGATATTCTTCACAGGGTGAGATCTTTAAGGAGACCAAGGAACGTCTCTCAAAGCGCACAGGCATCAAGGGAAAGCCTTTTGAGAAGATCAAGTTTTCCGTTGTTCCCCGCAACTCTTTCCCAAGCGCCAAGTACATTGAAGATGGTGAGTTTCATCTGCTGTATTCAATTGAAATTGCCCCAAGCTGACCATTCATTCTTTTCTTTCTAGATGATATCTTGTCAGACGTTGCTGGTCCTGATGACCTTCTTGGCCTGGACCATGCCAGCAAGAGCCGTGGATTCTGGGGCAAGAGTGAGAGCTTTTTCATTCGATAAAGTAATGAATTTCTACGGGGCGCTAGGGGTGGGGGGGGGGGGGGGGTTTGAGGGCAAGATGCTGCACTTCGGTACATGAGCAGCAAGAGCCTGGTAGGCACTCATTTTATTCTCTTTCTCATTTTCCGCTTTGTTCCTTTTCTGTGGCTTTCCATTTTTCGTTCCCTTTCATAGTCCCAAAGTTGGAGTAGAGGCGATACAAATGGCACGAAGCGATGATTCTGTTTTGGCTACAAAAGTACCATCCCAAAACCTGGGCTTGTTGGCACTTGTCGGCTGAGTTGGGTACTGGGAGATATGTATTCAATCAAAAGAATTATCATTATCTCTTTACATTTGTCATACATAGCCTCGGTTCCAAGAGTACATAGTAAATAGTACTAGTAGTTTTAAAGTACTAGTAGTAGTCTACTAATTTCATGTGGAAGCGGTAGTTTGTTTGTGTGCAAACACTGCAAACAACCACCTGGCCAGAACCATTGAACTTCGAGAACCTCGACCTCCTGACGCGCATCACCCGTTCACATCGTTAATTATCCGACATGCGGTTCACACTTCTCGCTGGCTTGGCCGCCTTGGCCTCGTCTGTCTCTGCTACTGCTCTGACCTACCGCCTTGAGGCTAACGAGAAGGCGTGCTTCTATACTGAGGTTGAACAAGCCAACGCTAAGGTGGCCTTTTACTTCGCGGTCAGTCAACACCAGAGAGCTATGGTGTATATCACCAGAGCACTACATAACAGCTGCTTGAATAATTACTGATATTCAATTCATGTACAGGTCCAATCCGGTGGCTCCTTCGATGTCGATTATTCCATTCTAGCACCAGGCGACAAGATCGTTGCGGCCGAAGAAAAGCAGCGACAAGGCGATTTCGTATTCACCGCACAGAGCATCGGCGAGTACAAATTCTGCTTCAACAATGAGATGTCAACTTTCGCCGAGAAGATGGTTGACTTCGAGATTGCTGTATGTTCACTACCCCTGTCCCAAGGGAAATGATCCCAAACCACCCCACACAGCACCATACGGAACCAAGATCATCCCAATTCGACGCTGGCTCTCCCAGAATCAATCTCCAAATATACGGTATATACTAATCTCCATGTTTCCTTATTTAGGTTGAGAACGAGCAGCGTGCCCAACTCCCCTCTCGCCAGGGTGCCACCCCCGAACAAACCACCAGCCTGGAAGAATCTATCTACAAGCTCTCTGCTCAATTGTCTACAATCTCCCGGAACCAGAAGTACTTCCGTACACGTGAAAACCGCAACTTCAGCACCGTCCGCAGCACAGAGCGCCGTATCTTCAACTTCAGCGTGATTGAGTCCCTGATGATGGTTTCAATGGCTGCACTGCAGGTCTTTGTTGTACGCTTCTTCTTCCAGGGCGCAAGAAAGGGTAAGCTTCCAACCTCATCTCGAGACTAGTTCTCTCTTCTTTGAACGTTTTATTGTACAAGGTGCAATGGTTTGGTGGGTCTGATTGAACATCTACTAACGTAAGATTATCCATGCAGGTTATGTGTGATGAATATGAGCATGAATTGAATAATATGATGCATTACTATTGTTATGTTTTGTCGATGTTGCCCCCCTCAAAACTCAAACTTGAAATATTCCAGCGTGTTGGCCTAGTTTACCTTTATGTCCTTTGATATAATCCCTAAAATCATATCTCCATTGGAACAGAACAAGCTATCTACGCCAGGTGACATGGCCCTTTGCCTCCAGTACGGTTGTATCTCTCCACAAATTGTTCGGTCTGTCCCCGATGTTTTCTCATTGGCTACTCATGACGCACAGGTGACGGTGGAGATGGGTTGTAGCAACAGGTTTGAGAAACTCGAGGATGGTTGGGGTCTGGGGCATAGTGGTCTTCGCCGGAGTACTCGTACGAGATTTTCACCGTTGGGTCGTTTCGTTTACTAACTCGAGGACATGAATAGATGAAAATTGAGGCGAAAGGTCCCGTGTAGTGCTGAAGAAAACCTGCTTGGATCATTTCGGTCCGTACCCGTCGCGTCCATCTGTGAAAGAGGACAAGGTCATGTCATGACCATCATCATGGCAAGCTCGCGACCGAGTAGGGTTGCCGTTGCCGTTGCAACAGCACTGTCAGACCGGTTTCGGGCATCAGATCAATGTCATCGGGGTTTGCTCAATCAATGAACTCTCGGTCGATGGTTTAGCAGCTGTTCTCAGTGGACGAAGAGTAAGAAATGGTTAAGGCAAGTCCACTTCAACAATCTTTGGCCAACGCTTCGTCCCTATGAGGTCCACATGTCCTCAACGCTGTAGTCGGGCTCACCTTCAAAACTTTCAAAAACAGGTTTCTTGAAGTTCTGGACCGGTCGTTCTGCAAGGTACAGCGACTTTGCGGTGGCCTCGAGGAAAGCAATCAATTCATTACGACCTATGTATTCTTGATGAGAGTTTCCATCTCAAAAATGTGGCCCCAGTGAGACAATTGATGATGCAACACGAGGACTCGGCGGCTATTGAGTACAATGTACTCCATATGGCATGTAGTAATGACCTAACCGCCATAGCAGATGGTCATCCTGCAAATCTGCGATCGACCGCGGTGAGGTCATACCATTTTGCACCGGGCCGAGCTTGAGTTCGCCTCGAGACTTCAGTCAAATGGACAGTGCGGGGAGTGATCTCATTTGGGTCCTACTAGCGTCTCTCTGAACCGTTGTTTTTCATCTCAATACATATTATGTATGTCGGAGTTTCAGAGTCTAGTCATTTATCTGGAATTGGAACCATTTGGCCCCTGAGTGGTACCCCACGCCTATGAGACGTGGGGACAGATATACAGTAATCAAAACCAATGATTTTCAAGATGTCATGCCTGTTCAAAGGAGATATGACTTTATCTGTATTGGACAATGCACTATGAATCACTATGTACGCCGTACAGCTTATTGTTGACACGAATGCGATTACATGTCTGAAAACGAAAAATTTGGAAAACCAACAACGATTTATAACGTCATGGACACCAACATGTGCTGTACAACATGAGTTCGTTGACAACAGAAGTGATCAGCTCTCCCCAATACTTTGGCGTTCTGTCTGCATGGTATAGGTGGCTGGGCGCTTTCACTGGACATCATTGCCTCATGGGTCATTAGCACCCTGCAGGTATTTACTACAATGCACAACGTACGTGTTATAGCCCCCAAATTGATGATTCTAGATCAGATTATCTATTGTACTAGTCGGTATTAAGATGCCGACTATACTACCTATAGCCATAACCTCGTTGCGTCAGATGATGTGGTTCCTTCAAACTCTTTTTCAAGGGATGTTTACTTCTTAGCGTCGGATTAGCGCTGACGTCGACATTGTTGCTGCAGTGGATATGGATAGTAAATGAACCCTCCCCCCCACATGCTATCAAACAGATATGTCACGTACAGTATTCACCTTATCTGAACTGGAGAACATTTCCGAGGAATCCAAAATTGTGGAAACGTTTTGAATATCGGGAATCTCAGGGATCAAAGTGGATAGACGAAAAGGTATTGCTTCGCCGGTACCGATGATTGATGTTTCGCCGCCCCCGCTTAAGATGGCGAATGATGGAAAGCCCAGAGCCTCGGGTCTCTTGTTCAATATTTGCACATCTACAGTACTGTACAGGTATCTGGTCAGCTGGTCGCGTCAAGTGTCTCCCGAATGGCCCAGGCAGTATCCGTAGTTCCTCCGGACTCGGCGCTATAGTGGTTCTGGGGTTGGTGTTTCCAATGATCGAAGCTTTTGTGGATCGTGTATCCCTTTGGCCATGCACCCTCGCCACAGGCCATATCGGGAAATGGACAATCGAGCCATCGATTGTTTCGTATTTGTGAATGCTGTACCAAATAAATATAGTCCCCTAAAAGGCGCATTGTCTTTTGATATTGCTTCGTGTTGAATAATTCAAGTAAGAAAGTGTGAAAAAGCATTTCACATGCATCTCAGCAAGTATGTAACGTGTCGCGATGACCGTTATGATGTGAGATAGCATTGACGTCAGGTGCCCTGAATGCCTCAGGCCACAGTACAAAAAGCGAAAATCGCAGTTTTTTCTCCACTTTTTTGCAAGTCGCCACTGGCGTCGTTTTTGTGTTTTTTGTGTTTTTTAGGTCTTTTTGGTATTTTTCGATCGTTTTTGGCTTTTTTGACTTTCTTTTTGGCCCTAACTTTTGTAACCTCTGCACTTGATATCATGCCCCATATTGCTTTTAATTTACTCAAACGCAGTCTTTTCTTGAAATTTTTTTATTTTCATGGTACAATCTATTTAGCTGAGTTTTAGCATATGTATACACCAGCTATTGCTCAATAAACAAAAGCAATTTCTCTCTTCTAATGGTTCCTGCATGCATGATCCTAAATCGCATTCTGTCCGAATCGATACCACTCACAGATCGACCAAGCTATGACGGCATGGCTTGACTCCACTCTCGAGCCTCAGGTCGCAGCCCACCGAAAAGGAAATGAAGTGGAGATGCTTTCTTAAACACCTTTCCCTCACAATATGCAAAGTAAAAAGAGCTTTAGGACGAATGTAGTCAAAGGGGAAGAACAATTAGGGCACATCCGCGTTTGATCGCCATGAGGAGAACTGTGGCGCTCTTCAACTAACTCCGGACATGGATAACCTCCTCTTTCCCCCCGGATTAGCGTAGAATACATGAAGCCATGACTCCACCGGGGATGCCCACCTCGCGTTCCCGCAACGCGCATACCCTATCCCGGCGTAGCACCAGAAAACGCCAAATGGGCCTCGACTAGCCTGAACGCTCAAGCATCCAGTATGATTCGTCGAATAAACGTCAGTTGCAGATCTGCAGGGCCCGGCCAAATCTCTTTCTCTCTCGCTCTCCCTCTGATCTCACAGCAATGCACTCGGCTCGGTCCATTTCATTATTGTACATTCCTCAGTGACCTCATCGGGACTAACCACACTGCTCCGTAGCCACTTTTCAGTGGATAACTCATGCTACCGGCACCAGTCATTCTCTCGATGTGGAGGCAGGTGTGTTCATAATGATAAACCTTTCAGCCATACAGAGACCTCGTTGATAGCGGCTATGGGTTTTTTTGCTTACCTCCCAGTGGAGAGGTACCGTTCATATGATGTCGCCCAGGAAACATTCACGACGCTTTTCCCCCAGTCACCCCCATTCACCCCCTCTCTTCAGCCAATGATGTCACTTGTACGGTCTACAGCCGATGTAAGATGTCTGAGCTTTTTCTTTTCTCTTTTTTTCTCTTTTTTTTGTTTTTTATTTTCCCTTGAGTTTTTAAGTCGGGACGATAGGCTCGTGTGGTGGACCTATCAGCCATGCGCTGAATTTTGCCATCGAGTAATGATGTCGACTCTGATTTCATCTTATCCCCACTCTCACCCCTTTCTCCTCTTTCTCTCTGGAAATCTCTATTATATATACTCACAAGTATCCGTACCTGGACTACATCAATTAAGCCCCATTTCCGTACATACCCTAAACCCTATACACTTTTCCCGCCCCATAGAAGACCTCCCCATTTCACAGGCCCCATCCAAGAGAGCCGTGCTTTCCACACTTTCCCACACCCAACGACTTTATTCTTCACGATTTTCCAACCTTGGTTCCGTGACCTTCCAAACTGTCTAGCCAACCCTGACTTCCTTCATCAAAGGTAAGCCAGTATTGTCTTCCCCCCCACTCTATTGATTGTTCCACTATATCTCCGAGTCCCCCCTTCCCGCCCTTCAATCCACCGGTCACGGACTGGTCCATCCCTGCCGCTTCATTGTATAGCCGGCCTCCTTGCCTAATACCGACCTTAACCTGCCTAAATCTCGTTTACGATAACTCGATGCGATACAGCTTTCAAATCATGGATAGTTCTGGGACCTTAAGCTAACATCCAACCCCCCAGACGATTTCCACCATGACTGAAAGAACTCAATTCCAGCAGCCTTTTAACCAGGACTCTGGAGCTGGCCCTCCCAGTCATTATGTTGAGACCAACCGGTCTATAGATCCTCGCACTTCCCTTGAGGACTATAACCGTACTATGCTGCACTACACCCAGCTCCAGATGTCCTCTTTCGTCGATCTTGACGTGCCCGGCGGCGCCCGTGGAAGCGGCACTAGCAGCCGCAGTAGCCAAAGTTCTGGCAACAGCGGCAACAGCAACACTTCATCCAATGGTGTCTTGGCTAACCAGGCCAACGGTCCCCCACCAACCTCTGCTGGATCTTCTACCGATGGATGCGATAAATATCAGCAAGCTCGGATGAAGCCATCCGCTAACCGGGCCACGTCTGGTTACTAGAAAATAGTTGCCTAACTCCGAAGTATGTTTGCTGACTCCACCATTCCTCAGTCTCTCGGGCTCCGAGCTAACCGACACTTTTTATAGAGGTCTGGTCTTCAAGCAATTGAAGTAGCCGTGACGCGGCCTCATTTCAGTATACTCGTCTGGAGGCGGAGTTTCTGTGGAGTTGTTGAAGCGCCAAAGAGCCTGCAGTTTTTGCTTTCCCAGCGGTGCAACATTTCCAGCCTTGCAACTTTTCTGTGTTCCCGAGTTGAGTCAGGTCAGCTGTGAAAAGATCCCCTTTTCACACGCCAGCTCCCTATATCCATCCCGTGCCCTTTTTTTACTATCCTTTTTTCACTTTTCAGCTGTTTGAAACAGCATTTTCTGGATTCCGATGAGTCTTGCCAGTATCTCCCGATCCCACCCCCGCCGGTTGGGAAGAAGCTTGATATTCTCCACGAGCTCCCACGCCTGTGATTGGATATATACACTGGGGCTCCTATAGACCATCGGTTTCCAAACCACCCCCTACCATACACGCATCCTATCACAAAAGCTGCAAAAAAAAAGGTGAGATCTAAATACTGATCTACACCCTTCGCCCCGTCTCCACCCAAATTTCCACTCTCATTCTTTCCCCCCACTTTTTTAAACGTCCGTTGTCGTTCCTTCACCCTTTCTGAACTGGTGACTGTTTCGGCGTTCGTCTCTCGATCCAAGTCTATGAGCAGTCCACAAACGATGTTCTATTCTCACCTTTCCATGTCCACTCGGGCCTAGCGCCCTGTATAAGAGGCCCGGTTTCTTGTCTTTCTTACCTGTCATCCCTTCTGTGAGGGGGTGATGGCGTGTACAACATATGTTTCATGTCCCTTTGATCAGCGAGCGAGCGAATCTTTTTTCCCCTGGTGTTACTGGTTTTTGTTTTTCTTTGATCTGTGTGCCGTGTGATGAAAACCACGCCGCAGCCCTCGACGACGCGCAACAACAGTCTCGAGCGGAAAACTATTCGACACGAACAAATGGACTATTAAGTCTTTTCTCTTCGACATCGATTTGTACAATATGTTACCGAATATTTGGATGTTGTTTCCACCTATGTAATGTTGCTGTGATTTGGGACTGTCCGCTTCGTAGATCTTTATTTACTAGTTACATCAGTCAAAGTCTCATAGACTATATAGTTCGTAGACTTGAGGAAAATCCAAACGTTATCTTAAGCGACCAATGGCTTTATATTTTCAAGCTCTCGAGCATCCACATGTGCATGTAACACCTGCGCATTGACGGGCCCGGTCGACGATCAAGGGTCTAATCGTCAATCAGGTCTATTAGACAGGCAGCCATGTCAATTGATCAGGTTGAAAATGACGGTCAACATTGAACCAATAAGGTTGCAGTATTTACTACCGACGACCGAACAATATGAAGTCAGTAGCCACCAATGTTGGAAGTTTACCGATAACATTGAATCAACTTGGATCTCAGAAGCAATTAAACGTGTGAATGATAATTCTTCCAAGTTTTGAATCCGTTCAAACATTGAATGTTGATATCAGCACTTGAGTGTGTGCGTACTAATAAAGCACCTGAGCCACACCATCATGCATATGTGTGCAGCACATCCACGGATGTTCAAACATTGAAACTTCATTGAATGTTCAGCCAACCCTAGGACATTATTGGAACGAACGGTTTCGGAATAATCAAAATGACTAGATATTACCAAACATCAATTGATTACATGGGTTGAAATTCCAGTTCACACATGTGCATGTTGGATGATATCGAGTCAAGACGGGACGGGACGGATATACATGTATAACCTTGGATCATTGAATCCCGAAGGTACTCATCAATCAATACAGTGCTTAGATGCCTGCTACCTAACATTTGAAGTACAACACATGCATTCGCACTGCAATAGGTATACTTCAAAACAACATTGAGTCTTCAACATTTGAATGTTAGGTGTCAATGATCCATAGATGTTAATGGACGTACACCTGGTAAAGTGTATACTAGTACACATGTGCATACATGTAATAGATATATCTCAACGTTAACCAACAAATGTTGATTTGAAACCAAAAAAAGTCCACTTTCAAAATTTGCATATGTACTACTATGTACATATATCCTTACATACTACCTAGGAGGCCGGAGGATATTGAAGAACCTCAGGCTTATGGCCACCTTCGTGCGTGGAATAATACTATAATATGCCGGTTTGCTATGTACTATGGGCGTTGTGGTATAAAAGACTCTTCTGACTTGAACAAGAGTGATTGAGTCATGAGCAACATGGACTACAAACACGTCTAACTGAATACATTGCGCATCGAGCAAAGACATCCCTAGATAGCTAAAGCTGGCCTGATAAGGTGTGCGTGCATTCCTTTGTTGCCGGGGCGTTATCCCTTGCGGTATAAACCCCGAAATTCCACATGAACACGTTCGCGATGAGAACACAAGTCGCCCGTTCTACGAAATGTGATATTATCCAAAATAGAAACGAGTGAAAGCCAAGGGTAGTGATACAATATTTAATTATCTCGAACATATTGTAGAGACGTGGGATCGATACTAGTAGTATATTATGCTGACCCGTTCGTCGCTAAGGAGACAACTACAATCGCAGCATACCGGACAATAAAACACTCACTAAGACCAATCAAAACCTGAATTTACACAGATTACATTCCAAATGACCTAAATGAATCAATCTGTACCTGAATAACGATTCTTGCCTGCCTGATCTGGAACTCTGTAACCCCTGGAATCCCAGGATATAGAAACCCAGGCCAATAGTAAACAAGGGAGACCCCCCAAAAAAAAACATTAAGAAAAAAAGAAGAAAAAAGTGCAAGAGATTGGACCGAGTCCTGTAATCTCAAATCAAAGCAGGATTGAGTTGCCCCCAACTAAAGCCAGGCACGTCAACACAAGGGGAAAAATAAGTCTTACCTTTTCTCCCTTCTACTTGTCTCACAGCTTCACGACCTCGACAACCACCAACAGCGTCCGAATGACGCCCATTTCGATCTAATCCTGTCCAGCTCCTGTCATTCATTTCTACCGTTGAACTGGTTTCACTCCAACTACTCACGCTCTCTTTGGATTCGATTCGTTTGGCAATTCTTTCGCAAAATAATCAAATTCCACCACCAGCTTCCAACCCAGTCTACTTACCCAACAACCAACCGATAATTCAATCCAGACATCACGCCCTATTCGATTGACTGATCCATCCTGCCGTGCACCAGCATCCTCACAACCGAAACGAACCAATAAATTTCAACCGACAAGTCCGGAACTACCAGTATATCCACGCCAACCTGCACCATGCATCTAGCACCACTCCTAACAATCCTCGCAACCCTGTGCTCCATCACAACCGCCATACCACTCGGACAAGATCAAAGCCAGCCCACAACACCCACACCGTCCACCAACCCTTCGGCCTCGGCCTCACACACCCACTCGGCCACGGCTCCTGTGCGCACACCCGTCGGCCCGTACCAATGCCCCCAGGAACAGTACAAGGCGTGCTGCCAGTCTCTTGAGCAGACTACACAGGATGTCTTCACGTCGTTGGGCGAAGTTCTCCCGATGGTGGGTGGGATTCAAGTTAGCTCGAAGGTTTCCTTCCAATGTACGTTCTTCTCTATCCTTCCTTTCCTGTGTAACCCCAAGTTCCAACTCGAATGCTCATTCCATGAGTTTTGGGGTTTGATTGATCTACGTGTGTTGGTTTACTAACCCTGATTTATGAACAGGCAATCGCATGACTGATAATGCCGACCCGGCTACTTGCAAGGGTCATGGATATACGCCCATGTGCTGCTCGAACAAAATTAACGTATGTTGAGCTTGGTTGCTTGCCCTCTCTTTTATTGGCCAGGGGATGTCTAGTCCGGAGCTAATACTGTTTCGTGGTCTTCTATAGGGCGATGCTGTCAGCAGCTGCAAGTCTTTTGAGTCTGCCAAGGAGAAATATTATCAATCCCTCGGTTACAATGTTGATGAGGAGTCTACTACGGAGTTGGTCAATGATGTGATGTCATAAAGGAGTTACTGTCTTGTTAGATTTGGGAGTATATTTGGTTCCGCTGTTGCATTTGGGGGAAAGGTAGAGGCATTGGCGCTCTTCATTTCATTTGAGACAACTTTGGCATATTATATTGGCTTTGATCTTTGGTACTTTTTCTTCTTCTTTTATCTTTTGTGTAAAATCAGTTACACTTCTTCTAGCATTTTTTTTATCATTGTAAACGAGATTGAAATTTTTATTCTTCGTGGATTTGGTCTATATTTCTTATGACTTGAGACTCAGTATTACTATCAATGTACTTCATATTGAGTCACATCATCTCAGGGAATTAATTTGGCAAAGAGTACATGTTTTAAATTATGTCTGAAGAGTAATGATACATCGTTGAATCCTAGCGCCAACTCCGTCCTGCCGGTGGTCCCCAAGAGTCACCATGTTGGCCTTGGCCGCCAGAATGGGGAGGAGGGAAACGGTATTGCCCTGGAGGAAGAGGTTGACTAGGGGGCATATGCTGACCAGGATGCATGTTCCCCTGTTGTGGAGGCATGTTCATCTGTTGAGGAGGATAAAAGGTAGGGGGAAAGGCCGAATGATTCATACCCGGACCAGGTGGGGGGAAAGGCATGGCCGGCAAGTGTGGGGGTGGGGCAGGTGGCCAACCGCCTGAGTAGGCCTGTGGAGGCGGGGGAGGAAAACCATATTGGTGGCCATACGGGTGAGAGGGAGCAGGAGGAAGGGGATGACTGGGATGTGGAGGTGGGGGTGGAAGGGCATGTGAAGCTTGGTGGGGAGGAGGAAATCGGGGTGGAGATGGCTGCCGGGGTGAGTATGAGCTTTCCCGACTACGTGATCGCAGTGGGGAACGGCCTCGGCCTCTGGACCGGGACCGTGGCCGCGATCCATATTGACGAGCCTCAGGACCATCGGCCCGGGAACGGCTTCGGGGTTGTGAGTCTGATCGCCTGCTTCGGTCACTCATGGAGCTATCACTATAGCGGCGTTTGAGACCCTGTTGAGCTTCGCTGTGACCTCGACTGGGAGAGTCGGATGTCTTCTTCTTTTTCATTTGACGACAAAATTCACGGGACCAGCCGTAGTAGGTTTCACCATCGATGATGTCTCCTGTAATCTCATCTCTTGTGACTCTCTGACCCAACTCGTCTATGTCAATATTTTCGTCGCCCCGGACAAGTTCCTCGGTGCCGTAAATCTGGTCCACATCTTTCAAGAACCCCTTGAGAGCATTGACAAGGCTCTCATCCGCAGGACCAGCCAGGAATTGTAATGGTTTGATACTCTCCGGGTGAAGAGGGATGGTGGAATTAGGGATTATGTGAGGAAGCCAGTTGCCTGCCGGCAGATCATAATAGGGTGTGGAGTGATCTCCATGGGTGGATGGCATGATAAAAGGAGCATCTTTCCCGGGTAACTTCTTGCCAGAGTCGGCGCCATAGTTCTCAACATCGTTCGATAGCGGGGCGGCCCCGGTCGAGGCTGAGTGCTTTGTGATCTCCCGCAGTCGATGGATCAGGTCGGGCCCAAAGTATCCGTGCTCGGACCAGATATCCAGCAGATCATCAAGTCGGCGGTGATGGCGGGGATTCTTCTGCCTATCGTGGGCTGCAGCGTGGCCGAGCAGATCCACCATATGTGGCTGTAAGGACCCGCTGACCGTGGAGAAGGTTGCCGTTGTATCCAGGTGGTACTTGCTATGGTGGAACAGATCATTGAGCAGATAAAGTATGTGGAGCCGTCGACGCTTCGGAGACGGTTTGGGCCGAGCGCCTGGGGGAACATCCAAGGATCCGGCCAGCGCAACCAGATACTTGGCCAGCCCCGCTAGGCGGTTCGCTGAGGAAGCAACATAGTGGAGCAGCCAGGCTTTGCAGGTCTGTGTGGGGCGGAGGGATTTAGTAACTCTGGGGAGTGTGACAGGGACAAGGTTGCAACAAGCTCAGACCTGGATGTTTGCTGGGGAGCAATGCGATAGGGCGCGTTCGAGGGACGAGTGAAAGGTCGCGATCTCATCTTTGGAAACCGATGTGGGATCTGGTCGTAAGAGGCCAGCAGTGAAGGAGGCCTTTGCGATAGCGAGTGTGTGAGATGCCATGATTTTCACCAAATCAGTGGATCATCCAAGTTTCTGGGATGATCTCAACTTTGAGGCTTGAGCTTTGTTTCAACTTGCCCTTGGGGTTGAGCTTTGGCCCTTGAGCTGATGGACTTATCGCACGTGACTCTTTTCCGATAAGAGAGTCGGATTATGTACATACTGGCAGTTACTCTTTTTGGACAAGTCTACGAGCTCCCATTTATCGTTTGTTATTGGTTGCTGCAGAAGTTCAGATGTCATTGCCTTTTTATTCCTCTGCATTTTGTCTCCTTTTTCTCTTGGCTTGAGATCTACTCCATGCATGTTGTTACCCATTCATGCCGGATTTACGGATCATTAGAATCTAGTACTTCGGCAATTCCACTTGGTTCAATATCCGCTTGCTATACAAGTGCAAGTACAACATTTGAACATTTATCCCCCACGGCATCCAACTTCGGGTATCTAGTCCATAATAATTCTATGGGTTCGGATGCCTTCTTTCCCGTATCATTCCATTCCAGTGCGGTGAAGCCTAAAACAGCCAACTCCCCCCTATGACTCTTCACAAAAGAGGAGGGGCAAATCACCTTCGCCCCACATACTCGGCCGGTGTTTGGACTGGCGCTTTTGAACCCCGCGATGGCGTGAGGCAATTATTTGCTGCGTTTTTTTTGCTTTTCTTCCTGTGCTGCCGACAAGCCGATGAGACGTGATCGTCATTGCAGTCTCACGGCCTCTTCAGTAAGAAATCAGCCCATACCTTAGCGTACCTCCCCGCAGCTTGTCCCCACACAGGGTCATTTGCTCGCATGGAATGACCTGACCACTGCTATAAATACGACCTGTGTACCCAAGGTACCTAATATTGTAGCTATCCATAAATTCAAGACAAATTTTCTCTTTACAGACTTGACTCACTTTGCTCTTATATTTTGTTCGACTTTTCTTCCACACACCAAACTCGACTCCGATCTCTATCTCTATCTTCTCAACAATTACTCATACCATCCTACCATAATCCCCCCCACCACCATCCTTTAATCCTTCACCATGGCTGCAGTCATTGTATCGCAAATCGCCCGTCCTTCCATCCGCCACTTTTCCGCGCACCGCCCACGTCCAGATAGCCGCGCGGCTCGCGCAGTAGCCATGACTTGCATTATCTCCGGCGTGGCGCTGCCATTTGTCCCACCCGCGCTCGAGAGTTCGCGCCAGCGCAACTCCAGCTCTCCCAGCATCAACAAGTGAGTAACTACTTTCACCCCAGATAGTATCGCTTACTAACAGATCCCCAGGCCACACCCACCTCTGTGCTTCCACGCCCGCTAGATCAAGCTACTCTTTTTCTGGCAGACATGAGATGCGTCGCTGCAATATTTTTGCTTTCATATCATTTTCTCGGTTATTTCTGGCTCCCGGTGCCGGCACCAAATTGGGACCTTCTACACGATGCATGAACTAAGGGCGTTAAGGATCTGGTGTTGGCTGGGTTATTTTGGATATTTGGTTTTTTTTTTGGGATACCGAGAGATTATGGCTTAGTGTCAAGCAATACCAACCGCCATACATACTATCAAGCTGTATTCTTCCGTGTGAACTGTTTCCGTCGAAAGCTCTCCACTCATGTAAAGCTCAAGCCTAAGATGCACTATGTATGCATTCTCGGCCCCACTTACCTAGAAAGCTTGGTTTTCAGGGTTCCGAGAGCCACGGGAGGCAACCTATACTGGGTAGTAAAGACCCACCGTATCGAAGTAATGATGGGTTTAAACTGATACACTGAGGACCAAATCGGTGTTCGTATTCAGATGTTCTCACCAAATACCTACAATTGATAGGTATGAAGCAGACTCTAGCCATTTTGGATATCCATGGTTCAATCGATTCAATGTTGTTTGTAACCACCGATTCCAACCAGAGTTGAGTATATGTGTAGTAAGCATAACCTTTTGTGCTTCAATTTGCCCTTCTCTAAGGCTTTGTTGACTGCACTTGTGTTATACCTAGCCGATAAAGCCTGGAAATATCCAATTTGTATCTCTCACATCTGCCTACTTCCTACTCACGACAGCACGACATCCCTAACCTTGGAATTTTCTTGTGAGTCGCTACTAGTACTTTCTTGCAAGTTGTGTGCTTACTATCTCAGAACCAGTCCCATGATCGAATTACCACTCAAGTTCTCTTAGTGGTATAACACCAAGACTGTCGCCAATCCGTTCTCGAGGTCTTTTTGCATCATCAGTCCCGATGTTTGTCAACGTTTACTTTCAACGTTGGGAGTGTCGCAAGAGCGACCTTCAGATTCTGTACACCATTCTTTTTCGAATTCGAAGGGGTGCATACACGGTCACTGAGAGGAAAATAAAATCCGGTTCATTGATCAATGTATATTGTTTCTCCTTGGAACTTCCAGAGCCTCAAGACCCAGCAGACATTCAACAAAGGGCACTCGATTGCGCCGACCATTTTATCGATGCTTGGTTTGACACTCATGCCTTTCCAATTCAATGGTCTTCGATTTTTCCATTCAAAGGGTGAAGAATAAACAAGTTGATAGGTGGAACCGGCCTGTTACGAGTGATGGTTTCGACATCTGGATGGACTCTAGTGAGAGTTGGGTTTATTCACATGTGCAATCTTGATGAAACTATCTTGACTTGTTTTAATTTTCATTTGAATCACTGTTTCGAATGGTCAAGCTTGAATTGTTGCTTCAAAGGAAAGGACGGAATTTATTCACTCGTTCCAAGGGTAGATGGAAGTATCACAATTGCAAACGACACGTAGACACCTTGATATTATAAACCGCATCAATAGAACCAGTCCATGAGTTTTAGGTATCAAGTCACAACGTAAAGCCGTTCAAGTCCTTACTAGTATATGTGATGGTGTACAATTTGAAAGCCAATGATATACAATGGATACCAAGGATCCACTTTAACTGAACCGGTTGCCACGAGGGGGTCGGAACGGCTCTGCAGCTTCATATTTCCCCTTCTCCAAGACCCGGTCATTTTCAGTCATGGGTTCGTGACGGGTCGGTGCTGGGTCATGCGAAGCTTCAGCACTGGGTGAGGCGACATCGTCGGTAGCATTCTGGAATTGAGACATATTTGCACGCTTCAAGCTGGCGTCGTCACCGGGTGTCGGGGTCGAGTTAGGTCCAACCATAGCAACCTGTCGCCGGTGTTCATCCTCCATAGCCCTGTTCTGGGCCTTGCGCTTCATTTCGGTTTCAAATCGGTTTTGTCGGTCAGCGTTGATGGACTGTTTGGCAAAGTAGTAGGCACCGCCGCCGGCTGGAAGAGGGAATGTCAGCTAGCGCTCGATCGAAAGAAAGCTTGATTAGCAATAAAAGGGACAGATTGAACACTGACCAACGCAGAGGGTGCCCCAGCCAATCCTGTTAGGAAGTAAATAGTCATCGATCAGTTTGCTATCTTTTTTTTTTTTTTTTTTGTGATGGCCAATGTTGTCAAATGCCAGCAGGGACAATTTTTGCTCACCAAGTGGACCTGATCTGCAAGATTTGAATCAGTTATGAGCAAGAGGTTTCTAAATAGCAGAATAGACTTGTGGGCTTACTGTATTCATGATTGCATAAAATGACTTGATTGCAGAAGAGAGAAGGTGAAATGTGCTACGTCAGATCGAGGCTCCGGCTCCGGTTGACCAACCTGAGCTATCAGTTCTGCCTCAGGCAGCAGCGGCTTATCATTTCAAAGCGCAAGACTGCATCTTCCCATAATTATTCTTCAACTCCAACCTTCACCTCGCATACACTCGGTCGCCGACTTCTTCCTGTTCTATTTTCTTACCCATCGAGCTCATTCACTGTCTGCCGCCCTTTGCCCTTGATTTGGTCGCTCTATCCAGTCGGCATACGCCGCCTGTTTCCTGCGACCCGAACTTGGTCGTGGCATGCAGGCCTGAACCGTTCCTTACAAGGTGTCGCTCGCCTCACCAAGCCTCAAATCTCTCCCGTATCTCGCCTTCAGACGCACTATAGCATTCTCGATCGTTTCATCCTTAATATTAACCCGCGATGCCTCCCAAGAGAAAGGCGACTGACAGTAAGAACACCGGAGGTCGGAGAATATAATCATATGGCTCACTTTTCAAACCAGGTGGTCGGTCTAGCAGCGTCTCCAAGCGACCTACACCAGTGCCCGACTCCACCGAACTCTCCAGCAGCGATGAGTACTCAGACGACGGGGATGATGACGTACCGGAGCGGAACAACCTGAAAGGTAGAGTGTGGTAATCTGCTCACTTAGTGACTCAGATGCTAAAACTTGACGCATAAAAGAGGTTGTTAGCAAGTTCTCCTTGGAGGCCTTCAGCAAGAAATCCCAGCTCAACAAAACCGACCCCAGATTTGGTTACAAAGATCTTTCCTATCTTCCGCTTAAGCCTGATCACTACAACCGACCTCTATGGATCGAGCCGGTGAAAGGCACGATCACTCTCGAGAGTTTCTCCCCGTTGGCACCCCAGGCACAAGATTTCCTTACCACCATCGCCGAACCACTCTCACGTCCCACCCACCTTCACGAATACCGCCTCACAGGTCACAGTCTTTATGCGGCAGTTTCAGTAGGACTGAAGCCCCAGGATATCGTGGAGTTCTTGGATCGACTTTCCAAAACCCCTCTACCGGAAAGTATTCGCACTTTCATTATAGAATTCACAAAATCATATGGCAAAATCAAGATGGTTCTGCGACACAACCGATACTACGTGGAAACGACGGACCCAGAGATGCTTCAGCGGTTGTTGAAAGATGAGGTTATCGGGCCACAAAGAATCGAGAGCACTGAGGGAATTATCCAGCGTGCGGCTCCGAAGATGGGCGGTCTCGTCATTCCTGGAACGAAGGATGCGGCTGGTGTAAGAGAAACAGGCACTCAGCAGAACGCTGCTGTGCCAGCTCGGGATGAACCCGAAGAAGCGGTGGTGGATTACGGCATCGACGATGTTGGTGAGGACGTTGATGAAGCCACCACATTCAGTTTCGAAATTCCTCCTGCTGGAGTTGAAGTGGTCAAAGCCCGTTGTCAAGCGATTGGATGTCCCGCCTTGGAAGAGTATGATTTCCAGGGTGACACTGTCAACCCCAATCTCGACATGGATTTGAAACCTGCCGCTCGGATTCGATCTTACCAGGAGAAGAGTCTCAGTAAGATGTTTGGTAACGGACGTGCGAAGAGTGGAATCATTGTTCTTCCTTGTGGCGCCGGTAAAACCCTAGTGGGTATTACCGCTGCAGCGACTATCAAGAAAGGCACTATCGTTCTCTGCACAAGCTCCATGTCCGTTGTGCAGTGGCGAAACGAATTCTTAAGATGGACCACCATTGACCCTGGCGATATCGCTATCTTCACATCTGACCATAAAGAGAAGTTCAAGCGGTCTACTGGAATTATCGTTTCGACCTACTCCATGGTGTCACAGACTAGGGCGCGCTCCTACGATGCCCAGAAGATGATGGACTGGCTTCAATCTCGAGAGTGGGGTATGATGATTTTGGATGAAGTTCACGTCGTGCCTGCCTCGATGTTCCGAAAGGTCACATCTGCGATCGCCGCACAGAGCAAGCTCGGTCTGACTGCAACTCTACTGCGTGAAGATGATAAAATTAAGGATCTGAATTTCTTGATTGGTCCCAAACTGTACGAAGCCAACTGGATGGAACTTGCTGCCCAGGGTCATATCGCCAAGGTCCAGTGTGCCGAAGTTTGGTGCCCCATGACAACTGAATTCTATTCAGAGTATCTGCGAGAGAGCTCAAGGAAGCAGGCTTTGCTCTATATCATGAACCCACGCAAGTTCCAAGCATGCCAGTTCTTGATTGACTTCCACGAGAAGCGAGGAGATAAGATCATTGTTTTCTCTGATAATGTTTATGCGCTTGAGCGATACGCACTCAAGCTGAACAAAGCTTACATTTACGGTGGAACCCCGCAAAATGAGCGAATGCGTATTCTGGAGAATTTCCAGCATAACGAGCAAGTCAATACCATCTTCTTGTCCAAGATCGGTGATACTTCGCTTGATCTGCCCGAGGCCACATGTCTGATTCAGATATCGTCTCACTACGGTTCGCGTCGTCAAGAGGCTCAGCGACTGGGTCGTATTCTTCGTGCCAAGCGCCGTAATGACGAGGGCTTCAACGCGTTCTTTTACTCTCTTGTATCGAAGGACACCAACGAGATGGTCTACTCGGCTAAGCGCCAAGCCTTCCTTGTTGACCAAGGTTACGCCTTCAAGGTCATCACTCACCTTCAGGGAATTGATGAATACGACGGGCTCTCATACGCGACACCCGCAGAACGGCGTGAGCTTTTACAAGAAGTCATGCTGCAGAATGAGTCCTCGGCCGACGTGGAGCAGGTTAACGATGATCTTTTCTCCATGCGTACTGGAGGCAAGCGCAATGGCAAGAAGTCCAATGCCAAACGTAGTGCTGCCACCCTCAGTGGGTTGGCTGGCGGTGATGATATGGCCTACATTGAATACAACAAGAGCAAAAATAAGCAGCTCAAGGACAAAGCGGGACATCATCCGCTGTTCAAGAAGATGGAACGTGAACGCCAACGGCGCAAAAAGGAGCGAGAAACAGCACAGTGACTCATTGAGCCACATGATCAGGTTTGTTTTTAAAGATTAGAAAACATTGAATAATATGCGTCTAGACTCTAGTCCGAATATAAGCCCAAACAGAATGTTGTTGCAAATCAAATCAATCATATCCGTCTATATAGCGATATCCAACATTTGAACATTCTTAAGAACATTCCCAAGAACAAGTTCTGTGAAGATTGAAGTATCTGTCAGCAAGTCGGGTCTAGTTCCCTCACCCGCCAATAAGCATGACGTTGATTTGTGGCTCCGGGGCCCCGAAACCCCGAGCTCTCCACTTTCCCTGTTAAAATAACCAATATTTTCATTCTGATAGGTCGTTCCGGCTTTTGCTTCCTGCAGAGCGACTCTTTTAAGTTGTACACGAGGGCTACAAATGCCAGCTGTTCTCAGCTTCTCAGGTTTCATTATAAAAAGGGTCATGGTTCCCCGCATCAGTATCACCAAGCAAACTGATCACTTCAGAGGAGTAAGCTCAATTAGTTTGGCTGCTACAAGCAGATTGCAGACGAGAAGTCTACTACGTACGCGCTCTTCGGCACCTCTACCGCTGATTTCCTCGCCTCTTCAACCGTCCAAGCTACGGCCGCGATTAGCCGCGGTGCTTAGAGCTTCCCCACACTTCAAACCACATAGCTCCCGTTCCACGACAAACAACAATATTCTCGCCATGGCTACTGCAACCAATATCCATCTGGACCCCTTGAAGGATGTCGGTGTCTACAGCTCTGGTATTCGGGAAGATGCTGCTCGTGTCACCAGTAAGGTCTTACAAGAAGATATGGAGAGACATCATGTGTTCTTCAATGATGAAGGATTTCATAGTATGCCTGACCCAATGTTTGGATAATAGGTTGAACAGACAGATGGAATGTTTCAAATCTGACAGGCTAAACAGACCATATCGTTCATGGCGTTTTGACTCTCTATGCACTCGGTGCATCCTCTGACAATATTGTGGCCCATTATGAGAGAAACAAGAGCTACCAAAGACCAGCATACCCTATCGACAAGGGGATTGTCCAAACTATGCATGATAGTGTGAATTTCCAAAGCTACCTCGGAAAGGCAAAGCAGTATTCGAATTTTCTCTCTTTTTTCCAAACCGCCATCGACACCAAGGGAGTCGACTTAGTCCTCGAGGAGTATATTTTTGCTGGCGATGACCGCGCCGAGACCATGTTGTGCCGACTATTTGGAGGTATGTTTCCAATTTGTTAAAACTGCGCAATCGACAAAAAAACTTACATTGCATCAAACAGGCCTCGTACACCCGCTCATCCACCTCGGCTTTGGTCTAGAATTCAACCAACCTGCCATTGTGGCACAGGCCCTAGCACAGGCGGCTGTCCATGATGACTGGATGGGCCGCGAATATTTTCTCCCGGCGGAGAAAATGGCCGGTGAAATCGGAAAGCCCGGCCAGAAGTCACTTCTTCAACTCCTGAATGAGATCCAAAGAGATAATACTCTGAAAAGCTCTGTCAAGTTCTCTGATAGCAACAAATTTCGGGATGGAGTACTACACCGTGCGCCGAAGGAGATGCTGCAATATGCTGCCCAGTATACTGTGTCGGAAGAACAGATACCAGAGAGAGTGGCGGATATGATAAACACTGTCGGTGAGTTACCCTTTCCTACATGCCAATGCCCAGCCCAATAAAAATGCCATTGCACCTGCGCTAAAACAATTTTCGTGGCCAGTGCACTATACGAGCGCCGCACAGCGCCGCGACAAAGAAGTTAAGATAGACTTTTTCTTCATCCACAATCTTAACTCCTCAATCTTCTTCTCCACTCTTATGGACCTCCCGCTCCTCGGCCAGAAATCAAAATGCCGACTACTTGAGTGGAAGGGCCGCCTCGATCTATTGACATATGTCTCTCGCAATTCCCCAGACCTACTCTTAGAGGAGGTCACGAATTATCCAGCAAAGCAAGACTGGGAGGCTGTTATATCGCAAAGCGTGGCACATCCTCATGATGATGGACATCTGGTCAAGCTTGTGCGGGCTGTGGCGCATGGTCAGAATGTGTGCCGGCCATTTGAGAAGAAGGCTGCCATGCCAATATCTGGGGATATGTGGCTCAAGATTGGAAATATGGGTGAGTCTTAACCGGAAATTTCTCTCAATGTCATATACATGCTTTTTGCTAATTCTTTACCTTTACAGCTGTGGATTCCACTGATGGGTGTGGTACGAATGGAGCCATGTGGATCCGCTCAACAGGCTTTGATGAAGCGTGGGTGGATATATCAGGACGAGCGCGGTTATAGGTACTAGTTAGCGGCGAGGAGTTTGTAGACCTGGTTTGCTAAAACACTCTCGGCAACTGGTAAATGGAGGCAACAAAGGTTTCAATACTAGTAGGGATATATTGATTCATTCCAGACATCTGGATGTCAGGTGTCCAGGTGGTGTATGGATAGCCACAAGGCTTCCAATGTTATTATGTATTGATTCCAATTACCTACGAGTAGGTACGAAGAATGATCATCAATCCATTATCAAACGGGCGTCTTTCAAACTTGGAAGCTTTCCAAATTACAGTGTGTCTCCAGGGCTCGTTAGGCACTAAATTGACATTGAAAGTGTTGATTGAAATCTATCACTACTAGTAATGAATGGATCCAAGCCGACGAGCCTCCTTTAATCCCGGGGTCTTTTTAACGCAAATGCTAACATTGGAACTTTGGAATATTGCTGGTACTCGTTCAAATGTCTCAATGAGGCTAGTATGTTGTTAGTGAATCGAGGCGCTCTTTTGACCCACAAGAGCAGTGGGTCTATTCCGTCATGCGCGATCTGAGTCTGGGCGCGTGAGGGTCTCTTGTATAAAAGAATATTTGAGATTGATTATGGTCCAAATATAAGATAAGTATATGCCAGAGAAGGAGTAGATAGGTGATAGTAAGAGTTTGAAGAATGATTAGAGAAGCAAGTACCTATAGTATTTCTTATGCATACAAAAGGTACTTGCTGGTAATAAAAAGATTGGAAAAGTGGGCCTCACGTGGCGAGGTGGGGCTCCCCAACAGCTTCATGTTCAACATCTTTTGACAATATCTTCCTTTTGCATTATCTCCATCATGCCTACAGACCGCGATTCAGACGACAAACGTGACAAACGCGACAGCCCCGATAAACCCTCAGACATGCCCAATAACAAGGACTTGGATAACGAGTCGGAGACAAATCCGTTCGTTGCGTTCCGGCGCTTCGCTGATGAACAGGTCTCTTCAGTGTTACATTCCATCACTGGCCTACCATCATCAATGGGATCTCCTCAATCAGATGGCTGGACCATCTTCACGGACGATAAGGAATACAAAAACATGGCGTATCGTCACCGCACCGGCGACAAATCAAACGCGAACAACACAGCCGAGCGCGACTCCACCCCCAATCAAAGCGCCGATCCCAACACACCAGACGGTGAACAGGACCCCCCAAGCCACAAAAGCAACAACGAGCAAATGTCAGAACCACAACAACTATCTGATATTTTTCGAAAAGACAACATCTTCGCGCATCCTTTACTCCGTTCCGGACCCGCGATTCCCGATTTTCTCAACTTAATCCCCTTCACCCGCGTCGAAGAACACGCCTTCGAATTCACATCTCGTTCTCCCCCTCCCGGCATGGATGAGAATGGCATGCCAAACTGGCCTTACCCATACGCCTCATTGAGCCCCTACTCCCCTCTCCTACTCGAGCGCCAGCCGTACCACTTCACGCCGAATGCCCAGGGTGTGTTCTCCTCCATCGCGTCATCTCTCCAACCGACGTCGGACTTGGATAGCGACCCACCTTTGCCGCAATGGCGCGAGGCGTTTGAGGATCTGGTCCGTCTCGAGAATGGCAAATCCATGCTCGAGCGTGAGCCCTTGCTGCTAAGCAAAATCAGATCGCAAAACAATTCGGAATGGGTATACGGAGTAGTACAGCGTGGCAGCTTCGGCGACCGGTACACATATACCCCTGGCGGAACTTTACGCCATTCCCTTCCTGGGATTGTGGACCATGGGCCCAAAGATATCAAGCGTCAATTGCCAATGGATCGCGTTGCGGCGCGAGACAACTCTCAGCCCGAGAGCGAATTGGAATTGTACGAGCGGTTTTTGGAAGATATCCAAGCTCGGGAACGAGAGACTTCCCATGATTCTGTGCCGAGTCCTATGCTTAGTGCTCTGTTCGAAAAACGGCGCGAGCAGGATGCGGTTGACGAGCATCAGCGACAGCTGACATCGGATCCCGAGCAAGGTAATGATGATACGGAAAGTTGGCTGGATCTTGTCTCGGGCGGCAACCGAAAGTCTGTACCTGAGACTCAGCCGGCATCCCAGAGCGCTTCACCGTTTGTTGTTTCCACTACGACTCGAACTGAGCGTGTACGTCATCCTGATGGCTCTGTCGAGATCAAGAGGGTTCGGACGAAACGCTTTGAAGATGGCCGTGAAGAGACCGAGTCGTTTGTTGATACTATGCGCCCGAGGCAGGATACTGGCGAGGAACAGTCTTCTGAACAGAACCCCCAATCGAAGAATGGTTGGTTCTGGAAGGATTGATTTGCTTGATTCAGCAGTATGATGCATAGTTTTCCTCTTCCTTCATCTGCTGAAATGGCAAATGATGTGACCTATGATTCTTATTCTTTTTTTGATTTCTCATCAGCGATTTCCTATGTCTATCTCTGGATACTTTTGCATTCCATGGCTTGGTGCTTGCTCATCATCCGTGCACATTCGCTCAGCATTGCTAATTTCCTAATTTCCCTTTGGTCAAATCACCGTTCCTTCTGCATTGAGTATCTCAGGTCTAGTTGATTGTAAGTACGTTGAAATCGTAAAAGCATATCTGAACATCAGATCTGAAGCCAATTAAATCGTCTCAATCCGCCTTGACATTCTTCTTTGCGGTCTTGCCGGTTGTCCATCCCCTTGATTCCCAGAACTTGACACTGTCTTCCATCTTCTTATATGCCCACGTGAACGAAGGATCTGGGAGGCATTCATTAGACTACCATAACACGTTATCAGAACAAATGAAACTTACACAGGAACTGGCGCAGGTCATGTCTGTTATCATCGGGAGAGTACTGCTCCGCATGATAGCTAGGCGTCAAGACAGTCATCTTATGTCGGTTGATAGAGTAGTTGTAGAAGAAGTGTCGTGTTTTCTCGTAAATTTCGCGGGGACTGTACTCATTGCCCCACAGATGCTAGATACAGGTAAATTGTCAGTGGTGTTTTTATGGAAAAGCTGAATGAAAAAAAAAAAAAAAAAGGGGGGGGGGGGGGGGGAGACTTACCAATAGCTTTTCATACATTCCCCATGGTCCCAACTTGGATACCTTTCGGAGGTAACCTGGAAGAACAACCTGTTAGGTATTGAACAAAACTTGACCACTTTGTCGAATAGTAATAACATACCGAAAGTACTAAGCTCAGCGTAAGTCACACCCATATCAGCCTCGTCGGATTGCACATATGTTGCCGTACGAGGCTCTAGCTCAGCAGTAGGTGTTGCGTGGATGAACTCTTCCAGAATTGGAAGGTCAAAGTTGATGCCTGCCCATCCAATGAACTTCTTGAGGTCAACCTTGCTAATAGATCCAATGGGATTGAGATCGGCTGAGCTGGCATCGTATTTGGTCAAGTAACCCCGCAAGCATTCGTCCACGTTGGATGATGCAAGAACTAAAAGACCGCCGCCACCAGGTCGTTGACGAACAGTCGGTAACAACGAAGCAAATAAATAAGAGAGAACCATTCTGAGCCGAGCTTGGACATTTTGCAACGCTGCATTCTCGGCTGTACTGCCTCCATGGACCTTGAAGCGTGGCTGGAAATTGGTGACGGTGCTGAAGAGAGCCATAAGAGCCGTTACTACTGTGTCAAAGTTAAAGTCAATATGGTATGACCCAATATCCGCGGCAAGTCGCTTAGCCCGGTCCCTTGTCTCCTGGCCCGAATTCTGTGTGCCCATGTAGCTAGTGTGGAAAATGGCTCGGCAGATTTCCTGGCTGGTAGTAGGGAGCCAATCAGAGTCAGCGGGTTTAGCACAGAGCCTCCGGACATCCTCGATGACCTGCTCGTTACCTTCTCTGACTGCTTTCAGAACCTCACGGCACATTGAATGAACAATCACCGAAGTAGCACAGCTATCAATACCGCCGCTGAGAGGGATGAAAAATCCCGCAGCGCCACATCGCCGCAGGTAATCCCAAAGCCAACAGGCCGGACCGAGAGCAATCTCCTCTTCTGGAACATGGAAGTGTGGCTTAAATGGCACGGAGACCGTGAGGCTGGGATCAGCCTCCTCGCCGCGGCGGGAAAGCCGAACATCGATGTCCAGGCGAACAAACGGCGACTGCTTGGCCGCCTGCATTCCTCGGCTGACGCCTGAACGATACGTTCGGACCTCTTCAAGGTCGACAGTTGCTGTGACCACCTCGACGTCGTTCAAAGAAAATTGAGATCCTTGTGCCACGACATCACCATTCACTACAATCATTGCGCAGCCATCGTAGTACAAGCGATCACCATCACAACCCTGCTGGTTGGCGTACAAGTAGATTCCGCCGCTCTATGTCGTGGGTGTCCGAGTCAGTATGAGAATGTAATTCAAGGGCGTGAGACGTACCAGTTTTGTAGCTTGTGTAATCAGATTAACGCGGGTATCGAGTTTCTTCAATTCATGGTGACTACCGGAAGAGTTGGAAATGATTTCCACACCTAAATTTGGTTAGTGAATGCAGGATTGAGTGCTAAAGGTATTTGAAATCTCACCAGCCAGCCCGTAAGGAATATGGGGTCTATTTTATAAGGTCAATGATTGCATCCAACAGAAAATTGGGAATGCAGCATACCCATTAGGAGTGAATAATTCCTCACAAGTCTCCAGGCCAAGACATGTATCTCTAGTGCTGATAACGGCGTCACCGAAAGGAACCTTGTATTGGTCTGTGATGTTTCCGACGATCTGTTCGAGATAATAGTCTTCAACTTCTTGGGGACGCTGCCACGGAATGAAGTGTCTGTGTTCTCTGTAGTTTCCATCTATACCGAAGAAAGACATGAGCATGGGAGGTATATTGGGTCGATTGACAATGCAGGAGCGAACGAACCATTGGCGAGCCACATCTTAGGTCGGATAAGGATAATCTTTCGATTGTAGAAGATGACACTGGTAAATGGATCGAATTTATAGATTAGTGAATCGTCCTATTGCATGAAAAAAGCCGTGGAGACTCTTACCGGCAGTTGTAGCGCACATTGCGGTGGCGCACAGGCATACCCACGTCCACCACAATATCCTGACAGTCTGGGTGATCGATAATACGAGCTAGCATCTCCCATGAGTGCAAAAAGGTGTCCCCCTCAAGGAATCCATCTAGCACACCGTATCCTACCAAGCTGTGTCAACGTCTGGCCTCATATTTTGGAGTGCGACTCTTCTTCATCGCTTACCAGTGATCTCAAGCTCTGGACCGACACGTAAAGTCGCACCTGCTGCTTTTGCCTGCCGAACGCTCTCAATGATGCGGGCTGCATTGCCTTCAAAATCAAGGGCCCATTGGTTCAGAGAGCTATAAAGTCAGTAAATGAAGCTCCTTCAAGCGAATATTTCAGTCATACCAGGTCGCTAGAGTCACAAGGTGCCCCATGATGAAATCCAGTTGCAATAACCACAGCTATGAACTCCAACGAGAAGTTTGCATAAGATAAAGAAGCTGAAAATGGGAAATTCATCATCGGATCACGTGTGTGGGGAGGCCGCTCTTCCCCGCCTCGCAGTATTGGCTTTACTTAATGTTACGAATAATACACCCCTCACGCAAGGGGATCGGTGCAAGTCCGACGAAATACCTGGTCATCTCAATACACGACCTACGCTGATTAATGCATATCGCATTCGCCATCCTCCGATCATTTGCTCCGTTTGTCCTTGTTCACATATACGTACTTGCTCTCATTGCTGCATATAGATCATCATCACCATGAGCACGCCCTTCCAAATTCCGGTCCCAGCGCACACGCTCGCAGAATCTATGCTTTCGCGGCGCTTTGGTCGGGAAACAGCGAACTATTTCTCCAGTATGGAATTGCCGAGGGGATGAGAGCAAAAGATTGACGATATTGAAATGAACACCGCAATACTAAGAACTATCCACAGGCTCCCCCATAAACAGACTGTCATTTCTGCGCGATGATCATAAATTTCTTTCTACGGCCCTGAAGCATCCTTCTACACAGTTCGTCTTGCTGAATAACCTCGCCCCGCTCACTCGTTCCCCTTCCGAGTTATACTATGCCAAGTATGAGGAATTGCGCAAGCTTATCCCTCAGGATATCTTTGATCAACCTGAAGAAGAAATGATCAAAGCGTTTGACTCGCGGAAAACAAACCCGAACTTGATCTTCCTCGGTTTGGATGAGAGTCGCAAGGAGACAAATGGCTTCGCTCACAAGATCTACTCCGGTGCCCCCTGTTTCGCCGTTGATGTTACACCTAGAGGATCCGAGGCGCAGCAGACTGCAGCCAAGGACATTATTAGTACAATGGAATCAAAGGGCCTTTCGTTCTTCCAGGCTAGAATCGTTACGACCTTTTCCCCAGATGAAGGTACGTCAAATGAGCCGAGGCTTATGATAACCTCGCCAAAAGCAATACTTCTAGGACTAGACACTTACCGCATATGAAAACAGCCGCCATATATGCCCAGGCACGCGCTTTGACTGATTGGAATAACCGCAACACTTTCTGTGGCACTTGTGGTAACCCCACCCTTTCAGTAAACGCAGGAACCAAGCGCACCTGTCCACCTACAGACGCCGCCCGCATTTCTACAGGCCAACCCCAAGAGCGCCCTGCCTGTACAACCCGCACGACGCTTTCAAACCTGTGCTTCCCTCGCACTGACCCGACCATAATTGTGGCCGTCCTCTCCGCCGATGGCAAGCGTGTCCTGCTCGGCCGGTCTAAGCGCTTCCCTCCAAGCCTGTACTCGACCCTAGCAGGATTCATCGAGCCTGCGGAGTCAATTGAGGATGCCGTCCGTCGTGAGGTGTGGGAGGAGGCTGGCGTGACACTCTCGCGGGTTGTCATTCATTCTTCGCAACCATGGCCTTACCCTGCGAACTTGATGATTGGAGCTATTGCGCAAGTGGCCGAGCCGGCCCACGAGAAGATCAACCTGGAGCATGACCCGGAGCTCGAAGATGCCAAGTGGTTTGATATCGCGGAGGTGGAGGAGGCTCTGCGTATTGGGACGGGTGATCTGAGTGCTGGACCTGGTCCAGAGTACAAGGGTGGCTTGAGACTGCCGCCGCCGACGGCGATTGCGAACCAGTTGATTCGTTCGGCAGTCAGCAAGGATTATTTCAACCCCGAAGAGAAGGCTTCTAAGATGTGAGTTATATGTTTTGAGTCTTGTATATACGGCATGCCATCTGTGTATAGATCAACATTGAAAGATGAGTAAATATTGAGAAGAGAAAAAATGGGTATGAAGATATTGGAGCATATGTGCAGGTTTATTTAATCTTGGTAAACTTCTTGCGGGCCTGGTCTCATGTGTATTGTAAAGCAGTGAGGCTGTCTAATTTCACAAGTTGGCATAGAGGGTCCCATCGCGTAATTCGTGAATGCTTTCTTTGGTGCCTGGAGATCCAACCTCAGTGTATCGACGGCCATCTCGGAGTTCGTGGATGGTAACTCGCCGGTGGCTTTTACGTGAACGACGTGATCCCCGAGTGGAAGAACTCGGGTCCCCACGAGAAACTGAGTCTAAACTTCCTGACTCACTTATAATTGCACTGCCTTCTCTTTCCACGCTCTCTCTGAGGATTGAGGCTTGAAGCTGATGATCGGCAACCATGCTTGCACCAAAATCGCCATACCACTTTCGCAGGCCAGATGAATAAGCTCGCTCCTCTGCGCTGTATTCAACTGGAGGACCAGTCACTTGTGCGTCCGGTCCAGAACCATCGAAGACAGCCCATGAGCTGGATTCGACACTGACCAGCATGATTGTGTGATCAAAACTGCGAACTTTTAGATTTCTGAGCAAGACGGCGTTTCCCTCGACCAAAGTCGGGATTGCAGATTTGTAGCGGCGAAATATTTGGGCATGAAGAACAGTTCCAGCCATAGACGGATCGGTCAGTTGGATGGTTATGAAATAGTCCTTCGGACCAGAAGTTGCCTTGGAAATCGTGGATACTTCATGAACAATTGAGATGGTGTCCACTAAAGAACCAAAATGGTCGATAAGTGTGGCTAGAGGAGCGAAGTAAGACAATTTACTTCGTAGTCCATGGGCATGACGATCGGGAGCTGGAAGCTGACTAATGATAACTGCTGGGACTTCCTGACCTCCCTCTCCGGTAGTTCCTAGCTGTTCTTCGGGCTGAACGGTCTCAGTGGTTGGTATGACAATTAGTGGATCGCCCGCGGGGTTCTCATCAAGCACAACCTCCGGGGCAAATATCTGCTCCAAAAGGGACGACGTCACGACATCCTCAGACGGCTGATCTGCAGCACTTGAGACAACGTCCAATGCAGGAATTTCCGGTGAAGGTGAGTTCTGCACATTCTCACTGTGCTCAAAAGCTTCTATGCCATTGACTTCCTGAGTAGGGGCAGGAGTCAATAGTTGCGGCCAGGTGGATTTTACCGGAGTATGTTCGACTTCTTCATTGCCAGTTTGAACTTTGGCATGTGAAGGCGTCACGTCGTCAGGTTTCTCATCGTGCTGGCCGTCCAGCCCGTATGATTTGTTTGCATTTGTGCCAGACCAAGCCTTCTCGATTTGACTAGCAGGTGCTGAATCTTCCCGCAGGAAAGCAGTCTCATCAGTCTTTCCAGGTTCTTCTTCGTCGTGCAGGCCGACCGCTGATTCTGTATTTGCACCCGTGTTGAGATCACTATCATAATGATCATCACTTGGTGGCACTCCCTCTGACTCAGAAATGTCGCCATTGTCTTCCTGCTCGCTCACCGAAGACTCTCGCGTTGAACGCTTCTGCGGATAATGATCTCGAGCCAAAACGTCAACAGATGACTCATCTTCTTTATCACTATCGTGGACTCGGTCATCCTGCCCAAAAGTGTCGATCTCATCTTCTTCGGAACATTCGGCTTCTGATTGAGATTCTTCTTCTTCGACCATATCCCATTCTTCATGTTCCGGTTGAGGTGTTGAATGGCGTGATGATATGAGTCCTTGGTGCATGGGCTGCACATTCTCTGGGCGGTTGGAGGTAAGCTCGTCTTCACTGTCACTATCTAGCACAATGACTTCATGCCTCGCAGGAGGTTCTCGTGACCGATCAATTGCCTCGGATTCCTCATCCTCACTTGCTTCTTGTGTGGCTTGGTCGTATTGGGAGTCAGTTTCAGAGTCCGACGCTTCATCTTCATCGTCATAGGAGAGAGCCTCCGCCTCAGCTGGAAGACTCCCTTGGTCACTGAAACTGGGACGACGTGGGTGATGATCTTGTTTAACCTGATATGTAACTGAAGAGTGGTCACCCTCATCATTTTCAACCTCTTCATGCACCAGTGTTTCTGTATATTTTAGAGCGAGGTCTGAACCAGATGTCTCCTGCGCATGGATTAAGAACCCCGAGCCAGTCTGAGGATCCCCATTCTTATCTTCAGCGTCTTCGAACCCTGACTGGGAACCATAATATTCCTCGTATTCCATGTCTTGGTCCTCTTGGTCCTCTTGGTCCTCTTGGTCCTCTTGGTCCTCTTGGTCCTCTTGGTCCTCTTGGTCCTCTTGGTCCTCTTGGTCCTCTTGGTCCTCTTGGTCCTCTTGGTCCTCTTGGTCCTCTTGGTCCTCTTGGTCCTCTTGGTCCTCTTGGTCTTCCCGATCCTCCCGATCCTCGTTATTCCCCACTACTTCTTCACCTCCATCAGATCCACTTGGTAGAGCTACTACCTGATCCGTGACAGGTGACAAGAGTGGCTCGTCAATATGCTTTAAATCGGCCGCGACGCCAAGAATACCAGAGCCATCGACAAAGGGTTCTGCTTGTTCAAATACCAAGTCCATAGACGGGATTTCAAGCATAGAACTTGGCGGTGACTGGTGATCTACCAGACCAGCTGGCGTGAAGATAGACTCAGCATCTGTTGGCATTTCTTGAGGAGGACACACAGGAGAGGTGTGAAGGAAGGATACGGGTTCCGAAGCAGTCACGCTGGCATTGGCTTCCAGAGACACAGATTCCACACCCTGCGTTGGAGAAACAGTGTGAAAGCCCGAAAAGTATCCCTGTGGATTATTTGGATTTGAAACAATAGGCGAGGGTATTGGAAGACCAGGCGAAGGTATAGGCCGGAGTTGTGGGGTATCCGTAGGAAGGTGGGAGGCTGACACCAGACGCTGTTGGAAGGTATTTTCCGTTTGTCCGTGTGACAGTTTGCTGGATTCCGTTGATTGCTTGCCGAAAATTCCACCAGATGTATCAAGAGAAGGCTTGATAAAGATAGGAGACTGCTCCCGAGACGCATTTCCCTCGGTTTGATCCGCATCAAGAAGCATATTCTCATCCCGAGGTTCAGAACCATCAACCTCCGGGACAATATCATCATTTCCTTCCGACATTTTCTCCCAGGATTCTTTCTCCCACCAATTCAACGCAGGTTCCTGCTCCTGTGGACTCATAGGTTCTTCCAAAACATGCCAATCGTCCCTTTTCAAGCTGTATCTTGGCCGTTTCCTTCCCTTGCCAGGAACAAACCCATCATCCTCCGCAGATATGGAGAGAGATGTACGAGGCACACTGCCAAAGGGATTTGAAACAGATCGTAGGAAAGCTGGCGATTCCCATGATCCTTGACCTAATTCTAAGTGATCTGTTGAAACGGTGCGAGGCGTGGAGGGCGGAGCTTGGACAGCTTCTTGCGTTGCTAGGTCGTGACAGTCGATGGATATTTTGGATGAATCGTCGGACGATTGGTTAATCTATTGCAATGTTATTGATATCGGAGCTTGATCTAAATCTCAAAAGGTCAAAGTTACCTCTAGGGACACCCCATGATCGAAATGTATGTCCCACGCGACATACCTCCCGGGGGTTTGCGTTGCTGTGTCATTTGGAACGAAATTTGAATGTTGCAGTGCCAGGCGAATATTGTCACCAATACCGACATGCGATGCGGCAACTTGCTCCGCAACGCGCCCATGAAATACCGCCTTGGTTTGCCCGTGTAAACGTCGTAGGCGGAAGTCGGGTTCGGCGAGTAAGAGGCTGAGGGACTTAGTCGAAGATGAATACGGCCAGACCAGGGTCACGGTTGCTTCGATACATTTTCCCTGGCGCTGCTCGAGACTAGGTGACAGTTGGGCGATCGGGATCTTGGCGAGCTGCAGTGGTGAACTTGGTGCCGGAGGTTGGCCGGCTGCATCAATCATTTTATCCACGAAAACCAGACCGACATCAACAGTCTGTGACCATCAACATGGTATGGGGAGGATCAGATCAAAGAGGGCGAAATGTTGGAAGGACGCGGGTGCAACAAAGGAACTGGAGACTGCGGGTTGCAGCTTTGGTAATACAGTGGTAATGGAGCGCTTTTAGTATGGGGATGAGATTTTTGGGGATGTTTTTTCAATACCGGAAACATTTACACGTAATCAATCTCAAGTGCTGGTCTCACGATCAATGTCCATAGTAATTAAATCACTGTCTAACTAACTATTTTATACGCTGAAGCTTCTCAATGAATCAATTAACCTTGGAGCCATGAGCTATATAGACGGCCCCTCATTCTCAATATCCCCATCAAGTCTTGGGACAGTCAAGGACTATCTTTGTATTTGTGAATCAAGAGATTCCAATGATCCTATAACTATGCGCCGATAAGCTCCACTGCTCCACTATGCCGCGAGTGCCCACTGCCAGTCGGTCGGCTTCTCTAACACATCCCCTTCGTCCGGCGAACACAGTGAAGTGTTGTGATATATCAGGCCATGACACTCACAAATCCCATTCGGCGTGTTGCTGTTATTGGAGCAGGGCCATCTGGTCTTGCTGCTGTAAAGTAAGCACTGAAAATCTCCCCCTTGTTTGGGTTCTATTTGAGCCTGACCACGCTGTTTGACCGGCACAACAGATACCTTCGAGAGGAAAAGTACTTTGAACAAATTGATGTGTTTGAGCAGAGGAGCTCCCTTGGTGGAGCCTGGAATTATACCCCAAGCTCTTCCAAATCCAGCGTTCCAACCACTGTGCCCCATCTGAATCCTCATGAACCTGTTGAGAAGCCAATATGGATCAATCAATCCGAGGGGGCGCGCAAGCCAATTTTTGTGTCCCCGGTATATGAAAAGTTGGAAACCAATATTCCAAAGGAGTTGATGCAGTATTCGGACCATGCCTTTCCCGAGGATTCTCAGCTCTTTCCTGAACACGAGACTGTGAAACAATATCTTGAAGCATATGCCGAGGATACGAAGAGTCACATTCAATTCGAAACACAAGTCAACGGAGTGAAGCTCGAAAACGAAGAGCTGAGTACTTGGGCCCTCACCGCAACAAAGCTTCAAACAGGGACAGAAGCCACGTATATCTACGATGCCGTGGTCGTGGCAAGCGGCCATTTTAATGTTCCATACGTTCCAGATATCCCGGGAATAGAAGTTTGGGATAAGGCATACGCGGGTGCCGTTTCTCACTCCAAGCTATACGACTCACCTGAAGTATTTCGAGAGAGGAAAGTCGTGGTCGTGGGAAGTTCTGCTTCGGGGCTCGATATTGCAGCTCAGATTAATGAAGTCAGCAAAGAAAAGGTTATAGTGTCTCAGAAGTCTGAATCGTATCTTGCAGCTTCAGCCCCTTCGGATAAAATAATTCGTCCTCAGATTGTCGAATTTATGTCTCCTAAGATACATGACCGAGGCCTTCGATTCGCAGATGGCCACATTGAAGACAAAATAGATGCTGTCGTCTTTTGCACGGGGTATCTTTACTCTTTCCCATTTCTATCATCTCTTGAGCCAGCTGTCATAACGGATGGGTGGCGCACGAAGAACGTCTATCGGCAGCTTTTCTATATCAACCACCCTACTCTTGCCTTTCCTGTTCTTTCACAGCGAGTGGTTCCCTTTGTCACAGCGGAAAATCAAGCCGCTGTGTTCTCTCGTGTATGGTCGGGGAGGCTTCACCTTCCAGAGCAGGAACATATGAAAGCATCTGAAAACTCTGAAGTTACACAGAAAGGGGATGGAAAGGCCTTTCATGTTATGCCTTTCCCTATGGACGTAGACTACTTGAATCTTTTACACAATTGGGCGACTAGTGCCAAAGCCCGCCCAGGGCTTGAGGAAAGCGGGAGAGGAAAATTGGGAAAACACTGGGGAGATCGCGAAAGATGGATGCGGGCACTGTTCCCGGAGATTCGCCGAGCCTTTGTTCAAATAGGAGAGCAGCGCAGTAAGATAAAGACACTTGAAGCGCTTGGATTTGACTTTGAAACTTGGAAAAGGGACCAGGAACAGAATGAGGGACTTGCGAAATCGTAGAGATGAATTTCTCTAGGGTTTTCAACGGTGACGGTACTTACTACTATGTACTAGGTACCTTACACTACATACTGCACCTGCACCCATTTTCATTTTTGAACATTCTATATGGAACTAAGGCATCAGCCTGATGACATTGAAGTTCATCATTTCGGCCTATCATGTATCTATATACGACAAATATTTGATATATTTCAACCCTTTTAATAGTACTATATACTAGTAGAGCTAGGCATGTCTGTAATAATTATGTACATACCACATACAGCCCTGTAAATTTTTATTTTTGTGTGCTCTTGGGATATTACATACTGATGCAGGTAGGGGCCGCAGGGGGATCGCCAAAGATTGATGGATTCTTAAAAATATTGAAAAACCTCTCAAATTCTGGCGGTATCGAAAATCCAATGTTTGATGTAGGTAAATCCTTCATTCAGGCAACCCAGACAAGATGATAACGCATGAAGAAGTACGAAACGTTAGAACTTCTGAACAGATGATAAACACAGAAAACTACTACAGGGCATAATTTAGCACCACAGCTAATTATCGTTATCGCATTTTAACCAGTTGACTTCTACACGGATCGTGTCCGGTGCAGATCATGTCTTGAGACGCTAGTCCCTAATGGGCTAGATATGCAATAGCTCATGAATCACGTGATGGCCTCGCATCTCCACCTCCAGTCGGGCTATTCAGTTACTCTTCTATATACCTCTAAAATCCAGTGCTTCAACCGCGACTTCCCCACAGGGCGACTGGAAGCACTTGAGTGCATATCCAGCTACTATTATATACAAGGAGACGAGCCTTGAGTCAAGTATGCTTCTGATTCCCAATTCAAAAACACTACGCCTCTCCCGTGCCATGCGGGCCATGCCCAAACAAGAAGCACAGTCGTAACATGCAATGTTTGAATGTCTTGTTCAACCATATCTAACATCAAATCTGCTAGGTTATTCTCTTGGTTTGGATTAAAGCCTACATAGTACAAGCTTGGCAGTTGCGAGAATACGCCCGCCGCTTTGAAGTCCATCTGCTCAATATCACAAAAGGCCCTTCCGCTTCAACATTGAAGCTTGCCAATCTGCAAATAAGGCAATGAAAACTTCTAGTGCTGCCGAAAACCATTGAAAGTTGATAATAGTACTAGTACTATTGGAACACCGCCAGGGCGGCTCAGTCAACCGCGGTTCAACGTGTTCCCCCCCTTTTCTCACCTCGAGACTTCCCGTCCAAACGTTTCCTCTTCCTCTTCCTCTTCCTCTTCCTCTGTCTAAATTTCTTGCTGTTTTTCTTTTCCAACGTGTCCTTGAGCGATCATTCTTTTGCGTTCTCCAGCGTTCCTCTTTGAAGCACGGGGTCATCCCGTGCACCATCTTCTGCTAAGATGGACGACAAACCATTCCATTTGGGGAACCCTGCTTTTCCTGTTCCTGCAATGGACACCCCCTCGTCTGCTGAAGATGTGGAGGCTGCGCCACGTCCATCGTATCCCGAAACGACAATCCCATTGAGTGTCCGAAACGAGACAGATAGCGTCGCGCACACACACACCGCTGTCCATCACGAACATGCGGGTGCTTTACTGCAATCATCTGACCTATCCCATGGTCAAATTGGATTGCAGACCATTCAACCTAGCGCATTGACAGTCGGGGATGATGTGTTGACTCCACCAGGATCTGTCCGTCTTGGTCCGGCCGAATTCGCCGTGGCCCTGCCCATGGATTCCAGGGTGAAAGATGATTATGAGAAGGTGCTTACAAAGGGAGCTTCAACAATTGATGATTTCTTGTTGCCTTCCAGCACCCCAAGTTCCCAGGCTGCATACCCTGATCATGTAAGGTTTCCTTATGCTCCGGCTATACCCTGGCATCCGCTACTGGTTGTAGCTAACTTTGATACTTGCAGAGAGAGCCATTGCGGTCTAAGGTTTATGAATTGATCACTCGACTCAACAATGTGTGCACTCACCCTGATCTGAATGTCTACGAGCACTTGGACATGACAGGCGCCGATCTAGGGAAACAGGCTTTGTGGGCGGAGTATTCCAGCACCAAATTCCTGTTTCTTGGGTATTTTATTGAACTCGCAAGCGCGCACGAGCTTCACATTATCATCGCTGTCCAAAATGACAAGAAACAAAACGTTGTTGAGCAGTACTTGCGAGGTAGAGGTTTTGTTTACACTCGTCCCCGGGAACAGATGGGTGAGAACTCGGAAGTCTCTTTAGCAAGGGGCTCTTTGAGCTTTGGTGTTCACTCGAGCGGAAACATCCGAGACATGTTCAGAGCTCCTTCTGCCATTTTCGTTTTTGATGCGACCTTCAATCCCAAAAGCCCGTCTGTGGAATACCTTCGCACCACATACACTCGAAATGGTGGCCTCCTTCCCATTATTTGGTTTCTCATTTCCAACACTTGTGAACACATTCAGCGCTGTCTACCTGATGTTACCGAGGATAAGCGACTCCGACTGCTCCTGCGCTGCACTGATCGATTTCACGATGCTGTGGGTGATCTCCAGGATGAGGCCCTCAACGTGCAAGAGGATGCTGAAGAAATCTTCCATTACTTAACGCACGGCTCTACTTATTGGCCACTGCCCACCGTTGAGCCATTGGATATGGCGTTTTTCGAGGCACTGGTATCCGCCGAAGGATCAGAAGCGGCAGAAGGGTCGGACAAGGCGTCGCAAGCAGCCGCTCAGAAGCGCTCGTTGGTGAGTTCTCATTTTTTTCAGCCCTTTTGCTACTCGCAACTGACTATTATCCAGCCCGAGCACGATCAAGAGGACCACATATCTAAGCGTGCCAAATTTGATCTTCTACTAGATACCACTCAGCTGTCCCAATCGACCAAAGGCCCCACGCAAAGTTTGGATCAAGAACTTCGATCTCTAGAAACAAACCTCGTCCAAATGAAAGAAACCCATGGTGCTGAGATAGAGGAGTTTAAGAACGATCTATCTGCATGGAAGGCACAATACTTTGACATGGAAAAGACGTTGGGTCATCTTCAGCATCGCTTCGAGAGCCAAAGAACTGAATTACACGACATCCGGAAGAAAAACAAGAGCCTGGAATCGACCGTAATAACGCTGCAACAACGACCTGATAAATCGAAAGACGACATCTCAAAGTTAAAAGAGGAACGAACTCAACTGAAAAAGGAGCTCGAGGAGGTCCGCCAAGAACTCAAGAATGGTGTCGCATCATTGGCAGATCTTGAGACAGCCCGTGAAGAGATTCGTCTCTTGAAAAAGGAAAATGCCAGCCTAGAACGCAAGGCCGAATACGAACGAAACCAGGCGGAATACACTCGCGAGCAATACCAAAACGCATCGAACGCCGCTGCTCAGGCTGGAAATGAATCGCGTACCCTGCAAGCTGAGAATGACTCTCTCACGATGAAGCTCAAGAATGAATTCAACACTTTACGACAGCTCACCACCGAGAACGACGCAATCCGTCACTTGACCCGTGTTGAGGAACTAGAGATCATCCTTGACAACCGCAACGAGCTCTTACGAAAGAGGGAGGAAGAACTGCGAGAAATCCGTAAGAATCGACCTTCGACCCGCTCGACCAGTACCCAACCACGCAGCCCGAAGTGGGGTGCATCCAGCCGTCAAACAAGCCCCGTTGTGCCTGGGAATGGAAACGGCAATGGTGGTGGTGGTGGTGGTGGTGGCCTTCCAGGCCGAGGTAGTGGCTTACGCTTCAGCTCGGAGGCTCTGCCATGATACGGGATTTTCTCGAGAATTGCAATACTCTAGTTTTAGTCTACTTTTACGACAGGATTTTGGATTGTATCAATTACTCTAGTCTTTATCATGAAGATGAATGGAACAATTGTCAGGGAGAAGTGAACTTTGTGACCCATTCCGGTTACATTGTCCGCTCCTGGACTTGCGTCTAAGTGCAGCGCGTGTTGGTTTTCGTGTTGCGGTTTGTGTTAGATAGTAGTAGTAGGCAGTAGTCCAGGGAAGTGAGAGCTTCTCTCTCCTTTCCTTCCTTCCTTCCTTCTTTCCCCTCCATCCCGCTTAGTAAAGAAACACAATCATAGCTTGGATTCTTCTCTCCTCATTTCCATTCGTTTCCCAAGTCTACATTGTAGATCTGACAATAATCAATGTTACCGTATTCTTAAATATTTGCAGTCTATGACGTGTATACTAACGACTCCAACGAGTAGTAGCTCCACCCGGAGCTCCAGTGACCTAGATCACTTACTCGCATTGCTCAAGGTTTCAGATTTGCAACGTTGACTTATCTACTACCTAAGGTTCTAAGCCTTGCTACTACGCTATTAGTCAACTTCAAATATTAATTGTGAGTCAGTTTTACTTCAGTAGTCTTGTTCCATTCTTATTCAAATTTTGGCAACAACATTGAAGGTTTATTTCCAAGTAGGCCCTGCACTGGAGATGCCTTGCTAACATTGAATTTTTCCATGAAAACCGTTCATGTTTCCAACATTTGTTTCAATATTATTAAATGAGCTTCCAGGTCTCGTCAACTGGTTCAATTGATTCTTAAGGACAATCACATTATAGGCTTATGTATATTACCAATTATGTATCCAATGTAGTAAGTAGAAACGAAGGAAGTCTCAAGAAAACAAAACAGAAGAAAATAACTCCAGCCAGGCAGTTTCGTGAGAGACAAAGGAAAGATAAGAAAAAGAAATAAAAGATTAAACAAGAAAAGAAAGGTCAAAGCAATCTCTTTCAAGAAGAATGCATAGCTCCAGCAATGAACGCTGCCAGCTCCTTGGACTTCTCACCACGGGTCATTGTGAAGTGATTAGCGCCCTCCATGACGGTAATACCGCCAACATTCTTAGGACCAACAAGGGTATCCCATCCATTGGCACCAAGGTCAGTGCGGTTGTTCAACAGCCACAGCATCTCCCTGGGGTCAGGGCTCCCATCCTCGGCAGGTGCAGGGCGAGGATCAGTAGGCTGATTACAAACACCATCCTTGGCCCAGACCATGAAAGTCTTGGGAAGCTTGTCTGCAAGTTTCTCATCATTGAAAGGGAAAGGAACGGCCTTGTATGCATCCAGAGAGTCAATGAAGGCCAGGAAATGGGGAAGCAACCACTTGGGCGGGGGCGCCTTGCCCTCGCCGAATAGACCAATTGTATCAAAGAACTTGTACAGACGACGGGGGAGCTTCTCAAGACCGATGGGGAACGGCGAGTCTAGGAGGAGCAGGCGATCGACACGCTCACCCTGGTCGAAGATCAGGTGGCGGGCTGCGTCGTAGGCGCAGATACCACCTGCGGACCAACCGCCAAAGTTGTAGGGACCTGTTGGTTGGCGGCGACGAATCTCAGCGACATAAGGGAATGTAAGCTCGTCTAAACTGAAGTTCAGGTTCTCCGGGTTGCGCATGTAGGGGCAGTTAAGTCCGTACACGCAGACATCGGGTGAGATGCCTGGGATTGTGGCGTATGAAGTAGCGGATCCAGAGCCGTCGGGGAACAGGAAGAGCTTCTGGGTGGCCGTCTTGGGGTTTCCTTGTAGGAGGATGGAAGTTGCTGGGGGATGTTGGATTGCCGTGCTCGAAAGAACCTTGGACGCCTCCATTGGGATCTGCTTTGGCAATTGAATGGGCTCAGTAGGAGGAGCGGCCTTGGGCTTCAAGTCAAGAGCGATTTCGACCTCGTTGACAGTTTGGTTTTCAATGAAGAACTCGCCAGATAGCTCGAGATCCAAAGTCTCGCGGATCTTGCCCAGAACGGTGAGTGACATCAAAGAGTCAAGACCCATTTCTGCGAGGTTGACGTCTCCTTGGAGCTCTTCAGGTTCGACACCGATCTCCTCTGCAAGAATCTCGCAGATTTGCTTCATGGTATCATTTTGCACAGCCTCGAGAATCATGGTCTTCTCGTTGGCAGGAGTAGGAAGTCCACTGGAGTTAGGAGTCGAGATGTCGGTTGATGATGCCGCGGATGAGATGTCGTTATCACTGGCGGAAGCATCGCTGCTGCTCTCGGGGCTCATTGAGGCCAGGAATTGCTTGAAGTCCTTGATTGTAGGCTGATCAATGAAGATATTGGAGTCAAAGTCAAGGCTCATTTCCTCTCGGTAACGTCCAGTCACTGTCAACGAAAGCAAGGAGTCAACTCCGTAGTCTGCAAAGTTAAGGTCGTCTGTCATATCAGAGGCAGAAAGACCAACTTCTTCGGCCAGGATATTCAGGGCCTTTGTAGAAATGCCAGAGCCAGCAGACTTGGGGGAAGGTGAAGCTTTCTTGACTTGAGGGGCGCGGGTTTTCTTGATGTCGATAGGCGCGGGCCTGGCCTTAGGAGCGGCGGCAACAGGAGCAGGCTTGGAGCCAGCAGGAGGAAGTGCCATGTCCAAAATCTTTCTTGAAAGAGCCTGGAACTTGACGCCACCATAGACGGCAACAATTTCATCTCCCTCAAAGAGGTACACATCACCAGCGTAGATCGAGTCCTTCCAAGGTTGCATCCGGACGTAAGTACGGTATGTGACACTAGGGTCAAACTTCTTCAAGCATCGCATTGAGTCCCATCCGTGGTTGACGAACACCTGGTTCTTAGAGTCAATACCATCACTGGCATTCATGATGAAGCCGGAAAGATGGCCAATGCTATCAATCCAGAATGGGTTGCGGTGGAAGTTGCCAGGAGGAGCAGCAAACTTGACCAGTGCAGTTGCTTCATGCTGTTCGCTATCCAAGATGACTTCTTGGATGGACTTGTAGTTCTCATCGTAGTCCACAAGAGCACTGAACAACTTGTAAACCATTCCACGCTTCATGCGATGAGCTCCACCCGACTCTGTGCTTTGCTGAAGATGTTGAATGCTTCGCTTGATCAAGTATGTGGAGCGCTTCCATTCCTCTGCGGCCATTCGGGTGTCGAAGAACTTGATCGTGCATGTAGCATGATCAAGGATCTTCTTACCTTCGGAGGTAACAGACCAGACCTTTACTTGAGCCTTCTCCTCGGCCCAGTTGGTAGTTGCTGAAACTCGGAACAGTTGCTTACCACCCTTTGCAATGAGGGGCTTTGGCACGACAACTTCGCAAACGTCGTAGCCACGCTCCTTGAACTCGGGCTTGTACTTCTCGACCAGGAACTCACCCAATGTTTGGGCAATATCGGCATAGAGTGAAGATGGGCAAAGAGCGGCTCCATTGACCTTGTGGCCCTGGATGACACGGTTCAGATCAGGATCAGCAATATCGTTTTCGATGGTCACAGTGGCCGTGTTGCTGTCTCCACTAGTCTCCAGGATCTTTTGCGCTGACGAGGTCAGGAAAGTTGTAACAGGAGCGACTTCAGCGTTGGAGGTTGCAGGGGCACCCTTCAGGAGACAGAAATTGTTGGTGTAGGGAATCCAATAGTTCTTCAGATCCCACTTGTAGGCAGGAAGGTTAAGCACTTCATGTGTGGAGCTGAAGTCCTGGTGATATTCCTTCCAGCGGATATCAATTCCAGCCATGTAGAGGGCAGAGATGCTTGTAGAGAGCACCTTCCATACATCCTCCTGGCGACGGAGAGATGCTACTGTAAGGACTTGAGGTCCAAATGTTGACTTCACCATCCCAGAGCACACAGGGTGAGATCCAATCTCAATCCATAGGGTCTTGTCAGTCATCAATTTCTCGTGGCGGACAGCCTCCAGAGCAGCGAGGAAGTTGACAGATTCACGGCAGTGGCGAGTCAGATATGTAGGGCCAAGAACATCAGGGTTGGCCTCCTTGATGACGTCTCCAAGAAGAGCAGAGACGAAGGGAATCTTGGGCTCGTTGAAGGTCACTCCCTTGGCAATGCTTTCAAGACTTTCAAGAATTGGATCAACCTGAGCAGAGTGGAAAGCAAAGGGTACCTTGAGCTTGGTAGCCTTGAAACCTTCATTGGCCAGCTTTTCGGCAAATTGATCGATCTTCTCGTTGGAACCACTGATGACAGTCTCGCTGGGTGCGTTGATACAGGCCACCTCGGCGACACCATCTTCCAAGTATTGCTTGACCTGGGCGACTGAAGACTTCACAGCCAACATGGCGTGTGTTCCCATCTGGCACTTCTCGGTCAGGAGCTGTGCTCGGCGACCGGCAAGGTAGATGGTATCACTAGTGCTTAAGATACCAGCAGCATTCAATGCGGCATACTCGCCCAGGCTATGTCCAAGGACAAATGCAGGCTTGACACCAAGAGAGATCCAGAACTTTGTCAATGCCATCTGGATGCAAGTGGTTCCCAATTGAGTCACAATGGGGCTGAGCTGCTCCACAGGAACGCTTCCGTCTACCAAAGGAATGATAGAGGGGAAGTCAAAGCTTTGTACAATGCGATCCAGATGTTCAATGTGGGTTCGGAATTGGGAGTTATTTTCAAACAGCTGGCTTCCCATGCCACTGTACTGGGCCCCTTGGCCAGTGTAAATGAACCCAGCTCCTGGTGCGGTGGCAGGAACAGGAGTAATACTCTCGCGGGTTGCACTTGCGTTCAAACCGGCACGAATCTCCTCCAGGGTAGATCCAGTGGCGCTGACCCGGAAAGTATGATGAATGCGTCGGGCAGTGGTGGTGTAAGAGAGATCACCAAGTAGTTTAGACTCATTCACATTGAAAAGGTTTTTGTTCGTATCAATGTATTGGATCAAAGCAGCAGCGTTATTCTTGAGGGCAGACTGTGATCTCGCCGAGATGGTCACTGTGTGCACAGATCGCGGGTCTTTGCCGGTGCGCTCATTGATAGGAGCATCTTGCACCAATAAAGCGGTGTTTCCACCGGCAGCGGAGAAGTTGTTGACAAAGCTGGACCGCTTTCCACCGGCAGGACGATCCCATCGAGTAGGTTCCATAGCAATGTGAACATTGCGTTGCTTCAAGTCAGTTGGGAAGTTGTGGTTGATTTTGGTTTTGATTCCACAATGAGGGGGAATCATATTCTTCTGCATCATGACCAAAACCTTGATCAAAGCAGAGACACCAGAGGCCGATTCTCCATGACCAATGTTTGACTTTGCAGAACCAAGATGAAGCGACTGAGATGGACCACGGCGATAGTCAGGGGCAAATACATCAAGGACAGATTGCATTTCCACAGCATCACCGGCTTGAGTACCAGTTCCGTGCATCTCAATGTAGCTAACATCCTTAGGGCTGACATCGGCCTCATTGAGCAACTTGTCGAAGATGAAAGCCTGGGCGCCAGCAAGGGGGCGAGTAATGGAAACAGACTCAGCGGAGTGATTCGTGTACGCTCCATTGATGATACCATAAATCGGATCATTGTCTGCTTGAGCATCCTCAAGTCTCTTCAAAACAACTGAGCCGATACCATCAGCGCGGCAGTAACCATCGGCGCCATCGTCGAAGGTGTTGCAGTTTCCACCGCGTGAGAGGAAATGGCCACGGTCAAGACCAGCGTGGTTGTCAGGGTTGGTCAAAACGTTGACACCACCTGCCACAGCAGAGTCGCAATCATTTTTCCAGAGAGAATTGCATGCGACGTGGATCGCGGCCAGACTGGAGGAACAGGCCGTATCGACGCTAACACTTGGACCGCTAAACTTGAAATAGTAGTTAATGCGACCGGGAGTGAAAGCACGGTTACCGCCGGGAATGAAATAAGTGTCAATGTCTTGACCACTGTTGATCTCACGGTAATCGTCACTGGTCATGCCATAGAAAACACCAACTCTGTTCTTCTGGGTCGATGGGGTGCTGTCTGGAATGAAACCGGCCATTTCGAAAGCCTCATACGCGGTAAGCAAAGCTAGTCGCTGTGCGGGGTCCGCCTGCAACGCCTCACGGGGAGACATGTTGAAGAATCGAGGATCAAAGTGACCTGGCTCGTTGATCCAGCATCCATATTGCACTTTGCTAGTGTTTCGTCGACTTCCATCCATATCCACGTGAGCTTTGACATCCCAACGGTCTGCTGGGACTTCACGGTGGACATCGAGTCCTTTGTATAGAAGGTCCCACAAAGCTTCGGTATCTGGCGCCTCTGGGAAACGTCCAGAGAGACCAATGATGGCAATCTTGGACTGCTCTGAGCGACCACTGTGGTTGTCGCCGGTCGGGTCCTTCTTGACATCGCCAATCGCAGTGTCAAGCTCAATGTCGGAAACTCCGGATTTCTTGAGCGCTGAGTGAAGGCTTTGTGTTGCCGTGCTTGATACTGGCAAAAGGGTGCATTTTCCATTGTTCATCTTCAGAATTGAGGAGCATGAATCGACTACTTTATCCCAGCAAAGCTGTCGAAGAAGAATTTCTTCAAGAGAAAATCTCAACAAGGATTCAAGGTTCTCGGCTTCAACGGCTTCACCTGTCTCGCTTGAGATAATAGGGATCTGAGGGACAAAGTTTGAAAACTCCTCTGTCGGCCAGGATTGCATGATCCGGTCGATGTCTTTGTCGTCGTACAAATGAGACGCATGGTATGGGCCATGAATAGGGGCCCTCATAGGCTTGTTCTCCTTTGAAACCGACTTTTCAATGAATCGATCCAAGGCAGTGGGAGGGCCACTGATTGTCACCCCATTTTGACTAACAGCGCTGACATAAGGCCGAGAAACACGGGGAATCACCTACAATATATTAGTTTCTCTTTCTCTTGATTCTGTGAGATTTTCAGACTACTCACATTCATGTCCCCAAACTTCTGAATCAAGTCTTGAGCCTCGTGCTCTCGAATTCCTGATAGCAACACAGACCAACTGGCCGCTGCTGGCTGACTCGACTCTACCAGCTCCTTCACCTTGAAAACGCACATTCCAAGTCGAAGAGCCAGAACAACAGTCTCCACACCGGCGGCGATAAGCTCTCCAACAGTCTTGGAGGAGCTCACAGCTGCAGAGGCCAGCTCACCTGTGCAAAGACCGACAATGAAGCTGTCGGATCCAGAAGGATACGCATGACCAAGATCTCCATAGTAACTGTTTCATACAGTTAGTCAAACATGGTCACAAATTAGGATCGATTCTTAAGAGTCTTACTGGACAAAAGATCCCAGCTGGTAGATAGTCGTCAATGTGCTTTCCAATGCAGCATTGGGACCATGCTCGCGATATCTTGCCAGAAGATCTACTATGCTTGTGAAACGCGGGAGCATCTGCCGCTCGGATGGCGGCAGCTTGCTAACCTCCGTGCGTAAAGCATGATAGCACTTTTGGAAGAAGCCAGTGACGACAGAGTCATTCTTGGCTTGTAGCAGGCGACGAAGACCCGAGTCAAAATCAGCAGTCTGATCTCCGAAGAGATAAACACGACTGGGGCCCTGCATGACTCAAACCCAACAACACTAGCCAGGGGATGCAAAACTTTACTGAGAAAGAAAAAAGAGTTTACAGCTTTGCGCGAATTCATGGACATGATACTTTATAAAGTCATTGCTGATTTACTGCAACCTACTATGTGGGTCTGGATTGATAATCTCATCGTAGGAGCGTTTTGATATCCGTGACTAAATCATGGAACTTTTTTTATTATTTCCCTGTTTTCTCCCACTTGGGAATGCCATTCCAAGTGGTACGAAACGTGTCTAGTCCAGGAGATCAACCCACCGAACCGTCTGCGGAGTCTGGCTCGGTAGCATCCGGTCAAATGGGCTAAGGGTCTAGCTAAGCCAGGGATGGGACCGTTACTGTCTTCCAACTGATATTTGGTGGGAAATCTGACATGGCTTCCCTTATTTCCTTAATGTAGCCTAATCATTGACGCTGTGGACAAGTCTATAATCTAGTTCCTTGGTTCTCAGATAAGAAATGGGGCTTTTCTCGCGGTACAATCACAAAAGTACTTGGAACATCAAGGTGGTGAGGCTCTCCACTAGCTGTTTGCGGACATGACAAAAAAATATTTTTTGGATCTGGAAGTCAAAGTGGGTTATTTTAATTTAGCACATCATTGTATATGACCTAATATCAAGTTTTTTTGGTGGGGTTTGGTGCTGAAAAAAAACTCATCTACACCAAAATGGAGCTTTAGTTGCAATAGTTGTAACCGCCGCATTCGGAATGTTGCACCCGACTTCGGGACGACAGCCGTCACGTGAAGTGGTTTACCCTAGGTGCATTGCAGTGTTTACAGGATTAGACCTTGAGAAAACTTGGAAGAATGAAAGAAAATGTGATTAGTGAAAGTGCATTGTCTACTAGGTACTGGAGTTATTTTAGAGGATTCAATCCACATGGTAACATTTGAAGGAGAATTTTGACTCTAGGTACTGATGTCCCAGACTCATCAAGCATTGACAGGCTTGAAAAGCCAACATACCACCAGGTGGCTTGAACATGTTCGAGAACATTGATATCTTTCGGCAACCCGTGGCACTTCCACCAATTGGCCTTCTAATGTAACACTGAACATAAGTAGCAATATTGCTGAAGATCCCCAAACAGCGAATCGAGTAAGCGGGTGTAGATCGGTTCTGGGCATCATTGACGAAGGGATATAGAATACGTCATGACTGCACACAGTTTCCAAAAATGCAATAATTAATCAACCCATTAGAAACAATTAACAGGCTCCAGGATTCCAAAATTCACGAGTGTCTTGTTCTGTGGCTTTGGGAAAGTCGCGTTGGACTTGAGAACCGCCGAATTGGGGAAGTGCATCAAATATTCAGATGGAGTATCCCACCAATCCTTGGCAACCTTCAATTTGGTCAATACATACATCTTCAGGGCTGTGCCTATTGGACAAATGCGCTTCGTGAAACTTGTGCAGTAGATTCAACACATGAAGGCCACGATGGCACAAAATACCGATCGACAAGTGATCGCAGATCCAAGTGGGTCGCCCGTAGCGGACCGAAAGCGCCACTAAAAGAGGTTGCAAACATTTTAACAACAGATAGCCAAAGCCGTCTGCAACGTGCTAAGGAATTACTAGGTATGTTGATGACATCAACTGATATGTCCTTGTATTTTCATAATTATACCACTACCCATTAGAGTGATTTAGGCAGTAATACTAATTATGCCTCCGTTTCGAAATTTGCAGAATACTTCACACATCAATTAATATGTAAGGTCCGGTGATTGATGCAGATAGTACAGTGGCTTTTCGTAAGTTTCCATCTCTCGGTTGTCACCGCCATTTTATCACCGCCTACACCAGTAGCTACCGCCTAGTACTTTATATAGAAGCGTTCCAGCGCATACAAATAAAAACATTCATCATATTATTCAAAAATAGACTAAAATTTCAAGACTCATATTTCAACCAAACTCAGCATAATATACATACCGCCTGTTCTCCATGATAGATAGAATGGAATAATTGAATTTTGTAACAGCAGAATAAGTGCTAGGTCTTGATGCGGCAGAAATAAAGGCGGTGAAAATGGAGGGATGGAAACTTTTTGGTGAGAAGCCACTGTACGGCATACCTAGAAGAATTGATCAATACTTCTATATGTACATATAAAGTGCCAAATTGATGGGTTCCGTATACATATACATGTACATAAGTAGTAAGTGCTAAAAAGGCGTGTAGTCAACCCTCCAGGAACCTTGGGGGGGTTGGCAAACCCAATTTTCAAACGTTCGAAATGACTGGCGTTCAAATGTTCAATGGAATGGAATTGTACTGATAAATTTCCAGGATTTTTACTTCGAATGTTTACGGAAAGTACATACTTTGAAAGAGGGTGGTCTATCGGAAATAATGATTATCAGATTAAGATTATGAACGCTATGGGAATATTGATGTAGCCAAAGTGGTACATATGACCAAAAAATGGAACAATATAAACTCCATATTAGATGCATGTGTGCATGTACAAAATTGATCGGTGTTGGTACCACCTAAGACACCTCAAGCTCACTGAGCCTTTCCAGCCAATTTCTTGTGCATTGCCGCTTGTTCGATCAAATTGACCTAACATTAGAGAATGGGCTTGTGCTGTTCTTCAATAACTTCACCCTTGAATCAACGGAGCAAATCATCTGCGCCTTGCTCCTTTGAGTGTCTTGTGAGCCATGTGGGCAATGCGGGCTCGATGAGTGAGTTCGGTGTTTGGGAAGAGGCAGCAGGGGGTTGAGCGCTAGGAGTGTACTGCTGAGCGCTGGGAGTATATTGTTGATAGCTGGGAGTGTACTGCTGAGCACTAGATGTGTACTGTTGATAATCAGGAGTATAAGCCTGAGGATTGGGAGTATACTGCGGAGCACTGGTGGTGTACTGCTGAGAGCTTGGTGTGTATTGCTGAGCTGCCGGTGTGGACGGCTTGACAGGGGTCGAAGATGCTTTGGTTGGTGTAGATATCGGTCGGACAATGGAACTGCTGCTTGGAGAAGGAGCACGAATTGAAGCCGGAATTGGGTTACGGCTCTGGTCCTCACCCTCGGGAACCTGAGGCCAAGCATCCACACCATCAAGCACAGTAACAGCCATGCCGTTTGCCATGTGTGTCTCAAGGTGACAGTGGAAGATGAAGGGTCCTGGGTTGATTACTTGATACCGTAAGATCATCCATGTTATGCCCCTGTTGCCTTGTGTGACAAAGGTGTCTCGCATCGGAGGGTTCTCAAGGTGGAAATACTCAGGATGCGCAGCAATCGCTTGCTCCGTGCTTTCCCATTCGAAGAAGCCAGGACCGAGACCAAGAATGAAGGCTTTGTTAGAATGCTTGTGCATGACATGCGCGCCAGCTGTATCGGGGGTGTTTGGGAAGTGACCAAGCTGCAGAAGCACGTCTACCCAGGAGCCATTCTTAGTCTCGAAAATGAGTTCCGATGCCACGTTATTCTTGGCATTAAGATCATACAGAATCGGGTCATCCACGTTGGCCATCATATCCCACAGATGACCACCGGAGGCAGTGAATGTGTACGATGAACCAGAGCGGCCAAGGGTCAGATTGACGAGCTGGTCAGCTTTGTCGGAAATAGTAACAGCAGGGTATGGGTGGATTGCCTGGTTGTCCATAAAGACAACGGACGCGGACGTGTTGGTACCACCATAGTTGACGAAAGGCTTTGATGCCTCGGTGTTGGAGGAGCCCTTGTAGCGCATGGTAGCAAACCCTGAGATGACCTGGTCACCTTGAGTATCCGGTACTCGAATGGTATAATCCTTCCATGCCTTATCAAGCTTGACCATCGCTGCGTAGCGCTCGCCAGTATAGATACTAGACGCGTCAACGAGCATGGGTTCCACATAGCTCCCGTCAACCTCATAGATATACATTGGGTGTTCATCGATAGAGAAGATGAGGGCTTTTAAAGCGGCTGCACTAATGAACTTTAAGCTCACCCAACCAGCATTGCCGTCCACTTCGATAATTTCGTGATTTCCAGTGGTGGGTTGGCATCCCCAGTTGACTCCTTGTGGAATCCTGGTCTCGTCGTATGGGGGGAAATTCCCCTGTGTGTTGTAGATATTGGGCAAGCATCTGCAATGGGAAGAAACCGGATTAGTATTCTTAGCCATTTTAGTGACAAAAGTTTGAACTCACCCTTTATCAGTCAAAGGCGTGTTTTCCATTGCAGTTTTCAGGTAACTGAGCTCGACATTAGAGATAGTCTCGCCTCCGGGGCAATAGACCGCCCCACGGCCATTAACGAGAACACTATCCATGCAGCTGGGTTTCTGTTAGTGTTGCTTTTACCCGTGATCTGGGGTGTTTTTTCCACTTACAAAACAGCCATATGACTATCCTTCTCTAATTTTCCATATTGCTCAGATGTGAGATGATCCCAATCGGACAGCATGATTAATTGCGGATTCTTCTCCGCTTTTTGCATGGCTTCGATGTCGGCCTGGTTACTCGAGATGAGATGGAAAGGCTGGGGTGTTTCGGGCGCCGGGCTAGAGATAGTCAGTATCGCAAATAATTCCTATAGCCATGGGTTGGTTCTTACTTGATCCAAATTGGCCCATAGAGACCATCCATCAACTCCCCACGGCCATGAGAATGGTACCAATAGGTGCCATACTGAGTCGCTGTCCAATGATATGTCCAGTTCCGACCAGGCTCAATGAACTTTTGAGTCAATCCGGGAACTCCATCTGACCATGGTGTGTTGAATTGCTCAATTCCATGGAAATGAATTGTTGTATTATAAGGCAAGTTATTGTGAACGACAACCTGATGTCGATTAATATACGGTGTCCGGGAGATGAAAATGAGTGGTTTCATACCTCAACGTCGTCACCTTGGTCTAGTCGCAACTCAGGACCCGGAAACTGGCCATTGATATACACCATTTCCCGAACATTGCCATCTGGTGCGCCCTGTTTCCAGGTCAGATCTAGATCAAAGTGAACCAACTTAGCCAAGGCCAATTGTGTCAGCCCTGTACTAGCCAATGCTAGTAGAGTCTTTAATGGCGCCATCTTGAAAGATGTTCGCCCAGTATAGATCCAAGTGAATGTTGGATGTAAGACAGTATGTATCAAAATGGAAAACAAGTATAAGAAAGATTGGCAAGCGAGTGCCTCAAAGTGATCGACGGATTTTTATTACTCGGGCAACATGTTCTATTTAATACTACGATGGTGAATGTCTTTATGGCATGCTCATGGATCGGCCCGAAGCAAAGGACTTTTTTATGTCCGGAAACATGTTCGCATAGCTGTTTAAACGCCACAAAGGTGGGGTTTGGTTGGCTTGGGGAGGTTTGCAGAAGGCGCATGGTACAAAGTAAGGATATTATGTGTTCGTCGATTAGTGATGTAGTCGGGAAGTAAGTGGCTCAAAACAAGTATCCGCTTCCGGCGGATCGAGGGCGTGCCGATCTGAAGAGCCATTCGGACACCGAACCGAGAGAAGGGCGATTCGCCCCGTGAGCGCAGAAAATGGGCAGATTTCAGTAATGATTTGCAAATTGATATACGAGCTGGGCTGCATTCGGAAAGGTGTTTGGATGTGGCCGGTCATTCTTGCGGTCCCGTCGGAATGGGGGTGTGGCCTATTCCGGAAAGACATCCTTGCCTCAGTAAACAAGACATCTTGGCGGGATCTGTAGACTATTTGAAGATGGAGAACTTATTTTCAGCCAGTAGAGCTTATGTCCTGTGGGGGTTGTCTTTAATGGTAAAGAAGTGGCTAGTTTTTTCAACCTTGTGGTGATGATGACTTTTCATGCTGCTGCTCAAAGTCGAGGAAGGTGATCCCGGTTATTCCAAGTGCGCCGAAAAGTCATTGGCATGAATTGAATTGGATATTTGGCAGGTCAATTGATCACCAGTAGATGTTACTAGGAACATACTGGACAGAGACCCAAGTCACCTACCGTGTACTTGGTTTTTACCTCCAGGTGCCATTTCCGTAGATGATTTTCAATGATCTTCAATATTGACATTCTTGGAAAGACGAGTGCTACTACTTAGTAGTAACATAACTGGATATGGAATGGGTCGAATACTAGTAGAAATGCAAAACTGACCAAATTGAAAAGAAAAGAAAAGAACCCTCGATCGTACTAGTAGAGCGGGGAATCGGTGTTTGGGAAACTGAGTGGGGAGAGCGGGACGTTGCCAGGGTTCTGCACCTCTTGGTTCACCGTGACCATGGATCCTGGTCGGGAGGGGCTGTCAACAACAGATATCGGATCTATGAGAATTTCAAGGAGTAGATGTAGATTTCGCAAAGGAGCGCAATGTCAAGCTGGAAGGGCTCTGTAGAATACAAATCACACACAATAGCACAAATGTCAAGAGTCAAGACTCGTGCACGGGCTACACGATGCAACACCCTGGAAACCGATGAGTTGATGGACGTGCATTAAGCTTATCGATAACGCAAGCCCGCTAGTCCTAATCGAGGCTCCTCCCGCGTAAACAACACAGCTCGGGTCTCACCGTCTTGGCCTTTGCCCTCTTCTTTCTCCCCCAATAACCCTGCTGTGGTCTCCAGGAAATCTCACAATTCCCTTGATCTATCGGGAATTGCCTATTCTATTGTCGACCCTTGCGTCATGTTCCTGATCTAAAGCCATCCCCAGTCACCCCGTCACCCTCATTGCCTTTCAGCCCCTCCGCGCCCAAACCCCGACCTCGTCTGGGTAACAATAACAATCCAATAGCATCCCCGGCAATTCAACCTTTGGTCAGCTAGCTGAGCCCTGCTCGGTGCTATTCATCTGAACAATCTATACCCACATATGAGTCGACATACCACTTTGCGCCCGTTCGAATAACACGCCATCGATCGCGATGGCATCCAATACATCTCAGTTGCCATCGCGGTTTCCATGCTGGTGCCGAGCGGTTTACTCATGGGGAGGAGAAACAACACGGGATTTAGGTTTTGTCGAAGGCGATCTGATTGAGTGCCTTAACGCGGGAGACGGACAGTGGTGGATGGGTCGTTTGCGCCGTGATAAGCGGGCCGTTGGACTCTTTCCCTCCAACTTTGTTGAGCTCATGAGCGAAGACTTTGTACCCATCAGCAGGGATACCAGTCCAATGGTACAAGCCGCATCTTCGCCTATTCACAATCCGACCTCTGCGCCCAAGAAAGCAAAGACCGTCTTCCGCAAGCCATTCCAGGCGCATAAGGAGGCCCTCTCCCCAGCGTCAAACCTAGCTCGCAGCAGATCAAACACCCCAGTCAAGAGTTCGATTCCACAAACACCACCTCGAGATGGCGGCATTGTTCCTCGAAGTGTCAAGCCTCTTCGAACTCATGCATCAGCGGTCAAGAACCAGGGCTCTATGTCATCGCGTCCTTCGTCCGTCTCTTCTCGAACTTCCACGCGCGGCATTTCACCACGCGCATCTGTGGAACCGGAACGGTCGCCATCTGCCATGATGCCTCGTGGTAGCATATCATCCTCCCGTCCTTCTTCTCGTGAAGTCTCCCCAATGATCAGGGAGGTTGCACCCATGGCCCACGAAAGCTCTCCAGTCTCGTACCAAGCCCAGCAGCAGCAGCGCCGCGAAACCTCCCCTTTGCCACCTCGTGCAACTTCCCCCATGCCCCAACGCTCCGTTTCGCCAATGCCCAATCGCGCGGTATCTCCTAATCCTTACCACACACCCTCTGCCATACCCCAACGAGCGGCTTCTCCAATGTACTATGACCACTCTCCTGGTCACCGAGAGGTTTCACCGATGCCATACCATTCGCCATCAAATATCCCTTATCAACAGCCGTCTCCGGTGTACTACGATGACTCTCCTAGGCACCGGGATGCTTCACCACTACCTTATCATACGCCCTCAGTCCGGTCTCACCGGGCGCCCTCTCCAATGTACTACGATGATCCACCCATGCAACGCGAAATTTCACCAATGCCCCATCGTGCTGTGTCGCCAATGCCCCAAGAGTTTTCCCCTATGCAAGTGGAAGAGCGCGAAGATTCCCCTCCCCCTCCACCTCCACCTCCTCACCGAGTCGCTGTCAACCGTCCTCGATCACACTCGCCCCAGCCGCCTATGCACGCATCTCAACCACCCCAACGCTTGCTACGCTCCCCACAACCTCCGGCACACTCCCCAAGGCCTTCGCGCTCACCTACTCCATTGAACATGAACGATCGTTATGTGATATTCTCTCGTACTCCTTCACCAGGAGCAATGTCTGCACGCTCGGGCATGTCCGCCCAGTCAGATGCCAATGGGAATACACCATCCCCGTTGAGAGATGCGATGGAAGATGTGATGAGTTCATTGCAAGGCATGGGTCTACCACGAGATGCTCCATCGCCTTCTCCACGACAAGCGCCTTCACCATCCCCTCCACCGTCATTCAACAATCCCTGGTCTGGCGATGCTTATGATGGTTCAAATGACAGAACACCGCCAGCAAACAGACGTCGACCTTTGACCTCCCTCGGCTTCGATGGCAGTAAGCAATCAGCCCGTGGTGATCTTGTGCACCGCAACAGCGTCTATTCTCATGACCACATGGACGGTCCGCCTCAATTAAATAACTATGTCCAACGTATGGAAAGTCGTCTTCGACAGCTGGAGTCTCAAAATCGCCCGCCCGAGGACGAAGAAGCAGGGGACGATCAGCCTCCCCCGCCTCCCCCAAAACACGCATCCCATCACCCACGCAACAATTCTATCCCTGCTCAGTATCCCCATCTCAGTGATCGTAGGTCTGGGAAAGAACTCAGAAACGACAGACTGAACCGAACATTCACGAACAAGTCCAATGCCACAAGCTCTAGTGGAGTTCAAAGCATCGGGACCAATCATACTACAAGTACGGACAAGACGGGAATGAGTGGGTTTTCTGCTGGGGGCTTTAGCGCGACTAGCGCCGGGAGCTACGCGAGACGAAATGGGGCATACCAAAGGCCGAACACAGCTATGGATACCGTTCGGTCTCGTGGTTTTAGCGATGCAGGACACATGGATAGACCGGAGTCTCCGATGACAGGTGTATCCTACCACTCTAGCCACAACACATCTCGTCAAGGCGCATCTTCGGCTATTCCGTGGTCGTCCAATGACAATGATGTAGGCGACGCAGGTGGTGTATTTGGAGGTCTTTCCACACCGAAGAGCAAGAAGCAGGGCTTCTTCAAAAAGATCTTTGAATCCGCCAAGACAGGTGCTGCAAGCGCAAGGAGCAGTATTTCAGTGGGTCACGGCTCCCCATCTCCCACAAAGGGTAACAGGGTAGTCGATGTTGTATCACCAATGCTCACATCTCACTCACATCGCGATACGCCGCGTGATAATGAAGTCAACACAAGCGCCATCGACTGGGTTCAAGTTCGCCGTGATGTCAATCGGGCATCATCCCCAAGCCGAAACGAGAGAATTGAAAGAGCCGAGCGGTGCCAAATGATGGATCATCCGGTCATATACTCTGTCGAGGAATTACATGATACGGCGGAGGGTGACGAGAGCATTGACGGTTTACCGATTACTGAGCCTGCAAACTTCAATTCAGGAAACTTGACCTTGGTCGACAAAAGTGCTCGCTTCATAAACAGCGTTCCCCCAACAACAAATCCCACAAGTCTTGCTCAGGGCTATATTTGCCGGCCTTACAAGAGTGATGTGCAGCGCCTCCGCGCAATTTTCACATGGGTCAGCGAAAAAATTGCGTGGGAAGAACCTGTTGATGGCATTGAGGTTGATATGAGAAGAGTTCTGCACGCCAAGCGGGGCAGCCCTCAAGAAATTGCCATTCTGGTTAATGACATGTGCGCCGCTGTTGGGCTTCATGCGGAGGTCATCCATGGATTCTTGAAGACCCCTGGCCATGCACTAGATCTTGACAGCCTCTCCCGTCCCAACCACTGGTGGAACTCAGTCCTCGTTGATGGAGAATGGCGCTTCATGGACTGTGCATTGGCAAGCCCTACCAACCCTCAGAGAAGCCGCTTTGTTAGTATCAATTCTTCCACAGCCGAGAACTGGTATTTCCTTGCCCGACCACTTGACCTTTGCTATACGCACATTCCTCTCTATCCCGAAGAACAACACATTTGCCCGCCGATCTCACCGGACGTCCTATTGGCGCTCCCCACTGTGTGCCCACAGTACTTCAAGTTGGGTGCCCAATTCCCGGATTATGACACCAGTCTGCTCCAGCTTGAGGGCTTGGAGTGCATGCAAATTTGTCTCGTGGTTCCACCGGATGTCGAATGTGCTGCCGAAGTTGAAGCTCCAGCGTCCGCCTGTGACGTAGATGGTGACTTCTTTGAGAGCGGTGACATTGTGCGCAAGCGTGCCCTTGTTCAGCCGGACTGGGTCCGCGGCCAAAAGCGCATTACTATTAAGGCTGTCCTGCCTGGCGACGAAGGACAAGCTGTACTCAAAGTATATGCCGGCAAGAAGGGCCTCATGCATTCCAGCAAAGACATTCCCCATCCGTTGGCCCTCGCTCTCCCTATGTTCCACCATGGGGAAAACCCACCCTATGACTTTGTTCTCCGTCATCCCACTCCCCATGCTCAGCGCCATGACCTATACATCATGCAGCCTCAATGCTCTCGACTAGCCGTTAACAATACGTTTGTCTTTGCTGTTCGCCAGCATTCCGCTTCTCCTCAACCTCCGTCCAAGGACGAGTTCTCGATGAACGGCCGTGCCTCTCCTTCTGTTTTCACGCGCCCATCTAGTGCTATGAGCATGGTGTCCAGTACCGCCGGTGCATCAACTGTGTCAAGCAACTCAAACGAGTTCTCGGCATCCACCTCGGCTATCTCTTCCACCCGCTCTAGTAGTGGCCGAGACAAACCAGCCAAGCTGGCTATCCAATCCCCATCTGGCAAGATTATGCGACTTAGCCGTAAGGCTGATCACATGGTAGCACCGGACAATCCATCTGACTCTATCAGAGATGCTGCAGCTGAGGGCAGTGTATGGGAGAGTGTTATCAAAATTGGCGAACGAGGAACATGGCGCGGCTTGGTCCTTGCTGACCGTGTAGCGCGCTGGTGTGTCTTCTGCGAGTGGGAGTGTGTATGATGAAGATTTTTAGTAGCTATTGTTTGATTGTTTGATTTTGATGTCCTCTTTTTCTCTTTTTGCATATCTGTTCTGTGCTTTGCGTTTCCTGTTTTCTTTTAACCCCTACTGGCATTTGCATCGAGTCGGTTTGGAGTACTGCATATATTGCATTCTACATCTTTTTCATTTTGACATATTACCTATTCAACCCCTGATACAAGGCGTTATGGTTTTGAATTAATTAGCCATTTTGAAGCCTCATATCAACACATCTGATTTTCCATTTGTAAATGCATATTCTTGTTCTTGTTCGTACTATGTAAGTGCTATGCGTATAGTATTTTATAACTTAGAAACAGCACCCCGCAATAAAGGAGCCACCTGCTTTCTGCTGGCCTTCGTATCCTTCTGGATCCATAATGCCCTCCAAAGCCCCTTTTCTCCATTCAACGTGGTCCGAATATCTTCCTCTTCAGGACTATTCCCGGCCTCACCATCCACCGCCATCCACTCCGAAAGCCCAAGGTGAGATCCAGCATGCGCAACGAAACTCTCAATGCCCTTGATAGCGACGTGATCCCCAACAACGCCGATGAAAAGCTCGCGAGAAAACTCACCCTCGCTGGATGTAAACGACGTCATAACAACCACCACGTCCAACTCCTTCCCCTCCGAACTCGCAAAGGACCGCACACCATTCAAGAACTGCTGCGGCCCGCCCGCTTTCTCAACAACCCACCGAATAGGCTTCACCGACGAGCAAAACCCAAGCGTGATGCCTAGATCAGACGACCCAACCGTCTCCGTCCACTCCTTATAATCCCGATCCAAAACCTCGTGCAACGTCAACCGATCAAGGCTATTCTGCTTGGCCGAGAGAATCGCCTCGTAAAATTTCTGCATGTTCCACGACCGCTCCTCCCCGCCAGCAGCCCGCGGCCGCAAAAACTCCACGGCTTTCACATCCACATCCGTGACTTTGCCTTCCGCCGTAAGGTTCGAGGTATCAATAAGAATGGGCGCGAGCGCTAATTTGGCGACCTGCGCCATTTCCGCTGCCGCGCCCGCACCCGCATCCGTACCCCAGAACCCCCGCTTCTGCATCTCATCCGTGATCAAGGACGCGCAGGATCCGGGTCCAGATTGGATGATCAGCGGCTGGTCGTCCGGCAGGTCCGCAGCGGGCGGCATGAATTTTTCGTCAACATGGTGATCAATGCAGCCCACTACGCGGAAGATGACCTGTGAGAGAACGCCGCCTAGGGAGCCCTGCCCGGGTGCTCCGTCGACGCGTTCTGGGAGCGCATTCCAGTCGACCAAGATCGCGTCGACGAGGAGGTCGAGCTTGGATGCTGAAGAAGAGTGTTGAACCCGATCTTTCAGGTTCTGCGCAAAGTCTGCGGTGGTAAGGATGTGTTCGCGGAGAAAGGAGCCCGCCGAGTGGGAAGAATCGTCGAATTGTTCATCTGGGCTTAGGGCGGGGGAATTGGTGGAGAGCCATAGGGCTGTGACGAACTCGGGTCGAAGGCGGTATAGTTCGGGGCCGGCGGGGATGTTGGGGAGGTTTAGGAGTGGGATGTGTGGGCGCGGGGTTGTGGTGGGAAGACGGTTGTTGGCGCAGTAGGAATAGAGGATTGCGGAGATTATAGAGTCAAGGTCGGCGGAAGGATTGCCTAGGACGTAGATTGGGGGTTCAGAGAGAGTGCCTGCAAGGAATTGGAGGTGCACTTGACGTGCTTGGCGGAGGAATTGAAGGAGTGTCATGCTGGGTATGCGTAGTAGGCACGTAAATGGAGATGGGGAGTAGTTTTTTTTTTTCGTTGAATGTTTTGGTTCTCTGGATATATCAACTGGTACGTCATTTTCAGCTTCCCCACAAATGATCCCAACGTGGTGGTTTCTGATGTTTGTAGCCTGACGCCAAATTTAAGGATTCACCTATAGGTCTGAAACTCATATTGCCACCCTTTACTATGAGCAGAGAGTACGAAGTCTATCCAGATAAGATCAAGTTGTCATGAACTAAAGTCATGAAGCTGAGACTGGGGCCTGAGGCCTAACTCCTGAGGGGTTGCTTGGTAAAGCATATGGCTATGATGTGTCTACGCGCTCTACCTGGGCAGGGCTCATCATTGGGAGAAAATGCCAATTGGACTCGGAAAGATGCACTCATGTGTCCATTCCAAGTATAAAGCACGTACCTTCAAGTTGGTAGTAAACTATACCTGGAAGTTGAATTGCCGCGTTCTTTACTTGACATATATAGATAAGAGTACGGGAAGAAAAATGGGCTGCTTTCTCTTCCACGCGATATGTACTAATACCACGCGGGCGGTCAAAATTGCCCAAAAAGTTTGTAAGGATATGCGCAACTTTCCAGCCAAAACGGTCGTCGCGAAGTTTGAGTGTGCCAATAAGCCCGTGATTTTACGTGCTAATATATCAACCCACTGCTATTTGTCAATTTGCCATCTAAGACCTGCGCTCAAATATGGATTAATTGCTTTTTCTTTTTCTTTTTCTTTTCACATAAAATCACCAAGACCTCTCTGTTTTCTTTCTTCTCTCTTCAACACATCTGCCACTGGCAATCTATACACCCTCAGTCTCCACCCCGCACCCGCACTCCACTCAAGTGCTTGATCTCCAGATCTCCACATTACCACATCCATACTGATTCGGAAGTGATTCCTGAACGCCCAAACCACCTACAACCACCTTAAAACATATTGCATGATCAAAATGCCCTTGCAACTACCAGAAAGATTTGCTCAGATCCCTCGCTATCCACTTCTCTACTCTCATCCTTCACCAATTCACCCACAGTCCTTATACCATACATTCCCACCGAGACTTATCCCCTACAACCCTCAAGTATCCATCTTCGTCAAACGGGAAGACCAATCATCACCCATGCCCTGTCCGGGCAACAAATACCGCAAACTAGAGTACATCGTCCCCGATCTTCTTTCCGAAAATCCCAAATACGGCTACCATGAAGACCACCCACCGAAAGAGCAGGATCAGCGTCCTGCTAGACGACCTAGACTTCTTGTAACAGAGGGTGCAGTCCAAAGCAACCACGCAGTCCAAGTCGGCGCTCTAGCAGCGAAATTGGAACTCAGCAAATTGCTTCTCTTACGCCGTGGTACAGGCGGCGGGTACCGCACCGCAGAAAACAAAACCTCATTCATGTCCTCGGGGAACATGCTCATGAATACAATCCTGGGTAACAGTGCAGTATTCTGCGAGAATATGGGCTCAGATCTTGAAGATATGGGCAAGTTTCTGGAGGGGTTGGGTAAGACAGCAGGTGGAGAGCCATATTGGATCTCCAGTGGGGCGAGCTTGCACCCCCTCGGCGGGCTCGGGTACGCGCGAGCAGCGTTCGAGATCGCGGAGCAGGAAAAGGAGATCAAATTGGGTGGGTCCGGCAGATTTGACTTTGTGTTTGTGGCTTGTGGAAGTGGGAGTACGGTGGGAGGCTTGATTGCAGGGTTTAAGCTGCTAGAAAAGATGGATTCATCGTCATCTTTTTCAGCTATCCCGGCCGCCGAGGCCGGATCGCCGTCGGAAACGAAACTTGCACCGAGGATGGTCGTTGGGATTTTAACTTCGCCGACGATGCCGCGGTCTTACCATGAGGAAAGAGTTCTGAAGTTTGCGCGCCAGGCGGGGGAACTTATTGGGTTGGAAGCAGAGCAGGATATTAGCATGGCGGACGTGCGCCTTGACGATGAATTCGTCGGGGAAGAGTATGGGGTCATGGATGCGAATACCCAGAAAACTTTGTTCAGGTTTGCAGAGGCGGGTCTCCTCTTGGATCCGGTTTACACTGCCAAGGCGGCTCGGGGAATGATGAGTTGGGTAGAAGAGAACAAGGTCAAGGACTATGCGAAGAAATATGGCTTGGAAGAGGTGAATGTGTTATTCATTCACACAGGTGGTCAGGCTGCCCTAGGCGCATATGCGGATAAGTTGTCATATCAAATGTACGAAGATTAAGACGGAGATGATAGCAATGGCTGCATTCGACTAGTATTACATAGTGACTACCAAGCAAAAAAAAAAAAAGAAGAGAAGTCAAACGACAGACAGCCGCGACCATCAGAAACAGAGTAGCCATCGCGTGGCCCTTGAAGATAAAACATAGAAAGAAAAAAGGCGCTAGAAAACTCCATGGGGCTCACCTGGCCCTGTTACCTTGAAGAAACCCTTGTGCAGAATCAACCTGCGTTGAACAGACGTTTGGGAATGAAAAAAAAAACCAACAAAACCAAAGAACCAAACAGGAAGAGTAGACTTCCAAGAACTGAAGATTTGAACATGAGCACATTTGAACATGAGCACATTCGAACATTCGAACATAGCAGATACAGAGAAAAAAGAATCAAGAATCCATATCGAGTTTTTCGTCACTGGCCGAGGCCGAGAGCGGAGCCGTAGCATCCTGGATATCAGTATCATGAGCATCGCCATTAGGGGCAGACTCATCATTGGGAGAGGAAGCCCGGCTACTGCCATTGCTAGCATTAAGCGCCTCGAGAGCCTCGTTGGCGTGAGTGTTCTCCATAGCTTCCGATTCGGGATCAACGTCTTGATTGGTAAGGTCTGCAAATACATCGTCCATGTTGGGACGAGGACTGCTGCTCACAAATTGAGGATCACGGTCAAAGCGCGTTGGGCTGAAAAGAGGGGGCTCAAGACCTTGCTGGGGTGTTGGAGGAGACCGAGGAAGGAAAGAAGGGGATTGAGAAGCCTCGGCAACATGAGGCAAAAATGCGGAAGATGTAGGCGCGAAAGCTGGGGTTGAGTCACTGGCCGGCAATGAGTAATTGGCAGAGAACGGATAGGATGTGTTATTGTTTGAATCGGTCATGGGCGTCAAAGTTGGCCCGGTAGTGGAAGGCTGGTTGTTACTTGGGGTTGGCGTGGCCGGCTGCAAAGACGATGGTCGGGGCATAATCTGAGGCTGAGTCTGCATGTCGACCGACTTGCGCTTGGCGACTAGATGCTTCACCCGGAGGTGCTCGGGAAGATCCTCGGGGCGCTCAACACCCATTTGTGCCATGATTTTTTGCTGCTTAGTGGGTCGAGGTTTGCGAGTCGAGAGAGACTGATCCAAAATTGGTGGTGCCTCTGGTGCGACTGGTGCCCATTTATGGATTTCTTGGCGGAAGAAGTTGGTCTCGTAGGTCAAAAGAACCTCTGCGCCTTCGATTTTCCGCAAGTAGAAAATCAACGTAGGGACTTCCTCTGTAGTAGTGCATGCGGCGTTCGTGAAGCTTTGGAGAAAATCACGGAACGCCGTCGCCTGGTTGACGATACCGTCCAAGACTTCTTCCTCATCAGGCTGGAAAGGAAGGGTGGCAATCTCGGCTTGCCATTCCAGCAAATCTTCCAATTTGGGACGAGCTGCATCTCGAGGAATCTTCTGACGCCAGTCACAGATCGGGCAAGTGTATTTGTCAAACTCCTTGACCTTACCCCGCGCAATCTTCAAACATTTCCCATGGTACCTAGACGATGTTAGTGATGAACCTGTAGATCAATTTGATAACGACCAAACCCACCATTCATGACAAACTTCACACTCGATCATCATTCCCGCTTCTGAATGCCTGCAAATACAAAACACGTCCCGCTTACGAGACTTGGGACCCCACACGTTGGACACGTTGGGATTGGAACTCTCTAGCAACCCATCAGGAGTGTTGTCACGGGAGGAAGGTTCCACCGGAGGACGATAACTATCGTCCAAGTCGAAACAGTAAGAGTTTCGTTTCTCCACATACTCCATATGGGATTTTAAGATGTGCAAGGGGGCATTGGCTTTGCCGAAAAGCTTTTTACCCTTTCTCATCCAATCCTCGTGGCGTTTTTGTTCACGTTCTAGGTCGATGGCCCCGATTGGCCGACTGTTGAGCTGCTCGAGAGACTCGGTGAGTTCACGAACGTCCTTGTACACGGGTCGATTTCTCAGATCAGGATCCTTGCTTTTTTCATAAAGGGTTTGGATCCGCTTCTGGGCTTCTCGCTGTTTGGTCAAGATAGCGTCAACGGCAGCTAAAATATCAGGGGAAACTGGAAAGCGGGTGGCTTGAGCAGAGAGGGCTTCCAACTGTTGGTAGTGTACGGCCTCGACAGCCATTAGTTCCTTGGCCTTGGTTTCCCAAGATTCGCCGAGTCGAGCGAGTTCCTTAAATTGGATCAGGTGCTCATTGGTGTCAGAAAGGCCTAACTGTTGTCCCGTGGCAATAATTTCATGGCAATCCTTAAGGGTGAGGTATTGATCTCGCCTTCGAGCGGCCTCTTCGGTCCATTTCATCTGCTGCATAACTTTCTCCAGGTGTTCAACTTCCGGTATTTCCACGTTGAAATTTCGGCCGGATTCAACAAGTTCCTCAATATCCTGGGTCATTCGGGTATGCGGGTTCATCAGGGCGGCGTTAACATCCTGGCGGAATTTTTCGATCTCGCGGGTCTTCTCTTCCAAAGCCGCCATCTGTGGACAGTCGAAGGAAAGTTTATCAGCCTCTGCCAGAAGGGCGTAGATACTCTCTACTCTGCGGACTTCACGATCACGATCGTCCAGCTGCGCCGCCTTGGAGCCGGCCTTGCGCCATGCTTTTTCGTTTTTTCTGCGGTTTTGCTGCTTCCGGGTGATGTAGTTGTTCGCCTCCTCAACCCATTTATCGCAACGCTGGACGAAGGCCGCAAGATCTTGGAGGCCAGGCAGGTGGTATGGGATTTTCTCACCTTCACTGAGCAAGTGGTGGAGAGCTTTCAGCTGAGGCTTCGGCTCATCCTCCAAGGTCTTGTCGAGCTTTTCTCCCCATACCTCGGGGATTCTAGCTCGTTCTTGGACCTTTTGGACCACTGCCTTTAGTTCGTCATCACTGGCACGGTAGCGCAGAGTGTGACCTGGACCCAAGAGTTTCTGGGGCAGGGACTCACCACAGCAGTCGTAAGCCTCCACGTGCAACAAGCAAAGACTCTTGCCTGACTTGTGGCAACGGAACTGCGTGAGGTAAGTGTAGGTCTTACAGTGCTGGCACTGGTATTCATCCTCCGGGAGATCCTCCTCCTCCACTACGAACTTAAGCTGACATTCACCTGTCGGGTTTTTAGTACCAACACCACAATTGTGGGGCATGGCGTCCCGATGGCGAGTCAGGAACGATGTTCGATCGGCGAGCTCCCGGTGGCAAGTTCGCTCGAGTGCAGGTGCTAGCCATTTGGCAGTTGTGATGGACGTATCTCGAGCAGCGGCTGTGAATAGTAATTCATCGTGAGAAAAGCACGGGTGACGGCGGAATGTTTGCAAGCGCTCTACTCCTGCGGCGCCCCAGGGCTCCCAGTCTGCAGGAGCGAAGTTGACCGCCTCATTGAAGTTGAAGCCGTGATTGAAACCAGCATGGTATGCTTGAGGGAAAGTCAGAACAAACTGCCCGGCTCTCTGATCTGTCGCATATACGTTGACGCCAGCTTTCCGCAGCTTGTCAGGTGGCATCAAAGTAACGAGTTGAAAGAGGAGATCAGGCTGGCCTTCGAACAGCTCTGGGACTGCCTCGCGCATAGCCGCTTCAAATGCCTGCGCATCGGCTCCGGGAATACCGTACCATGTCTTGGTCGCACCAAAATGCTGGTAGTTGGCAGAGTAGGCGTAGTGATCCTCGTTGTGCCAACAGAAAGTTGAAAAGCACATTCCCACATATACCCAGGGCACGGTCATACCGGAGACGTCGGATTTGATGTGACGGAAAAGCGAGTCTCCGTAGAAAGGAAGCACGTTCAAGTTCCAAGGATCGGAGGAATGAGGATCAAGTGGGTTTCGTTCAATAGTGGGGAATCCACTGCCGTGAGTGGTGGAGTGGATATCAGCACCGTATTCAACCTCGACCGTTTCGTGTAGGTCTACAACTAGCTTCCAGAACTCAGCCTCCACGTCGTCCTCAGTTTCACGACGGTGTGTGTTAAGAACAGGGTCAAATGGCATTTTGGAAGCAAAATAGCGCTTTTTGAACTCGTTTGCCTTTTCTTGGAATTGTTTCAGTGAGTAGACACCTCCGTCTTCGAATCCAAACTCGCCAGTTCCCACCAGACATTTGGGACAGTGCCAATCATAGTCCGAGGGAGCTGATGTGGATGGGTCGAGGCAGGTTGTGTGGTACCCGAGTTCACAGCTATCGCACACGAGGATAGCCGAGCGGTCATCAGACTTGCCGCACGACTCGCATTTCTGAAAAAGCTTAGTTTAGCTAATCAACATTTTTTATCTGAAAAAAATAGGCTTACCTCGCCGGTTCGTGGCGCACCATCCTTGCGCTGTTTAGGAAGTGCTGGCCGGAGAAGGGACATATGTGAGCCCGCCACAGTTGGGGCTCCATCTACAAGAAAGAAAGGTTGCTGTCAGATACAAGGCCCACAGGTATATTCGTGAAACAAGTACAATACCTTTCTTGAGGCGCTTGCTTCGACGGCCGCTGCCTCCGTCATCCCCATTATCAGCTTGGGAACCACTGTCATGGCTGATTCCCCGCTTAACGGGCAGACCAGCTTGGCCATTCGGAACAGGGGTCGAATGAGCAGGATGATCAATAACGCTCTTGGGTGTTGCTGTTCCATTCTCCCCTTCATGTTTGATGGCGGGACCGTTGCCCATCGTTGCGAAGCCTGGAGAGTGAGTAACGGCGGGAGAATGAGAAATGGCAGGAGAGTGGTGGTTGACGGCAGTAAATCCACCTAAGCCGGCATTGACTGAGGTAAAACCAGATGGGGTTGGACGCGGAGGGGGCGTGGGCTCGACGGATGGAGTTGGCATATCGTGCATTGGAGTACTCGCAGCTGGTGCTACTCGCATTAACGGTGTCTCTTCACGCGGTTTGGAAGGGGTGCCGTTTTCATCAATGAGCGGCTTCTTGAGCATAGGAGAGTTCCTCGGAGACGGGGTAAAAGGACCACCATGTTCCAATTCAAGCTGCTGCTGGACGCCGGGCTTAGCCCGAAGGAGGTATTCCTCGTATGGTTGCAAGTAACGCTGGTAAGAATTTTTGAGCGAGGTCGACAGTGAGGACATGATCTTCCCGCTGTATCCCAGGTCGCGACCGATCTCTGCCCATTTCTTGGTTTTGCACACTTGTTCGAATCCACCTCGGGTCTCAACCGCCTTCTTCAGCTTGTAGAGGTCCAGAGGGCGTTTGTCGACGCTGGGTAACCGACTGTAATTTGTCCCGTGTTGCTTGTGAAACATGGCGAGCCCATCGATATAGTTCATATTGGCACGGTTTCCTGCGTTAGAGTCTGGGTTAGAACCGCATTGTGGAGAGGTTCCACCGCTAGCAACATCAGTCGAACGCGGGGCCATACCTCCTTCGACCGAGTTGAGTTCCTGTCGACGGGTCTTGAAATGGAAACGCTGTAGAGAGGATTGTCGGTCAGTGAATGAAGCATAGGATGAAACCAGTATCGTAAATAAGGCAAACCACAAAGTTGGCCTCAGCGTGAGTTAAGGCCAAAGCAAGTGTAGCCAAAAAAAAAAAGATGACAAGGATCTCGCGAGAACTAAATTTACCTCTGTATCAATCGCGAAAGACGGTTGCCAGTTATCCGGTGGAATAACTCTACAAATGCCATACTTCTTGCCCTCGGGCGCAATTTTCTGGATGTACGCCACGGGATCCTTGAATTCCTCCTCGGTTGGGCGAAATGTCGGGGCTTCGGGGATGCCATGAGGGCGAATGCGCTTCGATGGCTCGCGAGGGGCATTGGATTGACCGCGTCGTTCTACAGTGGCCAAGTCAAGCGGTGCTGACCTTCGGGCGCTCAAGGGAACGTTGTGGGAATGCGACGGGTGAGTGCTGGAAGACCGGGTTGGCTGGGGGCCCATCGAGGGCCGGCTGGCCATCGGGCTCGCTCCGGTAGAGGCCGGAGCCACCATCTCTTTTGATTGTCGAATTTATGGGGGAAAGTGAGAGGAGGATTCCGGCCCGAATGCGCCTTGTTCGAGTATCGTGGGAAAGGTCACTGCCAACGCGATGGGCGCATTGGAAGGGTGACGAGGGAGATTTGGAGAGAACAAGGGCGAAATAGGTAAGTTCCCAAGGAAGTGAGAGAATGGGAAAGATTCAGATCCTCGATGTACCGAACCGAGGTGCAGATGGGTAAACAAAAAAAAAAGACACGGAGTAAAAGAATCAAATGGGCGACAGCAGTAGAGAGCAAAGGCCGCAGAAGGAAAGGAAAGGAAGGATAGATTTGATAGTGGAGGAATGGGATTATGTGCAGCGGGTGCTCCGAGGTACCATTGGGGTCACTTCTGTGTGGGCCAGTCATTACAAAGGAACTTGTCCGTGACTCGAGTGATCTCCATGGGACTGAAATACAGTACTGTATGGTCACATCCTCGTCACCATCAACACTGGGTCGACCACTTAAGCCTGTTTAAGCCTGTTTAAGCCTGGTGCCTGACTCTGATATTGGGATGATACGGTAAGTATTGAAATATAATGTAATCTGGTGTTGTATACCGTCACAACTGGATTCCATCCCGTAATGCACTAGCCATTCTCGAGTACGATGTGGTAATTATACCGTCACTAGTGTTCGAAGCCGCAAACGGGACATCATACGGTGTTTTCCGATAAGTGATAAGTGCTAATTCACTAAGGGAGACTAGTATGTACCAGTAAACTTGCAAATATCTTGCATCAGGGATTTACAATACCGATTCAAGGTCCGAGCGTCGCCTTTTTCTCTTTTTTGCATTCAATGTTTGAGTGGGTTCGCTCATTTGTGATACATCATGGTAAACTATGCATATCATTGCCCCCCCTTCTTGATAAAGTTGTTCACATCAAAAAAAAAATCCAAGATTCAACTAGTACGCTATATCTGTCAATTCTCTTCTGAGATCGTGTTTCTGGAGATGACTGACAAGTAAGCTTTGCTTATGTGATTCATAACATTCGTTTAGCTCCAAAATGTAAAATATAAGCCATTAATACTCAATACCGCGGCACGACGTCCCATCAAGCTAAAGCTAAAGCTAGATCAGCGCGATCGGCTAAGCATTATTGGGGCCAAACCGCCTCATCCATATATTGCTTACAACCGAGACGAATGCCACCTAACAATTTGCAACATATTCAAATGTTGGACAATACAACTGTTGGCCATTTTTTTAAACGTCGCATGTTGTCATGTGATCCTCATAGTTGACGTGGCCGTGATTACAATTCCGACTTTCCCCAAACAAGCAAAATAAGCAAAGAATGACCGACGACTTGATGGAGGTGCAGGCTGAACCCCGGCCAATCCCGGCATATTACTGCTGCTACCTTCTCCGCTCAACCGTCCGACACGCCTCGCTTTATATTGGTTCCACGCCAAACCCAATCAGGCGACTTTCCCAGCACAATGGAGATGCGAAAGGCGGAGCCAAGAGGACGGCTCGCGACCAATTGCGCCCATGGGAGATGGTTCTGGTTGTTGAGGGTTTTATGAGTCGCGTAGGGGCTCTCCAGTTTGAGTGAGTTTTCTCAATCCTTTTATTGAAACCCCAATCAGCCCTCTAATATCACTAGATGGGCCTGGCAACACCCAGACAGAACGAGACATATCAATTCAGATGAGGAGGATCATCCATCAAAGTCAAAGGTCATTGTGAACCCCAAAACCGGGAAAACAAAACCACGCCCCGGTCGCTCTAGAAGATCTTTGACGGCCCATCTAGAAGACCTACACACGCTGCTGCGATCGACTTATTTTTCTACTTGGCCGCTGCGCGTGCGGTTCTTCCGCGCCGATGTTCATCGTGTTTGGAGGGTGTGGAATGATCGCGTGAGTACGCCACTTCCAGAGGATAGGGTGATTCTAGATGGAGACTGTCCAATACTCGGCGGCGTCAATGATCATCAAAAGGTGGGTAGCATGAAGAATCTTTCAATTGACTACACACCACTTGAAAGCTATCTCGAGAAATCCATGTTCATCTTGGACGACTCAGACGAGCTAAAATGTACGATCTGCAATGCACCGGTCGAACCCAGTACGCAACAAATCGTGATGTGTCCACAGACTTTATGCCGCGGGGCTTCTCATCTATTATGTCTATCTACCTATTTCCTCGATGCAGCCGACGACCCGGATGCCCTTATACCGACACAGGGCACTTGTCCCGCATGCAAGGAAACTGTGGAGTGGCCGCTCATGATGCAAGAGTTGAGCCTCCGTAATCGAGCCGAGAAGGAAGCGCGAATAATCCTGCGCAGGAAAGAAAGACGCGAGCGAAAGGAATCGAGGAGGCCCTCGGGCAGTCAAAGCAGCCCGAAGAAACCAATGGGCACCCGAGGCGCGTCCGTCGAGCCTACATGCACCCTCACCGATAATGACCCCTTGCTGGATGATGATTGGTGCGAGAGGGTAGAGCTGGAGTCAGATGCAGAGTTTAGCAGTGGAAAGCACACTCGATCACCCCAGCCGACCAACAGATTGGAAGTTGTGATTGAAGATAGCGACTGGGATGACGCAGAACTCGTGGAATGAAGGGCGAATGGTAATCCCAAGGTCCCGTAGGGTTGATGATGACGTTCGGGCTAGTTGGCAAGGGGCCCTAGTGTCCCTAAAGGCCCGGTCGCATCGAGGTTGGAAATGCAGCCCGAAACAACACCCTGGATGTCTTGTGACACTTCTTCCAGTGATTTCCCGGCATCAATCACCCAGATATCCTCCTGACGATCAAACAAGGTGCTGAACAACTCCCGCACGCGTGTCTGCATCTTCTCATTCTCATACCGTTCTGCCCCATATCCGCCGCGTTTCGCAGCCTCCTCTGCAGAGATGCTCAGGAAAAGACAAATATCTGGTCGAGGGAGGCCAATCTCGGGCTGCCACGCCCACTCCAGGGAGAGTGTGGGGTTGGCTTTAGCGGCCGAGTAAACGGCACCGGAGTAGGAGTAGCGGTCTACAATGACCGTTGTTCCGGTCGCGATCTCTTGTTCAATGCTTTTAGCGATTTCCCATCGGTTTGCTGAGAAAAGGAGATGAATAGAATGATCATCTTGGTTGGATGAGCCTTGTAAATAGCTATTTATGAGCTGCCCAATAGGTGTTGTTCTGTCTAGACGCAAGTTAGGACAATGGCAGGACAGCTCAATGAGCATTTTTCACGTACCTGGGAAGCGGATGTATTTCACGACCTGGCCTTGATTTGAGAGATAGTCTCGTAGCATCTCGCACTGACTTGATTTACCGGCGCGGTCGAGTCCCTCGACGATGATGAGCGCGCCGCGTCTCGACGGTGTATGTCCGGACTGGCTGGCCATTATGGATTGGTATGGAATCTATCGGCGATGGTACGTTAGTAGGAATTGAAATCAACACTGGTAGATTTGTACATACTCTGTTTTCTCTTCAATGTTCAAATCCCAAGGTTATAATAAATACCTCTTAAGGTATCAATTGATGTCTCTCTCGTCGCGTTGAACGGTCCCAGAAGCGCTCCCACGTCCACGCTCAAAGGGTAAATTTCAGCACGGCAGGATTCATCACATGATCTCTGACTGATGATTGGCTCGACAATTTATTCATAGATCTATATTCAGATCCTCGTCAAGACTCTCGCTAGGAGAATAGGAAAAAGGGAGAATAGCTCCTAGCACCACCAAGATAAAGCTTCAAATGTTCTCCACCAAAAAAAGTCCACACTACATGTGGGGAAATGGTAGGTATCGACCGGGAGGTGCAAGTCAAACATACCTACACAAAATCATTCATTTTTGACGAGCACATGAATTCATGCTAAAACCTCAGGTACTCAAGGTTCTGACGATATACAATGGAGCAACCTGGAAGAATCACAAAGTTGTCTGTGGCGCACCGTCGGGACACGCGTTGAAGCGACCCATCGGCTTTAATTGCCTCGAATAAAGCCCACTAAAAATATTAGCGTTCTGCAACAAACAAACCTATTTGACGCCACCCGGCTCTTCTGCCCAAGACTCACCATTTCACCGTTGTAATGAGCTGAAGTGCACTGGATATGCAAGTGTCAAAATGGAAATAGTGGCAACGCTTTTCGGATGGTCGGCTATGCGGACAAACCTGGAGCTGTGGGCCTCCTAAACGGTTTTGAGTCTGGACCACCTATATATGCCCGCTGCCCATGTGGGCAAATTTGTCGATACATGTTCTTTCAACTGAACTAAAACCTCGAGAAATCGAACATTGAATGCTATACATTCCTGACGAAAGCCATCAATCCCACGTTCTTTCTTCGTTCTTGCATTTGAAACAGACAAACATGGCATCAACATCAACCTCAGCCTCAACCACGGCGGTTTCTTTTGAAAAGAAGCTCCGCAAGTACATGAAGATTCTAAATGACTTCTCACACAAAACGGTCAGTCCATACCCTTCAAATGTTAACTAACTGGAATTCTAAGGCCTATGCCATCTGCTTATACATCTGATACTAGTCCTGGTATCCCGACTTTGACAAACTCGAACTTTCCATCGAAAGTGCTTCTGAAACACCAATTCCAACAGTGTCATTTCGCTTCAAAGTGATCGATGAATTATGCGGAGTGGCTGGAATCCTGCATGGCGGTTGCATGGTTCTACTTGTCGATGACTTGACGACAGTTCTTCTTGGGGCCGTTTCAAAACCTGGGCTGTTTTCTCGATATGGCGCGAGCAAGAACCTGAACACGACATTCATCAGACCGTTGGCTTTAGGGGACGAAGCTAGAATAGTCTCCGAGGTGGAATATTTTGGCAAACGACGAGCTGTGCTGAGGGCAAAGCTCTACAGGGTGGAGGGAAATGAGCTATGCGCGATTCTAGAGAATGATCGAGCGAATACCGATCCCCCAACTCTGTCTAAGCTATGAAGGGACTTGTCCATATGGGAGAAACCGTTATATGAGAAAGTGTGCTTAATTTAAAGCTTGGAAAGCATCAGTCAAGGCCTCGGGGATACAAATCCCATGTTCCAGATTCCATCGAGAGTAGTATATTGAGCCTATTGGATGCACATGTGACATGATCGCATTCAAATTGGGATACTTTGTAGCAGTGCCCAGACTTGATGTCACGAATACCTTGACCCCGAGGTTCATGAATTGATCGATGGATGGTAACCCTATTCAAAAGAAACCAACCCCAATCAATCGATTTGGAATGGCCGATGCCCAAACCATGTGCATCAACGGCACTGAATTTAACATTCGAAGCTACCAGTTGACAATGTTCAAATGTTGACTCTCGGATCATTATCTGCTGAGACAGTTTGGCAGACTAGTACTCAAGTGCTATAAATGTTCAAATTGCTTCCAAGACCATGAAACCATATTCAATGTTCTTCCCGACTAACAGCTTGACTTCTTTAACATTGAATGTTCAAAGTCTCTACCGAGTACCTAGAAGTCTGTCAGGTGAATTCTACATACACATTCAAATGTTTCAATATAACAATTGATAGCTACAAATGAGACTCACATATGTATCAATTCCTAACACTCATACATATACATATTCTTCCATTGATCTGAGTGTAGACATAAGGGTGTTTGAAACTTGGGGAATCTTGGAGTCAATCATTGCCAGTTGACTATAGCTGAACCTGCCAAATCGTTTTTGGCAAAAAGAATAACAAGACCTTTTGATCGACCGAGTTAAAATGTCCCAAATTAGTGCAGCCTCTAAAGCACTTGAGACTGGGTGGGTTTTACTGGACGTTCTTTACTCTGTGGTCGAGATAAGATACTCAACATTGGCTAAAATGTTACAAAAAACATTGAAAGGATTAACCTTGAAAAAACGCGGCCAAATCCGACGAAACCTAGTAGGTAGCTGGACATCAATTGATGACTTCTGCCATTATGTGCAAACCTTGGATAGATTCAAACTTTGATTGCTCGGTTATAACTAGTAGCTATCCCATTCATTTAATAAATGACAGGCCTTCCATCAAACTCCAGACTTTCCATATCATGATCTCTTCAGTCATACATCAATTGCGTAAACTGAATTCAGTAGCTGTGGAGATAGATTTCAAGTCCGCAAGTGTCCTTATATTAGCATTGTCCTTTCCTAACGAAAATCTCTAGATCCAAGGTTTCAAACCACCGAATGCATGTAGTAGCCCACCTGTTGACGAATACATACACAATCAGTCAAATAAAATCGAACAATATACAGCATGGGTAACTTACTTCAAGCCGAAGTCAGTACGAATTCCTGGTCCGAACCCGGCTCGTATCCAGCCAGTTTGAGCTTATTGCCATCTGCAAGACGCAGGAAATAACCAGTCACATTGGAAACCAGCTCATACGTGTCCTTGTCCACGAGCTCAGGGAGGTATGATGTAGGCTCCTCTCCAGCTGTGCATAGGCTGCCCTCTGATTCACAGTTGATGTATGCGCCAAGGTTGTTGATAACGACAAAGTAGCCCTTTTTGTCGTTGTCTGGAGTAAAGTCCCAGATTTGACCTGGGTGCCCGTTACTGGTCGTGAAGACGAGGTCTGTCTGACCAGGAACTTCAGTCAACACCTTCTTTTCAAGAGTAGCGATCTTGTAGGTTCCCTCTTTGAGACAGTATGCTGAGTTGCACAAAGCAGCAAAGACACCAAAGGCCAGGAAAGACTTCATTTTTTCGGTAGATAAAGGCGTGGGAGAAGAAACCGAGAGGAATTGATGATTTATGTCAAAGTTGAAAGGCAGATTGGGCTGTTTAGAAATACTCGCAAACGACCATTGAGAAGGAATTGGAGCTTAATTTATACGTAGCATCCGATGGTTGTGCTAGGAAAACCAACTGACTAAAATGTCTCGCAAAGAATGTATAGAATGCGTCATGTATGCATAGACTATTGATCCGTGCATGAGGTAAATATCAAGATCTTCAAATTCTGGTGTTACACAAGACGAGATACTAATATGCAGGGGGCGCCACTCGTGCCGGGTAAAAGCGACGTCGATCTGTCGATCAGTCAGCCCCCTCTGGGGTTGATCAGTGATCGTCCATATGTTCGGTGGTTGTGCTTAGCCGTCTACCAGTTTCATAGAAGATATCCATTGACACAGTAGTTCTACTGAATAGATAGACATAAAGTTTCAATCTTCCGAGCTGAGTAAAAGGGATCGTCGATGTCAAGTCTGCGGGGAAACTTTGTAATCAATTCTGCTCCTCGAGCTCCAGCTCTGGCCCCAGGCGCCACAATTTAAGGCCATTGGCTGCTTCAAGAGCCGGGGAAAAGAATGAAAACTTCATACTGATCAAGGTCATTTGTTCTTGCGGTCAGTAGGGAAAGGCTCCACCTGGGCACTGGTGGGGATTATGTGCAGGATCGAGACTAAGCTGCAGCATTCTCATGGTGCGCTGTATAATGTGAGTGGCTGCTCTGAGACTGCGTGGGTTGGTGGTAAGCAGAGTACTGTACAGTTCATGCACGTCCCACTAATAGCTCATTGAGTATCCTTGTAGCTGAGGAGTGGGGTCTGGAATGAATTTCCATTGGTAATGGCAATTTGGCTGAGGCTAGGATCGCAATCATCAGCGGCTCGGAGTGATTAAGCTGAGGGTTTGACAAGTTTGTGGGCTGATAGATTTCCTCGATGCAAGTGAATTGTATGATTTTTATGGCACTTGAGGTATCATGTTTTCTTCATACTTGTTGGCATTCCTCTTGGTGAGTTCTTGACATGAAGTATGAAGACAACGGGGAAGAAACAAACGGAAGATGCCGATTGGCGCGGAGTCTGCAGTCTGGACCGCAAAGCAAACGCTGCAAACCCCCGAAACCAGCATCTGCCATAACATTCTCGTGGTTCATGGATGTTCTTTATTTGTTAGATCCTTGAATTTTTGTGCCAATCTAGACTGCTATACATGCATTGAATATCAAGATATACAGAAGTTACCTAAATGTCTTCTCTACCGTAGTGTAGGCTATTCAAGTTTCCAATGTATTGAATTTGGACCATTCGTGCACTAAGCGGTCCCCTCATTTATTTTTCTGCCGATAAGATCAATCCGCTACCCCAATGATGATCGCTCAATAACAACGAGCTGCCATGAATTCTGAGACCTCCCAACCGCCCAGTATGACCTTCAGTGTCCTGGCCCCTGCTGCGCCCGTTCTGGCACCACGAGCCGGCACGTTGGCGATTACAGGCCGCACGACTTTGTCCACGCCGCATTATCTGCCTGTCACGTCGCGGGGCGTGGTGCCTCATATATCCCACGACAACGTGCGCAAAGAAACCGCCATCAATGGCCTATACGTAGGACTCGAGGACTGTACGTGTGCAATGAACTCAGATGCTTTCACTCATCTCCCCACCCCCCACATTTGCTCCGCCAGCTGACAATGTATATGCCCCGCTGGGCTCATATCAGTCATCGAAAAGAAACACCGCTCCCCAGTATTTAAGATTCCCGTTGAGGCAAATGAGTCGCCGTTGCGGAAATTCATTTGCGCATCCAGCGACTTGCCTTTGATCCTAGGTCCGCGTCGGTTTCCCGCCATGCCCTGCCCACCTGTCAACACCACGACGTCAATTGCGATCTCCACCTCAGATGGATTTCACCAATTGTCCGCCCAGCAATATATTGATGTGACCTATAAGTTGAAGCCCGATATTGTTATTGGACTTGCGGATATGGTGTCTGGAAAGCCACCTGGCAACAAGAGGCGGGCCAAGATGGTGGACCGGACACATGCGTACACCAGAGATGCACTGGAGAAGTTATATGGTGACGCGGTTGAGGCAGACGAAAAGTCCAAGGCAGCATACTTTGCGCCGATCTTGCCACTTGATAATACTCAGCAGTCGCTTTACTTGAATGATCTGAAAGACGAGTTCGTCGATCGTCTTTCTGGGTTGGCATTATACGATTCTGCTTCTCTAACCTTCATCCCGGGGGCTTTGGGCAATTTGCCTCGACTGCTTCTAAGTGACCCCAGGGGTCCGCATGCGGTTCTCCGTGAGATATCGCTTGGTGCAGATCTTCTCACCACCCCCTTTGTTGGTGATTCTTCGGATGCAGGTATCGCGCTGGACTTCACCTTCCCGGCTCCTCCCAGAGAGGCCGACGAGAAGGATCCTTTGCCATTGGGTATTGACATGTGGTCATCTGAGTACGCGAAGGATGTTTCTCCTCTGCGGGAGGGCTGCCAGTGCTACGCATGCCGACGCCACCACCGCGCATACTTCAACCACCTCCTGGCTGCCAAGGAGATGGCTGCATGGGCCCTTCTCCAGATGCACAACTTCCACACAATGGACCTGTTCTTCCACGGTGTCCGAGAAAGTATTCAACGTGGGTCTTTCGAGCAGGACGTTGAGGCATTCACTCGCACCTATGCCTCCACATTACCCGAGTCCACGGGCCAGGGTCCTAGGTATGTCAAAATCAACACCGATTCAAATTTCGGGTTTTACTGCAAATATGTATAGCATACTAATCGTTTATAGACTTCGCGCCTACCAGCATCCCACCGGTGCTAACCAGCCTGCCCGTGCTCCTCGTGTATACGGTCGCCTTGACGACGCCCTCCAAAAGTTCCAAGATTCCCAGTCTTGTGTTGCTACTCCCGATACTGATGCGGAGGGCCTCGAGAAACATGGATTTGCTGAAAAGACTTGATTGGTCAACATGCGCCGTCTTTCTTACCAGTATAAAAACCATTGCGTCCCATTTAGAAGCATTTTTGGCGTCTATCTGGTTTTAATTGTTTAGGGCACATATCCATGTTACAAAGAGACAACGAATGTATGACGACAAGGCTACAAATTCCCACTTGGCTCGGCAGCTTCCATAGAAAGTAGCATTTGAAATCAGTACATTATAGTAGTTCCTAGTACTAGGTACTAGTACTCATGATTTAAATGAATACGTCCATCCGTGAAAGTCGACTACCACCGCCGATAGCAGGAAAATAGGTCAAAGTTGTTATGTCAATTGCACGCTCAAGTACTATACAGGATCACATATCTCATGATACCATCAATCCTTTGCCCACTTCACCTGGGCACCAAGCACTGGTTCTAAAAGGAAAAACATTCTCATCAATTGTAGAGAAAAGAGAATAAAACAAAGCCGAAAAGGATGGGGAAAAGGATGGAGAAAAAAAGAGAATGCTGGTTGCAGGGTATATCAATCAGACGTAAACCTAAAACATCTGAAAGTAGTAAGTCGCTCGCTCACTACTGCGTCTCACCCGCCAACACGCGCCACATCCACTTGACCTCTTCCTCCTCCTCCTTGGAGCCAGGCTTAGTGCCAGCACCATATTGCTGTCCAACAACACAAACAAGCCAAGAGTCGTTTCTAGTAGTATCAAGGAACCGTTCGGTAGGAGAGTTACGGGGGTAAATGCGGCGCCATTCGTCCCAAATACGGAAAGCCTCCTCACCCCAAGCACGGAAACTGACTTCCTCAATGATGGTGGGGGTGATGATTTCTTTGCCACGGAAGACTCCCCAAGTGACAGCATTAGCGCTGTCCGGGTTCGCTTCGTCCTCATCGGGATCGCCCGAAGAAGTCGGGTATGAGGATTCGTAAACACCCTTCTGGTTGATAGCGAACCAGGCTAGCTTTTCATCGTACTTGGCGAAAAGAGGCTGGAGGATGTTGTTATAGTCGTTGCTAGAACAGAAGAACTCAACGAAAGGCTTCTGGAACACAAAGCCTTCACGTGGCGGACCCCAGCCAAAGATGGGGTTGTCACTACGGACACCGTTGACGGCAGGCTGCGATGCAAGAGTCCACCAGCCACGGCCGTCAATGAGCTTAAGCAACTCCGGTCGAATGAGGTCTGTTTCAGGGTTCAAACCCCCGCTACCTTCCTCGGCACCACCCTCAGACCAGGGGACCATGTGGAGTTCGCCAGAGACGTGACGGCGGAACAGGGTGTTGAGGTCAGATTGCTCGACGGGGTGGCCCCACAGACGACGGGCGACGGTAGATGTGACGTGAAGGGAAGGTCCATAGCCATCAATCTCACCGAAGGCGGGAGATCGTGCATCACCCCATCGGCCGTTAGGGAAGTCATCCCAGGTTGCCTCCCTGCCAAGGGCGCCGAGGCCCTCGGAGATGAGAAGGGTCGTGCTGCGGTTAGGAGGCAAAGCAGGCATGCCTGATCCATCTGCCAGGGCCTCGTGTGTGGAGCTACGGGATGAGTCTTTTCCGGAAAACCGGTCGACAATGACACGGTTGTATGGCTGCGAGTTGATAGACGAGCGGCGTCTTGACTGCAATGAACGGGTGGGGACGTCATCGATCGATACGGTGTTATCAATATCAAGAGCATCATCCTGGTTCACAGAGAATGGTGGAATCATATCACACCGTTCGAGGATGAATGAAACTGTTTTCTCCAAGTTCAGAGTGTAGAAATGGAAACCCCGTGGCCCGGGAGACTTCAGCTCCCTGATACCTCCAACAATTTCACTGACAATATCCACACCAGCCCGCTTGACAGCGTCGTCATCATGCTTAACTTCTTCGATGCGCTTGGCAACGGCATCCGGCACCTTGACATGGCTGAGCTTGGTCACGCGAGTGAGAATCTTGTAGCTGTGAATAGGCATTAAGCCTGGGATAATCGGGATGGTCTTGAAAACACCCGACTCGTGGTTCCGAAGCATATTCTCAAACTTTTGATACGCCTCCAGATCGTAGGTAAGCTGCGTCATAATAAAGTCTGCACCAGCAACGGTCTTCTCAATCAAGTAAGGCAGATCACGCACGGGATCCTGTACATCCTGGAAAGAGTCTGATGGGTGACCCTCCGGGTAGGCAGCGACACCAATGCAGAAGTAGTCTCCATGCTGCTTCTTAATATATTTCACCAAATCCACAGCGAAAGTGAAGTCCTTGTTGCTATCGTCCTCTCCGTCCATGTTGTACTCCTCACTGCGGGGCGGGTCTCCACGCAGAGCCAGAATGTTGCGGATACCGAGCGCCTTTGCATCCACCAAAGCCGTATCGATCAGCTCGCGGCTCATGTTGGTGCATGTCAAATGCAAGACGGTTGTCAATTGCAGCTGGCGCTGGCAAACTTCGGCCAGCTCGAGGGATCGGACCGCCGTGCTTCCGCCTGCACCCCAAGTAACGGTGACGAATAAGGGGCGCAGAGCCTGGGACATACGTTCGAGACGTGCAGATAAATTCACCAAACCCTATAGTAGCCATCGTCATTAGCATATGATCACATTTCTGATTCAGCAGTATTTCATGCGCGGGGTTACCCCACCATACGGGTTTTCGGTGGGAAGAACTCCAGGGAGAAGTAATTTGCGTCTGGCGGCAAAGCCGCGATCTTCTCTGTAAGCTTCTTCTCCATTGCGATGACTGTGTGAATTGCAATGGGAGTAGGTTTAGGAAGCAAGAAAGGACTTGGGCCGAAGTGGACCATTCATGGATTCTCCAGTAGGCCGCACCCGGGACTTGATGATGTCTCCGCCTGCCGGTGGCCAACTCACAAACCAGGATCTACATTGGTTATTTCGAAAGCTTAGAGTTACTTGTTCAAATGTCTGGTTTAATTTGTGTGTAAAGAGGGCGCTTGGGATCTGAAGCTACAAATGAAATATATTTTATTGAATTAATTTTGAATTACCATGGTATTATAGTATATGCGAAAAAAAATATTAAAATCAAAGATCGACCGAACCAGATGACTCAGCGCGATTCGTGATCGTTGATCGTTCAATCTAATCGCGTACTCCGTGGGAATTCGGAATTCGGCACAAGCTCCCCATTGCCCAAGACAGCTTCCTATTACCCTAGCTGGCCTGTGATCCTGCTGAACCCTTGGCCATTTGACTCATTGATTATTGTATAATTGGTCTTCCTCAATGGCATCTCGTTCGGTTTCTCGTTTCCAATGGCATGTCGCGCCAGCTAGATTTCCGTCGCGACGGCAGCTCTCGACTCCCTCAAAATCCCCACCAACGCCCAAGGACTTTCGCTCTCGCCTACGCCAATTCAACGATCGCCTCCCTCCATTTCTCCGTACATACACAACACCCCTACTGGGAGCTCCGGTGACCCATGTTGCCTCGTTCCTCATCTTGCACGAAATAACAGCGATTGTACCCTTATTCGGGCTGGTCGCAGCATTCCACTACGGCAACTGGATGCCAGATATAGCATCAGGTTCCGGGGAAAACAATGCATTCGACGAAGGGGTTGCGCGCTTTGGTCGTTGGCTAAGGAAGAAAGGCTGGGCCGATGAATCCGACGTCAGTGTCGTTGCGGAGCATGAAGCAATGGCACCTGGCGATCCAAGCAAGACGGAGAGGGCTGGCGTGCGCTTGGTTCTCGAATTTGCGACAGCTTATGCGATTACAAAGGCTCTATTGCCGGTTCGCATAGCGGGAAGTGCGTGGGCAACACCGTGGTTTGCGAAAGCCGTTCTTACCCCAACCACTCGAGCAGTCAGGTGGCTGATTGGGAGGGGTCGGTATTGAGCGCAATGTATTACCAGGAGCCATTTAATGTAGATATATAATCGTAAATCACACGATCCTTGTATATTGTATAGTGGATTTTCAGAGCCATCGAAGGCCTGTCTTCAATTATCACAATCTATAGTGCAAGTAGTTTGGACAGACTAGTCAGACTCAATACATCATGGAATACGAGTAATAATTTATTCGTAAACCCAAGCGGCGGAGGCGTGCTTGTAGATGTTGAGCTCGGAAGGCTGGAACCAGAGGGCAATCTCCTTCTTGGCGTTCTCAACGGAGTCGGAACCGTGGCAGACGTTGCGGCCGACATCGATGGCGTAGTCACCACGGATGGTACCGGGGAGGGAGTCACGGGGGTTGGTGGCTCCGAGGATGACACGGCCGGTCTTGACGGCGTCCTTGCCCTCCCAGACCATGGCGCAGATGGGACCGCTCAGCATGTCTGGTAGTTGTTAGTTGGGTGTTTGGGGATTGGTGACTCGGCTGGTCCGGGGACTCACAGGAGACAAGACCCTTGAAGAAGGGCTTGGTGGCGAGGTCAGCGTAGTGCTTCTCGAGGAGCTCCTGGCCGGGGGAGGTGAGCTTCATGGCAACGAGCTTGAAGCCACGGTTCTCGAAGCGGGAGATGATGGGGCCAACGAGTCCACGCTGTAGATAAAATTAGTTTACATGACTCAATTGACGATGGAATCCTTTTGTTCGGCGGATTCATCGGAGCAACGATCTTCTTCGTACCTGGACACCATCGGGCTTGATGGCAATGAAACTGTAACAAATTGATTAGCTTCACCGCCAGAAAAAGAGGGGTAGCTAAGAGAAGACCATAGCTAGAAAGTATGGAATATGGGAGGTGATATCAATGTAGGGGGAAGGGATTGCGACTCACGTCTGCTCGTCGGCCATTTTGATGAATTTGATTGAAGATCGGGTAAATCAGCAAGGGATGAGAAGCAAGAAAGAAGAAGCGGAAAAAGAGGGAGAATAAATACCTGCGAGGCTTTTTTTGCCCTGCGATTGGTCGATGGTGGGGCACGAGGTGAGTTGGCCTAGACACCTGAATACCTTACTGCCTTGGCGCCTTAATACCTCAGGTGTCTTACCCCAGCTATCCACCGTCAGGCCAGCCTGGAGCTTCCCTAACATCAGAAACTCCACTGCGGATGCAGGTCATCATCCACCTCAGAACACTATTTTTGCCCAGGGATTGAGGGTCTCTGACTGCACAGCTGTCTACAGTATGGCCCGGACCCGGCCCGCGTCCCGTTGGACGTTCTTCCTCTCTCTACTGGTTCTTATCAGTTGCATTGTTGTCCCCGGTGGTGAGTTCCCTTGTTAATCTCTATAGCTATATGGAATGGCTGGAATTTTCAATTGACGAATTTTCAAAGTGGCTGTTAAGCATGAAAACTTCAAAACATGCGCTCAATCCGGATTTTGTAAGCGCAACCGAGCTCTCGCCGACGATGCCTCCGCCCAAGGTACATCCTGGAGCTCCCCGTACGAGCTTGATCCAGCTACCGTACAATTCAAGGACGGTCAGTTGACCGGTGTGTTGATCAAAACGACCACGGCGAACGGTCAAGTCCGCCTGCCTGTCATCGTGTCTTTCCTGGAATCCGGTGCCGCACGCGTGATCGTCGACGAGGAGAAGCGCATGAAGGGCGAGATTGAAATCCGACACAACAGCAAGGTCAATAAGAAGCGGTATGATGAGACTGAGAAGTGGGTTCTTGTTGGTGACTTAGAGTCAAGCAAGTCAGCCAAGCTGAAGCCTGAGACCGAAGCTGGATTTACCAAGGTCCAGTATGGCCCAGGTGACAAGTTTGAGGCTGTTATTCGTCACGCCCCATTTGAGTTGGAATTCCAGAGAGATGGCCAGACTCATGTTCAGCTGAACCACCAAGGTCTTCTAAACATGGAGCACTGGCGTCCTAAGGTTGAAAAGGAGGGCGAGTCTGAGTCCGCCGAGGATGAAAGCACTTGGTGGGAGGAGAGCTTCGGTGGCAACACAGACTCCAAACCCCGTGGCCCCGAGAGTGTTGGAATCGATGTGACTTTCCCCGGGTACAATCATGTATTTGGAATCCCAGAGCATGCAGATTCGCTTTCGCTCAAAGAGACAAGGTATACATCTACTATATTCATTGTCACATCTACTATGTAAACCTAACCATCATCTAGGGGAGGACCCGGAAACCACGAGAACCCATACCGCATGTACAACTCCGATGTCTTCGAGTATGAACTTAATAGCCCTATGACCCTTTACGGCGCTATTCCTTTCATGCAGGCACACCGCAAAAACTCCACCGTCGGTGTCTTTTGGTTAAATGCTGCTGAAACCTGGGTCGATATTGTGAAAAAGTCTGCCTCATCAAACCCGCTTTCTTTGGGCGCCAGCTCGAAGACTAACACCCAAACTCACTGGTTCTCCGAGTCTGGTCGAATTGATTTATTTGTTTTCCTTGGCCCCTCGCCCAATGAGATCAGCAAGACCTATGGAGAGCTGACTGGCTATACGCAACTTCCCCAGCACTTTGCCATCGCCTATCACCAGTGCCGTTGGAACTACGTCACCGATGAGGATGTGAAGGAAGTTGATGCTAAGTTTGACAAGTATCAGATCCCATATGACGTTATCTGGCTGGACCTTGAATATACCGACGACCGCAAGTACTTTACATGGGATCCGCTCACCTTCCCCAACCCGAAGGGTATGCAAGAGAAGCTTGACGAATCCGAGCGGAAGCTTGTTGTGCTCATTGACCCACACATCAAGAACAAGGATGACTACTATGTTTCCCGGGAGCTTAATAGCAAGGGTCTTGCCGTTCAAAATAAAGACGGTGACGTATATGATGGCTGGTGCTGGCCCGGCTCTTCAAACTGGGTCGATTGCTTCAACCCCGCTGCAACTCAGTGGTGGAACAGTCTCCACAAGTACGACAAGTTCCAGGGATCGATGTCCAACTTGTTTATTTGGAATGACATGAACGAGCCCTCCGTTTTTAACGGCCCGGAAACAACCATGCCCAAGGACAATATTCACTATGGTAACTGGGAACACCGTGATATCCACAATGTGAACGGTATCACCCTTGTCAATGCTACCTACCAGGCATTGCTTGAGCGCAAGAAGGGTGAGGTCCGCCGGCCATTCATCCTGACCCGCTCATACTATGCTGGAGCTCAGCGTATGGCTGCTATGTGGACTGGTGATAACCAGGCTACCTGGGATCATTTGGCCATTTCCTTGCCCATGGTCTTGACCAACGGTATTGCGGGATTCCCCTTCGCCGGTGCTGATGTCGGTGGCTTCTTCCACAACCCGGACAAGGAGCTGCTGTCCCGGTGGTACCAGGCCGGAATTTGGTACCCATTCTTCCGCGCTCACGCTCATATTGACACTCGTCGCCGCGAGCCCTACCTGATCAATGAGCCCCACCGGACCATTATTTCCCAGGCCATCCGCCTGAGATATCAGCTTTTGCCATCTTGGTACACTGCCTTCCACGAAGCTTCGGTCAACGGTACACCAATCGTGCGACCCCAGTACTATATGTTCCCCGATGATGAAGAAGGCTTTGCCATCGACGATCAGCTCTATCTGGGCTCTACTGGTCTCCTCGCGAAGCCTGTGGTGACTGAAAACACATTCACAACCGACATCTACATTGCTGATGACGAGAAGTACTATGACTACTTTGACTTTACTGTCTACCAAGGTGCAGGCAAGAAGCACACCGTCCCTGCCCCAGAGGACAAGATTCCTTTGTTGATCCAGGGTGGTCATATCGTCCCTCGTCGGGACCGTCCCCGCCGCAGTAGTGCCCTTATGAAGTGGGACCCCTACACTCTTATTTTGACCCTGAACAAGAACGGCGAAGCCGATGGCTCTCTCTACGTCGATGACGGTGAGACCTTTGACTATGAGCGTGGTGGCTACATTCACCGCCGCTTCCAGTTCCGTGACTCGACCTTGTCGTCTGAGGATCTTGGCACCAAGGGACCCAAGACTACCGAATACTTGAAGACCATGGCCGGCGTTACTGTAGAACGCGTCGTTGTTGTTGACCCACCCAAGGAGTGGAAGGATAAGACCACAGTCACCGTCATTGAGGATGGAGCTAAGACAGCCTCCACCGCATCTTTGGACTACTTTGAGCAGGAAGGTGGAAAGGCACCTTATGCCATTGTCAAGAGCCCCAATGTTGGAATTGGAAAGGCCTGGCTGATAGAATTTTAAGGGGGGAACCGCTCTTTCCCAGATACGACTTACATGCGATAGTAGATTATCGATCATTTTGATATAGCCAGTTTATTTGAGTTCTGACTGCATCCATTTCATTCATCACCGTTCAAAGTATCATTCAACATCGTGTCTTTCCGCAAAGATGCGGCAAACGTCTCCCCTATGGTCATGAATCTCCAACGATAACGTCCCATTTATCGACACATACCAGCCCACAGAGTTCTCTCCAATGACCTGCCAGGTAGCCTTGGCATAGAAGCAGGCTGGCTCATATTGTTGATAATATTGGGTGAATAGTTCCATGGCCTTGTAGTTGGCTGATGATAGAGTATGGAAGACTCCCTCGATAATGAAGTCCGAACCTTCAGAGCGCATCACTTTTTCATGAGCAACGACATAGACGAAGGGCTGGGCTGGTTGTTCATCAAAGTCTTCAAGTTCTTGTGCATCGAAGTCTTCACGTTCTTGTGCAGCTTGCGCAGCTTCATCGTTTGCTCTGTTGACTTCATCGACCAGGTCGGCTGGGAAAAAATCGAAGAGCGAGGAGTTTGTGTGAAACATTTTCGTTTTGTATTGTGAACGAGTTGGTGAAGAGGTGATTGAGATAAGTCCATCTGGTAAGTGAGAACAGCTCTGGAGCCCCGGAGCCTGGAGGTTATTCAAAATCAATAACAAAGAATGACGTGCAAGGAATAGAAATGAAATATCCCAACTCTACTGGTTTTACCTTGAAGGTTCCTCGGTACATGTTCTGCGCTCCTAAACTTAATAATTGAAATCATCCGAGACTATGTAAATATTCGTTTCTCTTCAAGTTTGCAAATTGACTGACAGGATGCTCCCAATAAGAATTTTCTTTAAAAAATGCGCAGGCTGAAAAGCTCACGAGTCACAATTGACTGGGTCCTTTTCTAGACTCCCCACTTAACCACAAAGAGATTGGCGCATATTATTTTGACCCCATAATCATTACATAGTAAGCTAAGTACTAGTATTATCTCAAGTACTCATCTTGGAGCTTTCAAAACGCTGTATCAAGTCCTGGAAGTATCAAAAAGGAAAGTCATATAAGAATTGTGTTTTATACTTCTTTAGTTCCCAGTGATCGACAGGGTGCTGACATAACTCGGGGGAAAAAGCCGCTTGCGTCGTGCGCGCCTTGGAATCTCAGCTTTTCTCCCTTTTGGTTCCTGGTTCCCCAATCTCTCATTGTCGCAAGCCCCGATTTGGGTTACGTTTTGCCTCTGGGATCTATACATTTCAATTCTTGGAATTCCCGTCTTGGAAGCTGCCGTACTCCAAAGAATTATAAACAATCACGTTAAATCGTTGAATTGTATACTCACCGAAACTCCCGCCAACACACCACCGCCAACATGTATCTCATTCAACTCGCAATTGAATATGCCGCCCCCTTCTTGTATGCTGCAAAGCTCTGTCTTGACTCCAGGTGATGGCAAATACTAATCATATTCTCTAATAGTCTTATCTCGTCGCCCCTCACCTCTTACCTCGATCAGATCCTCAGCATTCATCGCTCCCGGAGCTCGGCGGGTTTCTCATTGGACATTCCTTTGATTATGCTGGTCGCATCAATCTTAAAGTGAGACTCCGCCTCATATTATCGCCATATCGCAACAACCAACTGACCTTTCTACCAGGGTCTTCTATTGGTTTGGAGAGTACTATTCCAAGGCCCTCTTATCGCAAGCGGTGGTTATGGTCATTGTGCAATCAGCACTGCTCAAGGTCGCGCTGGACAACCGACCTGCCAGCGGAGGAAAGAATGGCATCGAACACACACCCTTTAGCGGTGGTAATAACGACGGTGGCTTCACGCGCCCGTACGACTTCTGGCAGTGGAGAAGCACCAAGCCGTGAGTCTCAACCCTCAACCCATAACCCACCCGTCCCTCAAATCAGGAACACAACTCCCAGGGCCTCTTTATACTGATCCATTTTCTTCCAGGTACTGGATGTTCCTTTCCTACTTCGTCGCTATCCTGTTTGTGATCCACCTCACTCCAATCTCCGACTCCTCCTCCTACATCAGCCTGCTGGGTTGCATCGGTCTTGCCGTTGAGGCCACCCTCCCCATTCCACAAATCCTAGCCAACCACCGCTCTGGCTCGTGCAAAGGCTTCCGTGTCTCCGTCCTGGCCGCCTGGTTGATTGGTGACTCAATGAAGATGAGCTTCTTCTTCTGCAGTCAGGAGGCCATCCCCTGGTCTTTCAAGATCTGCGGTATGTTCCAGTGCGTCTGCGACTGCTACCTGGGCTTCCAGTACTGGATGTTCACTCGGAACTCTGTCCGGGCTGCAGGCAGCTCTCAGGAACAAGAAGGGCGATGGGCCGCCGGTGAGAAAGACATTCGCATGAACTAAAGACCTGATGCTTTTCTTTGGTATTTGGCAGCCAAATAATTATTTTTTGTAGATAGAGGGGATCCACTCAAACCATAGCGATCATAGATTTTGTAATAATTCCGAATGAAACGACGTCAATAACGCGATTTTCTCCTTCGAACGTGATAGAAAACTGATTGTATTGCAATATTTACCCTGTATCGCACTATCGCGTCTGCCCCGCAAACGGCGGTTCGGGAAATGATGGAATGCGAGCTGCCCCGCGCCATAGACTTCAATTCTTTCTCACTCAGAACCGCCCTCTTTAACAGCGATCAATACGCCAGCTGCTCATTGAAATCTCAAAATGGCTTCAGTGTCTACCATCCGTATCGGATATGTGCCTGGTAGGTTCTTGTGACGAGACCAAAGCTTTAATGTTACGCATGCGGCATAGCTATCTGAACATGGTGTACTAATATCTTTTCCATATTGATTAGAGCACTATCTGACCCCCCTGCATCTGGCTCTGCGCTCCAAGGCTGTTGCTTCTCTTCCATACAAGATCGCTCTTACCCCATTCCCGTCTGGCACGGGTCATATGATCACATCCCTGCGCGGCAATGAGATTGACATTGCGATTGGTTTGACCGAGGGTTGGGTCGCCGGCTTGGCCGGTAAGCAGCAGGCACAAAGCACAGGCGATGGCGGATACAAAGTCATTGGTCACTGGGTCGACAACCCTCTACGATGGGCCATTGTCACAGGTCGTAACCGCAGCGAGATCAACGGAGTCCCGGATCTGCAAGACTCAAGAGTCGGAGTGAGCCGTCTTGGAAGGTGAGCAAGACAACTCTATTCAAGCTGAGCTGTTAAATAAAAGCCAGCTAAGCCACATGGTAATTGCGACCGTGATTATTGAATCATTTCTAATATGGATCGTCGTTCACCAGTGGTTCTCACATCATGTCCTTCGTCCTCGCCCAACAGCAAGGCTGGAAATCCGACTCCTTGACATCTGTCCCTCTTGGACCCTTCGGCGCTCTACGAAACGGAGTAACCGGCGAAGACGAGGCCAAGCCAGAGCAAGTACCAAACCCCACAGCCGAATTCTTCATGTGGGAGCACTTCACAACAAAGCCCTACTTCCACGCAACAGCAGACAAGCCCAACCCACCACTCAAGAACATTGGCGAGATCTTTACCCCCTGGCCCTCATGGATGATGGTGGCATCGACAGCACTCTTCCCCGCCCCTGCAAATGATGACCGCCTCGCACAGCTTTTCCAGGCCCTGGACCTTGGAATCAAGGAATTCGAAGCCGATACCGCTCAGGTTGTGAAGCTTTTGGGAACTGGAGAGCTTGGCTGCACTTATATTGAGGAAGATGCTACGGAGTGGTTGAAGGATGTCAAGTTCACTGATAGCACTCGTGGTGTGGATCGTGAGGTGATTACGGGTGTTGTTGATGTCCTTAAGGTGGCCGGTGTTATTGATCCGGCAATGGATAACGAGGAGGCTATCCAGCGGGTTATTGGTATCCCAAGGTAAAAAAAATCTTTAACGATAGACTAAAATTGCGGGAAACTATTTCAAGGTTTCCATCTTGAGATAAACACAGAATAAATTAACATGCATGGGCATCTTATGGCACAATCTTGCTATTTGCACAGTGGATTGACAGTATACATCTTTTTTGCTACCCTTGTGTCTCATCATTGGTCCTCGAAGTCCATACATGTAGTATAGAAAAATCTAGATGATTTCAAAAGGAAACCCTGACAGTCTAGAACCTTCTCGGAGTCTCTAAATAAGTTACAAAAATGGCTGCGGAGCACGAGAAGGAAGAATATCTCTCACCCACCCAGCCGTCATCGCCACCATCTCCTTGGTGCAGCTATGGCCCGTATTGTCCTGTACAAAAAATCTAATATCTTGTTTGCCCCCCGTTCTATTCCGTCGCTCCTCTACCCAAGCCGCGGTATATTTCGCTGGGACCAACTTATCAAACCGCCCATTGCACAGAAGCAGCGGTACATCAGCAGGAAAGGCGTCTGTGACTTGCTGATCATCGTGATGCACGATCTCCGCCAAAGCGCGAGGCCATCGCCTTTGCTGTTTTGGATCCATTGCCTGACGGAGCTTTTCATAATCGAACGACTCTCCATCCGGACCGTTTCCAATCGTTGGATCGATGCCCAGACGACCGAGAAGCAGAGTGGAGAGACTAGGGCAGCCCACAATCATGGTGTAGGCGTAAATCTGGCCTGGAGGAGTCAGTGAAGCGATGCGCCACGCTGTGTGTCCACCCAGAGACACGCCGTACATGATGTTGTAGAATTGAGAGAATTGGGGGAGATAGGTTGGAAGGTAATCAAGTACCAGCTTGAAATCTTGGGCAGATCCGGAGATCATGGATACCAGGTCCATACTGTTGGATTTAGTTAGTATTGCGGGAAATGTCATGGTAGAGATCATAGAACATACGCGTGATTCTCATTGCCGTTCTTCCAGGTCTTGTTTGCTTCTGGATCAACCTAGTGGGAAGGTTAACGTTGAATGAAAGGGTAATAGGAACATGGACAGCAAATACCTCGCGATCTCCGTGGTTTCTCATATTCATAGTCACAGCAATCAATCCAATTGACCTGCCTTCTTGCTTGTCTGTTCGATATTGATGAAGAATCTCATGTGCCATATCCTCCATCACCCGATAGGTCCGGGTACGGTTATGTGCCATATACAAGACTGCGATCTCTTCAGTTTTCTGGACTGACTGAGCAGCTTTAATCTCCAGTAGCCCGTATACATAGATTTTAATTCCGCCAATCACCAATTCAGTTTTGCTTGAGAGAGGTGTACTTGGCGGAAGGGAGAAACGAGGCTCCTGGCCATCTGTACTTTGAACAGCTGTCATTTTTTTGTTGTAGACTTGCTTTCTTTTCTTTCGGCGTTCATTCAAGGATATCAATCTTCACAGAATAAGATTTTTCGAAGCTCTTATATGCAACAGTAGGGATGAATGAAATAGAAATGAGCCGAACCGACCGCTAGTACCACAAGTGGTTAAAGCGGAGAGAAAGATAATTGCCGAATTAACCGCCCCGTGACCACCGAATCACAAGTGACAAAACAATTTGAGCCGAAGTAATTCAATCGCAATTTGCCGAAGCCCATCAAAGCTTCAAAACAAGCTATGCCGATCGAAAAACTCCAGAATCATCGGGGTAGCATTGAAGCTAGCGACATGATGGCCCGCTACCTCATTATCCGAATTAGGCACCGTACTGGGCCAATCGTGACCAATCACAGAATCGTACACCAAGCCCACAAGCCCCCTAGCACCAAACGAGTAAACGACAGTGTCAGACGCTACTGACAGGGTCTTGTTCCGCCGAACGCTCAGGTGATCACGCCCAGCCCACTCCTGGATGAAATGCGGAATAGTTGGCAAACATTCGTTTTTCCGTTCGCCACCCCAGTAGGAAATCGTTGTGTCGTTTCCACCGTGGAATGCTAGTAGGGGGATATCCGTCCGTGAAGTTTGACAGGGAATATCGACTGTAGCAGGCAAACAGGGCAGCGTGTCGATGTAGTAGGCGCCAGAGACGGGAGCAAAAGCTGCGAAGCGAGCTGACATTTCGGAGTCACACGCGAGGAGGTTGCAGAAGCCGGCCCCGTCGGATTTCCCGGTTGTCCAGATCCGGGTGGTATCGATACAATATTTGGAAGTAATCTCGTTCAAGATGTCTCGTGTGAATTGAATGTCATTGGTCGTGATACCCGGAACGCCTTGCCATGTGTTCTGTGTCCGTATACAATGCCAATGGTTAGAAATAAATTTCTTTTTTCAATGAGAGAGTCAGCGAGATTGATGTTTTTTTCTTGAAACTTACATCAACGCCCTGGGGATATACAACAAGAGTCTTGGTGTTGAACTCGGGATTGGTCAATTGGTCAAGCTGCAACTGGCTTTCAGCCGTCCGCTCACCCCCGTGATATGACAGGATAACAGGAGTTGGAACATGAGGATGGTATTCGGGTGGAATGGAGATCAGAAAGTTGCGATCTAGATCATCGCTTGTAATCGATATGTTGAAAACGCTCCCTGTGGACTGCCCTTTAGGTAGCTGTTTGTCCCCACATAGTGTAGCGGCTGCGAGTGTGGCTCCCAGAAGGAGTGAACCGATATAAGAGAGTGCCATGAGAGGATATTTCGTTAATAACAACAAAAGAAATCAAATCATCAAAGATAGCCACGACCAAAGCCAACTTATACTTCCTGTACCCTCGAGCCTCTAGGATGACATGGGGTTACACATGCACTACCCCAGACTTTCCCCGCAAAAAGCAAAGCTCTCCTTGTTCAACAAACTCTAGCTACGTAGTACTAACGACCGGTTTCCATGCTCCTACTTGCCGGATTGCCGGGGATTTCGTTTTCTTTATGGACACTGTATATGATATGTCACTTTTTCCGGCTAGATTTAGCGGCGGACTTAAGGATGGTTGCTTATTTGCGTGGCGGGCCCCAAACCCGCAGCTAGGTTTCTACGCCACTAGAGCGAAGAAGACTGCAAGGGATTGATGTTAGGGGGATAAAGCCCCCGGCTAGAAGCCACCTGCCAGCTAACGGCAATTCAAATGCCAGCTGGCCACTACCGGCTCTGTCGGCAACATGAAGTAACTAGGACCGATTAATTGCTTAGATCACTTGAATTATTGAGATTAAATACAGCGTATTAACAACAAAAAGCCGTCTTATGGCTCACATATGATACAGGTTGGGCGGGGGAGGAAGATCTCCGTCCAAAGGGGTCCCTGCAAAATGCTCATATAGTAGTCTTTGGGAGTGTGGGTCAGATAATGAGAATTCTGGGCTGATCAAATGTTGAAAGATACTGAGTTCTGGGACATAATTGTTAAAATATCCATCTGAAAAGCCCTCACCGTCAAATGTACCAGCCGCGGTATCATTCGGTATGAATAGTTCAGGACCGGATATTCCACTCTCTGTCGTAGGACTATAACCCTCCTCATTTCTAGAGACTTGTTGGATCCTATTAGGAAGAGCAGCGCGCGTTTGCTTTGCAGTCATATCCTGTGTCTGATTGTTGTTCCGGCTGGTTAGAATATTCTGTGCACGATCGAAGAGTCGGTGCATAACGCCCGCGCTCCAATACGTATCGCGCAAACTCTCCAAGAACAATAAACAAAGATTGAGCCTATTCTTGGCAAGATTAGCCTGCAGTAGACTGCTGGATTTACAGTCAAATAGGTGAATCTGCATGGCAGGAATCAAAGATGTGATGCTAATAGCAAATGTCAGCCACATAGTAGTCTCGAGTCATGATCAGTATATACTTACAACATCGGCTTAATCAATTTGACTACATCTAGTTCAATGATTTTCTCAAGGGTCTGGTTTGTCATTGAAGCAGCCTCGCGAGCGCGATTCTGTGCAACCTTTTGCCAGATATCTGACGAGTGCTCTGGAAATGAAGAAGGGGCATTCAAGATATATGGTCGATAAAGCACGGTAACAGTTGCTCTGAGATATGTTAGACAGGAAGCCAAAGCAGGGTAGGATTGAACAAACTGGTAGAAAACTTGGAGGTGATATTCGTGAATGCGGACAGTATCACTCGTAGAGTATATCGCTGGTGTCTCGGTCTTCTGACAGTTGAGCAGCTCTGCGGCTAGTTCGTCAATCTCTTCAACACTTGCCTTGGGTGCTTTGAGTCTGTAATGAGCACGGAGAATACGACCAAGAGAATAAGTAGTCTTCACAAGCCGCACCCACATCTCAGCAAGGCAGTCTAGATCCTGAGGAACAAACTTGTGTCGAGCCTCTGGAGAGACGAGTTGTAGCTCATGTAATATATCATCGGGATATGGAAAGGGTGCGTCACAGTCTTCATCGTGGATCCGCATGGGTCGGCCTTTAGCCAAAGATACCCATCGATCTCGAATCACGCATGTCCACCAGAGACGGCGAGTGAGGCGTTGGTGTTCCGACGAAGATGTGTGATTACTTCGGTTATGGGAACTACTGCAACGGTGTATACCAATTCCCTGGGCCAATGTAATGGCAATTCCAATCCAGTGGGATGCCCCCGTATGGTCCTGGGCATCCGTATACCAGAAGCTCATCAAAAGGACCGATCGAATGAGTATGAGTTTGTCTGTCCTGCGATCGACATCGTAGAATGCCTGGATGGAGATGTTAGAATTTATCTCTTTTGATTGGTATGTTAGCAACACATACTTTGGCTCTCCGAAACATCGCTCTTTTCATAGCTTTACGAGAATCAAATCCCGCCCGTTGCAAAACTTTGAGGTCGGCACACTGATAGGTCATTAGTTACTGTCTGGGACTTTTGGCTTTGGATTTTGGTAATATTACGTTGGTAGCTGCAAGAAGCATACTCCAAAGTAGCAATGGACTGATATTTTGCGTTCCATTTTGCATATACTCATTGAGAAATGCCGGTGCTTCGATCACAGGGTGGAAGAAATGAACATGATGGAAATAGCATATGATGAGCTCATCGCAAACATCGGGCGGTATTGTTGCGAATCCCCCTTCGTGTCGGATGTATTCTATTTCATGTGGGAGGAGGTTTGTGCCAGTTCCTGAATTTTTGCCTGGATCAATGCTGGCGGGGGATTGATGCGCTTCTTGTGGAACTCCCGGGTGGCACAACTCATACACGGATTGCCTTGGACCACGAGTGTCACCTAGGAGGTATCAGTCTCTGTAAAAAAAGCACTGTTATGGTCTACTACTATGGATAGTGAATAACACCTACCAATATACGAGCAGGCACTGTCATCCGGTAAATCTCCGTCCGTGTCCGTTATTGTACCTGTGAGCTTATCGCCGAAATTGACATTAGGTTGTCTCTCTTGCGGTCCGATGATTGCTGGTGCAGCGCGTGACATACGCGGGCTTTCTCTCATGTCAGTCGTGGAGTTCATCGAGATCCACAGCACAATCCGACTACTAAAACTCCACTCACCGATGCTTCTTCCGCGGCAGGATTTCACACACATCCGTCTCATGCTGGCAGTTCGTGCAGGGTGGACCATTCTGCGTCACGTCACATCGTATCTTGCGTTGATTGCATGGTCTACATGCTACGCGAGACCTTCGACCCGCCTTTTTACCGGAATCGTTCATGTTGTGGATCACCGAGCAATAGTGGAGGAGGGAGGGAATTAATTGCCGCGGCCGAAGGGTCGGGAAAACACCAGGGCTTTTATTTGTTGTGTGGGGGCGGGTCCCTTCCCTTAAGTTATTAACCATCGGCTTCGGCAATCTCGGCAATTATCCAGCTTGGACCAATGGCCCAATGCAAAATCCGGGGAACTGGGGTTGACAGCAAACTCAGTTCTTGAGCTTTACAATAGAGAAAATATCGGCTATAAATACCGGCAGGGTGTCTGCTGAGCTGCAGCATCAGTCTCAGCTAGAAAGGCCAAGTCATCTATACTTTGATCATGGACGACTCCATCAGACAAGCCGAAAAGGGCAAACTTGATGAGGTGGAAAGGGTGGATGAGATGGAAAAGAAAGGCGATGTCTTCTCCGCAGAAGACGAGAGACGACTTGTTCGCAAGCTTGATCTTTGGTATTTCCTCACATTGGACTCCTTGTGGCTATTACACATGTGCATACGTTTACTGATATACATATTTCACATAATAGGATCGTCCCCCTCATGATGTTCACCTACATGCTGCAAAGCTACGACAAAGGTATTATGAGCGCCGCCACACAGTTTAATTTCAACGACGATCTAGGCTTGACAAAGATCGTTGGATACGAAGCGGATGGCACCGCTATAACAAATAACCGAAAATACTCCAACGCGTCAATGATATTCTATATTGGCTACTTGGTGGGCACATATCCCATGATGTATTTGGCGCAACATTACCCGCTGTCACGCGTTATCTCGGGAGCAACATTTCTCTGGGGTATAGTAGTCATGTCAACTGCTGGTTGCTCCAACTATGCTGGTATCATGGTCAACCGTTTGGTGCTTGGCCTCCTTGAATCCGCCGTCGCACCAACATTCACAGTTCTAGTCACATTCTGGTGGACTCGGGATGAACAGGCCTTGCGTACTGGACTGTGGTACTGCTGTGTTGGAGTAGCAACTACCATATCCCCTCTCATCAACTATGGACTTGGTCAGATTCATGGATCCCTTCTCCCCTGGAAACCCATGTTTCTAGTCCTTGGAGCTATCACCACGCTGTGGGCAGTTGTGTTATTTTTCACCTTGCCTGATAGTCCCCTCACTACAAAGGGACTGAATGAGAATGAACGCCAAATTGCTCTTAGCCGACTTGAACGAAACCAAGCCGGCACAATCAGTCGTCAATTTGACAAGGCCCAATTTCTTGAGACATTCCGAGACTTCAAGACATACAGCTGCACGCTAATTATCCTTTTGACGGGAGTGCCTTCTGGTGCAATTGGCACTTTTGGAACGATTGTTATCAATGGGTTTGGATTCAGTCACTTTGACTCATTGGCATTAACATGTCCGATCGGAGCGATCACCGCGCTATCAATTCTGCTTGTCGGCTATGTGACTCGAAAGTGCAACGGTACCCGCTATCTTTGTATTATAATATGCGCTCTCATCTCTATCGCTGGCACTTTGATTTGCTGGTTGGGACCACGCACCAACAAGGGTCTGTTGTTTGCAGGAATCTTTTTGATTGCTGTTCAGGTTGCCTCCGGTGGCTTGGCTGTCTCGCTCGTCGCGTCCAACATTGCCGGCCATACTAGTAAGTTTGTCTTGATCTGTTGATGCGAATTAACCTTGGCTAATGTCCAATAGAAAAAGCAACAACCAGTGCATCTACATTTGTTGGTTATTGTATCGGCAATATCATCGGACCACTGATCTTCGGTGCGTCTCCAGGGCCCTTGTATCGCGCTGGATTCATAGGAAGTTTTGTCTGTCTATGTGGTGTCGTGGTAACAGCTGCTATCAGTTGGGTTTACTTGCGAAGGGAAAACTTGCAGAGGGATAAGCGATTCGGATCGGGCCCTAGTCGACAGCATGTGCATTCCATTGAGGAGAACTTGACGGATATGCAGAATGAAGAGTTCCGATATGTGCTTTAAAGTGGATTAATTACTATTGTATCTTATTTCTCTGGGTATCCGAATATCTCGCTGTCCACCTTGCACAAGAAAACATCCCGATGACTCATGAGACATGAAACACTTGAGCCTTGCTCACTTCTTCAAAATTCGAGTGCATCCGTTTTTTCTCTTTTAATTTGGCAAAATTGTGAAAACAAAATGGCAGCCTGGGAATATTGCGGGAAAGCGCTTGTAATTGGCGTTCTGCGATCCTACTAGCGGCTGATAAGTATAGGACACTTGGCCCTCTGCTTACCAGTCGTTACTTGATCATCGAATCCTTCAACATTTGGTTTTTTTCACGTATAAGACCCAAGTGGCAACCAGACCTTGAGGCTTATCCCATTTTAATTTTACCTTCGCCTTGACTCCCAAAATGTCATTTGCCGTTCAACCATGTCACCCAGTAGATGCCCCGGGCATTGCGACCACCATGATGAGCGCCCGTCTCACAGACCCTCACTGGGTAAAGATGTGGGAGGATAATGTTTCCCGGGAAGAAATAATTACTGGAGCTACTGGCCGCGTGCCCTGGAACCTGATAAATGGCAGAGATGCCAAACGGCATCAAAAAGTGGTCGACGTTGCAAGCGGACAGGTGGTCGGGTATGCGCGGTGGAGGCTGCCTCCCCATCTAGCAAAGATGGATGATGTCTGGCAAGAAGCACAGGTTGTGGAGCCCACACCGGAAGATCGAGAAGCGTATGAAAAGTTGTCTCAAGCTGGCTCGAGAAATGGTAGACCCATTGGACTAAAGAGTGGAGAAGCGATGGATTATCGGAGCGCGCCGCTCGAAGCTGCCGATGAGCGGGTCACGCGAGATGGTTCATTCCTAAGTAAATATGAAACCTAGACCAAGATTTCTTGACGATTCGAATGCCTTGACTAATAATCATTCGCTAGCACTTGATTATTTGACCACGGATCCTGATTTCTGGAGGCGTGGTGTTGGAACCATGCTTGTTGAAAGTGGACTGCGAATTGCAGATCAATATAAGCTGAGGACATATGTCATGTCCGAACCGGCTGCATTGAAGTTGTATCTGAATCTTGATTTTCAATTAGTGGAGACCGTGTCTACTGATTATTCTCAGTATGGGGGTTTAGAGCCCATGGTACATTATTTTCTGGTTCGTGAGCCTTTCGCATAGGCAATCTATGGGGGTTGCCTTCTCTTCAATGTCTATTGGTGCATAATATGTGATTATATGAATGTTCGAATATTGTTTCTCCTGCACGTCCATTCCAAGCAAAAAAAAAAAAAAAAAAAAAAAGTGATACTAAATATGAAGTGGAAAAGTGGAAAGCGATACAATGATTATGTGCTATACAGAGTGGACTCGAAACTTTGCGAAGGCATAGGAAGGCATTGATTGAATAACATTTGAATAATGCATATCATCAAGGCTATTATACTTTTTCACGCCCTGTAATTAATTCTCCTGGCCTAGATCGCATTTCAATGTCGATTATTGTTCCAAGGTTGCCGAGCCCCGGGGGATGCATTCCGGGCGAACCCCCAGGCCCCTGACAACACGATTGGAATGTATCCCAACTTGCTGGAGAATTACCAAATGCCAATCAACAATTTGGGCCAATTATTTCTGCAATTCTTCTCCTGCAGGCCGCCTCATCTAAGTGGAGTTTGGAAGTTGTCAATCTGGGTTATGGTGTGGAGAGCCGACCATACCACGCACCGAAGCTCCAATGACGTACAAGGGGGAGTTATTTGTTTTTTTGTGTGGTATGTCAATAGAGCCTTGGAAAAGAAAAATAACAAATTCATCTTCTATATAAGATATGTCAACGCGTTAAGGCCGTGAGCGGCTCGTGTGATCTTGGTCTTGTGTGCTTTCTCCGGGTTTGTATCCCATCCATTCATTTCAATACCTGCTAGGTGGTAATTCGACGCCCAATACCTAATTTTTATTATTTTATTTTATTTTTCTTTTCATTCATTATATATTCAACTTCCAATACGATGCGTCAATCACAGGCATTTCTGCCTTGGTCGGTGTTGCTGGCTTCGCTGGGGGCAGTCCAGGCAAGGCTCGACTTGAGCTCGGGCAGCAACGTTGTGGTCTACTGGGGTGGGCTTACCCAATGACATTGATAAAATTCGAGGAAAGATTAGCTAAACAACTCATAAAGGTCAAAACTCGCTTCAGGGAAAGGGTGGTGAGGTCCAGCAGTCACTGGAACATTACTGCGAAAGTAAGTATATCCCTGGACAATTTTATGTCAACTATGAACTGACTAGGTTCCCAGATGATGACATTGATGTATGAGAGACATTGGCTGGACTCTCTAGAAAGCCAAACTAACAGTGAAAAAATTAGGTCATTCCTATCGCATTCGACATGATGGTCAATGGACCTGGAGGTGCTCCAGAGATCGACTTCTCTGTCACTAGCCAGGACTGTGATGTGTTCCCGGGCACACAGTTGAAGAATTGCCCCAAGATTGGGTAAGTGATATTATGAATACTGGCTGCTGGCATCCCGGCCAGACTGACACCCAATAGCCAGGACATCCAAACGTGCCAGGACAAAGGAAAGACAATTCTCTTGTCCATTGGTGGCGCAACTTACAGCGAAGGGGGTTTCAAGTCGGAGGCGGATGCCAAAGACGGTGCAAAGCTCATCTGGGAAACCTTTGGACCAGAACAAGCTGACTCCAAGGCTTTGCGACCATTTGGCAAAACCAGTCTAGATGGATTCGACTTTGACTTTGAAGCCAGTGTCCAAAACATGGCTCCCTTTGCTAACGAGTTGCGATCACTGATGGATACAGACAAGAGCAAGCAGTACTTCCTTACGGCAGCCCCGCAATGCCCATACCCCGATGCAGCCGACAAAGATATCCTGAACGGCCCTGTCTTCATTGATGCTGTCTGGGTCCAGTTTTACAACAACTTCTGTGGCGTGAACAACTTCGACACCAACTCGGCAAACTCCAAGTACAACTTTGAAGAATGGGATAATTGGGCCAAGACGGTGTCAAAGAACAAGAACGTAAAGGTAATGATCGGTGTTCCAGCCGATACGACAGCCGCCAGCACTGGATATGTGCCCGTCGACAAAGTGGCCGATGTGATCGAGTATACGAAGAAGTTCGAGAGCTTTGGAGGTGTAATGATGTGGGATACATCTCAGGCATATGCGAACCAGGGGTTCATTGATGGTGTGCGCAAGGCACTTGGTGGTCCGAATTCCGGTTCGTCGTCGTCGTCCACCTCGGCGTCGACTACGGCGTCTGCACCAACCTCAACTAACTCACCGAATACCTCGCTATCTTCCAATGCACCCGGATCCTCGTCCTCTTCTTCCTCCTCCTCTGGATCTGGCTCCTCATCCAGTGGTCATGAGGACCCGGCACCCACCCCCGCTCCTACCACCACTACCACCAAGCCAGCCGACAACCCGAAGCCTACCGAGACCACTACGAAGGCTGCGCCTGCGCCTACTACCGCCAAGCCCGCTGACCAGCCAACTGCCACGACCAAGACGGAGGCTGCGCCCAAGCCGACTACCACTTCCAAGTCCGAGGCCGTTGCCCCCAAGCCAACTACAACGACTACGAAGCCTGCGCCCGCTGCGCAGCCAACAACCACCGAGGCCGCCCCTGTGCCGACTAAGAAGCCAACTACTACTGAGCCTGCGCCTGCTCCCAAATCGACTACGACTACCCGACCCTCTGTCATTGATGACGATGATTTCTCCGATCCTGATCTTAGCCCCATGGACGATTCAAGCGATGATGATGATATCGATAATTCGCCCAAGAGCAGCGCAATTAAGAATGGCGCATCCAAGAGCAGCAGCAGTGCGATCAAGGATAGCGCGACAAAAGATACTACACCAAAGAACGAGCTTATTGGCTCAGATCTCTTCGGTCTCCTGAAGGGTCTGAAACAGGCCAACGGCGTCGTCCAGGGCCTCACCAACGGCCTGACCAAAGGCCTGACTAAGAACCTTCGCCGTGCGAAGCGCATTGGATACAACTAATTACATCCGCCCTCTTGGAATAATTGATGCTTCAATTTTGGATACACAAAAGCCCTAGCTTCCATGTTTCGAAAATTAAGACTGTCAGCCCCCTATGTTATTTGTTCCTGCAGGCGCAAGGAAAGCAGAACCGCCAGTCTCAAGAGAGTTGTTTCACGATATACGTTCCGATATAGTACATGTTGACGACCATGAGCTTTACTTCCACTCTTTCGCGTTGCATGGATGCCCACTGGATTTCACTCTTTCTTATGTTGCCCAACTCGACCCTCCTTGATACCCATACAAATTCATAATTATCTCCAGTGAAGCTACATGGACGTCTCAAAATATAACTCATTGCCTTTGACACTTTAATAATTCATTCACTCTTGGCTCAAAGCTTTATATCCAAGTCACGAGTAGAGTGGGCGCATCAACTTATGTAACTTAAGCGTTGATCACCACGTAGTACTCCTTCCAATCTCCAGCATCGGTGCAAGAACCATTGAACAAGCCAAGACTCTGGTAACCTCCAGCAACATCCAGGTCTTCACAATCGGCATTCTCAAAGAAGATGGCCTTCCACCAATCTATGTAGTAAACGGCATCGGCAAGGATGTAGCAGTAGTCGTATGTGCCGCCAAGGCTGGCGCACGTTTCGACGACGTCCGATCCAGAGGCAACGAGGGTACCGTTAGAGCACTGATTCTTGAGTTAGTAGCTGTAACAGTTCTAATTCAATTTCAGTCCCGAGGTCATGTGTTGAACTTACTGAGTCACCGCAGTAAAGAGCCCAGTCGGCGGTAGCCACGGAGGCGAGAGCAAGGGCCAAGGTAGGGAGGTACTTCATGATGATTTTCTGTGTGGACGTCAGTCAAACTTCACCTCGAGAAATAGTTCCAACCTTTCCATTTTCTTTCCATGTGTACACATGTGTACGAATCAATAACTTTCCAAGATTGAAAATTTGACAGGGAAAATTGACTCACATTCAAAGGAATTATTCCTGGATATATTTTTGGTGGGAGAGTTCAAAACATCGAATCTCGGACCATCTCACTACTTATATATCCACCACGAAGTGGGTAGTAGATACCAGTCTGGTATTGATGGGAGTTCCAACTTTGGGATAGTCTGGGCAGCAATCGATTGATTCATCCATCGGCCCTTGACACTCTTCCTGAGGATCGCAAAGGCAAAAAATACCGACAAGACGGTAAAGGATTGATCCTTCAATCAACCATCCACAGTCTCGACCCCACATGGTTTAGGCTAGAATAGCTGCCCCGGGGGCCACTAGATACCATCAGGTACCCTTCAAATATTAAACCCCACTTATTTCAATGTTAGTGCACTTACTTAGGTCTTTAGGCCAAGCATCATCCTCGGAAATCCCACGGCATGTGGGCAGGTCCGTTGAATCTTCCGGGTGTCAGTGGGTGCACAAGATTAAAGTAAGAAAAGTGGACTAGAAAAGCTTGCAGCAAATAAATTCTTCACATGTTGATTCAGGTCTGACTTTTGGTTCCCAATGTTCCTCGTGGGCCATGTCCACCTGGCAAGGTGGCGCCTGTGAAGGCCCTGAAGGATTAGCGTGCTCCGAGTTTGGCTAGTCTTATCTTCCAGGGCGCTAAGTCCGAGTCGTGTACTAGCTTCTTTCTGCAGTGACGGAACAGCATTTGAGATCCCGTGGGCGGCAAGAGAGATTTACGATTTATTCTGGCGAAATGAACTGCATCTGTGACCTTGAAAATTGCTAGAAATGGGTATCTTTATGTTCGAATATTGGAACGCTTTTCACCACATGTGCAGAACTAACATTGATTGGACCTTTGAAACTCAAGCTGTAGGGTATTCTTTTTAATATCGGATTATCGTACTCCGCACATCGTGTTTGTTACTGAGAACATAACCTGAACAGCGTGCACATGTGGCGTCTGCCGAGCGTACGCACTCCCTAAGCCATCGGTCAGCACTTATTACCTGTTTGGGAGCTTTAGTGCTTCAGAAATAGCCCAAGGCGGGACCGCACTTGGTTTATAGTTTGTTGGTTGTATTCAATGGGCGGGTTGAATGCTTAGCGTGAACTTCCACTCTGCACGGCCCAGATGAAGTGCTGTGTCAAGAAGGGACGGGAATGCTGACCCTAAAAAGCGGGAATGAATGAGAAATTTGGATAAGCGGTATTTTCTTTTCTTTTTGAGATCGCCTGCTTCCAAGAACATTATAAAAAAAATTAAACTAAAAAATATGTAGGCAGCAACGTGTTAGATGAAGAATAACAATCAGTTCATACTCCACCGCTAAGCCGCCTCGCAAGCATAACAGCATAAATCATTTCTCATGGAACGATATTCCCTCGACATCGGGAACGTAAGGGGAAAACACTAGTAATCATCCCTGGATATAGCAATCCACCACGTCGGAATCAAGGCACTCTCAGCTCATTCCAAAACGCTCTTACCCCTTCCCGTAGCCTTTCACTCCATATCTTCTTCCTCCTTGCTTGTAGCCAGGTGGTATCGGCCCGGAGGCTTACCAGGCTCCTCATATTCAATGCTTAAGCGGGACAAATGACCGAGAAGATTCTCAATCTTAATCTCACCCTTGCTGCGCTTTTGGCGACCGAGATTGTCGAGCCACTTGATCCTATTCAGGATGTAGTAGACGAGAGCAATAACAATCTCCACTCCGAGCGAAAAGCCCCAGATACGGACAACAGTCACGATATCAGTCCATCCGTTCTTGGTTTCCACGAATGAATCGGGTGGATCGGTCTTCATATCCTGGTTTGAGAACCAACCGAATAGACAGAAAAGCGTTGCGATAACGTCCACGCCTAATATTGCGCTTACTAGCTGCAGTGATGGCCAGTTGTCGATACCACGAGTCACGAAAATTAGCCAGTTCTCCGTAAGTGCCACCTCCAAGAAGATGACTTCTTGGGTGGATCCCCAATTCTGAATGATACCACCAGATTTGAGGAACATACTACCTCGAACAACCCAGGTACCCAAGGCCAGAAGCAAGCCAAGGATGGAAGATATGACCCAGATTTTTGGGAGTTGCCACTCCACAGGACGTAGCTCATAGGAGGCATTGTCGTATGCCACCGCGACAGTTGCAAGATCAGCAAACAGAGCAAGGAAGACAACAAGCTCAACTCGGATGCTTTCATTCAAAATAATCATTGACGTCACAAGAAAGATTTCCAAGTGCAAGCAAAGCGCAATGCGGTATTGAATATACGCCTTCATGCGATGAAAGATTTGTCTTGCGACCTTGATAGAGTCGATGATAGTTGACAAGCCAGGCTCAAGGAACACAATATCCGATGCTGACTGTGCTGCTTCGGATGCTCCTTCGACAGCGATACCGCAGTCCGCTTTCTTGAGGGACGGAGCGTCGTTTACGCCATCGCCAGTCATAGCAGTCAAATGGCCACGTTCCTGAAGCATTTGGACCACTTGGAATTTGTGTTCAGGAAACACTTCCGCAAATCCATCCGCTTTCTCGACCAGATCGCTAGCCATGGCGCCGCTAAGACCACCATGAATCAGTTTGTCCGAATTGTAAACTTTGGTTCCCAAAGCAAGCATTTTACAGGTCTCCTTGGCTATTGCAATAGCATCGCCCGTGAGCATTTTAACACTAATGCCCAGCGCCTGTGCTTCACTAATCGTCTGAGCTGTGTCCTCCCGAGGTGGATCAAACATGGGCAGCATTCCGAGAAGCATCCATTCTTCACCCTCCTTTTGCACGGCGACACCGAGTGAGCGAAAGCCGCGATGGGCAAATTCCTGTGCTTTTTCCTTGTAGTGATCGGCAACTTCCTGCGAGCAGTTTGTAAGTGCTAGCACCGCTTTCGGGGCCCCCTTAGTGCAGGTGTATCTAGTTCCATCACATGTGGCTATAGTCACAATGCGCTTAGAGACTGGGTCAAATGGGGTGAACTTTTCAGTTTTCCAGCCACGGCGTAATATCTCTCGCGCCTTTGGATACTGGCGGAGTGACATGATGGTAACTTTGTCAATGGGGTCCAACGATTCAATATTGTGCGAAGATGCAAGGCACGCGACAGCAAACATCCAGTCCACGTCTACACCTTCTGCCACATAAGGATCACGAATGCTAAGCTTATTGGCCGTCAAAGTTCCGGTTTTATCGGAGCAGAGAATATCCACACCCTATGGACTGGTTAGCGTCGATCCCATGATCTCATTTGGGGTTTGGACATACAGCCAAAGATTCAATAGCAGTCAACTTCTGCACAATTGCTTTCTTCTTTGCCAGATATGCAGCCCCCACAGCCATAGTCGTGGTGGTTACGACCGGAAGACCAACAGGGACACCGATAATTAGCAAAGACAGAGTATAGTGAAGCAATGTCTGTTGCCCGGGCGAAGCAATTGGGATATGTCGGAAGAAACCACCAATCCATGCAACGAGGATCCAGGTCATTACAAGGAATAAGAGAGATGTCCCGATGTTGTCCATGACTAGTTCAAAATGACCTGCGCCCTTAGCAGAGGCCACCATTGAAGCAGTACGGCCAACAAATGAGGTCCTTGCACCAGTCTGAACCACGGCATAGGCCTTGCCACGCTTACAGCCAGTTGTATAGAAGATCATGTCACCCACGTAGCGATCTACGGCGAGCGACTCGCCCGTAATCGCAGAATGATCGCTGGCAAGAATAGGATACCCACGACGACGCGTTTTCTCCTTTTTGTGTTTCTCAGCGGCCTCGGCCGCGTCACCGTGTCCATCTGCCACTTCTTTACCTTCCGCCTCGCCCTCTTTCGGTGGCTCATCATCATCCGATTCCGTTCCGCCGCCAAGCATGCCTTGCTCTTGGAGCTGGTTGAATTCCTCCCAGCCATTTGGGTCGTTGAAGTCACAAATAACCTTGGCATCACCTGGAACGACCTGACCTTCACCCACGATGATCTGCAAAGGACCTGTTAGTCTGAAAGTGAAGCCTGAAAAAAGAAAACAGTTCAGCAAAAAAATTGGATACATACTAAATCACCTGGAACCAGCTCACGTGCCAATATCTCTTGCTGAGTACTGTCACGAATCACAACTGCCCGCATGGCGATATCTCCCTTCAGACTGGCAACCACATCGGCGGCTTGCTTCTCTTGATACCAACCGACCGCAGCATTGAGACACAGAATGCCGATGATAACACCAAAGTCGACCCAGTCATCCAAACCAGCAGCCAGTAAAACGGCCAGCTCCATGACTTGAATTCAGTCAGCGAAACTCACACCAGGAAACTTGACAGATACTGACCGTAAAGAATGGGACCGCGGAAATACGACAGAACCTTTGCGATAGGATTCTCTTTCTCAGAACTCAGTTCGTTCCAGCCTGAGCGGCGGCGACGTGTATTAACCTCCTCACTGGAAAGTCCCTCCCGGATGTCGGTGATGAGCCAGTCGTCTGGGTATTGAATAGTGGCATCATCAACCCGCTTGATATGAACCCGGTGCTTCTTCCAGGGAGCATACCAAACACGTTTCTCCTCAAACTCCCCCTGATCTTCCATGTTGGCATCGGCAGTTTGGAAAGTTGAAACGTACTTGACTAGTTTTCCATACTCATCCAGCTGGGCATAATCCTCCTTCAAAGATGCCCTGGAGATGCGAGACCCACGACGTCCATCGGCCCGCTCATCGGCTCGCTCGGGGTCATCTTCGCTCGCCATCCTGACTGCCGAGGGAGATGAACAGCAATGGAGCTTGAAAAGTACTGGCAAAATGGATGTTCGGGGAAAAATCAAGAATTCGGGTAGAAGCAGTTGGTGGAGGTTAACAGACGCGACACAAGAAACGGCACAATCTTTCCGCCCTTTGGCAGCTGAACGCGTTGAACGCGTTGATGGCGTGTAAAAAGGAAACAGCAACATCCGGAACTTGTTACCGAGAGATGGGGGTTGTCTGGTTTGGAAAGACCAGCATGTTACTGCTACTTCTCTTTTTTTTTCTTCCTCCCAAATCAGTCAATCATGCTGACGTCGTTTCAAGCATTCGATTCTCTACTAAATACAATAACACCTAATAGTAAGTACACTGTGTTTTTGAAAGGGCTATTAAATACTTGACAGGGTTTGAAATAGAACACCCATGGATAGAGCTGTCCGGATAAACCTTGTCAACAGCGGGCCGTTCTCTTCGCCATGGAAATGCCATTGAATTGGCCAGTGAAAAGAGGTAGGGCAAGTCTAATTATTGGCAAATGCGAACATTTGAAGAGGGTTCCATCGGCAAAGCGTGGAACATTATTCAAACTTTCCAAGGTTGAACTGGGACAACGAAAACAAGTTACAAGAAGGTTCAAGTTGTACACTGTTGCAGCGGTGGAGATAGTGGATACTAGTACTATGCAGCTCATTCTTTAGCGTACCCGTTCTGAGTCCATCATTGGCTACTTAGCCAGATCTCGGGAGGCTTGACTCCACTTTCATGCAATCCTGAGTCTTGACCTGTGAAAGAAGAATCTTTGTGCTCACTGGAATTGATATGCAATCATTTTAAAGGTGTTAAATGGCCTGGATCATGTATCCGCTCACATGCCGTTCACATCACGTGTGTAATGAATAATCCTGCTGGCATCCGGGGGTTTATGATGATCATTGATGTGATCGTGTAACTCCATCGTATCCGTGATTGAAGAAAGGGCCATTGCCAAGAATGAGATAATTAAATAGCGCAATCAATTGTGTTCCGTTCACATGCAGGTGCATCAAAAATATCATGCAAGAGTAGGGCTACCTAAGTTCACCTGGGTTTGAATTACTATTCAACTTTCAATTATTCAAGAGCGTAACAACTGTTTCATTTCTTTAGATAAACATCTCTTTTAAGCATTTGTCACATCTCATCAAATTCTGCATCTCCATCGTGAATCATCTACTTTTGCTTGCCGGTAGGGATGTTGAAGAAGACGGCAGGGACACCAGGAGCCGGGGCCCGGTCCACACGGTAGAAGCCCTTGCGGTCGAATTGGATAATGTCGCCAACCTTGACCTCAGAGATATTGCCATCGGCCAAAGCACTCACACGGAACTCGGTGTTGAAGTTGAGGACATCCTCCAGGACATCATCCTCGGACAGGGAGTCCTTGGTGAGTAGGTAGTCGAAGTCAACCAGCTCAACGGGGACGAGAGTCTGACCCTCAGTGGCGAGCCAGGTCACCTTCTTCTCAGTCTTCTTCACATCACCAGCCATGTGAAGCTCGAGTTCGAGATCAGTGACGTTACCAGCGGCATCAGTGGTGATCTTGCGAACAATGACATTACCCCAGTTCATAAGGGTGATTTCTTCGTCCTGCTTGAAAGTCTTGGCATCAACCTGTTCCAGCACAACCGAGGAGCTGAAAGCGACGGTCTTTTCACCCACAGCGGGGTTCTTAGCATGCTTAGCTCTCTTCTCGGTGTAAGGAGTGGCCGGGCCACCGGTGATGGTCGCCTTGACGATATCGGTCTGCTCAACCGCAGTGTGGCGAGGAGCGACAGGGTCAATGTACTTCTTGTTGGTAGCCCAGATCAAAGCCCAGTCGAACAGAGTAACGTTCTTAGAGGGGCCTTGCTTAAGGATGAACTCCCGAAGGGCAGGAATGGTCATACCACGTCGACGAATTCCGCGGATGGTGGGGAAGCGAGGATCATCCCATCCCCAGACAACTCCGCTCTCGACAAGCTTGGTGAGCTTTCTCTTAGACAGCAAAGTGCGAATGAAGTTCATGCGAGCGAAATCCCAGACCTGCACAGTGCGCAGGCTCAGAGCATCCAGCATCCACTGGTACTGCGGGTTACGGTCACGGTACTCGATGGCTAAAAAGAGATGTGTTAGTCATTGCAGTCATCTGGGGACAGGCACAGACATACTTCGCAGAGCGTGGGTAACACCCTCCATAGAATCAACAATAGGGCAAGCGAAGTCATAAGTTGGGTAAATACCCCACTTGGCGCCAGTTCGGTGGTGAGGCGCAGGGTTGCAGCGGTAGATGACAGGGTCACGCATAGCCTTGTTCTTGTCCTCAAAGGAGATCTTCGCACGGATACACCAGCGCAGACCCTCGGGGGTACCCTTCTTCATCTCCTCGAGGTGAGCCAAGGACTCCTCGGGGGTGAGCTCACGACGCTGGCTGGGCAGACCGTCCCAACGCTGAGCAGCCATCGTCTCCTTGTCAGTGTCGTCGGCATAGGCCTTGCCGGTCTTGATCATGGTAAGACAGTAATCGTACACTTGAATTCGTCAGTCAAAGATCGACATGTATAAGCTGGTAAGTAGGTAATGTCTCACATTCGTCGAAGTAGTCGGATGTGTACGAGACCTTGTTGGGCTTAATTCCCATAAGTGCTGATGGCAAGAAGTCAGTGATTTACTTCAAAAGTTTTGCCTCAATTTGAGTCAACTAACCAAGATCCTCCACGATAGCATCCTGGAACTCCTGCTTCTCGTTTGAGGGGTTGGTGTCATCAAATCTGATAGAAAAAAAAAAGATAAGCCTCCCGGTCATTTCAAGCGGCGTGTCAACATGATAAACATACCGGAGTAGAAGAGTACCGTTGTACTTCTCATGGGCGAAGTCTAAAATAGACTGGTTAGCATTTTGCAGTCGGATTGATTGGTAATATAATACACACAGTCATTCAACAAGGCAGCCTAGCAAACTGAGTTAGCATTGGAAACATTGGAGTAGATGGCAAGAAATTCAAACCTTAGCGTGACCAATGTGGAGGTATCCTCTGTGACCTGACTTAGTATACACCACAAGAAAGTACTAGCAGAGATGTACTCACGAGGGCTCTGGGGGGAAGCGAGTAACGACACCGTTCTCGGTGTTCTTCAGAGCAATGTCGTAGTTGGCACCCTCCTTGGACTTCGCAAGCTTCTTCTCGCGAGCGACAGCATTCAGAGCCTCGACAGCCGAAGTGGCCCAGGGACAGAGTTCCTCCAAGAACTTGTACCAACGGGTCAGGTTGACGAGAGTACCCCGCTTAAGAGCGGCAGCGGCGACACGGTTTCCGCGAAGGGCACCCCACACAGCAATGTCGGGGGTGGACAGGGAGTATCCGGAGACAAATGATCGCATCAGAAGGTGAGTATCTTGACCACAATTAGCAATTGAGCCTCTTAGGGTTCTGGTTGGGAAAGCGCATATTCCATACCAAGACGCTGCAGGAGAGGATCAAGAGCCTTGAAATCCAGGTTGTCGAGGGCCTCAAGCTGAGAGATCCATTCATTCTCCTATAAAAAAACAGACACATGTTAGAAAGATATGACTCATTTGGGTTGACCGCGGGTAACCCACCAGCTTGGTATCCTTGCCAACAAGGAAAGGGAACTGAGCAGATAGCTCTTGGATAGCATTAATGGTGCCAAACACAGACTTCTCGGCAGTCTTGAACTGGATGAAAGCCTTCCCACCCTCGCTGAGAAGAGCAGAGTCTTCATAGTTGATGTTGATGACTGGGGTTCTATACCGGGTTTAGTATAGTAATGTTAGAAGAACAACATATGTGCTACTTACGGGCGGGCCTCATTGATAGAGGTGGCGATAAGAACCACAGGCAGCAGTGCAGCCTGGCTGGCCCGAGTGGCCACATTCAGCTCGAATTGGGACATGGTTCACCAGTGTAGAGCAAAAATAGGTGGTGATGGGGAAATTTAGTGGAGGGGCATTATCATTACTCACTATCAGTGATCACCGGCCGGCCGCATATTTATCCGATGCCGATAGCTTTCCGACAGAAAACAGTTGGAGCGTTCATTGTCGTGCCCACCCAACGCTAATCAGCAATGTCGTCCTTTGGCACAGTTATGCCCACCGCGGCACGCGGAATTCTGTCCTCATGCAGATTACCCTTACGAGAGAAAGCCATTGCCCCGGCTTTCCTCGGCCTCCAGCAGGTTCGGGGCTTCAAGGACCAGAAGAACAAGGGTAAGGGCAAGGGAAAGACTAGCGCACCCAAGAAGGACGGTCGGGGAGCTCGAGATTTCCAGCAAAAGAACCTTAAGGATATGGAGCGATTTGCGCTATGTGATGCGATGCGGTAAGTTTCTGCTTGGATTGTCTACGGTTCAATGGGTCTAGTATATTCCCCCGTATGTATGGTTTTTTGACAATTGTCTCCGCAACAGCTTCATCCGGGCAACGGAGGTCGGTCGCGAGCCTACAACTTCGAAATACGAAATCCACATCCGTATCCGAACAAGGAAAGATGGACCTGTCATCCGAAACATGATCCGATTCCCTCACGCCGTCCAAACCGAGTCCCGAATTTGCGTCATCTGTCCCCCCGGATCCAAGCAGGCGAAGGAGGCCCTGGCTGCGGGTGCTGTTCTTGTTGGAGAGGACGAGGTGTTTGAGGCTGTCAAGGCAGGCAAGATTGAGTTCGACCGGTGTCTCGCTCACCCCGACAGTTTGCCGGCGTTGAACAAGGCCGCACTTGGACGAATCCTCGGTCCGCGTGGTCTCATGCCCAGTGTGAAGACTGGTACTGTGGTTGACGATGTCGCTTCCCGTGTTGAAATGCTTCGCGGAGGTACCGTCTACCGTGAGCGTGACGCTGTTATTCGTCTTCCCATTGGCCAGTTGGGATTCTCGCCGGAGCAGTTGCGGGACAATCTGCGCACAACGATTGAGCAGGTCAAGAAGGACGCTGCTGGTCTCAATGATCGCATCAACAAGGAGGTCTACGAAGTGGTAAGGCAATCAAGATTCCTCGATGGTTGAATTCCTGACTAATGCTCGCAATAGGTTCTGAGCTCAACTCACGGCCCCGGCTTCAGCCTTAACGGAGAATTCACAACCGACAACTCTCCACCAACCTCTGCCTTGACCGGCGTGTAAAATACCATTTGTCTTATATTCGCTTGGCGTGTACAAATTATTATTGTTTTATTAGGAATGGACGTGGTGTATCATGGTATCATATCTGTTCAATAGAAGACTCGCAAACCTGAACTCCAACGCTATATGCAACTCTAGCTTATATCTGTACCATTGACGCGATATCGTATTATAGTTTTAAGTTCTTCAGTGCTGCCACAGCACTGACATCCTCGCCCATCAATTCGTACAAACGCAAGACAGCCATTGTCCTCGCATCCCGCTTATCACGAATATGACTGGCCTGTTCCAAGGCAGTCTTTAAATCCAACAGCATTGTAGACTTGATCTTCGACACACGTGGCTGTTGCGAAAGCAGGAATGGGTGATCCTTGCCTACTGTGGTGGCAATGGAGGTCAGGAAGACATACTTCTGAACATGTCGCTCTAGTCGCTTGAGCGACACAGGAGCTGTTCCATCTTCCAGCTCTTCGTCGTCATCACTATCTTTGCTGTCGCTGCCGTATAGATCGGATTCCACATCCGATTCGTCATCGATTGGAGCTTCATAAAGAGATGATTGGTCTTCAATCATCAGGCGATGTTCCAATTCCTCCACTCGGTCTGCATAATCCAATAGGTTCTTGCCGATGTCTGCATGTGACCGGAGCTGTCGCTTTTCGTTCAATAGCCCCTCTACTTCTCGGCGTCGCTCTTCCACCTTATCACGAATTGACTGTACATCTCGACGGAACGATAGCAACCCCACTTTGACTCCTTCGACTTTCTCCTCGCCTCCGCGCAATGCAGTTCCCAGAGAAAGGAAGTCTTGGTAGTTTTCGTTGACGAGATCCAATAGCTCTTTATTGAGGACTTGTTCTAGACTCCGCAATTCCTGTCGCAGGTCTTCAAGACTTTGATGCCGATTTGTCAAGGACGACAGGAAGGTAGTGGGATCGAAATCAGGGGCCAGGAACGACGTGCGGGATAACGGTTCGGGGAAGGGAAGGGAAGAGGAATCCTCGTCGAAATCCGAGCCAGACTCGTCGGAGTCACCAAACTGAGATTATGGAATTAGTCGAAAGCCAAATGTCAATTCAAGTAAGCCAATCAACCTCACCTTGAATCGATTCATGGTGTGGTAGATCTTAGGTAGAAGAGCGGTACCCGACGAAGCTGTTGAGTGGTGGAAGCTCTAAGTCCAACCATGTCAAGTCTTGGCGCCTGGGTCGCGACTTCCTGTCATACAAGTTTTGAATTCAAACCTCTTTTTCTTTTGCAACTTTGAGTATACACTTTATGAGCCATTTATCCGCTAAGACACTGCCAGCGCATCAAAAGCATATGCAACGCGAATGCGACTTGAATGCACCTCTCCTCGTGAGTGCATCGTAGACGTGTACTTCCTGTATTTCCCCCCACCTACAAACCACTGCCGAGCGGGGTTTCCCTCGGTTTACGTTGGCTTGCAGTGAAAGCGTGACTTCGTTCTCTAGATTGGTGCAAGATGGATTCTGACACATTTCCCACTCGCTGGGATGGTACTCGGCTGTCATCATCCCCCTTCTCGCGACCTGGATGGTCCCGACTGTCTCCATCCTATGCACCGCCAACAAGCGATGCGGGTCCCTCACACCACGCAGATTGGCGTCACTATGAATCTGCATTAGACGAGTCAGATCGATCTCACCGATCTACCGCCCTGCATCAAGCTCACAGTTCACGGCCTTTATCCCGGCGAGATAAGCCTGTCAACCCTGCTGCCTATAGACAACTGCACTCTGTACCAACTCAGCCTGTCCTTGTCAGAGCGTACTCCGGAAATGCTGAGGGCACTACAATTACAAGATCGCCGACTATGTCTCCACGCCGATTGTTCCCATTTACGGGTCCAAGGACTTCGGCTCCGACTCGCTCACCGGGCCCGCCTCTCCCCTCGGACAAGGATTTCAGTATCGAAAGTATACTACAGGCCATCGAGCCTGATATCCGTGGAACCCTTGATTCCATTGCTGATATCTGTGGACGAAGCAAGCTCAGTCTTGCTAATGAATATGGCAGCCACATTGCCCCCCTCGGTGAAATCCGAGCTCCCCCTGGTGGCTTGGTGCCTGTCGAAGAAGTCAGCACCAGTGACGAGCGTCGTGATGAAGGTGTAGTGATCTTTGATGACGACCCAAATCTTATGGCCATGGACGCTAGTCGTGATACCAACCCGTTCTCATACTATCGGTATATTGAGAACCTCCGCCAAGCTGCCTCGGCTTTGGAACGAAACGGAGAACCCGGTCCGACAGTGTCTGCACCGTCAGTGCGTACACGATCTGCAGCAGTAAACAACCACACTGCTGTCTTGTCAGAGCCTGACGTTGTCAATTTGCCGAACACTCGAGACTTTATCTCTAGACCGAAGCACTCTGGGCGAGACTTACTAGCCAAGCACATTACTCCCCAGGATGAGTCTGTGCCACAAGATATCGCGACCCATGCTGTTGTTTCAGAGGTTCATCTGGAAGCCCGGGCCGAAGAGGGACATCTGTCTGGTGACGTCGGTGGCTTCGCCATGAATAATTCTATTTATCTTCATCCAAACGAGACATGGCAAGCATCCGATATAATACACTCTCTACTTGGCTGGTTACGCTGGACAGCACGAGTAGCTGAACCAGAGAATCGGCCTGCTTTACAATCAGCCGAGAGCCGTTTACGTGCCATGTTACAACAATCAGCCATCGACAGGAACATATCTGCACTATCATAGGTGTATTTCTGCTGAGAACGACTTAAGAAACGAGTCATGATGAATGATGAATGATAAATGATAATGATAGTGATAGTGATTGCGATGACCATTGACAATTATTAGCGTGTTTTGTTATTTTTGCTTCAATCAACTTATTACTCTCATCCAATTTTGTTCATTCCGTTGGGCTTGATCCAAAATAACCTCCATGTATATGAGCAAGAAAAACGCCATGATGCAATATACCCTTGGAGTCAGATCCAAATATCGCTGAGAATGAAATCAACAAAAAAAGCTTTCGTAGTTAAACGAGAACGGTCCTTAGGCTGCAGTCTGCTGCAACCCATCAACAATGGTCTTCGCAAACCCTTCAAATCGAGGATAAGACCATCCCTCCTGGTACTTTTCGACGAGGGGCCTCTCATCTGGTTCAACCGGCTCGGCCTGCACCTTATTCTGTTTCTGCCCATCATTGTCGTCTGTTTCATCTTCATCTTCGTCATCACTCAACTCCATCTTCCCTTCAACCAATTCCCCGAACTTAACATCAACAGGCACCTTCCCCAAAAATGGAATTCCAAGTTGCTGCGACATGACCTCTCCACCACCACTCGAGAACAAATTGCTCACTTCCCCACAACACGGACAAGCGTAACCCGACATATTCTCGATAACACCCAGAATAGGTATACTAGTCTTCACGCAGAAATTCGCCTCTTTGCGTACATCTGATGTCGCAACAGCCTGTGGCGTAGTAACCAGCACTGCACCCGCCAACCTAGGCATATGATTCTGCGCCGCTAGCACCGGGTCCGCAGTCGAGAGGGTAAGTAGTTGTTCCGCAAGCGCAATATGCTCGTCGCTCGTACCCGGCGGTGTATCAATAAGCAGGTAATCTGTGGAGCCCCATGAGACATCTGAAAGGAACTGACGGATCATCGCTGTTTTCTTAGGACCGCGCCAGATTACTGCGTCGCCGCGGTCTCGGAGGAGGAAACCTAGGGACATGCAGTGGAGGGAGCCGCGCGGGGAGGGGGACGGGGTTGTAGAGTCTGTGGTTTGTGATGTGACCCTGCTGTGTACCGGAACTGGAAGCCAGCCTGCGGGGGATTGGGTGATCTTTGCATCTTCGAGGCCGACTAGACGGGGGATTGAGGGGCCTGTTAGGTCGATGTCGAGGATGCCGACGGATTTTCCTTGGAGGGAGAGCGCAAGGGCTAGTTGGAGGGTTACGGAGGATTTTCCGACACCACCTTTGCCGGATAGAATCTGCGATTCAAATATTTGTTAGCGATTAGACTATATTGGACTTGTGTTTTGCCTCCCATGCGCAGTTGTAGCTTGCGGCGTTATCGATAAGGCGATTGGAGGGGCAAGTTGTTTTTTTTTTCTTTGCCCTTTTGTCTTGCGCAACAGAGAATTTGGGGCTTTGGAACGAAGCGCATTGTGTATCTGCAAAGATCTTACCAGGACGATGTTTTTAACTCCATCGAGAGACATTTTGTGTATAAGAAGGTGAAGAGGCAAGAATGACTTTTGGAGGAAAGACAAGTGGGGGTCCGATGGCTGCTTATCAATCTACCTCTGACTAAAAGAAGGGCTGTGGATGGTTCGCCGATACAGCAGGTAATAATGTATAAGTAGTTGAAATTCGGAATCCTGTTTCTTTTTCTGTATCTCTTTATTGTGTAAGGCTAAAGGGACAGTGGCTTTGCCAATGGTAATCATGAAAATGTAGAAAATGAAGTTCCAACTTCCCCACGAATCCTAAACTTAGAGATCAAGCTAGAGATAAAAGGAAGATTATCAATCCTCCTATTTCCATTTTTGCACCAAAACTCCGCCGCGCTTAAACTCGGGCAGGTCTGCAAGAGTTGCTTTCCAGTCATTCAATTCATTGTTGGGGAATGTAGTCATCAGGACCCATTCACGGTCGCGGCTATTCGGAGTGGCGGCAGCGACAAATTCATAAACATCGGCGATTGTAGCACTGGTGTTAAAACGGGAACTCATACGAGTTCCATCTCCCAACCGAATCTGAAGGCTCACGCTTGGCTGCGACTCGTCCACGTCCTGCTTTGGAGGTTGACCGCCGGAAGAGGAAGTTGCTGGCTCAGCGGGTGGAGGAGCAGATAAAACACCCGGTGTTGGGCTGCCGAGACGTTGACCAGACCCAGAGAAGGGCTTGTATTGAGCCTTGGGTTTCACGTATTTCTCTGTGTGTTGCTTAAGCTCCACGTCCACTTCCTGTCCGGCTTGTACATTCATAATTCCCAGAGGAGCCCGGCCTTGTCGGATGCCATCCAAGATCTCGGCATTTCGAGGATCATCCGATCGATATAGCTCACCATCATCAACCGAGAATCCATCGGCCCAGAAGTGGAGGATTCGCTGAACATGCTGAGCTCGTTGCGGGGCTGGTGCAGTGAGATCTTCGACCACACGGCTGGGGGCATCATCGCCACCAAGAGTACGAGCGGTGCCAGTGAAATGAGAGGGGCGAGACTCGGGTTCGTCTGAGTGAGTAGGTGGAGCGGCTCTATTCATTTATGTATTAGCATCAAGGGTTATGCGCCATGGTCCGATGATTCGCTAGACATACCTCCGAGCTTTTTCCAGGATTTTCTTTTTGAGATCATCGGGGTTCTGCACAGCCAAGCCAGATTTCTCTCCTCCGGTGAAAAAGTCGTGGTCTTCGGAGCCATCGTCTTCTGAATCATCGCCCCCACTTGTTGAAGCAAAGTCCCCCAATGTTGCAAACCTCTTTTTGGGCACCGGGCGCTTAGTGACTGATGGTTTGGGTGCAGCCGAAGCAGATGAAGTAGCAGCGCCACCAAGCGATCGCCCACCTGAAGCTGTTCCGGAGGTCTCTTCAGCTGGGTTCATGTCCTGTAAAGCCTCATCCTGCTCCGCAAAGAACTCAGCCACAGCGGCTTCAATGTCTCCGTTGTGGTTGCCAAGATATTCTATGGCCTGTCATATCAAATTGCAATGTCAGAAATCCAAACACATAATTCTCGGGCCTGTGTTGAATAGCTCGTATCTTACATCTGAGGCCTGGACACCTGTCATGGCACAGAACTGAGCCACAATCTCATCTTGCTCAGCGGCGTGATCCATGCTGGAGGTTGTTGTACGAGAATATAAACTGTTCGGGTAGTGAGTGAGCACAGGGATATAGTTCTGTGGGTTGGACAGGAGAAAACGCGTGAAATCGATCGAACGGAGAAGCTTAGTTGGAGTCGAGTCGCCAGACAAACACCGCGGGCAGGTACGTCACTGCAATTGGTCAGCGGGACAACCTGAGAAGATCCCCTCCGCCTTTTGAACAAGATTGATGTATACAACCACCGCTCCATTATCAAGAGATGTACTAGATTTCATAGATTCTTAATAATTACCAATCAAAGAAACCTCTGTAATCACATGTTCTATCTCCAATGGCTACCAAGATTTTACTAAGAACACAATATTTGCTTAAATTCGTCTTAGCAGACTACCTTTGAATGTATTGTTCAGCTGACATAATCGGCATTTCGCAGGAGCATCCCGTGCCACCGTGCCAAGCGGTCGACCGATCTCGATACAAACCACCCCAACTTGTTATTCTTCCTTGTCACCAGCTCCTTTTCACCCCACTGCTCAGAACAATCTGCCATCATGGCATCTGACACCCCAGCTTCGCAAGGCGAGCTCTACGACTCCACCATAACCGTTCCCTCCGATTCGGAAAACTACTCAGCCAACCACGAGCTATCTTCGTCTACTTCAAGCTCTCCCATGATTCTCTATAAGCCTCCATCCATTTGGGGCATTCTCCGCGGGGCAGCCATCAATCTCTTTCTTCCTTTCGTTAATGGTCTGATGCTCGGGTTTGGTGAACTCTTTGCTCATGAGGCGGCCTTCCGTCTTGGGTGGTCAAACACCAAGGTATGTGTTGATAGTCAGCCCGCTTGGTCTTCATGGACAGTCCTGATGTGTTTGTTACTACAGATTTTCCCAGCCTACCGCAGATCCCATCCCGTGGGCCCTGGAATCGACGTTCGAGAGCTTCCCTCGGAGCGGAGGCGGACCTTCTCCGGGTTGAAAGACACCGCTGCTCTTGAATAAAGTCCAGGGCTTCTCCCTCTCGCAAACCCTTCACTCTAGCAAAATGGAGCGTTCTATGATGAAGTCAATATGTAGACCTGCATCTATATGGAACCTCGAAACGGGATATGTTTGATCGGAGTAATTTCTGCATCTAGGCGGTGCCTGGATATAGCACATGTAAATAGAATTTCGTCTAGCGGAGTCTGGCGCTCTTGGATCTGCATTATTACCTATTATTAGAACTTTGAAATGGCAATACCACTTGTTCATGATAATCTATTTGTTCTGTATATACTGTTCACCATCGGCCAATGATCGATCTACTGCATCGAACCGGGACTCGGCGAGTGTTTATTGACCGCTCTCCGCCCGGCAGAAAAAGTCTCCCCGACATTAGTCGCAGGAGGCTTCTCTTGTGCCCAGTCTCATTCACTTCGTTCATTTCTTTGTCGCCACAATGATGGGTGCTACTGGTCTAAATGGGGCTGGTGTTGCCACTGCTATTGCCCGGCAACGGCTCACTGCTCTCCCTCGGTCTTCGCGATTGGTATGCCATCCCAAAAACCAACTCAAAGCGCATCGGAGATTAACTGATCCGCTGTAGATGTCCACTTTCCGCACCCAGCGCGTGCGCCTGCCTGGAGCGCCCGGTCAATTGACCTCAGGACTCGCTGGAAACGCGTCCCGTTGGGCAGCCCCGGCTCTTGCTGGCCCTGCCGCCATTCGTTTCAACTCTACCGCCACCGATTCCATCGCTATTCCGGTTGAGACACCAGGCGAGCTACCGAAAATCGAAGACCTCTCTGCGATCGATATTGCGAGCATCCCCGAACACATTGGATATTTGAAACTACTTGGGTTGGACTATGGCTGGGGTCCATCTTCCATGATGCAGTGGACCCTCGAACACATTCACATGTGGACCGACATGCCCTGGTGGGCCAGTATCATCGGCTGTGGTATTCTAATTCGTCTGGCACTTTTGAAGCCTATGCTTGACGCCTCCAACCAAGGAGCCAAGTTACATAACCTGAAGCACCTTCTCAACCCGGTCCGCGCAAAGATGATGAAGGCCGCCACGGAGAAGAATAACGTTGAGGTCCAGCGGTACAGAGCGGAAGCCAAGCAGATCCAGATAGACAACGGTATCAACATCTACAAGTCATTTATTCCTATGCTTCAAGCACCGCTAGGTTTTGGAATGTTCCGTGTTCTCCGAGGCATGACCGAGCTTCCTGTACCGGCCTTGTTAAACGAGCAAGTCCTCTGGCTCAATGACCTAACTATGTCTGATCCATATCTTATTCTCCCAATCATCAGTTCATACTGCTTGTACAGGACTCTGAAGGTTTGTCACCTCGCCTACCTAATTCAATTTTGTATCAGCCACTAACAATAACCGTCACAGAAAGGAGGTGAGGCTGGTATGACTGAGCTCATGAACGGTCCCGCAGGCAAGGGCCTTATCCGCGGTCTCCCAATCCTGACCTTGGCTTTCACGGCATTCATGCCCAGTGCGCTCCAGCTCTACTTTGCTGCTACGGGTATTTGGGCCTATGGTCAAGCCCAAATCGTGAACAATCTCAAATTCCGCGCCTGGATGAAGATGGAAACTCCCCAACAATTTGGCAGTGATACCGAGCTCCAGAACGATAGTCTGTCGCAATTGACACGACGCATCCAAGAAGAAAACCAAAAACGACTCCGCGAGGCCCGAGCCGAGTTCCAAGAGATGAAAGTCGATCCCTCAAAGATGAGTGCCATCGATCGATGGATGAAGGATGGAAAGGATTGGCTCAAGGAGCTTCAGCAACAGGTTTCCAAGGGTGCGAAGGACATGAGCGGCTCCGGTCGTCCTGACACCAACGCAGATGGCTCTCCTGCTGCGCCACCACGTCTTACCGATGCCCAGCTTAAGAGGGCAACAAAGGAAGAGGAGGAACAACTTGCATATGATAAGGAGGAACGTGAGCGTCGTAACGAGGAACGCCGTCTTGCTTATAAGCAGACGCAGGAGAATGAGAGAGATCGTGTGAAGAGATCCATGGAGAAACAACAGCAAGCTGCGCAACGGAAGTGATGTTGTTTGAATGTGTATAATATACTGTAAACTACTAGTGAGACCTGTCAATTACTTGCATCCGGTTGGGATTCTTCTTCTGTTTTTCCCTCGCCGCCCTGACACATCCTTCCGCAACCTCTTCACATGTGCACTCCTCCAGGCTGTTGCTCCAGCCTCCAGGTTAGACACTAGTGGGCATAGCCTTAGGTAGTGGTTTTTAACTCATTTCCTCCCTTCAATGTTCTCCAGTGTTATTTTCACTCTAAGTCAATTCGATCATTCATCTACTTTGGTAAGTGGCAGGTACCTCGTGTTCCCTGAAGTCAATATTGTATTTGATACGTGTTTCAAACCGACCCAGACATACTACATGTATCTATTCACAAAGGTCTATTATACACAAGCAGAAAATTGGAATTCCAGTCCCAACCAGCAATCTAGGTGGTATGCAAATTGGAGCGTTGTTCACGAATACCTAGCATGTCAAGACTAGTCGCAATTTCATACAGTCTGCATAGGAATTGACGTGGCAGGCAAAGGCAAACCCTCCTTTTCGTTCTCGGAGCCCACAAACACAGCCTTTTCCAGCTTGGCTGTCATCCTTGCACAGAAGGTATCCACATACGCCGTCCAAGCAGCCGCACAAGCATAAACAATCGCAATCCAAACAGGAATGCTCATACCAACCACCCAAGGCGATCTCAAGGGCAACCAGTTATCTCGGATATCATCCGTGGCCGCCTCGGGGCCCTCCCAAGGCTGACCAGTAATACCATACAACATCCAACAAAGCACAACGCGCAGCATCGTGCCATGAATGAGATATACAGCGAAACTTTGCTTGCCCAGCCAGAGCAGCAGGCGGTTTGCAAGGAACTCCTTTGTAGTCGGGGATAGATAGATTGCCAAGATAATCATGTCGACGCCAAGGGCTGTGTAGCGCTTACCAATATCTACATTTGGTGGGAAAATGTATGTTGCTGCGTTGAACATAGTCTTGGACCAAGTTGCCCATTCTGGGTGGTCGCCTGGGTATGAGGCTATCAAGAGTCCCAGAATTGCAAGGGGCAAGGTAATAGCTTTGCGAAGGTAGCGGTGTGTTTGTACCCAGTTTTTAAGGGCTGTGTTATAAGAGAGGTCGCTGAGAAGCATACCGTAGACGGCTTGCATTTGAAAGGTTTCTACGGCAAGGCAATGTTAGCAAGTTGGTTTTCACAACACCATTTGTAGCTTCCAGGACAATAATACTGAAATGCTGCTGCGTTGAAGTGTATGCAGGCGACTCACCGGTATTTTTCGCCGCATCTTGATGGAAGTACAAGATCATCGCAATATAAACCAACATACGGAATCGGAACCGCATGAACACCGTTCCAACAATCAAGATATAAACCAGCATAGAGGACGCCAGCAGCGGCAAAAGTGCCCATTGGTGATCGTCATAAGCCATATACCCCGTCGTCCACGTCGACAGGAAGTTCCCAAGAAGCCTCACAACTTCCTTCCAGAATGAATCCTCTAACTCTGGCGACGCATATCGACACCACCAGCAATCCGACCGATTGGCAACAACGAACCCGCCAAACTGCGCGACCACCCACGAGATCACCAGCGCAATGGAAGCCGGCAGTATCAGACGCGGGGGTCGTCTAAATGCGCTTTTCCCGACTGTAGTCAACGCGCCGCCTGTATCTCCGCTGCGAGATTGTTTCAATGGCTTCAGGGCACAGACATAGCCTGTTAGGAAGGCGAATATTGTGACGCCTACCCGGCCTTGCCAAGGGATGCGCAAGATGGGCCACTGAAGGATTCGGGGGTCTGCATCTTCGGTGTCGCTTGGAGAGAAAAGGTCATAGTCCCATGCGCGGGCGAGGTGAGTTAGGACTACGAGGAAGGAGGCGATACCTCGTAAACCCTGTTGGTTGAGAATATGATATGAGTATATGCGGTTTCACTCATAGTATTAAATGAAGAGTGCTTTGGATTGGAATACCTACATCAATCCATTTCACGCTTTTTCGAGGATCACCTTTTGTTGTTGAATTGCCTTGGTTCCATTGTAGGGATGTGGGGATTTTGTCCCGCAAACGAGTGTATAAGTGCAAAGAACGAAAGGATGTCATGATATGTAGATCAAAGCAGCGAAAGGGAAAGCTCTGATAGAATGAGTGTTAAAAAGAAATGGATTCGGTTGCTAGCAGCAACTATAGATCAAGCTCAAATCCAGCACCTAATCCCCAAATGAGTGAGGGTGATAGGATCCCTGGACTGTAGATAACCAGAGCAGCAGGATTAGCGAAATCAAAAAGAACGTGACTGAAAGAGCGGATTTATTAATGAATAGAGCAAATACTTCAATGAAAGGAAGGGCACGAGGATATTCCACATCGAGGGGTCATGGTAAATGGCAGGTCAATCCAATCCCCGTGAAGGTAAAAATCCGCCAAGAAAGAAGGGGCATGTACAAAACCCAACCTCACTTCTGACGTGGCAAATCAATTGAGCGAGGGGATGTGCAGCATGAGCTTATACGTAGATCCGATGGCGCCACAAATATCCCTTCATGGGCCTCGGTGGGCGGTTCGGAGGGCCGTGGAATCCCCAGGCAAGATCACATAGTTGTTTCGCATTGTTGATCAAGACACCGATTCAGTGAGCACGTCTTTGGTATGGAGGAGTCAAGTGACTGTTATGCGGGAAAAGAGAACAGGGAAACCACCCAAAGTGCCCTTGCAGCAGCCAGAGTCGAGACAAATGGATGTGGAATCGAGCTACAAAACCCAATGTTGTTGTTATTACTCCACAGGCAGCATAAACCGGAAGCTTAGCTCAATTTTGACAGCTGTTGTTACAATGAGAAACTTGACGTGTCTAGTGCATACTTTACTATGCATAGATCTAAATACCAAATTGTGGTGACTGTCTATGTACGTGCTGCCAAGAATCCACGGCCTCCTAGATCGACCGAGTCACCCAGATAAGCGGAATGTTTCCCTGTATTAAGACCGACTATGCCCCCAGCAAAGGGTACGTACATAGTAAGGACCAACCAAACCAAAGATACTACTGTAGTTGTAACTTGATTAAAAGTCAGATCCCGCGAGGGTATGATAATATTTGCAGCTAGAAAAAAAGCTTACGCCGAATCGCCCATCAGCCCTGGAGGGCGACAAAACCTTCAAGATGTTAAGATGAATAAGCAAAGCAGTCAGATATGAACATCCTTTTCCACCAGATACGCCACGCAACAAATGCAATAATAAATAGAGTGATAAATGCTGTACGGGGAAAAATGCCTTAGCGGAATAGTCTGCGTCCGCCAACGCTACCAGAACTCCATGTAAATGCTCCCTTGACACCGAGGTTATCCATACTCATACCCGAGAAACCGACACCGCCACCTTCACCGTCACGCTTCGATCGCCTCTGTGCTTCACGCAAGTGTGAGGGTAGAAGCTGGCCTCGGTGTGGGTTGGGCGGCGGGCGGAATTCACGTCGCGGGCGCGAAGGAGCAGGGCTAGGCGCTGTTTTTGAGGAGGACGTTGAAGGATGTGTTTGCGATGGGTCGGGAGATTCTTTCTTAATGCCATTGCCTAGGGAGGCGATACCCGATTGGGTGGGTGTTCCCGTTTTGGTCGTTGCTTGGGCCTGGATTTTGGCTTGCCAAGCTTCCTCCGCAGCGGCTTCTTCGGCATCGAACTTCGCGCGAGTCGCTTGATCGTGTGCAATGGCCCATTCGGCCTGAACAGTTCGCGCCTTTTCAATCATCTCACCAGCAAAAACCTTGGTAAAACCATTGACTGATGTGACCACACTTGCCGGGACAGACTGGGAGAGTGCGTGGTTGACAATTCGACGGAGGGATTCTTTGCGTAGCTTCGCACGCTTGAACAGATCGTACCGCTCAGATTGAATGGGATTAAATGCATCCACCAAGATCCTGTAGAGCAGTCGCGCAAAGTTAGTAACCTCATCAACCATTCCCCATCAACTTCAGGAAGAAAAGCAAGACATACGCAAGATTCTTCTTCTCTGCCTCTGTGTCAACAGCCCCCTCCTCCCGACCCAAAAGCTCCCCCTCGTCATCATCGTCATCATAGTCATCGCCATCATCAGCTGGACGCCCACCGCCCATCCCTCCCCGTACTGAGCCCTCGGCGTCCGCAGAGCCAAATCGACCCGCATCACCAGTTCGTGTACTCATCGCATCATCCCGATCGCGGTCCTTATCAGCCTTAGTCTTCCGTCCGCGCTTCTTCCCACGCGCCGAGGAAAAGACCCCATCCGCGCTGGTCCCTCCCAGGCTTCCAGTGAAACTGCCCGTGACACTACCAGCATCACTTGTGCCAGCGAAACTGCGCTCTGTCGGGGCAAGGTTTGCTGGGAAGGACGTCTGTCGAAGGGGGTGCTGCATGCGCTGCTTTTTGCCGATCGGCTGTGAGGTGGTGGATGAGATGGAGGGGCGCTTGAGAGAAGTAGTTGGGTTCTGGTATGATGGAGGTGACGACATTTTGTAGCTGGTGAGTGATATGGAATCTGAGGATGGGATTTGGTCAAAAAGTGAGTGGGGGTGAGTAAAGGTAGCCGACCCGGCGCGAAGGGTTGGAAGTGAGCTGGTACACCAAGACAATGGAAGGCCGGGATGAAGTGACGTTAAAGAAAATTACACGCGATCATGACTCTTGAGATGATAAGTCTGGACTCGGAGATGCGACTGTTAAACTCCATTTGCCGGTGTTCACCGCCTACTTATTTTCGAGATATCACTTGGTCAACCAATCATATCTCGAGGCATCTACATACCTTAAGGCGTCGCATAAACTTGAACTTGGATATTCTTCGTGCTTTGATTGACACTATGAGACAATGAAAGCTCTCAAATCAAAATTTTTTGTTCCAATTGAGAAATGGAAGCCCAAAAAGCCGAGGTGATCGGGAAGCCAGTTGACGGAATAATCCAGCGACAGTCATGTGCAAATAGGCCAAGTGCTTGGGCAACAAGGAACTGTAGAGCCTGTTTATTATGACCATGAGCACTCGAAATGTGTATTATTATGGAGGGTCAGAGTACAAATCGTGGGTTTGGTGAAATCTGAATCTCATAGATCAGTGACTTGGTCAGCCTCAAGCGTAGTGGCTGTCAAGACTCCACCTCTTCATCGGCTCCACTTGAACTCTATTTGGGCCAAAGCTCAGATATCCAGAGCTTCAGATCTGTGCTTTGCCGTCACGTATCCAGTCACGTACGTGGCCATTGACTCAGTTATGGTAGGAACTTGCACAATTTGGTCTTTGAGCTTAATTGATCAAGAATTGAGAGAAGAAAGGCGAGGCATGACCCCGTGACCCGTGAGTAGATAAACTACTTGCCAAGACTTCTATTATGTCAGCAGAGAAGCCGAGATTGGAAGGTTTGACGAGGGTCGCAAGACAACTTCCTCAACTTCCTCAACTTGATGAACTTGACAAACTTGACTGCACTACTCTCCAAATGAATATTATTGAGAGGCAATGGTTTTGCTATGAAAATTTAGTCCAAGTTTTTCTCTTCCCTTTTCGCATTTTCCACTAACGAAGCTACATATAACGTACTGTCTCTCAACATCTTTCTACTGTATGAGCACCAGTTTCGTCCCCTATCGGCAGCAGAACTAGAACTGGGGCATCAATTTCTCCTTCTTCGCTTCCATGTTGACATTTGACCCCAGTCTTATTGCCGACTTGGGGCATAACGGCGGGGCCATTCCGGTGGAGATGGGAAAAAAGCCGGGAAGCCATGGCTTGGCTCACAAACCCACACGGTTGCAAGCGTTCCTGGTTGGCCAAAACCATAGTGAAGGCACCACTTCGCGCCCTCTATGGAGTACTTACTCCATAGTTACTGGTCACCATTATGAATCCAATATCCCGAAATGTGGAGCATGAAATATTTTTCAATTTGCTTCCGGTTATGCACTGGAAACTAAAAAAGGGAATGAGTCTTGCCGCACACCAGCTACTTCTAAAGTTACCCCGTCGACTATTTTCTGTGGTAAAAGTGACTTCCACCGACAAGATCGACCTGGAACTCTTCCTCACTGTTGATTTTTGATTTTGTATCTGACCGACTTCGAGAATTGCTGCTCACAATCATTGTTGGATAGCTTCAAAAAGAAAGAACAAAAGCAAAGAAACTGCCAGTTCCGTTCGACAAATCGCCACAAATCCCTGAGACTTTGACAGTAGCAACAATAAGGTTGCCATCTCGCTTTATCCCGTCTGCGACATTGATTCATTCTCATCTTGCCTTGCCTTGCGACTCATTCGATTATCCATTGTGCGACAATCTCGATCATCCAGTGCACCTGCAACCGCCTTTTCCATTGCGCCAATCTGCCCACGCGAAGATATACCCCCAAGCAATTTTGAATACTTCCTGTCGAAATACACCATTCATATCTCCTTTGCGACAACCGCTTACCTTGCCACGCGACTCAATAATACTGCTGTCCCTCTGCGACTTGAAATATAGCCATACTCACCATGCCAAGCACTAATTGGAGAAATATGTTGGCTAACCGAGACCGTCGCCAATTCCCCGAAGTGGTTGTGCCTCTCGAAAGAGCTTCTTTGAAAAGCAGAAACGATGCCAATGACTCCGACAATACCCAAGATGCGGCCTCTGTTCAAGAAAAGGGTGCTAGTGCCGGCTATGGACAGACTACGCTGACTCTAGAGGTCCTCCGAGCTGAGATTCTATCAGAGACGGCTGCTTCGGGCCATAACACTGCCTACGATCGTAAGTTCATGGCGCTGGTCTCCGTACTCTTTCAGATCCAACGGGCCAAATGCCTGTTTTCAGGAGCCCTCGAAATTAATATATGGACCTTCTGTAGGTAAAGCAAAGGTCATCAACAGGGCGATTCAGGATATTGGCATGGGCCGCTATCAATGGGGCCTCTTCGTTCTGTGCGGATTCGGTTGGATCGCGGACAAGTAAGCAAACAAACGTGTTTTTTTCAGTAGTCATGTACGGTATTGCTAACGAGAACTCAATATAGTCTGTGGTTGCAGGTATGATCTGCAAATTATGAGTCTAATCATCATAGAAAAAGAAATGATTAACTAATCTTTTGTAGGGAGTTGCCCTGACTTTGACCCCGATTGCCAATGAATTCGGTATTTCTGAAAATGATTCTCGGTTTGCTACATGTGCACTCTTTGTTGGTTTGATCATTGGTGCCTCTTTCTGGGGTATTGCTTCCGATGCGATTGGTAGACGCCCTGCCTTCAACATGACCTTGTGTATTTGTGGTATATTCGGTCTTGCGGCAGGTGGAGCACCTAGCTGGATTGGGTAGGCTTCTTCGACATCACGGAAAGATAAATCTCATCTTGCTGACACTGAATCCAGGGTTTGCGCTTTGTATGCCTGTCTAGGTCTCGGTGTTGGTGGCAATCTGCCTGTTGACGCCGCTGTCTTCCTCGAGTGCTTGCCCCCAAACTCCGCCAGCATCTTGAGTGGACTGGCTACCTGGTGGTCCGTTGGAACTTTAATCTCCAGGTATGTACCTAACAAATATGGCAAATTTCCATCACAGGATTAACACGCTACAGTATGCTCGCCTGGGCTTTTATTCCCAACTTTTCCTGCGCAAGCGCTGCCACGTGTGTCAAGGCCGACAACTGGGGCTGGAGATATCTAGTCCTTTCCCTGGGTGCTATCACATTCGCCATGTTCCTTTGCCGTTTCCTTCTCTTCACGCTTTACGAGTCTCCCAAGTTCTTGGTCTCTCGCGGGCGTCAGGATGAGGCGGTTGCTGCAGTCCATGGAATAGCTTACAAGAACAAGACCACCACTTGGTTAACCGAAGAAATCTTGAACGACATTGGCGGTCTTCCTGAGGATGATCCGAAGCAGTCTCTTTCTTACGGAGAAATCGTCAAGCGGTCATTGGAAAGATTTTCTATGCAGCAAGTTGCTCCTCTATTTGCAACCAAGCGACTTGCAATCTCAAGTATGTACCTCCGAACCTCCCTTTATATCATTTTTTGAACTAATAATGTAAAAAAATAGCTATCTTGATTTGGTTCTGTTGGATTTGTATTGGACTGGGCTACACACTATTCAACGCCTTCTTGCCACAATACCTGAGCGCCAACTCTTCCACCTACGTGACCTACCGTAATTACGCCATCACAGCCGTCTGTGGAATCCCGGGCCCTCTTCTTGCGTGGGTCCTCGTCGACAACCCCTACCTCGGTCGTAAGGGCACGATGGCTGGCTCCACTCTTATCACAGGCGTTTTACTTTTCTGCTTCACTGCATCGAAAGACTCCAACGTCCAACTGGCCTGCTCTTCCCTAGAATCGTTCTTCCAGATGGCTATGTACGGTGTTCTTTATGCCTATACGCCTGAGATTTTCCCTGCTCCGAACCGTGGTACCGGAACGGGTATTGCTAGCTGTCTGAACCGCATTGCTGGTTTGATGGCGCCTATCATTGGTATCTACGCTAGCATTGACCCTATCACACCGATCTATGCGTCCGGTGCGCTTATTCTTGCTGCCTTTGTCGCGATGGTTTTCCTGCCTATTGAAACTCGGGGAAAGCAGTCACTTTAGACTGACTGGGCTTGAAGATGAACCTTTGTTTGGAAGATTACATCCCGAGAATATTTCGATTTTTTAAAGATCGTCGAGAAGTTGCATCCATCAATGGATGTGGCGTAATGTATATTAAATTCCGCCGTGGTTTTCTTCAATGTTTTTGGAAGTACATACACATGTGGGTATGGATAGATGGATACCGTCATAAAATGTATTGAAATACCTATACTTGGTTATCGTTCTATGACAGAGACCTATCTACTGGGTACCACTAGTTATAGAGGATATGCGCGGTTTTGGGATTGTTTGTATTGTTTGTATTCAAGGTAGGTAAAATTGAGTCGCTGAAGGGGATAAGACAAGAAATGTCCTAAGCTCTACTCATGAAGATATGGTCCATAATAAGTGATATTTGGATACTACTATGGAACGAACTAATACGATGCGATAACAGGGGCCGTGAGAACATTGCAGCAGAACATAGACACAGAAAATGACCCAGGCGCTTGAAGCATATGGATGCAATGCAACACTGTGTACTATGAAAAGGCAATGCGAGCCGAAGAACAAACAAAAGAACGAGAAAAAAAAAAGATGCTAGTAAGAATATACTAGTAAGATGGAAAGAAAAAAATCAAAAACGACAAAAATCAAAGAAAAAAAACAAAAACAAAAACAAAAACAAAAAAAAGACCCGACGGTGCAACGTCTCATGCATGGCAAAGCTACGAAAGCAGATCGACGGGAAGTAACGAACGGGAAGAAGATAAGCTGACGAAGCCAACTTTAAATCTTCTCACCAATCCGGGGAGCCCCCCCTTTCCAGTCGTTGCTCTCGTAGTATCGGAACACAAGGTCGTATCCGTTCAGGTCGTGAACAATGCGATCTACACGACGGTAACCCTCGACGTGCTCATTCTTGGGGTTGCGGCGCAGAGCCGGTTGCAGCGAGTGTTTCTCATCGAAGTCACCAGCATCAGCGTCAATCTCCTCAACACTAGGCTTCGTTTCAAACAAGGTGATGCTGAAACGGCCAGGCTTAAAGATGTCCACAACCTGCTGAATGATCTCCATGGTGGTCTTATTGCTCTGCGAGTGTGGGACATTAGCCTCAAAGGATGCATACGAGCATTGAGGCTCGGGAGTCACATGCACCGTGAAATAATGAGTCGGGGCCTTGCTGTCCGGCGCAGGAACAACACCGTTGGCCGAGAAACCACAGGGTGTGAAGAGGTACGCATCAATGCGAGCATCTGGAAACTTGCTCTTCGGGTAAATATCCGAAAGACCACAGGACTGCGACACGACGGCACCAAGAGCGTGACCCTCAGTGGTCAGCTCTGCTGGCAAGACTCGTTCGCCCTGCACCTCTTCATCGAGGTCGGAGCCATTGTTGAAGACATCAACGTGGTCGACACCCTCATCTCTGTCGTAGTTGCGGTACTGTTTTTCGGCCACGGCAGCGGCGTTGTCCAGATAGAATTGCTTCGCATGTTCCTCGTCCAAGTCGGTCATCAAAATCTCCAAAGTCTCGTCATTCTCTTCGCAAGTAGCGATCGGAGCCTCGTGCGGGACTTGGAGATGTTTGGTCTCGGTCTCTTTGAAACTCACTTGGTCCGTAGGACTGGCCGGAGGCGTGAGTATGGTGTTAGGCTCGGTCAGGTACAAGTACCAGTGCTCGCCGTTCATCTTGCCAATCATGTAAGCACTTCCGTTCAGGAAAAGCTGGTCCATATTGCGGACTTCATCACGCCAGCTGCGGTGGGGTCCAAGCTGACGATCGGGGAACAGGTAGTTTTTACGGCTGTAGAAGACACGGTAGGGAGTCGCAGCAACTGCGATGCCACAAGAAGACGGTGCGGTCGCACGCGGGAATCCGGCAAACAAGGTGGCAATCTCGAGAATGCGAGGGAGACCGGACAGCAGAGTGGTAGTTCCACAGGTCTTGAGAATCAATTTGTGTGGCCAGACAAACATGCTGGACTCGGACAGGAGGTAGGCATCCACATCATCGGATCCGACCACGGACAGCACCTGGCAGTTGACCAGGTCCAACATATCCTTCCAGATCTCGCTAGGCACTCTCTTCAGGCCATCTGGGCCTGCAGCGCCAAGCTCGTTGGCAGATGGGGCGAACCACACCTCTAGAAGTTTCTCAGGGCCTACACCACAAAAGTCAGTATGAGATTGAACATATATGATGGAATCAGGTGATGGGAGGTAGTCACAAACCTTCAAAGGCATTAGAAGAATCGAGGTCCTGAGTAGCCTCATGATTGATGATCAGAGAAGGTGTTCCAGCGAACGAGGACGGAGACTGAGTGTAATTCTGGGGAATGCCGGTGAAAACCATCTCCAGAGAATTGATGCAGCCGAGGCTGGTAGACTTGTGTAGAAATGAGGTATGAAAGAAGATGGGTGACGTAGGATCACCCAAACTTGGAGGGATAGAGACAAAAGGCTATAGAAGCACTGTCTACTTACCCAGACGAACAGGGGGCGATGCCCGTCTGAGAAGAGAAGGCCCTTGGACAAAATTTAACTGGTCAGACCAGGCAGTGGAGGGACCTTAGAGACCTAAAGGGCTGCTAAGGGGGACGGAAAGCGAAGGCGAGAAAGAAGACGGTGCAAGGAATGTTGACTGTCAGTCGAGTACCCTCGTACTGAAGATGCCGATACCGATAAAAGTACCGGGTCTAGCAGACGAGTGTATCTGCGTTGTGATAGAGGATAGAGGGTGTGGGTGTGAGTCGCGTTATCGAGGCCTGGAAAGGTTGAAAAGTCAATTAAGTGTTTTAGGAATTAAGTGGAGTCAAACTGGGGGTTATTTTGAGAGGAAAGACTGGGGTTGAACAGCAATTTGTGTGAATGCAAAAATAGAACGACAAGTATTCAATGCAATTGCTTATTGTGATCGAGCCCATAGTATGCATGCATATTATTTGATTGGATCTCGGCACCCAACAAGGTAATAACAGCTGCAAGAGAAAGAAACGAAAAAGTGACGGGAAAGTGACGGAAAAAAGACTCACTTTGCAGGCTTAGAGAGAAATCGCAGAAGATCCTTTGGGCTCATGAAAGGCAGGAAAGGAAATTCAGCTTAGAACTGCACGATGTCGCGCGAGGCCACGATCGTGAACATCCGCGGGGCGGAATAGGCAAATCAAATTGATCGAGCAGTCTAACGAATACCCGAGAGATGGAATTGGCGTTAAAGAAGAAGAGAGATGGGTTCTCTTCAGAAGATCCGGTAGTCAACACAAGAAAAGTGTTTACTCTTCAGTCCTCAGGAGGGGAAGTGACAAGTTGGGTAAAAAAAAAAAAAAGTTTGGCTGTGAAAGAAGTGGTTTGTGGTTGGTAGGTGCGCGATTTTGTCTGTGGGCCCGTGTTCTCCGTGGGGCGCGGAGCAAAATTTGTCTGACATCAGGGAACGAGCCCTGTTAGTTCCTTGGTATTCAACAAGTCCGATATGCCCCGGAATTGAGGACAACAACGGGGGGGTTACACACCTGAAAATGATCTAGGCAGGAAGATACTAAAGATGCAATACAAGGTCGTCTTAGGACAAAACCTGAATAGTGCGTTGCAGAAATTGAAAATCGCAAATTCCAAGTGTATGAGTCTGGGCACAAGGGCGGCCACATCAGGCAGAAATCTAAATTCGGAATTTAGCTTTTCCTCATTAGGTAAGCTGGGGAGGGGTTTCCCGTGATCGACAGGGCCTGATTAGGGTGCACACTAGTAAAAGTGCCGGTGAGACGGGGCATTATTAGTAATTACGTCGTCAACGGGAAATCTTATCAATTGAAGATATACAGCTTAAAAAAAAGATAAAAACAAGCTTTAAAAATAAACCGATTCAACTAATACCTCCGAACTCCAATTTCATAACGCCATCAATGGTTGCAATCCATTTTGTGGAGAGTGTGCATACCTCCGGATCATGATTCGAGAAGCAGATAGGCCAGCTGCACCTCATTGGCCTCGGCAATTTTGCCAGCAATTAGATCACCGACCTTACCGACCAATCGAGAGCGAAGTTCCTCATTGACAACATCAGGGTGGCCATTTGCCAGGGATGCATGGCTATCCCGAAGAGAAGCCAGGACTGCAAGAATGGCATTGAGCACACGCTCAGCGGCGGGCCGGCGAGCTGAATCTTCAAGTCCATCACTGAGCAGCTTGGAATATTCAGTGAGGTTGGGAAGCATAAGTACACGAATCACCTCGGCCCCACCCACAGCTTGCATGCCAATGACAGCGCCATAATGGGCACCGAAAGGCTTGGAGGGGTCCAAGAAGCTCTTCAGGCACGAACGGACAAGACGTGGCTTGAGCATGTGAGAGGAGTGGGAGTACTTCTTGGCAATATGGCCCAAAAGTGAAGCAGCCAAATCCCGAAGAGCACACTGCTCGGCCACGTCAGCAGCTCCACCGAGCTGTCGACCTATCAGACAGGTCAAAATGGAGGGCACCACGGATGCGACCTAAACCCAGTTAGTATTGATTGAAATCGCTTTGGAAATGAATGAAGAACCACATATACATACATATGGGTCAACGTAGAGGGATGTGTTTTGCACCAGAGCCTCAGCCATGTGCATCACTTGCGTCAGGACGAAGATATCCTTCAGACTGTGCGTGACCTTTTCGGCGATGAACTGCACAAAGTATGGGACCAGTTGGTGCAGGCCAGGGTCCTCCCGTAGACTAGCATATCCAGACGTCCGGTAGTCCTCACTGTTCTCATCCAGGAACGCGCTGCAAACCTTCTCAAAGTACAGCTGCAACTCTTTAGAGAGTACATGCTTCACCAAAGGTTTCACAGCCACGTCACCTGTCCCACTCATCGCTGCTAGTGTGGAGTTGGCATTGGGACCCTTCGAGACCAGCTCAAGGTTCCGAGAGTCTGCGGCGGTCGGGTTTTGGGGAATGGATGGCTGCACGCCTTCTACCGCGAGCCAATGGGCTATGAAGATCATGTCAGCAAGATTAAAAGGAGAGGAGTTGCTGGATTTGACTGACCTGTGAAAGCAACCTCGCGGGGAACTTTAGGCAAAGGGGCATTGATCAGTTTCTCAAAGTCGACCTCCTCGTCTTCAAGATAGAATAACGGTTGACCGGGTCCAAGCGAAGCTTCTCCAAAGCGCAGAGGACGAAGAGATTCATATCCATAAAGAGGTTCGACATCGAGGTTTCGCAGAGCAAGGGAGATATCCTGAGTTGTCAAAACCGTTCGCTTTCCTTGGCGCATGGCCTTGAGTGCCTCTTCTAGGACTTGCGCGACTCGGAATTCCACGTCGCGAGCGAGGTTCTCCGTCACATCGTGGCTGAGGTTTGTGAGACCAGCGGACTCAGCAACATCCCGGATGTTGTCTGGGTTCCAGACAGACATGATGGGTCAACAAGACGAGTAGCGTAGATATGGACCGATCGGGGGTTCTGGGATTCAGGAATGGCGGTGTTGCGGATGAGTAGAGAAGTGAGGGACGGATCGTAGAAGTTTTCTCAAAAGACAAAATGGCGCATTCTGAGGCAGTGAGATCAAGCTTCAAAGTGAAGTGAGATATAAATTAACACAACGCGACAAGGCACGCGATCATTGACTGTATCATACTGAAGGAGAAGCTTGTGACGATCAAGTGAATAGTTGCGCTATCGGTCTTAATGCGTATCCCTACAATGTAGCTCTTTTCCCATACACCGCCTGGCGCCCATGTCTATTGGCGGGCATCTTCTAGATACTCACGGACCTCCTAGATAAATGAACCGACTGAGGATACCTTGGTCATGAGTATGTAAATTATCTGTGCTGATCCTAGGCTGATGTTCACTAAAAACTCAACCCAAAATCCCCTGCTACGGAAAACAACTGGTTGGAAATGGGGGCTTTCCCAAGGCACAATCGTGTGCCCAGGGCAGCAGGGCTCTATGAGTTCAACTTTCTTTCCCTAAATTTCCCTTGGCTTCAAATGCACCCACAACGGATCCCGATGCCACCAGCCAGTCATAGGATGCAGAAGCCAGTCTGAGATCAAAGTTTCAGACTAGTTTTGCAAGGATTGTGCGCATTTCAGCGTAAGCAAGACTGTTATCTCGTCTGGTTAGAGGAAATACCCATTGTTGGGGGAAATGATGATAACTTACTTCATGCCAATGCAGTTCCGAGGACCGATACTGAATGGGGTAACAATCTTCAATTCATCATTGGCGAACCGAGAATCGCCCAACCATCTTTCGGGGACGAAGGATTCCGGAATGTAAAAGCGAGAGGACGACCTATACGACGCCCAAGGACTAACGTGGACCCGTGTCTACATACTGATCAGTCTTCTGACATTGGGTCGTCCGCTCTGGTCTCAATCTAACTCACCCCTTCAGGTACCCATTGCCCTGCGATCGTAGCACCGCCTTTGGGTGCCCTTCTGGGCAATCCAGCAGAAGCAGGAGGGAACAATCTCAGGCCTTCCTTAAGGACTGCCAGTGTATATGTCAGGGAATTGACACTGGTCAGGTTGATTTCTTTGTCACTCTGAAAGGCCAATCTCACTTCTGCGGTTAGTTTATCCAGCACATGCGGGTTTTGGCACAGGTGATAGGTAAGGCCAGATAGCAAGGATGCCGTTGTATCACTTCCTGCAACTACAAATGTCATTGCATTGAGTTCTAGCTCTTGCATACTAAATGAGCCTGCCCGGAGTAGGGGGCCCATAAAGTCATCGCGCATAAACCCTTGAGGGACGCGGCTGGCGACTTTGTCTTTGGTGTAAGTGATCATCTGTTTCATCTCCTCTTTCAGGTGTTGAGGAATCAGGCGTTGCAGAAATGGTTGGAGAAGTGGAAGCCGCTTAGCAGAGCCGACCAGAACACTCCATATGTTGTTTTGAGTCATTGTGCGAACCCAGGGGTGGTAGCGGCCACTATCGACACTCTCAAATGGTTCACCAAAGGCCAAGTCACCAATGATGTCAAAAGTGATAAGATTGAACCACTCGCTAAGGTCTTGAGGGCCCTGAGACACCCTCTCGTGTAGCCGCTGGATGAAAAGATTTGTGAACTTCATGATGGACTCCTCTTGGTCGTTGGTCGCCTTGTTCGAGAACGATGGGCTGGGAATCTTTCGAACTTTTGCATGCTCCCCATTGCTTGGTGTGGTCACAATGGAGTGGGCACCGCCTAGAGAAAAATAAAAATCGGGTGATTTGGTGAAAGGTCCAGATCCACCTCCAAAGGCATAAATATCCTTCTGGGCTTCCTGGCCAATATAAGCCACTTCGTCAGGGGCGATGCGGACAACATGGCCAAATCGTTCGTGCAGTTCTGTTAGTTTGTAGACCAATTCACCGTGGGTGGAATACCAAAGGGAAGGGAGAATTGAGGCTGCCCAGAGCCTGGGGCCAGGATATTTGCGTAGGGGATGAAAGTAAATGTTGTAGATGCCTAGGACCACGGCATAACATGTCGCCTACATGACCAATCAGTTAATTGAGACGAAACAGAAGTTGAGTTTATCTGGGTTGGGGCTCCTCACAGACAGTGTCAATAGAGCAAGAACTACCGACGACGTCAACAGGTAGTTTAGAAGCGTCATATCTTAGGACTCAAGGGGTCTTGTTCGTATAAAATGAAGGTAGAAATGGCACAATTACCGTGGGTAGGTCTTGGAAGAGTAAAACATGTGCGTATTCTAACCACATGCGCAAGGCTCTTATATTTGTTTCTCGTAGATACGTGTGCTGCTACTCTCAAGCATATCCCAGATATCACATTACGCACAGCACAACTGGAATTTAAGCATATTTATGCATTCGATTGTTACTTTTTTCAACAAGATTTGCGGGTCAACTGTGCAGAAGGAGGGGAACCCTGTACACAACCTTGGAATTGGCAAATCATTGCTCGAAAGATCTCCGCGCGGGCGTAATGCTGCAGGCTTAGGGAAACGTACTATCCCCGGATTTCACATGAGCAAGGTTCTTGCGGTGAGGGGCTAAAATCCCAGCAGGTAGCTTACAACTGATACTCTGTGCAAATGTTTGGAATAAAATACTAGATTTCAAGGTTAAATCTGTTCCAAGTATGATATTCAGCTTGTACATTCCAAGGTTTGGAATAAGGTAAAGCGCTGTTTGATTGAAAAAGCAGCAGGTGGTCACTCAATTGAAGTCTCATCACGCCGGACAGGATGCTGAATAGTTTCCAGCAGTTCTTGAGATAGAAAATTCAATAGAATGCGAATGTCTCACATGAACAAGATCTAAACCGAGTGAGGAAGCAATTCCGGAATGATTGAGATCCTCTGGAAGTTAAAGTGGAACCCACTATTGCTTACCCTCCGAGACAGTCATGGTGGACTCTTCGGGCATCTGCCCAGGAAAAGGGGGCTATGAGTATGAATCTCGAGAAATAACAATAAGAATTCAAGATGATAATTATTAAAGTAGATAAAAGGTATCGCAGAATCTAAACGACAAGGAGGGAATAAAGGCCTCGGGCTAAAACAATAATGGAGAGTGTTGATCACTACTCCCCCGGGTATCACAATAGACTAATGTCCATATTAGTGGGTAATTTAAGAGGCCGCTTCAGCCTCAGTGGTCGCCTTTGACTCCTCCTTGACCTCCTCCTTAGTCTCAGTGGTCTCAGTAGTCTCCTTGGCTTCCTCCTTGGCAGGCTCCTCAACAACAGGGGCCGCGACGACAGCAGGCTGGGCAGCAGACTCAGCGACAGGCTCGGTAGGCTCGGTAGGCTTGACCTCCTCCTTGGGCTGCTCATCTTCAACAAGTTGGACGGATCGTGCCTCATCCTTCAAAGCCGGGCCCTTTCCACCGTATACCTGGGGGATCTTGTCGGCGATCGAAGCGGGGAACTCACGAGCCAAGTTGGCACCGTTGGAGATAGGGTGGAACTTGCGAGTGGTGTTGCGGCTCAAGAAAAGCTTCATAGCCGAGAACATCCAGCCCATGATAGTGGGGACGTTGACGAAGAACTTCTCACGCAGCAACTCGGGGTATGCGGTGGAGAAAACCTCAATTGTCTTCTTAGTCGCATTGCGCACAGCAGGGTCCATGCGAAGGAATTTGACATTCATGTAATCGTGCACCTGAATCATCTGGTAGGGGTCCTTCTCGCCATCGTAGTCGATGACAGTGGTGGCATCTTTCATGTTGAGGTCCTGCACAGCGAGTTCCATGAGGGCGGCGCGCCATTTCACGAATCTTGTTATTGTTAGAGCTTGTTATGTCAGATGGATGGGCATAATGCGATGTCACTCACTCATCAGAATCGGAGAAGGTGGCATTGGCGTCCTTGACGGCGCCATAGATGTTCCATGTAAACACAAGCGGACGACCATCCTGCTCGTAGGTGGTCAAGTATCCCAGGCCGCCGAACTTGCTGGAGCTGTACTTGCCCGACTGGATGAGTTCCAAAGGGTTGGTCTGCTTGCGCCATTCCAATGCCTTGCGCAGCTGCTCCTCGGCCGTAGACACGTTTCCCTCGTTGGCGCGGAGGAACTTGATCAGCACGTTGACGGTGGGGATATCCTCGCTGTCCTTCAGGGGCACACCCCACATCTCGCTGTGACCAGTCTTGCTGAGAATAGAAGGAAGCTGATCAAAGAACTGGCCCAGCCCGGGGATGTTGGTCAAGTATTCTGGTTTCTTTTCCTCGGGCTTAGCAGCCTCGGGTTCGGCAATCACAGCGGCGGGTGCATCCTGGGTAGCTTCAGCTGTAGGCTCGGTAGATTCAGCTGCAACAGGCGCTTCGGCAGCCTTGGGCTCCTCTTCCTTAGAAGCTTCCTCGGCGTTGACGATTTCGGTCGCCGGGGCAGCGGGAGTCTCGTCGAGCTTATCGGCACTTTCCACGGCCTCCTCGCGCTTCTCGAGCTCAGAAGCCGGGGTTTGCTCAACGGGCTTTGAATCGGACATGGTGGGCGGTTATTTTTGGTGAATAATGAGTGATGGGAAGAGAGGGGGGGGAAAGGAAAATAAACATCAACTCAGGGGGACGAAAAAAAAAAAAAGATGCGGCAGGGGCAAGCTTTAGCTGCCTTGTAAATAATTAGTCGGGACCACTTATCGATCTCAAAGGCCCACATGATTCCCCACCTGTCATCCTGGCTTGCACAAGTATTATTGACACCTTAAAATCAGACTAGAAAATATTCCGATCGCTATAACTGAGTCCAATATAGGCTATTACAATCTACCTTGGACTTTGAGAAGGTCAGTACATAATGTCAAGGCTGTTACATAGCTTGATGCAGCCCAACATCGATCAGTATCAGTCTCAGTCCAAATCCGATGTATCAACTGTGCACATGTGTTTCATCCCTTTTCCCCCTGAAATCTCGTCTATTCAGTCTTTTTTTCCTATAGCTTTCTTATAACTTTCTAGGTCTGAATTGCAACTTTTCTATAGTACGTTCAATGTTGTTGATCTAATGCCTGTATACACGAAATTACCCTTCAGTGTTTACTACAACACCTGTATGACCCGACATCTGGAGATAGGGCGGACTCGATCTCACAGGGCTTGACACCAAATATAGACTATCGATAGGTCCAATCTTACTTCTAACAGCCAAGAGCTATGCATGGATACGGTTTATTATTGGCATCCACCTTTTTTCTTAGGTTCGTTTAGCCCAAGGACTTTTTAGTGGACCCACCGCATTGGACCCTTCATCTCGACTCTCGACATAGCTTTTGTCCGCGAATCTGTGTATGTATAAGACAGGGCTTATAGGATATCAAGCCATGATCTAATTTGAAACCAAGACGAGTCTCATTTATTCATCTAGTCATTTCAATTGGCTTAAGCGCCAATTGCAATTTCTAATCACCATTCTAATTCGTCATAGAATATCGAGTTGAGCTACGCTGCGATCATGTACAAGGAAATGGGATTAAGACTCAAAGACTGCAGACTGAGCCCCATGTGGAACAGGAATGTCCGAAGAGATTGTATCATTGAACCTTCACAATTCTAGATGATCGAAAAGATCATTGAGCAAAAAAGCCAACCCAGTGAGATACTGCACTTGAGAACGAGATGTGGGCCTCGCCCAGAAGAAATAAATAAAAAATAAAATAAAAGCATTCGCTTGGGGGATATTCAGGACCGGAACACGCAGGAGAAGAAGAAAAAAAGATCGTTAACGACGTTTGCATCACCGATAGGGTAGAAACAATTAAATCAAAGCAACGAAAATCAAAAACCAAACTGACTAATGGCTACTGCGAAAGCGTTCCGGCATCTGTGGCATGGAGGGAGGGGGACCGGGCTCGGTCCGATCCTCCTCCTCTTCCATCTCATCCACATCTTCGGGATGACTGGACGAGAGAAAAAAAACGTCTAGTTAGAACCAAATACTTGGAACCACAATTACCAAGCAGAAACTCGGAGTGCACTCACGCAAGAAGGTCCTTAATGTTCCTCATCTCGTAATGTCTCTTTCGTTGATTCTCAAACAGTCGGTGCTTCTCCTTCGCCTCTTCGGTCGTAAGCAGACCATCGTCACCAGGCACGGCATCGCCATTTGTTCCAGTCCCAACGTGAACATGCTTTGCGCTCTTTTGAGACTCAGTGCTCATGCTCCGTTGGCGGAAAACGCGGGGGTCCTGGATAGAGTTTTCGCCCTCGTCGTGAGCCTCCTCCGGCTCGCCGAGTTCCAAGTCCGGGATATCGTCTTCTGACATGCCCTTCCTGTGTACATTGTTACTCTTGTCGAGTTCGTCAACCATCAAGCCTTGAGCATCGATCAAGGTATCCTTCGCATCCTCCATGCGCATCTCCTCGTCATCCTCGGCCGGGTCGTAGTGCGGGGCGTATGGGGTCTTGGGCTCATCGATCTTCATCTTCGCTGTGCGCTCCTGTTCCGTCAGGTACAGATTCGCCTCATCCCACTTCAGACGGGGAGAGTTGTCATCGTCCATCATGCTAGCCTCAGACTGCCGGCGAGACGCTGAGCCCTGGGTGCCGGATGAAGACCGACGTCTCGGGCCCGCGTTTTGCAGAGTGTTCTGAAGTGTCAACTCTTTGGTGTCGGCAGATTCCGGAACAGATGAGGGCACAACGGGCGGAGCGCTGACCGTTTCAGAGATGGGGACGTGTTGGAATGAGCGAGAGTTCTTTAGGATACCTGAGATGGCGAATGTCAGCGGTCAACACAGGTTTTCCCTCGGTTTTCCCACAAGTAAAAACTCACCTTTCGGTCGGTGGTGCACATTATCGGTGCTGTAAGCCTTGGCAGGCATATGCTGTGCGGTTGTCATGTTGGAGGGTGTTGTCAGGATGAAATTGCCGTCCGATTTTCAAGCGGGCGTGGATCTTTTAGAGGGGCAGGTTGGAAGTGGGCTGTCTGCCGTTGTCAGCCGTTGTGTCAGATGAACGTAGATGGTTCAGCTGAAAGTCGTGCGATGTAGGTACGCGGAAGCCACTGGGTTATTTGGTTGGTTGGAAGTGAGACAGAACCTTGAAATAACAAAAAAGGAATAAGATGTAAAAAAGCCCAGAAAGTCTGCGTCTTAAAGTCAGCTGCGAGGTTGGGCAAGGGCGGCACGTGGGGCGTGATGACGTCGAGTCCCGTCGGCGCCTGACGTCTTCGGCATCATTTTCTTTGCTTTGGTCACCATGTTGGGCACCGAGAATGCTTCACTAAGAGATGAGGCTCAGAATCAGATCTCGCTCGGGAATTTGATCCTACTCTTACCTTCCAGACCATATAAAAAAGTTAAACCCCCCTTTCAAAGCTTATACAACCTACATCTCTGATTCTCTACATAGCAGCAGCTAGTACTGCCTCTTCTGGATCATGGAGAATTGATGACAAATTTCCACTTAGACAACTCTCCGAGGTTGCATTGACCACCAGAAATTGAGAACTTGTAGTGATAGTAGACTTTTCTTGTTTTATGCATATGGATGGTTTAAGCTAACATTTGAATGATTTTAACCTATCCTATACAAAGCCGAAATTGGCCGAAGCTTTGAACTATCCAGCCACTTAACTTCAAGGTTGAAAATCCAATGCCTGCATAGATCATCCAAGCAATCACCAATAATCCCTCGGCGAATTGTTGAGATCACCCTCAATTGCATCATTCAATTTCACATACCCTTGTCTTGTTGCGGAGAAAAGAAATCTAATCTGCAGGGATAAATACAAGATCTGTCGTCATTATGCATAAATGCTCGTCTCGAAAGCCGAAGATCATTTGTAGATAGACTGCACATGAGTTGATAGTATATTTAAATCAAAATACAATCAGATAAAAGAAGGGCCCTGGTGCATTTACATGGTTCAATGTTAGGAATTGAATTGCTTTCAAGGTTGGAAGGAGGACCATCCAACGTTGACCCAGGTGCCCAGGTGGGGCTGGCAGGTATGTATTGGAGGTACATAGTAGTAGACATACTCTACTAGTATAGCAGGTGTATTGTGTAATTGTGTACCTCAGCTATTCATATCCTCAGCCCTAGATCACGTTCTCAGAAGATCCATATAATTTTGCTTCCAAGGGTTATTTACATAGAGTATGTATTTGTCCTGACCTTGGAAATATCCCATTAATATCTTCCATCAAATAAGCCGACAAAAGACCGCCCTATCTTTCAATGTATACAGGAACGCCTTTGAACAAACGCCCATCCTACAACGTCCAAAAATGTCTCTCACGGGGACGGTAAGAATCAAGTATAATATCCTCTAACACCAGATAAAGCCCAAAGGGGGGGTATCTGCATATGCAAAGCCAAGGCCCGCCTCGTTTAGATAAACACAAATAGATAAGAGAGATGAAAGAAAAGAAATAAAAGAATGGAAACGAATGGAATGAAAGATAATGAAAAGAAAAGAAAAGAAAAAAATTTACCCAGAAAAAAGGCCCAGAGAGAGGTGAATGAGAACAGAAAGAGAGAAAACTCATGCAATAGAGTCGAATTCCTCGCGTTCGCGAAGTCGGTTGCGAGCGAGAACATCACCTCCGCTGGCAGACAACTGCATCCAGTGCAGTGCCAGACACATGCTCTGCGGATCTGACTTAGAGTCCTTGCCACGTATATACATCATCTCGGCCTTGAAAGTATCTCGGGGACGAGTGAGCGGGAGTGTGACGCGAGGAAGGAGCTCGGGATGTGTGAGGTATAGGATGGCGAGTTCACGCTGAGCAACAGGGTTGCCTTCTTTGGCGGTGATAATCCACATGCCCGCTGCGTCTTCAATAGCATGACCAGGGCGTCGGTAGAAGTCTGCGCCTGGGAGAGGATGGCGTCGCATGAGCTCCTGGGAGACGATGCGGTCTGCGATTTCAACCATACTATGGCAGACTTCGTCCTTGAGGCTGAGAGCTGCAAGGCCGAATTGCAGGAAAGCGGTACCTCGGTCACTTTTGCTTAGTTGGTCGGCAGGGACAAATGCTGAAATGAATTGAAGGTCGCGGAAAAGCGTCTTGGGCTTTACTTCAAGGATCAAACTGCGGAGGGTAGCCACGATTTTGTCTTCGGATGGAGAGAAGAATGCCGATTGACGAGAACCACAGGTGACAGACTCTGGTGGAGATGAGACAGGAAGTCCCGTATCGGTCTGAGTCACCTTAGGCAGTTGAGGCTCGGAAAAGCTGTGACGCGAATCTCTCTGGCGCGGCCTGGGGCCATTACTTCGCCCCTTTTCAGCCTCGGTAGATAAATCCAGGTTGCCTTGGGTTGCAGTGTTTCCGTCTTGAGATGATATCAATGAGGCGACGACCAGCGACCGTAGGTCCCTCAGGGCATTTAATTTGACGAATGGGTTACCATGGCGCGAGAACACCTCGATCAATCGATGGAAGACTGATTTGTATGAAAAATCAGTGTGATCATCTTCCTGAGAGGGATCTCGATGGTCAGTAGGGGTATCGGATTTGGCAGTAGCACGCACGCGCAAGCCGGGGGCATCGAGAGACCTGCTCCGTCGACCCCCAGATGGCCTTCGTTTTTCACGAAGATGCTGAGACCGCTCGTCATAATCTGCGTAGAACTTATGCACTGCCGCCCGTCTTTGCATTTGCGTTCTAACACGGCGCTGATCAAGAATATTTGAGAACCAGGCATCTGTTTCGCTGCCACAGCTCCAGACTGGGGAGCCTAAGTCGCTCAGCAGAAGACTGGTGAGCGTTTGACGAAGTTCGTCCATGAAAAAAATTTTACCCTGAGTTTTACGCTCGGTACGACGAGGTTGTCGAGTCGCAGTTTCGCTGAACATGGAGGGAGGCCTGGAATATATGCTTGAGGAACTGGTGGCATATACAGGATGTCGTTGTGGACCAGACCAGAAGGTACTGAATGTATCGCCAGTCGAAGTGGACGCTGCCCGACCCGGAGATCCAGCGATTGAGCTAACGTCGGTGGAGGGCATATCTCGCTGAGGTCGCCATTTGTCTGAAACTAGGCTTTGAATGGAAGGCTTGCGACCGAGAGACGGAATTTCTTGGGACAATCTGGACATCGGGTCGGGAATAGCAAGACTAGATCCATACAGATGAGAGGTATGCATTGGATCTTCGCTTGTAGTGGTTGAAGGCCGAGGAGTAGTGGGCATAGACAGCCCAGGAAAAGAGCGAGTGCCAGAGCCTTCATACTTTGCCCGTTCCCTCTGAAACAGTTCACTGGCCCACAGCACTGGTGTCTCTGCCATAGTCTCACCCACGAGACGATTGATACTGGTCTGGACTTCATAGCAGAATCGATGGATTCTCTCCTCACCTTTACAGAAGTTTTCAATACCGTTGTGGGACAGCCATTTGCGAGTCAGTTCCACTTGCTCATCAGATAGCTTCTTAGGGCCACCCTGACTGCTTGGCGCCTTCATGATGTTCATCACCTGCAGCTCGGGCTTCTGGAACAAGGAGCCGCCCAGTGATCGGGCTGCACTGCGAGATCTTGACTCTTCAGGTGCATCCATCAAAGGTCGCGCAGACATTGTTTTGAGGGCCATGGCAACATGCCTGGCCTCTTCATACCGCATAGAATTTTTGACATCGGTCATGTACCACATCTTGTTTCGTACCTTGGAGATTGTGGTCATGAGGTCCTTCACTTGTGTTTGCAGCCGGCGCAAACTGTGATCTAAGGAAACAAAGTCTGTTTCGCAACGCTCGATGACGGCCCGCGATTTGTTTAAAGATCGGATGCATAAGCTATGCATCGGACCAACAATCCATGAATCATCTGCGATATCTAAAGATCTGGAAAGCCGCCCCTGTCGGAGCTGGCGTGACGCATTCCACCAATAGTGAGCTCCAACAAAGTCAGAGTCATTGGTAGTAAAAGTCATAGCTTGGGTGAATCGTTGCTTCAATGACATGGGGGCAAGTAGAGGGGATCTCATTGACAAATCATAGTCATCTGAGTCGGACAGGTGGTTCTCTTTGACTAAACGAATGATTGCAGTTTGCAACGCCTCGTGGTTCTCTTCAAGGCCAAGGTTCGTGGATTGGGTATCGTCATCACTCTCAACGGTAGATACTTTTAATGATCCAGGTTCACAGGCAGGAAGTATGCTCCAGGCAAGATCACAACCATCTTTGGAAACAGAAAAGCTTGTCCAGTGCTCATCGGACGGATGCTCCAATTTGGAGCGCTCGCTGGGTTCATCGAGATCGGTCAACTCGAACCGGATCCGAGCGGCAGTCTGAGCAAGACCACCCTCAGGAGCAGAGACTATAGATGATTCCAGTGAGAATGAGGATCCACTTTGTGACGAAGGCCGGGGGCTTGTATCATAGCTCGGGCGCAAGAAGCCAGGTTCAACAAACGGTTCAGGGCGAGTTTTATATATAGGCGAAAGACTGGAAGACCAGGGTGGAATACCGGTAGCCGGGCTAGAATGAAGGGAAGAAAATGATTGTGGGAAAAGGGCGTCTAAGAGAGTGAGCACGTCGGTCGCGGACAGCAAGAGGAAAGCCGATGAGGAGTTGCGGCGGCTTAGATCGGGTGCTGAAGATGAAGACAGTTCGATTGTGGAATTCTTGGGCGTGTCTGTACTTCCGAATTTCTCAAGCATATTAATCACATGCTCTTTGATGGAAGGCCGCAAGACAGAGAAATGGTGCCTTCAGTGAAGTCAGCACGGTGAGTCAATCTGTATTTTTACTAATGGCATGCAAGCCCGAGCCGAGAAAACTCACATGGAGCGCAACACGGCAAAAACTTGAGAATACGCTCGCATGCCGACTTGGGTGAGTAATTTTTCGCGCGCATCTTTTCGAATATGAAAATCGAGCAATAAGCCATGTGTCTAAAAAGGCGCAGGGTTAGCAGTTATCCACTATGAAGCAAAAATAAATCATACCTCAGGATAAGTCAAAGCACCGTAAAGGAACTTGGGGAAGAACCATTGGAGGAACAGGTACTCCAAGAAGCGGCTGCGAGTGTCAGGGTTATCGATTTTCCTGAGAACTGCCTTGGTAAACTGGAGAACTGCACGGGGAAAACCACCATCTGGATCGTCAAGCACACGAAAGAGGTCATTAACAGCAGAAGCAAAGAACTCCTCTGCAACGTCGGTTCTCAAGGGATCCAAAGCCTCGGGAGAGGTGTCAGTATGTTCCAAGAGAAAGGCTCCGGTTTGTAAGATATCCATAAGGTAAAGCTCAAATTTGGGACGGGCCTTCCAGTTACTGCCAGTGGCCCAAGCAGAAAGAATTTGGTTGATCAGGGGGTAAAATCTATTGCTTCCATGGGATATTAGTTGAGCACAGACAGACGACCAGACATCCACGCGCAGCCGGGCTTCCGATGCATCGGGCTCCAAGGGTGCGGCATAAACGTTAAAAAGCAAGATGGATAGCGAATCGGTTCTTTCAAAAGCATACGCATGGTCCTTGAATGGAGCAAACTGGGCCGGGGTTCGATTATAGGAATACTGGGCCCGATGGCGGGAAGCAGTAGGAAAAGCCGGATCGCCGCTGTCCAATGCGGTTGCTGACGCAGTAAGTGCAGCCAGCTGGGCTGAGGTGAGACTGCGTAAACGGTCGACCAAGAACTGTGAGTCAGAGCGCACCAGTCGCAAAATCTTCAGCAAGTCCACCCGGGACTGGGGGCTTAACTGATGAAAGAAATCCGAGGAATGGTCCAAATCGGCATCCGGGGAAAGTTCACGATCGTCCGGGGAGTCATGGGAATCCTCTAGTCGGGCGCTGGTAACACAGGATTCCTGGAGATCATAGAGCATATGATATAGGGCAATGAAATTGGCCTTGTCATCATGTTTCAGAGCTTCAACGAGGCCGCGCTGAACAGTATTTCCAATGCGGATCATGCGCGCAGAAACTCCGATAGAAACCTTGGTCGCACGCAAACGTTGTTCTAGTCGCTTCCTTTGGGCTTGTTTCCTCTGGCTTTGGCGATACCGGGTGGCAAAATCCTCCAAGGATATTTGGGGAACATCTTCCTTGGGCTTCGCGGGAATTGCCGGTACGGGAATTGATGAATGTGAATCGCGTGGAGATTCAGATTCAAATACAGGTTCGATATCGGTCATCAACTTCCTGGGACTGGAACGGGCCGAACCATCCAACTCACCTAGCCCCACGTTTAGTTCCGCCTCGGGAGTAGGCGATAACACGGGGGACATGGTCGCAGAGGGCGACGCTGGAGGAGAAGGAGGGAGAGGCACCGATGCGGGATCAGCGCATAACGACAAATCACATGGTGGATCAGTCTGGAGAACGGGAATCCGCAGTGCTGCAAGTCGGGGGTTAGATTGGGACCAAATCAGGCACCGAAAGGCAGATAGCAGATAAAACAGTGGGGTTTTGTTGGTTGGTTGGTTGATTTGATCGTCCCTAACCTTTACCCCAACAAATCATAAAGCGAGAGGGGGAAAAAAAAGAGACGCACTGATTTGAGAAGCTAGCGAGAACGGTATATTATCCTCCGGGTGGTCCACCATCTTGTCCGGACTCGCGCCAGAGGGTGGAGTGCACAGTCGCTCGATGCCCCTGGCCACAGCGGGCGGATCCTTATCGCATGGCTCTATCGCGGGGCAAGGAGCCGGGCGGTGTTCAGAGGGACCACACACCCGGTCGAAGGGGAGAGCGAAATACGAAAAGTGGTCCAGGATGGAAGATAGGAATAAACCAAGGGTGGAGGAGGGGAAAGGGAGAGAGGAAGGGGAGAATAGTAATTTCAAATGAGGGGTTAGAAGATAGAAGGAAGGAAAGTTTCAAAGAATGGTATAAAATTCCAAAAGTGTTATTATTCAAGAGACAACGCGAGAAAGAAGAGATCGCGACTCGAAACGGTCAGTTGCAGCAGACGATTTGTCTCGGAGTTCAAGTTAGTCAAGTATGAAGTACTTGGTCAGTTTACTAGACCAGTACTAGGCGAGCAAGTGTACAGTGCAGCAAGGGGCAACTGCAGAAGTACATTGGTCGCAAGTACCGAGTACACGGACAACGATGCGTTGGCACTGCATGCAGGAGTGAGGTGGGCAGCCTTAAAGCTGCACGTTGATTCGCTCGTCGCCCTCCTTGCCAGTTCTGCGGAGTCAGCGTCTGCTGTCCGGGCATGGATCGAAGTGTGACCAATCGTAAGAGTGGAAAATCTTGCTCTTTTGTCTGCGTTTCGTGACTTTTCCTCAGGTCGAGGGTTTGTTGTGTTGTTGGTGGGGGAAAAGTTCAGGGGGGGGGGGCCAATATTCTTACAACCGGGATCCATCACTTTTCAGCTTGCTATGGTCATTAATGGAGATAAAAATCAAGCCTCTCATTTGCTAATATGTGGATATACATACTCTGCAGTAGCCCTGGAGTAGGTGCTACGTGCAGAATGACTCTGATTCTACTGCAGTAAAACTAAAAAAGACGGATCATCCTACCTCGTCATTGGTCCCCCATACAAAGTAGCCACGGTATATCTGTGATCAGACCAGCGCAGAACACCGGGAAAACCCACCTCCGATGCAGGCAAGATGTTTAGTCTCCGAAAGCAAAGAAGAAAAGAAGGAGAGAGAGAAAAGAAAAGAAAAAAAAGCAAACTAGTAGGCTAATTATATGGAAAGGAGAAAAAAAAAATATCCCCGAATCATGGGGATTTTCACTTGATGCTGAGTAAGAAGTATAGAAGATGACAAAAAATGCTTCAGAAAGGTCATTACCCAGAAAACGCCAAGTCATAAGAGATGGTTGTACAAAAGACATAACACCTAATCGTGCATAACAAGATCATCGACAAACCCACTTCTTGTCTACCTCCTTTTGGCCCACGCGGGCCGCAACTTGGTCCAGCGTGGCCTTCAAGGTGTCTTTTGAGACCTTGGGGAATCTACATGCGTCGGATTAGTATGAAGAAGCCCCGAGAAGAGAGGAAATATCCGACATTAATGGTGGAAGGGACATACCGCTTTTTAAGTATCTCAACAAGTCCAATCTTACTCAAGTCGCTTCCCTCGACTGCCTCTTTGAACTCCGATAATTGTTCGGGTGGGAATGGGCGTTTGGCCTTGAACGTTGGTGGCGGGGGCAGCGCACTGGCAGGCACAGCTGCATCAGTACTGGTTGGCACCCGGAACACGTCAAGAGAGCCACTCGTCGGCTTCTGGGTCACCCGCGCCTTGGTCACCTGGTCGGCTGCCCGGGGCTTTTGCCAATATGCAGTAGAAAATGGATCAATCGGAAACTTGACAGCATCCGAAATTACTTCCATCTTGTAGCCTTTCAGTTCCTCATCAACACCGTCCGTCGCCCACCGAATCCCAGTATTATTGGGTTCAAGATCACCAACAATCAAGCGCCGCTTATTCTCTTTCAATGCATCATCCTCGTCATCTAAAAATTCGTCCATATCATCCTCGCCTTCATCACTGGCTTCTTCTTCCTCTTCAGAATCCAAATCTTCTCCCTCTTCCGGTTCTTCCCATTCGGCCTCCGAATCATAATCATAGTTGGTTTCAGGTAGATCACGACGGTAAGGGTTGCGAGAGACCTTGTATGCCGAATCCCGCGGCACTGCTCGTGTGAATGTACCCTGATAGGCCGGTCGAACATCCTCGCCGAACTTCAGCGACTTCATGGGTATGCGGCTTAGGTTAGATTTCGCTGATTTTGATGCAAGATGCGGTTGATTGGCCACATCGTCATAAGAATGTAATAACTGTAGGATGTCTTTGACGGACTGAGCTTGACGACCACATCTCCTTTGGTATGGGATAATGTTGAAGACTTCGGAAGGACGAAAGGGCGGGAGGTCTTGCGCGCTGCCGCCAGGGTTCAAAGAACTGTCAATTGTGGATCGAACATGGGCCAATGCATCTGCATCTCGCTCGAAGCGATGCGGAGGTGCAAGAATCGTGTGTGACTGCAAGAAAAAATCTGGAAACGCCTTTGCGTAGTCTGATTGGGTAGCCTGAGAAGTGGAAATGGCATCATTATGGAGAGCGGCTGCCTTTGGTTCTGAAGTCTTCTTTGCTGGCGAGGCGGGGACTTGAGGCTTCGCAAAGAACGAATTGAGTTTAGGTTGAGCCTGGTGTTCATGTTAGTGTTTGTATGCCGGATCACAGAGTCATACTAAAGCATACCCTCTCTTTCTTGAGCTTAGCCTCCTCCTTTTGTCGTTTTTCATTCTCTTTAGCTTCATCCTTTCGGCGTCTTTCGTCCTCTCTAGCTTCCTTCGCCTTCTTCTTTTCCTCTTTTAGTTCAGCTTCCTTCTTCTTCTTTTCCTCTTTTTGCTCCGTCTCTCGCTTCTTCTTCTCCTCTTTTTGTTCCGCCTCTTGCTTATCCTTGATACGCTTCTCCTCGTCCTTTAGACGCTTCTCCTCGTCCTTCAGACGCTTCTCTTCATCCTTCTTGGCTTTTTCTTCCAATCTTTGTTTCTCTTTAGCCTCCTTACTAGCTGGTGACAGCTTGCGCTTCTTAGCAGGTATGAGGTCAGACTTGACAGGAGATCCTTGGTTTGAGTCTCCAACAGTATTAGATGGAACGAGCGTAGTCTCAACGGTTCTAGCAACGGGCGATTGATCGGCAGTTCTGGCAGGGATGACGACCTGCGGCACTGGACGAATGGAAGCAGAGACATTGCCCTCTTGTAATGAATGTGAGTCCTTTTGCAGCGTCAATGCAGGGTCGTCGTTTTCTTGGTTGTTCTCCGTGAAGGTAGTTAACGCCCGCTTGGGCCCAACGGATGGAAGAGTCACGCCATCGACTTCGTGGATCGATCGTTTCCGGGGACTTGAGGCGGCCGATGTGAAGGACGGGGGTGGTAAGGGCGAAAGACTTGCTTTCGGTGAGGTTTCCATCTCAATGATGGATCGTGTGACCCTGGGATTTATTCGACCAATTGCTACCCCTGATAACGATAGATAAGAAGTTTGGGCGGAGCCTTTAATGTCACCAGGCTGAATGGCCAGGTGTAAAGAAAGCTTGAAGGAGTGTATGTCGTCTTTTGTGGGATGTGGTGCTCGTCTCGAAAGGGCAAGTGGACTGGCGGGTTAACAACGAACGCGTTTCAATCAACTCGCGTTCGCGTCCGATAAGGCACGTGTATGCTTATGTAACAAATTGTGCCCAACATCGATTTGATGGTTGTTCGAGGTATTCCAGAGCAAGATTATTCTTTCTATATTGGTATTAAAAAAGAATGGAGGTATTTGGTCTTCTCATGGCATCATGTTTTCAAGTCAGACGTATGGAGGTCTTGGTAAGGTAAGATATCTTGGAGAGATCGAAGCCCTCAATGACGTCGTTACTACTATTACGGTCAACAATTGAGAGTGAAGGCATGATAAGAATATTAAAGTTAGAATTAATATCTCGGATCATATTGGAGCTATAAGAAATAACAAGAGCCGGAGGGAATAACCGGATGCAATGGTAAATGGGACAAGTAGACAAGGCAAGCAGCCAGTCTTTCCGCACTTCCCTTATATTTGCCAGCACGAAGAATTTGGAGTTGCAGGCAACACGGGAAACGAAGATACGGTGATATCGACAGGGGTTGCAACACTTGCAGCAAGCCATCAAGGCCTGCTGAGTGCAGCTAGACAGCAAGTGTCAAGGCGGGGAGATATTATGTGCAGCGTTGCAGACAGTAGTAAAAAAAAAAAAGAGAGAGAGAGATAGAGAGAGAGAGATAGAAGGTAACTTCCAACAGTTGGAGGTCATCACAGATAACAAGTGGGAGGGAAAGGGCAAGGGAAAGGGAAAGGAAATAGCAACCAGATTAAATAAGACGCTGCGTAATGGGCAAAAAAGAAGGTCCCAGGCATCCTAATCACTGAGATCAGGGTTGGCAACGAAGAGTCGCACGTTGGTCATAGAAGTAGTACGCTCATCGACACTACCTCGTCGCCGTAACTCATCGGCCTTGTGGATCTTTTGGGTTGATGCAACAACTGCACTAGGAGCCTCCATATCACCAACCATGTCTTCCTGTTCGCTGCTATGTGTTGTTGCAGCATCATCCTTGACAAGTGAAGACAATCGGCTCTTCTGTTCCTCATGAATCTCGGCAGGGGTGTTTTCGGAAACATCAGGCAAATCAGTCTTCTCATTAGGAGGTGTACTATTGCTTCCCATAGTGCCCTGCTGTCGCTGGTATCCACTCGGGTACCGATTGCTTCCAAGAGAGCTGCGGCCACTGCCAGTCCTGCGGTGAACGACACCACCCTCACTGCTGTGGGCATCCTCATCGGCGTCGCCAATCTCGTTCGCACTGAGTCTGACAGGGACCTTGGCGCTCACCAGGTTGGATGGGGAGAAATCGAGTCCCGCTTTGCCTCCGTGTCGGATCTTCCCACTCGAACCGCCTGAACGACCGGCGCCTGCGCCATGGACTTCAAGATATGCTCTCTTCTTGTCCCGCAACGCCGCCTCACGCATTCTAGCATCTTCTGATTGCGCTCGATCACACCATACGGTCGCTTTCTGCCGCCTCATCAGAGCCACGTAGCCTAGCTGCGAGCTTGCCGAGCGGTTGGAGGCACTCCGCCGAATATTTGGGTCTGAGTGTGGCATATGGTTTCCGGTTGAGTTGGTCGACGTAGTAGTGCTGGAAAGCCGCCGTGAAGGTGGGTATCCGGGCGGAGGCATGGCATGGTGTGGCATGGTGTGTGATGCCTGCTGCTGCTGATAGTGATGGTTGGACACTGATCCATAAGGAAGTACGTTGGAGGATGTAGTGCGAGTGCGACTGTGTGTGGTTGAGGGCACGGCTGAGTGAGGCGCAAGATTTCTAGGGGCGTCGTAGGGCTGGTAAGGAAAACCATGTTGGGGGTTGTGTAAAGGTTTCCGGGCAGGGGGACCCTGGTGCATGGGCATTCGAAATTCGGTCATGTTGGGCGGATGCTTCACGAAGCAAACCTTTTCACTCTGTACCAAACTTGGGGGAGAGAATTCAGTCTGTTTCACCCAGTCGTAGGAAAATCCTGTGGCGGGGGGATTCTGGGAGGGGGGTTAGGGTGAACAGAGTCGTTGCGCAGGCCACTTTCAGGCAGGAAGACGTGCTCTGGGCCCTTCGATGCGCGCGGCTGACGGGTCAAGCAATCTGCGGGTTTCAGCACCCACTTGCAGTATGTGCGGCCACACACTATCCGGCTCGTTGGGGGTCGATGAGTAACCAGCGGGGGCTGGTGATTGACGCTTTCAAGACTCCCAGGGTGCTAAACAACCAAAAAACCTCCAATGGCCAGAAAAGAATGGAAAGTGTTACAGGTAGGAGAGTTGAAAGAGTTTGGGGGGGTGGTGTGGATCGGGTTGGGAAGGCGCACACGCGGCCAAGTTCGTCTAGTACCCAATTGGTACCTGGGCGTATAGAGGTGACCGAGAGAATTTATGGCCTTTGCTGAGGTGAAATAAATTGTCGCAAGCACGAGAGCTCACTTGTTGGAGCTTTTGTATAAGGGGAAGATGAGAGGAGTAGGGGGAGGGGGAAAGCAAAGAGACTTTGGCTGGTTCCATCAAGTAATGTGATTGGACGATACGGCGGAACACGACGGGCTTGAAGTACTCGCGCAGCCAAAGTTGGCTAGTGGAGTACTTAGTACGATACGCTAAGCCACTGAGGCTGGTACAAAAGTCAAAATTACACGGTTTTTGCCAGGTTTTACAGATTACCAAGATTTCAAGATTTTCAAGGTTTCATTGCTTTTTTCCCTTATTTCTCTCTCTCTATCTTTTTTTTTTTTTTTTTCTCATGGAAACGTTTCATTCACTTGACGCCTTATTGTAACCGTAACTTTTTTGTCTCTCTGACTTGTATCTGACAACGTTGGAAAGCCAATCTGACACTACTTAGAAACTTAGCCTACTGGCTGGAGGGGAGGGCAAAAAAGCAATATGCACTACTTTCGTCCAACTATTGCGCGTTGGCATAATCCTACTAACCCGATGTTCCCTAGCGGTTCCTGTTCTACCATCGTAAGCTGATCCCGACTCTCGGTAGAACCGGTTTCCAACCACCTAACGGGAAATTGCTACCAAAAGCTTGCCAGGACCCAGCACAGTAATAAATTATAGATTCGCTTCCCGACGAGACCGCGAATGAGTGAAAGCAACATGGCCATACTCGCGATACCCTGCGTTATGCTCCCGAAGTACGATCGCTCGCTGTCGGAAGTGCTTCGTATGATGATACGAGTCATGAACCTGGATGCTTTCCCACCCCACGTAGACGATATAGGCAAGGTTCCCCTCGACTGGCTCCACCATCCACCCACCTGTCACCCCCAAGCATCCAGGCACCGTGGAGACAATACTCGTCCACAGCGCCCACGTTTTCTCCCATCCCGTGGGGTCAGGGGTCAAATAAATCGCGGTCCCGCTTACGGGAGCCCCGTGCCCTAAGCTCTTAGGCTTTGGCGTGAACTCGGAGATCATAGCATGGCGCACGGTCAATTCCGTGGCGCTGGAGACACCGAGTGAAACCAGGTTTTTGATAATCTGCTGCCAATCAGGCGATGCGAGGAGGGCGTAGTGTTGGTGTAAACTGTCTCGGGCTATCTTTGATGGTTAGTTTCTTGTTCGGGTAATCGGGTTTTTATCTCCGTCGTAGTAACTCCTACCGACGTGGAGGTGCACTTGTCCTTCCTCGACATGGCGGCCCCAATACAGCCGAGTGAAGCCTGTCCAACTTTCCAGAATATTTAAAATCCGGTTCCATATCTGACCTTCCTTTGTAGAAAGGTTGTCGATCTGAAATGTCTCCGCGATAGGAAGGACGATCATCTGGGTGGGGACTGCCGAGCGCACCATGCTGAAGAGTCAGGACTTTATTCTTATCACTTATCAGTACTGGATTGGGGGGAAAGAGATTAAAGTGATGGATTCCTGTGGGTTTTTTTGCCAAAGTCGTGTTATCAAGCTTTCCTTTTATATTAAGATTGAATTACCGATGTCAGACAAAGTTGCCGAGGACCGATGTCCGCGGGTTGATCAATGCGGCCAGTTGACATGGATAATGCGGGGTATATGAGGTTCACATATGATATCTGTATGTTTTCAATGTTGCTTGGCATGAGGGTAATACAAAATAAATTGCTATCAATTGATAATACCTACTAATTTTCACAGCGGTTGGGTTGTGCTACGGTATACATAGTCAACTGGTATATCGAGCTTGATAGGGCTGTAATTTACAAGATACGAGCTGCGCCACATTTCGCGTGGGCAAAGTGGTACTCGGTGGAGCCGGAATTGGAAATCTGTTAGTCGTGACGTCAATATGTTTCAGCACTTCCACAATTCCATTGCAATTGAGATCAAAACTGAAGGAACGTTCCTGGTGACGCATTGAGTAAGAAGGGCTCAGGTACAATTGGCCGCCGTACGCCATGAAACCAATGAATGGTGATCCCTTCCGCATTAAGCAACCAAAACATATCTTGAGAGAGAAAAAAAAAATTTCAAAAAATTAAATATTCAAGTGCTCAAGTGCTGTCACTAGATGAGAAGGGAAAGGGGAAAGAAGTTCAAGAAACCAAGATGCCAAGAGTTACTGTAAAGAATGGACATTTTATGCAGTACTTTCCATATCCAAATCTATACATGCAAAATCGCCCCAGTCAAAGGATCTCCCGTTCATGCGGATCATGTCTCACAACTTAGCCTTGCCCTCCACAGAAACAATCGCGCCATCCTTCCGAACCAGGAAATCCCTGTTCGGCTCCCATCCCATCCATGCCCGAAGAGTCTCCTCCCCACCATCCCCAGACACAAGCCCCCCACCACCCCAACCGCCCTGATCAGCCGTAAACGGATACGCCGGCGTCCGCGTCAAATGCACAGCAGCCCGCTGCTCATACCCCGCCTCCTCCAGCTCCCCCTGCTCCAAAACAGGCGTCGCACAAGCATCCGTGCCATCAAAAACACCCTCCCATTCTTTCCTCGTCTTCTCCCTAAACCGGCTGGTAAATAACGCCCGTAGAGCGGGCCAATTGGCGCGGTCTTCGCGCGCAGGGACCGTACTCGCATCAAGCCCCAACCCACGTAGCAACGCCTTATAAAACTGCGGCTCCAGCGCCCCAACAGCAAAATACTTGCCGGCATCCTTCGTCTCGTACGTATCGTAGTACGGACAGCCGCCGTCCAGCAGGTTTTCTCCACGCGGGCCGTCCCACGCGGGTGTTTGGCGCGCAAGGCGCGGGAAGGTCGCGAGGTACGCTGAGCCATCTACCATGTTTGCTTCGACGACTTGGCCGCGGCCGGTGGTTGTGCGGGCTATCAGGGCGAGCAGGATGCCCAGGAAACACATTGCGCCGCCGCCGGCAAAGTCGCCGAGGATGTTGCCTGGTGCGAAGGGTTTGTCTCCGCTGCGGCCTAGCATTGATAGGACGCCTGAGACGGCAATGTAGTTTATGTCGTGGCCGGCCATGTCCTTGTATTTGCCGTCGCGTCGAAATCCGGTCATGCGTGCGACGATGAGACGTGGGTTGTGTTTTAGGAGGACTTCGGTTGGGGAGAGGTCTAGTCGTTCGAGAACGCCGGGGCGGAAGGGGTCGATTAGCACGTCGGCGGCCGTGAGGAGGCTGAGGAGGACATCGCGGGATTTGGGGTCTTGGAGGTCGAGGGCAATAGATGATTTGTGGCGGGTGAGCTGGTCGCCGCTGACTGATTTGGGTCGGTCGATGCGAAGAATTGAGGCACCATAGTCGGCGAGTAGTAGACCGGCGAAGGGCCCTTGGAGGTAGTTAGAGATGGACTTTTTCTTTCAAAACGGGTTGGACGTTGGGGAAATACCTGGCGCGAGACCCGCTAGCTCAATCACTCGAACACCCTTTAGAGGTGGTGCAGACATTCTAAATGGTAGGTACTAGAGAGTAAAAGCCCTTTGGGGGAATAGTAAAGCTCTTAATAATGTAGATCATTACTATTAGTTCCCCGCAGCCGAGGTCCGCTGGGTAATGCGGGGAACCGAACCATCGATGTATACAGCCTATTTACGCCACTTTCATATGCCTTTAAATTTTCATTAAATACTTAGCAGTTAGGAGTGAGACTGGTATCTTGTGGATGACATACAGCAAAAATTAATCCTTCAAAGCTACTAAGCGAGTATAAACACATTCGATCAATCATTTGGTTTGGAATTATAAGAAACTAAATAAGACATAACTAGATGAATGGGTTATACCTTGGCAATCCGCTAGGCAAGCTCTTCACCCCTTTGCAAAGTTTACCTGACAGCTAGGCTTAGGTCATTATTATTCTCAATTTCTCAAGAGACAGCCTCCAAGGCAGGCTCAGTTTCGACCTGCTTGTACTCCGAGTTCGTCTTCTCAGATTCGACAGACTCTCCCTCTCCCGCGCCAAGGAGAGCATACAACCCAATCTCCTGCTCAATACGCACTCGAAGTTCCTCGTCGCTCGCTGCAAAGCTCGTTGCTCCAAAGATCTCGTCCATCTCTTCAAGCGTGCGACCACGGGTTTCGGGGACAAAGAAGTATACATACAAAGCACCAATAGTAGTGACCAGTCCAAAGAAGATAAAAGCCCCATAAGAGGTCTTGGAAATAAATTTGGAGGTCGAGATAGCGACCGCGAAATTATTGAGCTGCAGTATTGATAGATTAGCCATGATCCATCGAAGAGGTTCTGAACAGGATTTCTGAAAAGGAACATTAAAAGAAGCAACTTACCCAGTTGGAACTTCCACCGACGGACACACCCTTCGCACGCATGCTCAGAGGGAAGACTTCTGATACGACAATCCAGGCACACGGTCCTAAAGATCCATATTAGCACTCGCTACACACACAAGCCATGAAACCCATCCACACATACCCCAGGAGTAGGCGAAGTTGATGACATAGATCCACACAAAGACAACAGCCACCCAACCAGCTGCGCGGTTTTCATTCCAGCGCCCCGTATAGCTTGCAATAATACCGGCAACAATGAAATGACAGACAGCCATACCAATGGCGCCGGTGATGAGGATCTTTTTGCGACCAATTTTGTCAACCAATAGTACAGCAGGAATGGTGGCGAGGAATTCAACAACGCCCACAACTCCTGTTGCGAGCAGACTTTCAGAATTACCAGTGAATCCCATGTCTTCGAAAATAAAGGGCCTGGAATGAAAACTTCATATTAGAAAGGTACTTAGAATGTCATAGTATGGGTTATGCTTACGCGTAGTAGTTGATCGCATTGATACCATTCCATTGTTGGAAGGTCATGACCAGACACTAATGAAATATTCACGTTAGCTTATGGCTTCAAGGACCTTGAAAGTAAGGGTGTATATGTGAGGGAGCCTTACAGCAACCGAAAGCCTTTTGAACAGCGACTTGTTGGTGATCAGGGACTTATAATCAGTCAGGGCGATCATGAAATTGCTTTTAGTAGACCCATCCTGCCACTGAGGATACTTTCGAGCGGATGTCTCTTTTTCAAACATGTGAAGAGCCTTGATCTCCAAGAACTCAACACGGACTGTAAGATCATCCTGCGAGCAGCTGCGAAGACGAGCCAAAGTGGCCAAGCACTCTTCTTCCCGACCTTTATTCATCAGATGACGAGGAGACTGGGGCATAAAAAGGAGCATTCCTGCTGCGAGAACCAAAGCAGGCAATATCTGGATGCAGATGGGGATCAAATATGATGCACTAGACTGTCCCTCGCCGGTGCCACCAATGAAGTTGGTACCGTAACCGAGCTTGAAGCTTATCAGCGCAGTACAAAGAGACGTGGAGATATACAGAGCTTACCCAGAAGCTAACCATGATTCCGAATGTGATGGACAATTGCTGGATTGCAACAAGCGAACCACGGATCTCGGGTGGAGCCTATAGGAATCAGAGTTAGCAGAGAATGACAGGCGAAGTATTGGGAATTTTCGTACAAGTTCAGCGTTGTACAATGGCACAACCATACTCAAGCTACCGATTCCCAATCCAGTGACAAAACGACCGCCGAAAATGTAGTTTTTGTTCTCGACGCATGCTTGTACGATTACACCAACCACAAACACTGCAACAGCAATACACACTGTGGCTCGACGACCGGCAGCATCTGCAAGGTAACCGTTGAAAAGGGTACCGACCCAAGCACCTAGCTCTAGGACTGATGTCAATAGACCTTGTCCAGTACCAGTTGTAGCAGCATATCCTTGGGTCTAGAAGAAGCCAGGTTCATTTGTTAGCAATGTTTTATGAAAGCAAGGCATAAAGGAGAGGAACAATATGAAAGCAAAAGAAGAGAATTCGGTACTTGCTTTGTTGATAAAAGAAGTCATGGTCAAAACCTGGGCAAACATTCCTTGGTTGTCTATTGACTTGTCAGTATTCTAAGCAACATCGAGCTTATAAACTTCATGTATAACATACACCCATAAACAAGACCACCCAGAGAAGCAAATAAGCCAATCGAAAAGGTCTTCTTATTGCTAATTAGACCCTTTAGCCCCGAGGGACCGGCAATAGCAGCACGCTTTTCGGACAAGTTGGTTGTTGGCGGTACAGCCTTCAAGGCTTCCACCACTGGAGCCGAGCCAGTGCCATCCATGATGAGATTCCAATACAAGACCTCAAAATAAAGGAGATTCAATGGATTCTAGCCAGGTAGGAGTACAAACCAAGTGGGGAATGCAATGGAAATGAGGTACGGAGCATATTCAAACCCCGGGATCAATCCCTCTTATACCGTTTTTTACTATTGGCTTTCACTGTCAAACGAGAATGGAACCGTTGGTCCCAACGGGCCACGAGGCACTCACTCTGACCACTCCCCGGCCGAGTTAGCCGGACGTGTACATCAAGTCGGAAATCCTGTACCACGACTCACAGCTGCACCGGATCTGCTCTTGGGTGGGAACTGACCCAATGAGCGAATCATAGGAACACCTGTCGCAATAGTGCCCAAAAAAAGCTTAGCTCTTGGATCGGACAATCGCTTCTCATGCAAAGTTCCGTCCTGAACGTATTGCATATTGCATTCAGAGCTTCCTAGCCTTGGAACCCGAGACGCTCGATTTACCCAAGTGCATTCAAAACCGGTAAAAACTCGGCCTTGCGCCTCCTACGCATGTGGTCAAAGATATGGATTGGTGGCGGCACACTCTGTAAAGCTTGATAACGCCGTAGCCGTAAGCCCGTAGCCGTAGCGCCCATGGGAAGTTGATTTGTAAATTAGCCCGTACCATTAGATCCGAACTTCGGGCCCCCGTACCCTCAGACATCTCCCCACAAACCCTCGAACCCCGCGCAACCAAAAGTGAAATAAAGGGGAACATGGCACGCTAGGTTCCTGTTTTCACTTGACTAGCCCACGGTTGGAGCGAAAGGCCGACCGGAGTTATGAGATGACGCGTCCCCCACGCGAACAGACGGTTTTCCTGGACACACTTCATGTTTCTGGGGAGCGGCGGTTTGATGTGTGGGGGGCAATCGTGGAGAAGGTAACCAGTAAGACAAGCTCCCCACATTCTAGCGTGAAGCCGCGGGTTGAAATTGCAATGGAGCCCGAGTTGCGTGCGTTTGATTACTTCGGGGTTTTCTCTTTTTGAGAGCTGGCTTTGTGGAAGGATCGGGCTTTGGCCGTGTTTCTTTATCCCGATGCATGTTGGTATTGGATCGAATCATCCGAGAAAAGCTGGTCCGAGGGCCTCATCGCTATAACTTTATCCGGTGGGCATATGATTTAGGGGCCTGGGGGACGATCAAATTCGGCCTATGAATAAATATTGGAAACATCTTCTCTTTTGATTGGTTCTTCTGGGTGGAGACTCGAGAGGTCCACTTGGAGTATGGCACCACCAAGTGACCCAAGTCTAACTGCGCACTATTCAAGTGCTAACACACCAAACCTCTTTCTTGTCATATTTTTCAAGTAGCTTTTGTTGTATGTATGGTTGTACTTTTATCTTATTAATTTTGTCTGCACGTTCAAGAATTCCCAAATGTTTCCTACAGTAATGATTACCGGGGTCCGACGTCTTCTTCTTCCTCATGCACGGTCGTACCTACTACTTTCATACCAAGAGTTTTATTATTACCACTTCAATGGTGGTCTTGGATAGGCGTCTTATTCTTCTCCACCGTCTCCCTGTAATTCAAAATTCTGAAAACATTATGTCGGTGGGTATCAGACCAATAAGCCCCAAAGATATCACGGAATCGTGCCACATAATCAAAACCGGCAAGTTGTAGAGTCGAAAAAAGGTCCTGAGTCCAAAGAAAGCGAGCCTGGTCTCTAGAGTGCGAATATACCCGGGACGCCTGGATGGCAACCAGCAACCCATGATGAAGCCCCGATGGGCTCATATCAACTTGACCAATGTATGGAAGACAGCGGATGCTCTTGCTGACATAAAACTCGGCAAGTTTATTTGCGCTTTCTTCAAGAGAGCGCTCACTCACTTGTTCCCGACTAGCCGTCTGCGCTTTAACCCTGCTCTGACAATAGCAAATGAGAGGATGAGTGAACGACAGTAAAAGCCAGAGAAGAATGCGTAGAGTAGCATCCTCAAGAGAGGAGAATCGATAAGCGGGACCAAAAAGGTCATCCGTTTGGGATACTCTCGTCTTCAATTCACCACATGCGTATACGGGAGGGTCTCCAGGGACACCGTGATTGATTCTGATATCAAGTTCTCGAGCCCCCATTTCGACATTCAGGGCGTCGTTCAATAGAGAATGGCAAGCTTCACGATCAGACGCGTCTGTAGTATCAACCGCGGCGGCGATACGTGATACTTCTGCTGAATATGAAACCAGTGTTTCCAGTATTCCATCTCCTTTGTGTTTTTTGTATGAGTCGATAGTATCTGCAGGAAGATGCATGAATGCTGCAAGTACTACGCTCAGAGCATGACTTTGGCCATATATTGTCGCCAGGATCTGACTTGTGGACTTGGTTGGGCGATAGCATTTCATAATGGCGCCCAACCCATCGAAATGAGTCAGCCATTCAGCAAGACTAGATGGGCAATAGTGAATCTGAGAAAATGCCGTTTTTCAGTCAAACTTCATTGTTGTATGAAACGATAGAGAGAAAAAAAACTTGGTCACTTACCTGGATTTGCTGGAAAATGAAACAAGTATAAATAAGATCATCGGTGTAACTCTTGCGACTAATTGCCTTTGACATCTTTTGGATTGCCTGGTTGTAGAGCTGGAGCCCATAGCGCAAGATCTGGTTATCATCATGAAGTTTTCCCAGGAAAACACATGACAATGCCGAAAATGCCTCTTCTAACATCTGGCTCTTCTGAGGGAGGCCAGCCATACGGGTTAGAATAAATTGCCTCTTATCAATATTGATATAGTGTTCGCCGCTGCCATAGCAAAAGGTAGCCAGATAGTATGAGCAAATCTGGTCACGTATCGCTAGGTTCAAAGTGACTGTTTGGATTATGCGGGGGTCACTCAAGGAACCTATAGCGTTGACGGCAGCCTTCTGTGTGAGAGATGGATCTCTCTGCAGTAAGCTAGATAAAAACAAAAGCAGACTATGCTTGTTTTCAGTGCCACTATCATGTGACATGGGATAATGTAATGCACGCTGATCATCTAAGATAGGCGGACGTAGTACGAGTGGTGTAGAAGGCGACACTGCTGACGGCTTTTTAGGCCTCCGACCGGCACTAGTATATCGGGCTTGAGCTTTGGACGCAACTTCCACGCTCTGGTCATAGACCCTGAGTGTATTGAGATCTCGATACCCGGAGCACTCTTGATCTACTCTCAAGCACTGTGAACAAGATGGCTGACGTCTATCGCACTGCATATTGTTGGCTTGTCGTTTTTTCAACATGTGCACGTATTCACTTACTTGTATCCGTCGCTTCCGGCATAGCTCACACCCCGTACTAAGCTTCCCTCTGTAGACCATGATGATGTCTGAAGGGAAATTCCTAGAAAGGAAACAAGTCCGTAGACGTGAATTTTTGTATTACGGGGGGGGGGCTCTGCCCTTGTGGAGAAGGAGGGGAATAGCTTCCGCGCTAGTTGCGAGAAAGGAAAGATGCTTTAAACTGGACAGTATTTCAAATAACTATAATTATGATAAAAGGGCCCAATAGCAACCACAGATTATTCCTACTTCCTGATTTGGAGGACAGATGGATGCACATGTGTGACAGAAAAACGAAGCACCTCGATTCTCCACATTAGCACACGTCATCTGCATCTGCAGTGCCCCTACAATTGGGAATAGTATAGAACTGCTGGAAATCTCGGGTATTTCAATGTTTCTGACACTGTTCGACCTTTGAATGAATATAGTTTTCGTAGTCTGATTCTCTGAAGTATAAGTATTGACCACCACTTTCTTAGCCTTGGTGGGTTTGACAAGCAGCACTTGAGATACATTGCTCTCAAGAGGCTCTCGGATCTCTGACCGAAGGCATTCACTTGAATATTGATTGGTCTAACTTTGCGCCTGAAATTTGGAATATTTCCTGTGGCTGCTCCTTCTTTGTACTCCGTATCGAATATGTCCACGGACCACGGGCAATCTCCACTAAAAGTGACCCACAGGGCCACGGATTGGCGAATGGGCTATCCCAGTCAGTTAACATAGCGCGTCGGTTTTAGATTCACCCGGAACAGGTCAAGTTTGTTTAAGATTTCGACCAACTGTACGGAAGACTGATGTACATGCTCCGTACATATTCAAGGTTTTGGTGGCAGCTCTCAAAGAAAAGAAAAAAAGCGGACAAGTCACCTGGGCAATATTTGAAATAGGAGGATTCAGGAATCAGGGCAGCAACGCAAGCACTATTAAGCTCCATTGGTAATTGGTCAGGTGTAAATGCAGCTGCATCCGTATTGAGGAAATAGGTTGTCACAAGTACTTGAGTACCTCCTCAGCTTCCGATTGATTCAGGAATCGGCATTTCGGGGCTGAAAGTGAGGCTCCCACACTAAGCCAATTTGGGTAAACAGTTCGGAACAAGAATACCGAGATATGTAAGCGACATTCACATTCAAACATTAACTGACTAACATCTGAAATGTTGAAAGGTCTTCGTTCGGCAATACATTACTCTGTTTAATGGAAATTCAGAGCGAGCGAATCAAATCATTTCATGTTTTGTGGACCTGTGCTACTGGATTAAGACTAGCGCCCTCAATTATACTACACGACCAACCCACTATGCTAAGTATCCTCGAGGCTGAAAAAGAGGCGAAGGAATGCTTTCTTTATCAACAGGGACCAAGGTCTCTCGAGGTCCCCAGAAGAGCCTTGAAGATGAGAATAGGGCAAGATGTCCGCATGTACCAGTTGATACATACCCACATATATCCATATTCAAAAAACATTTGAACACATGCATACTATACTATATATATGCGCATCTTGTATGTTATCAACACATATCCCACTCCAACCTTGAAATCTAGAATATCCCAAGGTTCAAAGGAACCATCCACACATTGATATTTCAACATCGAACTGGACATCTGAAGTCTCTGCATGCATCATGTGTGTGGGTGATTTTTATGCCACGGCTCTCTCTAGCCCTGGAGGTGTGCATTCGGTCCATGGATATCTCCCCAGGAATCTTCGAACATTTAGTGAGGTCGAGGTTTTATTTGGCCTACATGTTTTGAATCAATTGATCAAGTCTGGCTACGGTACACATGATAGCCCGCCCAGTACATATATGTATGCCAGTGCACATTCAATGTTGGCACCAGTTGACCTGGGCATGAGCATTTATGGCATACAAACCTTGCACATGTGGAAGATACTCTGATGCCACTTTGAGCACTTGAGCACATGCATACATACCTGTGGACTACTACATCCATAGTACCAATGTCAATAGACTCAACATTTGAAGGCCCATGCACGTGCTGGTGATCTTTGAAGTCTTCCGAATATTGAATGAACTATTCAAAGACCTTGGCAACCTTGATGTCCAGGCCTGAAAGGTTATACCCGTCAACTGGTCGCATGTGGGAAATGTTCCGAGGTTTTAAATTTCGCCCAGTCCAGTACAAATTGATAAGTGTCGAAGCTCGAATCTCCAAGTTGACAATGCGGCCTGAGAATTCATCGCTGATTTACAGTTAACTACATTTACGATACGTTCACTCCGCAAAGGTTTAGCTCAAGAGGACGGTTGACACGAATGATTTCGCGGGAGGTGAGAAAATATGTGGAGGGAAGAATCTGTCATTCTGTTTGTGTTACACAAACAAGTCACAGTGTACCCCCAAAAATGGCGGGTGCGTTCGTTCTTCCCAAACTTCATAGTATCTCCTACCAAACCGCGAGAACTGTGGTGTCACAATCCTCTCGATATCACGTCCTGGGCCCTGTGAATATCAACATTGAAGAAGCTGCGAAGAAATCTGCCCAACAGAGCAGTTTCAAGCTGGCCCGAGAGAGCAGATCCTGGTTGGAAATATGGAAGAAAAAAAGAATATTTTTCATTTGGCAAACATCGCAATGCGCCCGGTCTCAAAAACGTTGATCCAGAAAAATGGTAGATTGGGGCTCTTTTTTATGTAGAGTCCTTCAATATCAACACACCCGCGCCGTTATACCATCATTTATGAACCTAGACCCTCCCTCATACGTAAGAGATATCCCTTAAGCCTTGTTCTGGACGGCCTCACGACCCTTGGCGATGCGGGCAAGAAGGGCCTCACGGTCCTTGTCGATGTGCAGGTTGGTGATGACCAGGTTGGAGGCGGACAGACCGATGGGGACGGACTGGCCGTTGGTCTTCTCGCGGACGACACGCTCAACGTGGACGACGTACTTAAGACGGTAGACGGCGGTGATGCGGCCCTCACGGCCCTTCTGGGAACCACGGGCAATGGTGACAGTGTCGTTAATGCGGAGAGGAACAGCGCGGACCTGTAAAAAACAAGACTGTGTTAGATTTGGGTGGTTTTTTGCGTGTTGCATGCGATTGCCTTCGATCAAGCTGGCTGGCCCTTGAAAATTGTCGAATTGATGATTTTTTTTGCGAGGCCCTCCAACTCGACCAGGTCCTTCAATTCTCGGTGGGTGAACGTACGTTGTACTTCTTCTTCAGCTCGGCGGAGAGAGGAGCGGACATGCGAACGCGGCGCTCGCTGGAGGGGGCCTGGAAGTGAGCCTTGCGAGACTTGCTCCGGGAGGAGGCGAGACCTGTATTCATTTCGTTAGAATTGGGAATGGCGAGGATCGAATGGCGAAGGCGATAATGTACGCACCCTGGTTGCGAACAGTCATCTTGATGGCGTCGTGAATGGGCTCAAGGGAACGGGTTGTCGTTGGTCGTCGGGGAAGAAAGACTCGTTTTAGGAGCGTGAATATTGGAGGTGGATGTGGGTTGTGCGTCACATGATCTTCCGCTTGGGTTAGCCCTTGGAGCCCTGGGTTTGTCCAGTTTTCATTGGTGGGAGCGACAGACCCACTTCGGCTGCTTCACGTAATCAGTCCGAAAACACAAATTTGTTATCGATAACGAATTTCTCTCTTTATCTTATCAGCGGGAAAAAAATATTATTAGCCGGATCTCTGTGGTCCCTAACACTTGACTCTCTGGCACTTAGTACTGCATGTACTAAATACTATGCTATTTCTCCTTGCTCCAATCAGTTTGACAGCCATACAAAGAAACTGGTTCAAAGTTCTCTCAAAAAAGTTGACTACTGATTTAGTTTTTAGAATTGCAATGGGAAATAGAAGGTTGAATATTTGAACGTAATGAAATTTTGCTTGATCAAAGCATTTTTATGCTACAGTACAGAATTGTATATGAAAACTCGGATATCCCCGATGTCAAATGTCAAAGTAATAAAAGTTAAGGTAAATCACTCATGGTCCATGGGCATAGTCCAGTAAATCAGAGATCAGATGAAGAAATGAAGTTGAGAAATCGTAATGTGACATGGAAAAACAAAAAAAGCGAACTCCTGCATGGTGAATGGTAGTATTATGTATAGATATACATATCGCAATCTTAAATCAGAATAGCGGACAGGAGAACGGCGAAAGCGACGCCGAAGAAATTAACCATATCCGAGCGAGAACCAGCAGCATTGTATGCAGGGGAAGCGCCTTGAGGTGTGGCACTGGAGGTTCCCGAGCTACCAGAGACAGTGCTCGTGGCAGTAGGGTGGAAGACAAACGATGGAGTCTGGCTGTGAGTACGGATGGCTCCAACTCCAGTGACCAGAGCTGTGGAGGCCGGGTGACCAGACACCACACCGACGGACCCACTAGCCGGGGGTTGAGGCACGCCGCTAGGGCTAGAACCTTGGCCCTGTCCGGCGGACACACCCGAGCCCCATGTGGAGGTGACAGTCTCAACGGAAGCAGAGACAGTCGCTGGCAGAGTGGATGTGGATGTCACAAGAACGACCGAGGGAGTGCTGGTGACAATGGTACGTGTAACTGAGCCGGAAGTCTCAGTGGCGGTGACGGGGCACCAAGTGGTTGTCTCGTAGACCACAACAGTGGTAACAGACTCTCCAGATCCAACCGAAGTCGATCCAGCGCTCACACCGACAGGAGTGGTGGTAGCCACAGGGGTTGTGGTGACTGCTGGGAGAGTAGATGTGGATGTCACAAGAACAACTGAGGGGGTGCTGGTAACAACAGTGCGTGTGACTGAGCCAGAAGTCTCAGTGGCGGTAACGGGGCACCAAGTAGTAGTCTCATAGACAACAACAGTGGTCACAGACTCTCCAGATCCAACCGAAGTCGACCCAGCGCTCACACCGACAGGAGTGGTGGTAGCCGCAGGAATAGTAGAGGTGGTTGTCACAAGCACCGCAGAGGGAGTGCTGGTGACAATAGTACGGGTGACTGAGCCAGAGGTCTCAGTGGCAGTGACAGGGCACCAGGTGGTAGTCTCATAGACCACAACGGTAGTCACCGACTCTCCAGATCCAACTGAAGTCGATTCAGCACTCACACCAGTAGGGGTTGTGGAAACTGCTGGGATAGTGGATGTGGTTGTCACAAGCACTGCAGAGGGTGTGCTGGTGACAATAGTACGGGTGACTGAGCCAGAGGTCTCAGTGGCAGTGACGGGGCACCAAGTGGTGGTCTCATAGACCACAACAGTAGTCACAGACTCTCCAGATCCAGCCGGGGTAGTGGTAGCCACTGGGAGAGTGGATGTGGATGTCACAAGAACGACCGAGGGAGTGCTGGTAACAATAGTGCGTGTGACTGAGCCAGAAGTCTCAGTGGCGGTAACGGGGCACCAAGTAGTAGTCTCGTAAACAACAACAGTGGTCGCAGAGTCTCCAGAGCCAGCCGGAGTTGTGGCAATGTGCGATGCGGTGCCAGAAGAGGAGGCAACCGATGTAGAGGCCTTCAAGCTCGAGCTGGGAACACCGGTAGACTTTGACTGTGTAGGAACAGTGATAGGAGTACGCGAGGGAACAGCAGTACCGGTTTGGGTGGGCTTCGAGGAAGGAGACACGCTCGATTCGGGCAAAGTGCCAGACAGACCCGAAGAGGAAGGACCCACAGAAGCAACAGGCGAAGAAGACTGAGATACGGTTCCGGAGGCTGAAGGCTTCACAGTCGATCCCGAGTTACCAGATGAAGGGGAAACAGAGGCAGAGGCAGAAAGTCCAACAGATGGGGAAGAGGCAGGAGCTGAGCTGTGGCTTGCGACAGGAGAACTAGACAGAGAGCCTGACTGGGTCGATTGAGCTGAAGCAGCTGGGCTAGAAGCAGGCTTGCTGGAGTTGACGACTGAGCTGGACGAGACAGCTGATCCAGAGGGAGTGGCAGAGCCAGAGAGAGTAGCCGATCCAGAGGGAGTAGCCGATCCGGGGGGAGTCACTGATCCAGAGGGAATGGCGGAGCCCGAGGGAGTCACGGATCCAGAGGGAATAGCAGATCCGGAAGGAGTAGCAGAGCCCGAGGGAGTGGCAGAGCCTGAGGGAGTGACGGAGCCTGAGGGAACGGCTGATCCGGAGGGAGTAGCAGATCCGGAAGGAGTAGTAGAGCCCGAGGGAGTGGCAGAGCCTGAGGGAGTGACGGAGCCTGAGGGAACGGCTGATCCGGAGGGAGTAGCAGAGCCTGAGGGAGTAGCCGATCCGGAGGGAGTGGCAGAGCCAGAGGGAGTCACAGATCCAGAGGGAGTGGCAGAGCCAGAGGGAGTAGCCGATCCGGAAGGAGTAGTAGAGCCCGAGGGAGTGGCAGAGCCTGAGGGAGTGACGGAGCCTGAGGGAACGGCTGATCCGGAGGGAGTAGCAGAGCCTGAGGGAGTAGCCGATCCGGAGGGAGTGGCAGAGCCAGAGGGAGTAGCCGATCCGGAGGGAGTGGCAGAGCCGGATGGGGTAGCAGAGCTAGAGGGAACAGCAGGGCTGGAGGGAGTAGCAGAGCCGGAGGGAGTGACAGGGCTAGAAGGGGTAGCAGAGCTAGAGGGAACAGCAGGACTGGAGGGAGTGACAGGGCTAGAAGGGGTCACCGACGCAGAGGGCGACGGGGTCCAGCTAGGAACCGGAGTCGGTGTCACAGTGGGGATGGGAGTTGAGGTTGGAAGAGGAGGAGGAGGAGGAGGAGCGTAGTAGTAGAGGACAGTCTTCATCTGCTCCGCATAAGTCAAGCCCGCAAGACTGAGGTCCTCGTCAGACAAAGTAGCCTCCCACAACATGATACCACCGAATGTATCAGGGTATTCAGTGATAAACGGCTCAACCATGACCAAAACTTCATCGCCAGAGAGGTAGTACTCGGAGGTGGTATCAGCAGTCAATCCAATGAAGAGCTTGGTGGAAGGATTAGCACTGTTCTGAATAACACCAACCCAATCGGCAAAGTTGAAGCCCTTGTCAGCTGAAAACCAGGACAGAGCAGAGCACGAGTAGGTGTTGTAGAACTGGACCCAGATGAAATCAAAGACGGCATGGGCAATGGCATCATCAAGCTGCGCATCGGGAATGACACACTGAGGAGCACCTGAGATGTAGAATTTCTGCTCAGGGTAGTTGGCGTACTGTGAGCGAAGACGATTGATCATGGTAGCATATCCTATATAGTTATGGCCTTGTTAGTTCAAAGTTTGGACCAAAAGGTGATGGGCTGAGAAGATATGAGACTTACCACTGTTGCCATTAGCCTCGACATCGAAGTCAAAACCATCGACAGTAGCATTTTCAAATGGACGAGGGAAACCCTCTGCGACGGCAGAAGCGTTGTAAGGACCGAACGAGTACCAGAGGAAATCCGCAAACCACTCAGCGGTAGCAGTATCAAGAACACCGGTGTCGGCGCCCTCTCCACCAAGGGAAAGAAGAACAGTCTTTCCCAAGGCCTGACAGACAGGAATGTCATCGTAGATCTGAGAACATCCTTCCAAAAGGGATGAGTTTCCAAAGGTTGCTCCAGAACATTGGTTACCAAAGTTGGAACCTGGCCAAGCTCCCACGTGGTGAGGGAAGGTATTGATGAAGCCGATGTTGATGATATCCAAGGAAGTCTCAGCACAGAAATGAGCCAGACGAAGCTGATTAGCACCTTGACCCTGTATAGTAGAGATGGATTAGACTATAAACAAGAATGTAATCTAAGACCAGTGGTGGCGTACCCAGTAGACGGCGACGTTGTTCTGAGCCTGGACATCCAAGGCAAAAGAAGCCGACAGGAAAGTGGACAGCGCCGCAGCGCCGGCCAAAACCTTCATTCCAAGCATTTTGTTTTCTGGTTTTCTTGCAACTTAGTTAAAGACAGATCAGGCTTAAAGAAGCAGCCTGGTATTAAATGAATGAGATAGGCGTTGAATAGCCTGTTTGTTGAAAAGTTCAAAGAACGAAAGGACGCAGACAAACGTCTGCTTAGGGCTGTCACTCAAGGAAGGAGAGTGGGAAAGGAGAATGGAAAGCCTCGAAAGAAAACAGGATGACTATTAAAAAGAAGTGATAACTAATTACATGGGGGTTTTCAGGCACCACACAGCCTACTCTGCCTAGGGAAAAGTCCGAGCCCGTAATTTCCAGTGTAATTTGGACAAAAGCTGACAGAGCCTTGTCTAAGGTATGGGGTCATCTCTAGTTAGTGTATACTCCGTACGGTTCCTGGTTTTGGTACTTTTAGCTTAACTATTAGTGTCTCCACCGGGGTCTTTCTTGGCTTTAGAAAAGAGAGAAAAGAAGGGAAATTAGGTGATCTTTAGTCTGGAGCCTTGTGTCCAGATGGTCCAAAGTTGTTAAGCCCTAAGTATGATGATGGCTTTCCCCCCCTCGTCTCCATTTCCTTATTACTGACATACGGAGCCCCAGACCAGTGGAGGCTGGCTGAATCATGTGTAAAGAAGGCAAATCGTGGAGAGTTACACGTCACGGATAAAAGAGAAAGGAGCAATAAGCCGAGCAAACCACGTCTCAGCACGTTATCCATGGATTGTTCAGAGCCGCATCGGATTCGCCGTCAAAAAGCCCTATTCAGGGTCCGGGCACGGATACCCAATCCAGGAAAAGAGGAGCCGATCGCTTTACACCAATGAGATCCTCATAAGAGAATAGTCTGGACTAAAGCTAGTCTTAGCGTTAAAAAAAAAACAAGTTACCAAATTTCCCCAATCTCCCAGGTGCCCCAAGGACAATGTAGAAAGAACAAAGATAATCCCTGTTTATTCAACTCTACATGTATGAATTTTTCCGCGAAAGAGCCCAGAATCTTGCATGTTTTTCTCTATTTTAATTCCGACTACAAGCAAACTCTGGAAACAAAAAATAAAGATAAAGATAAAAATATTTCAAAAATAAATAAAAAACAAAGAAAAAGAAAAAGAAAAAGCGGGAAATTACAAAAAAACGCAGAAGCATGCAAGCGAGCACGCTACACTTAGTGCGGGCGCTAGTTTGCCAGGGACACCAATCAGCTCGTTCAACCCGTGAAAGGATTCTCAGGAACATAACCGGCACCAACCGGATCATCACACCGTTTTATCCATACTCTTTGTACTCATCATACCCATCGTACCCATCGTACCCATCGTACTCATCGCTTAGAGTAACTTGGCCTTTTTCTTTTTTTTAATTGTTTTTTTTTTTATCTTTTACGCCCCGAGGCGCATTTCATAGCCACCGTCTACCACCAAACACTACCACCCTGACCTTGTGGCAATGGCAAAGCGATCTGAGTGGCGTATCTCAATTACTTTCCTGATTTATCTATTTTCTTGATTTGTAGTTTGTTTATTTACCTATCTCACTGGTGCAGCTGAAAAACTCCATCGTTCCTTGGTACTTGGTAATCTGTCTAAGCATTTATAATAAGCCTCGACCTTGCCCCTCAAGTTCCAGACTTTTTCAATTCTTCGCTCTTTAGTTCCTCGCTCTTCTTTTTCTCAAACCAGTCATTGGATCGGCCTAGTGGATTTTTTTTCATTCATCAAGGCAAACTCAGATGTAACCGGACCCTTACCGAGTCGGACCCCACGTCAATCTGCCGATAGGGCTCCTTCTGGATGAGAACCAGTCCAAAATGATCCAAAATGATCCAAAATGATCCAAAATGACCAGTTCCTATCTCCGAGGAACCCTGTGGACGGAGCCACGGAGCTTGGATCAATAGCCTAGGCTGTTGGACCCTCCCGATGTCCCACCGGGCCGCCCCTGCCATCATTTTCTGCGCCAGTGATCTAATTTAGAAGTGATATTCTGCCGGGAAACCGGCCTTGGACCCTATTTTTTCTCTCTCTCCATATCTGATTTGGTCCGAATTATACAGAAAAGCTGCCGTATAAAATAAGACCCATGGGAAAAAAATCTTGCGCTTGTGAATTAGTGAACCACTTTCTGTGGGCATCATGGAGCTAAGGACCACTTGCGAAATTCTCGGAGCCGACACATGTGCAAATTAAATCTGAAATGACCAACAGGGCCTCTTCTCTAAACGACATGTATGATTTGTTACCCTGGGGTGTCATATGTCAGCGTGGCGTATGCAGCATCTTAGCCACGTTCTTGATTCGGATAGACTGGGAAGATTTGAAGAATATTAATTCAAGGAACCCTTTACCCCATGTGATTTTCACAAATTGGTACCTACTAGGTAACATCTCCGGACTCCGATCAACATTTGAAGATAATTGGAAATACCGTGTATTAAATCTCGATGAGACAATCAATCGTTAGTTCGACATCCATTGCCCTAAATCAAACCCTGCGTCGAACACCCGAGGTCCCCCCTCTTCAGGGTTCAGGACAATTTGAAATCATTCCAACCCATTCTACCCGTGTATTCGTAGAAAAATCCGTATTTGGCTTGAGAGAACCGCTGTTTCCCTAGAGCCACATTTCTCAGACATCCAGCGAATCAAAGTCTCTGAATGTTCACGATGCGGCGTCGATGCCTGACGCCGCCTCGTTTTCCCGCGGCGTTGCCCCACCAGTGAGGGGAGCTCATCTCCACCTCCAGGTACCAGACCGGAGTATCTAGCGGCATTCCCTCTCAACGGGAGAAACAAGTCAAAATAGCGGCCCCAAGCGACTGAAAATAAGCCTCGACGCCACTCTAACGCAGGCACCAAGATGAGCAATCCAATCGAGACCCAAAACACGGGCCCGACCTTCTATGCCACCCCAAAGGGCCGCATGGTCCTCGGCGAAGGCGCCATCTATCGAGCTAGCGACTCAACTCTACACTGGTTCGACTGCCTCTCTTCCCCAGCCGAACTATACATTCTCCCCGTTGACCCCGACACGGGAGCCGCAACTGGCCCGGCACGAATTCTTCCCCTTGCCGACAGCGTAACCGTTGCCGGGTTTCGCACCAACATACCTGGCAGTTACGTCGCGGCGTATTACCAAGGCGTGTGCTTCCTGGACGAGGAGACCGGCAAATTCGAAGTGGCTTGTGAAATTATTCCATCTGCGGAGCGGAGTCGACGCCGGTTTAATGATGGCGGTGTCGATGCAGCTGGACGATTCTGGTTAGCGGAAATTGATCTCGAAGCCACTGCTTTTGCCCCTGGCACATTGCCGGCGGATTATGGGGTCCCGAAAGGGCGGCTGTGGAGATATGATCCTGGCGGGGGCTTGCATTTGATGTTGTCTGAGGGAATTATCTGTGGTAATGGCGTTAAATGGAGCCCGGATAATCGAACTAGTGCGTGACCCCTAAGTTCTAAGCCCCTGCAGCCTGCTTTTGTTTTTGTTTTTGTTTTTTTTTTTTGTTTCTTGGCTTTCGTTTTGGTCGTACATTAACGTTGCAGGGGGCTAACACGTGCTGAACAGTGTATTTGAATGACTCTGTCGGAATGAAAATAACAGCGCTTGACTTTGATCTTGAGACTGGGAGTATCTCAAATCAACGAACTCTGGTTGACTTTCAAGAGACGGGCGGGGAACCTGATGGAATGGTTGTAGAGTGCGTCTCCCTATTGCAAATCAACTAATGGATCTGAACGAGTCTTATTAACTTGTGTGGCAGTGTCGACGGGAACTTATGGGTGGCTGTTTATGGGACCAGTCATATCATGGTCTTCACGCCACATGGCAAGCTCTTGAAACAGATAGCACTGCCGGCGATGTATCCAACATGCCCAACGTGGGGAGGTAAGAACCAGGATATTTTGTATATCACAACCGGAAAAGATCGCACAGATAACCCAGACCCCAATGACGAGGGCGGTCATATGTATATGGCTCGTATTGGCAAAGGGCGAGGTCACGTCAAGTATGAGTTTGGTGGTTGATCAAACACGTGGAAGGTGGACATTCAAATATTGGCGGAGAGTAGCTGAGTGCCTACCTAGAATTTTATTCAATCAACATGAGAGATGTAAGATATAAGCTCGAGCGGGATTGAAAGATCGAAAGGTTCAACTTTTCCCCCTCTTCTCCAGTGGGCTCTTGTTGTTTTTGTTTGATCGCGTAAAGCTGAGGCGGATCAAGATCAATTGTTGACGCGCAAGAGAAGATCTAATCAGCATGCCGCATCAGAGACAAGCAAATGAGTTTATGTGCGGGCCAAAGTGGTCAAGTATGAGGCTCCTGGATGCTTCATGTCCCTCGCGGTCGACAGGAGCACCCCTCGGCTCACCATTCACGTGGCAATTGGGCTTTCCGAGGATCATGAAAATATGCGATCGATAAAGAAGAAAAAAAAAAAGATTGATAAAGCTTTAGAGAGTGAAGACAATAATTACCACGAACTTCGAATGCTGTTGGTGATGTACTAAAAAGGAGTCAGTTGATTGTTACTTGATCTGCACGTCATCGAGGGATGGTACCGCTCCCTATCACGTCCACAACACCAAACAGCCCTTAACTCCCTCGATCCGCACCACTGCCTAGCTTTAATGAGCAATTTGACACTCCCCACTGGAATTTAGCAAAGCCCCGGAGATTTTGTCCTAGGGGCCTCACATGAACTGACGTCGAAGAGTCACGATCTGCAGGGATGGAGTCATTGCACCGTGTCCTCCAGAACTGCCCTGCCACTGGATTGGACAACAGGAGAAGACTCCTGTTCTAACATTCCAATAGATCCGCAGATTGATTACTTGTTCCAAATGTACTGAAGTCAGTGGTCGCGGCTGGGATTCTTTCCCATGCCGGGCCCCTCGAGGCACATTCCACCCCTCCACACTCTTTTTTTCGCGTCGACGCGCCATGGGGGTCATATACCACTCCATTTAATTCCCCTTTTAGTCCTACCTTAAGTTCGTTGGATTCTCCACCTGTCACTCACACCATTAACGACCTGTTAACCTCGCCGCGCCTGGGTTGCACGGCTGTCCGACGTGTTTCTATCCTCGCGCCTCTTTATCTCAGAGCCGAGTCGACTCTCGCAATTCCGTGGGCACCATATTTGACTTGTCCGGGCGACATTGCTAGTGCTGCAGAGCGGCTTGAGTATCTTCACGATGGCGACTGGATTTTCGGCAACACCGCGGAAAGAAGGGACATGGACGAAATTGGTTATATTCGCTGCTATCTATTGCCTGATTCTGGAATCAGTCCTTCAGATGGCGCTGGTGCTATATCTTTATGGTAACGCGACAGTTGACTCGAAGATGACTACAAGCCTGATCTTGGCTTTGGTATCGGTATGTTTAATATACCACAGTCTATACAATGCCTTGTCACTAACTCAACTACAGTCTATTCTTTCGATTCCATTGATCTCACTTCAGAGCCTGGTCGCCTGGCAGTACAACAATATTGGAGGATTCGGAGAGCAGAAAACCGTTTTGCATAACGTGTGCACCTATGTACTCAGAATCGATCTCATGATGTGGCTAGCAACCAGTGTCTCTGGTCTGGTGGTCGCCGCTCAGCAAGTGTACTGTCTACCTGAAGGAACACACGACACATTCTGGCGGGTCGGTGCCAGCTGCGCGTTTCATCGAGCTACCGTTATTGTGTCTGTCGTGTCACTGTAAGTGAATAATCATTCTTAGTTTCATGGGAATCTGAACTAACGAGAACCTTGCAGAGTCACTGTGTGCACTATGTACTGCGCGAGGGAACTTTGTGATCGACCATATGATGTGTCTATCATTGGAATCTACCGACGACAAATGACAGTGAAAAACGGCAGCATCATCTCTGGTAACAGCTGGGATAGTGACGAGACTCTCAGAAATGAGATCTTGAATCTTTGTCGTCAACACGATGGAAAAGCCGGTGGAGAGCCATGGTCTGTGGATCCGCTGGCCAACAAAGTCAGATGTCATCCCAGTATCAGACACCCTGCTCCTGTTCGTCTGCGACCACAACTCCGAGTCAACACTGACCCGGGCTCAGAATACGGCGAAATCACATCCGGAACCACGATCTCGCCAGATGATACCTTGCCTGGTGCATCACCGGGTGCTCAGACACTGACAAGTGATTTCTTTCCTATATCGCGAACATCGACTGTCATGACTTCCCAAACCACAGGCGAATCCCGAAATCTGCTTTCAGGCTTTCTTGCTCCCAGGGTTCCAGCTATCCCCAAACAGTATACGAACCACAAACGGGGAAAGTCGTCTTTGTCATCCTTGAAACGCTTCTTCCCCAAGACATTCAATATATCGCTTCCCTTATCCTCGGATCCCCAGATTCGCGCCTTAGCAGACCCCAATGCTGCCTCAGACGTCGAGAAACAAGTCGTGGAACCTTCAATGAACAGCGGACCTCCAGAGCTCCCGCAACTGTCATCTCCATACAGCGAAGCCAAATCCCCAGTAAACAGCACCAATGAATCGACACCCATAAGACCCGAAGGTCACGTCCGAACGATGACAATGAACTCCGCCGATGCCCCGGAAGTCGTGGTGCAAAAGCCCGAGCCCGTCAAGGTCCGCCGCTCCCAAACAGCAGCAGCAGGCTTCGCACCTACCCAAATCTCCATCCATCATCCACACCACCCAAACTACATTCCCGCCCAAAGAATGCCATCATCCAAATCCAACCCCCAGAAGTACTCCGCATCATGCAGACAAAATGCCGCCATGCACCCTCTCCACGTCGCACCCATTAGACGCACCAAATCCCGCCAGACAAATCCTCTGCCTCATCCCGTCCGCAGCACAACCTACCAATTCGACCATCCTATTCCCCGCCACACTCAGAGCCAGTATCATCCACAATACATCGCTCCTCCAGCTCGCTGGGCGAGTCTTCATGCCTTTGATCCCAACCATGTCATGGGTGTCCCGCGCAGGAATGATGTCGAGGTTATTTACCCTAGTACTCGGAGGTCGCGCAGTAATACACTTGGAGGACCGAGTGGGCCTTTGAGTTGTATTCTCGAGACAAGCTCTACGCCGCGTGCTTCGGTCGATGACATGCGGAGGGTTGCTAGTGCTGGGACGCCTGAGACGCGCAATGTCATAGATGGGATGACTTATCGCGGTGCTAATAGGACTAGTTTGAGTTTTTACTAGATCGAGCTGAGGCTTGACTAACTTTTGTCTTTGTCTGCAGGTCAGACTTTTTTTCATCTTCTTTGATTGTTTAATTGGACATCTTTCCAACATTTTGAAGGTTGTATTGGAGATCTTGTATGATGGATGGACTGTAGGGGCGGTGGTCTTCTGATTTAATAGCGCGCGCTCTTGATCATCGACACTTCGTTATTGATATTGACACTCAGATATCCTCATATACCAGGCTAGTTTAGTAATAAAAATATTATTTGATTTGATTCAAAATCCATGGAAATGGTTACCACCTTCTCCTCTTTCTTGTCCGAGAATTCATAGAGTCAGACGGAATAATATATGCTAACAAAACAAAGTCCCCAGGCCCAGCCCAAGTAACAACAAGCTAAGAAAAAAAAACACCCACCAGTTACCGCCTATAAAGGATCCGCAACCGCATTCTGCGGCGACGTACCTTCAAGCTGTTCCGGCATAGTCAGCTGAGCAATCGCAAGCGACTCCCTCATCCCCCTTTTCAACTTAGCAAGTTCATTATAAACATCAATAGGAGTAAGCACAGTACAAGGATCCTCCAGCTTAAGAAACATCACAATCTCCTTCGGCTTGACCCCAATCGCATTCAAATGCTTGACCTGCCTCTTCTGCACTACCGAAAGCCGCCTGGCCGCCGGATGAGCCGAAATATGCTCGTCAGGCGGATGATTATGAGCAAGATGCCTTATCTGCAGCTCCCACACATCCTGCTTTTTGCCCCGTCTCGCATACAGCTGGAAGGGACAGCCGCATCTGTTCGAGGTCCTTTGTCTAGGACGCGGGATCCCGGAAATACCACCTAGGTTCTTGTTCTTTGTTGGAATGCCTCCACGCGCGCAGCCTATGTATATAGATTCGCCTCTGGATTTCGCGATGCAGGTTGCGAAGCCTTTGGAGATGCTGTGCTTGCGCACGGTTTCCAGTAGGGTTTCTCTACTGTCGAAGGTGCCCTGGGGTGGAGGCTCCAGGTAGTATTCTTGGACTGGAGTTGCTACTGGCTGGGCTGCTGGGCTTGGGGCTGGAGGTTGGGTTTCCTCATTTATTTCACCCGTTGTATTTTCATTTGTTTCCTGACTTTCCCCAGTATCTGGGGTTTGTTCGGGTGGTTCGGCCTGTTCGGCCTGGAACTGGTAAAGAAACATTTGCGCGTCGAATGGGGGCCCCGGTGATGGTTGAGACTCCATTTTCCAATAAGAGTTTCGCGGGCGCGGCGAATCACAGAGCACACCAGAGTGTGGAAAGGAAAACTGGGAATCGCGTGAAGCAAGAAAAGTAAATGTTGGTGCACTTGCCATGCGGTGGTTAGTCACATGATTAGCAGTATTGAAGTCCAGCAAGAAAGCAAAGTCGGAAATCACGTGCCATTTTAATGAAGTATAAGCCTGAGATTTTTGGTAAATAAACCTTAGGACTAGCATTGACGGTTCAAGTTCCGGCATCCAACTTGCCAGCATTGGAACCCCTGCAACGAAAAAAAATTACCCTAGTGATACTTTCTGATTTAAGTAGTAGATTCGGGTTAAGATCTGGTACAGAAAACGAGAAAAAGACATAACTCCTTGTACATTCCAAACCCATACGCCGAAACCAACGATTAGAAGGTCCTCAGGATGCAACAGCTAAAAGCACACGCAGAACAGATGAAAGGAGTCTGCCCAATAGAATAAAAAAAAAATTACAAATTAAGCCTTCCTCTCCTGACTCCTAGCCCTCGTCTTCGTGTACTTGTAACGGTACGCTTGACCTTGCTTCGGCTCCTTTTCTGCGTCACGACGACGGTTTCCCTTCCCTTCAGTCAAAACACCGGGCCCAGGACCCAGCTCTTTCTCACCCCAGTACATCATCAATGCTTTAGCCATGCGGTCACGCTCCTTGAGAAGAAGGTCCACCCGGCGCTCCCACTCTCGTTCTCGCTTGTCAACCGACAAGGCAATGCGCTGATCAACAGCAACGGCGGTTTCATCCTTAGCCGCGATGACGGCTTCTAGACGCCGGACTTCCGATTTGAAGGACTTGCGCAACTGAGATTCTTGACCAGATACTGACGCGCGTAAGGTAGTGAGATCGACACGAAGACTAGCTTCGCGTTGTTCTGCAGCCGCGAGAAGATTGCAGTTCTTGCGCATGGACTCGGCGTGCGATGAGCGGAGAGTTGAAACTGCAGTAGAGTGGACCGTCTGGAGATTTTTGATTTGTGCTTGATGGGATTCTTCCAAGGCAGCAATCTGGGAGGCGTTTTCTTGCTCGGTGATAATGCCGTGAGACCTGGGTGGGGATGGAGGTGGACTAGGAGGCTGGCGAAGAGCATCCTCTTGTAGACGGGCAATAGTTTCGAGAGACACAGCATGCTCTTCCTTTGTCCGAGTCAAGTCGTGTTGTGTCTTGTTGAGCGTCGTGGTCAGCTCTTCCACTCGAGTGGCAAGGCGGAGATTCTCAGATTCGATAGTTTTGATCAGGGTTTGTGTTTCAGCTGCTTGTTCTCTTAGGCGGTTGGCTTCAACTTCTGCGGCCTTCTGGGCTCCCGTAGCATCCTGGATTTCCTGTTGGAACTTGGCAATTTCGTCACTCAGATTATCGTCGCCCAGATTGTGCGCAACTGAATTCACTGGGAATTTATGCTGCACAGGAGATGCGGGATCCAGTTCAGACTCAGGAGGACCCAAGTCTTTGATCAAGTCAAGGATTTCACTGTAGGTACTGCGACTGCTCATAGGAAGGTCCGCGGCCACGGCTTTCAAGGCGGTTTCTTGTGCTTCTACCTGGGACTGGACCCGAGTAAGATCGGCCTCAAGAGATTGATTCCTCTCCTCTAAAGGTTGATTCTTAATTTCAAGATCGGTGAGTCGATCCTCGAGAGCTTCATAATCAGCATTCGCGCGATTTAATTCGGTATCCAGTCTTTCGTTCTCCAAAGCCTGGTCATCAAGAACGGCCTTGAAGTGGTCGATCTCAGCATTCTTCTCTTGAAGCTGTAACTCCTTGGCGTTGGTAACTTCTCTCAGTCTTGCAAGCGTCTCCTCCAAGCTTGCGTCGCGTTGCTTTACTTGCTCTTGGGTAAGATGGAGTTGTTGCCGCAGGTGAGTGATTGTCTCCAGTCGCTCCACGTCCAACGAGCTATGCGAGTCCTGGCTTTGAAGTTGCTGTTGCATGTCACGAATCTGCTGTTGAATAGGTCCAAAGTCCGGAGCTTGGGGGACAGCCTGTTGGAGCTTTTCACGCTCAGTAGCCTCCCTTTGGAGTGACAGAACCCGCTCACGAAGTGTTGCCAACTCGGCCTCGTTGGCCCTCATTTCTTCAATCTGATCATTTTTGCGCTGGAGCTCCGTCTGAAGATGTCTGATTTGCTCACCAGCAGAAGCCGCCTCCAACAAACGGTTGCGGTTCTTGAGAAGCTGGTCATCGCGATCATGGGCTTCCTCTTCTAGCTGTGCAATGCGTTCTTGCAACCGCTCTTCCCGATCTAACATGTCATCTCTTGAGGCATTAGACAACTTCCGTGATGATCGGCCGGGGCTTGGTAGTCCATCATTGGAGTCCTCCTCGTCAATACCATCAAGGCGAGTCGAATCTTTGGCCAGTGTGCTAGTCCTGTGTAAAACGTGCGACGGAGTAGACATATCCACTGGTGGCTCGAATTCACTGTATTCTCCCAAGTCCGGCTCCTCTTCAACGGCTGGCTGTCTTGATCTCAAAGAGGATCGCAATACAGATCCTGCGTCCGCGCTGGTCTCGTTTGCACGAGACTTGCGCGCACTGGACATGGCTTCGCCCATTAAATATTTCTCCATATTTGCTGTAAAATCCTCCGGACCGCCCACATCAGAGAGTCTCTCATCGTCATCGTTTCTCAAATCCGGTAGCGGTATCTCCTCTCCATCGCCGAACTGGCCGCTGGGGAATTGACCGAAGTCCAAGGTATACTCGGCGAGGCGCGCATCTAAATCCGATCCAGTCGGACTAGCTGGCGTTGAATGGTGGGAAAGACGATGTAAATTATCCTCGTTTTCTAAATCGTGCTCGTAGTCATCGTTATGGTCGTCATATTCATGTTCCGGCTCGAAACGCTCGGAGACGGGACTTGGGGGAGATGGGCTGGATTGATGGCGAGGTGGAGGTGAAGACATGAACATAGGTGTAGCCAAAGTAGAGTGTCCGATGGTGTCGTGGGAGGTTGGAAAGGGCGACGTGTAGCCGGAGTTGGCCATGATGGACGCGTCTCCGGATGTGCGGCGATCGATGCGGCCGCGCGCTGATCAAGAAGGGGACTTCGAATCTTAATTCGATGGGTGACGTTGGAATCGCATTCCAATCAAGCGGAAGCTCCAGGAATTAAACGAAGTAAATAACAATAGACAGTTACAGAGAGGCGTAAGCGATGAGATTGAAACAAGAAGAAATGCGGGTCGCAACACAAACATTGAATGATTATCTTCGTTGCCTCAGGCAGTCTATTTACCTCCTGCCGTTTTGGGTTTCAATTCACCTTCAGGCTTCATCTACTAGTACGGATCCATTACCTTTTAAGTGAACAATCAGCACCATATATTTGTTTCTTCCTTGTTCTAAAATTGAATCTTCTAGACTCTTGATTTTATTGAAGAAGAAATCTTATTGGCAGTTCTTCATCTCAGGTTTTCCATTCACCATATCCCGGCGGTATCGTGGACGGCTCATGCGATTTCCATATATGACATGCATGTGCAGAACCGTCTCGCCCGAATTCTCTAGACGCTTCCTCGTACTCTCGGACTGCTTTTCTTATCGCTTGACCACTCTATTTACTATGAATTAACTCGGCCCAAACAAGAAAAGACCTTTCATACAGATTCGAACTGCATCCATCGTCAAACATACCTGCTTCTCTGGATTTATACTATTGAGTCCCCCAGGACCTCTTGCTTTCCCGCTGTTTATGCCCCCCTTGTGCCCTATTTTAACAAGCTCTTCTCGGGGTCGGTTTGCAAAATTCCCGGGGTTAGGATGGTGTGCGGTGGCAATAGCGCGACGGTTCTTGGCGGCGCCTTGCTGAATTCGAAGAACGCGACTTAGGAGCCACGACATTTTTCTTGACAAGGAAAGGAAAAAATGATGTCAAAACTATGTAGTGATCAATCTTGCTGGCATTCCACTCATTGGAGGAATACTTGACAGTTCAGCTTTCCAAGGTTCGAATATGTATGTCGACGTTGAAACCCCCCAGCAACTGCTCCTGAGGTCACTGGAGTCTGGTTTATATACTTGCTTGTACAGACTCTGTTGGCCACCGTTGCCATGCCACAGGTCCCACGCAACCATGAACCAAAGCCCAACCCTGGAACCTTGGAACATATGTACTTAGGCAAGCAACCCCCCTTTATAATATGTGGCCAACATTAATCGATCATACTGGAGCTGAATCACGATTTGCCCGTTGAAATCGGTTCCGTGTTCTTCAAAATTTGATGTCATTCTAGTGCACATAGATAATATCACCCTGTTCCAACCTTGGTTCTCGCCTCTATCACCAGTCTATAAGCTTCTTACCCATAGCGCCCGTACTTACTTCCAAGGTTAGTAAAACCCCAATGTTCTAACAGCTCCATGTCTATCTGTATCATGACCCATCCATCTTGAATACCGTCCAATCACCGTCCTGGGTTCAATCTTTGTCCTCCCACACACCGCTTCCGCGTCGCGTTCTGCCAGATTACATCATCAAATTTCGAAGTTTCCAAATTCTGTTGTGTTACTGTGTCACGTGTGCACATGTGTACGACTGGACTGTCCATCTCACTACAGTCATCCCTCCAACTCGTCTTCTGCCATGTGCTTAAATTATGATTGATTACTGTAGAAACACGAGGGTTTAAGATATTCTGTCCCTGTCTATCATCCAAACACCACTTGCAGAATGGTGTTGGGCTGTTTTGGGTCCTGAGTGACCTTCTCCAATGTAAATAGCGGATCGGCCTCGGCAAGGATAGACCGCCACTGCTCAATAGTACGCTCATAAGAACCAAAGTAAACAAGCATCGTGATATCCATAGATCTGTAACCCCCGAGTCAGCGGAATAATAGATGAGACGAATTTGGGACCATACCTTGCCTTTCGCTCCTCAAACTCGGAAACGGTCAGTGGCTCATGCAATGCAAAATCATCAATTATGATCTTCGTCTTCGGCCGAAGAATAGGAACATGCTGTCGTAAAATTTGAACACACTGGGAGTCAGACCAGTTATGGAAGATGTTTCGGAAATAGTACGTTTCACCGATGATATGCTGCGGGGTGAAGAAGTCGTGTGTCTGCCACATCACCTGTTGATTATCTCCCGTTGATTTTACTGGAATTCCGTTTGCCGTGTATGATTGAGCATGGGCATGGGGAGCGGCATCTTGCACCAAGAAGCGGACATGCGGCAGGCGTTTGGCGAGCCCGACGCTGATTGTGCCGTTACCGCCACCGACGTCGACGAACAATGATCCGGGAGCCAACGATGATAGGTGAGAATTGTTGAGAATAAAGTCAAAATCGATTCTGGCAGCCATCGCGCTCATGGCCAGGTTCCAGCGCTTTTCGCGAACAGGATGGGTTTTAAGCTCTTCATAGAGACCCAATTCGGTATTGTTTGCGAGAGAGAAACCCTGAATCGAGTCAGTATTATACCTATCGATACTTCACTCGCAGGAAAGTAAGATACATACCGATTGATTCGAGGATTGTGATTGACCATATTTGACTAGCGCATCGACAGCCTGATTAAACAACCTTTGAGATTAGCCAACCGAATCAGACAAGTCAACTGGATTTTAGTTGACAATCATGTACAACCCCGAGAAAGAGTGCTGACCTTTGCAGATGCTGGAAATCGTTCATCAGCTATGATACCCGAAAACGCACGGATTCTGTCGTCATCATGCAACAATCTCGTAGCCGCAGTATGTGCCACGAAGCCAGACTTTGGCTCCGCAAAAATATGCCTGGTCATGGCAAGTCGAAGCACTCGCTTCAAATCGATAATGTTAAGACCACATCGAGAAGAAAGCTCCTCAAATGAGATTATCTCACTGGGAGGGAAAACCTCGGCAATTCGGTAGCGATGAATCACCTGTAAACAAAACGTTTGATTTGGCTGGTTGAAAGTCGTTTGATGTTAGGGACATGCAAGACACTGGAATGCAAGAGATATCCATGACCGAGCAAAGGGAAACATTGAATAAATGCTCACATTAATATCTTCCAGGATTCCGACTGGGCCCAAAGCGAGGTCAAGCAAAGTTCTTGCGGAACTTATGAGGGCAGCTCGTGCATCCTGGACCTCTTGCGGGCTGGTGGGTGGGATAATGGTTTTGTTGGGCACTGAATCGGCAGAGAAAGTAGGATTAGGGTGGCGGTTAGAAGAGATAAAGTCGTTCAAGACCAAGACGTTATCTCTGATATTGTTGGCCAGGACGAGCATTGGCTCAAGCTCCAGTCCGCTGGGAATATGGGGCATATTGGCCTTATAGTTGAAAAAGATGTCCGAATGTTTTCACAGCAGAATAGTCACTTAATTATTGCGACTTGTCACTTGGGAAAGCAATTTAGCTGAGAATCGAGATGGAGCTTCATGTTTATAATTTTTCTTTGCTGATGTCACTTGGAACTATATATAGCGCACACATGTGTGCATATTATGATGGGCGTACTGTATGCCTACTAACTTTCATATCAATGTTGGGTCAGCAGTGCCGAGCCGCACATACCACGGTAATCAATTCTTGATACATCAGTTGATAGGTGCAAAGCTGGATACGGACTAGTACATAAGCGGTATGTTAGTTGTAACTTGCAAGGGTGGAGCCTGGCCATGGACCCACCTTGTATGATACGACGTGGGGGCTGTCACGCTGTGAAATGGATGTGTTATAATCAGTCTACTTGCCAGGATCGTTTGATTCAATGTGGAAGCTTAGCCGGGTAACGATACAGTCTTCATTTCTAAGGGCCAAGATAGGTGGACTGTGCTATGTATGTGGGAAAAGCAGAGCAGAACCAAAAATTGAACCGAGGCATCTTATGTCCACTACAAACCCCTTAAACAAATCTTTGTTTAAGGCGGACATTCAAATTTTGGATTTTGACAAACCAGCTGTATAAATTTGAATTGTTGTCAGAGTAACCCGTCAAATTAATTCCTTCAACAGATGCATGCTTTGACTTACTAGCAATTTTCAATCATGTCTGAGGTAGGATCAGCAAATTCAATGTCGTATTCCAATAGCATCGACGGTAGAAGCTTGAAAACATACTAATTAGTAAGCCATGGCTTGCCACTCCTCGGTTTCACCTTTCTTACCTTGGAAATCTCCAGCAAGCTCAAACCTAGTAACTTTTAGCTAAAAGAAAACGTGGTAACTTTGTTACACATGAAATTAAGAACCTACCTTTGCCAATGCAAGTCCTTGACCCAGCACCGAATGCAAAGAAAAACCTCTCTGCACAACAATTTAGTTTCGGTTGACAGCAAATATTCCCTAGGGAAGCGTCTTACTTTTCTGGCTGATGTCATCATCGAGCCATCGATCTGGACGAAAGACATCGGCATCATCCCCAAAAATCTCCTTGTTTCGGTGAATAACCCATGGATTGGCTCCAGCAATGATCTGTTTGCCTGATTAGTACCTATAAGTTCCATGTGGCAGGCAGATTTGGGTAGATCAACTCACCCCTCCGGGAATCCGTTTCCCATTCACGACAAGACCTGCAGGTGGCACAACTCGAGGCATAGACATTCCCACTGCTGGGTGGCAGCGCAGTCCCTCTTGAATACAAGACTGCAAGTAAGGCATGTTTTGAGCAACTTTATATGGAACATTGGTCCGAGTAATTCGTCCCGCATCTGCCTCGGCGTCAATTTCTTTCAGCAATTCTTCCTTATACTGCGGGTGTTTGCAGAGATAATAGAGAATAGCTCCGATGGAGATGGCAGTTGTGTCACTCCCGGCAAATATGTTGCTCGCTGTCATCGACATCACTGCTGTCTCGTCGAACTTGTCTGGCTGGCCGCGATGGACGTCCATAAATTTGTCCAACATGTCGGGATGAGTACTTTGCGTTGAGCCTCGCTGAGTCACCTCTTTTACGGCTATTTCGCGCAGCAAGCCGTGCCGATTTGCGACTTTGAGATGATTCCCGATCCAAGGCGATAGCCAGTCATGAATCCAGTAAAGCCACGGTACTTGTCCGATCCAGGAAGCTGACTGAAGAGCCTGTTCAATCTGAACGAATGTTCCCTTATCGCTACCTCCCTCGATGAATCCAAATCGCTTGGAAAAAGTGAGTTCACCAATTACATCTAGAGAACTTCTTAGAGTTGAATTACTTGAGCCATAGAAAATTGACTTACCAAACGCGAATAATTGAGCCCAATAGCCAATGTCAATATTTTTTGTTGCCATCTGCGATAGACGAGAAAGAAAGACATGGATAACAGTATCCAGATATGGCTCAAATTCTGCAAGTCGACTTTGAGAATAGATTGAGTTGACAAACTTACGATTAGTACCATGTACATGCGCATCTCTCTCCGCAAACAGATCGAACTTGCGTCGGCCTTGCCACACACTATACCAGTCACTCTTCTTGAAAAATGATCCAGCGCCTGATGATTTTTCCAAATGATTAGCTTGAGCTTTTATGAAGTCTGTTGGGGAGGAGTGTCAAACCGTATATGACTTGGATCGCATCCGGATCCGAGACGCTCACTTCATAAGGGCCTGTACGGACTATGGTGCCATATTTTTCGTGCAATCGTATCATTTTACGGTGCATATCACCTTTGAGGGAGTGATGGATCATCCATGCAGGCGACCAGCGAGCCCAGAAAGGACCTGGGACTGAAGCAAGTGGATCCCAAAATGGTAGAGTGAGCACGATCACAGTAGCAGTAGCAAGTCCAACAGCTATCACATCCGAGTAGGTGAGACTCTCAATTCGCAAGAGAGCACCTTGTAAAGCCGAATTAAACGACATGGCTGAAGCTAGTGTGGTACATGGTAGGTATTTGAAATGGAATTATGAATGGAACGATTTTATGTGGAGGTCGGGATTGGTAATACACTTACAACGATTGTCGTTGCATTTGTTACAAGGGGTAACAAGGCTAGAGTCTTGGAGCATGGGTGGCCTGGCTTAAATTCTTTGTTTCAGTACTGCCTGCTCCAACGGGTGGGGGCCGGAATTTCTTGTGTACAGTGTACCTTGTGCTCCCCGCACCCGCCTCTTCTCGTATTTCCTCTCTTATCTGCTCATTCTTCCTGCATAGAACTTCCAGGGCTGCTAGTATGCAGTCTACAAAATTTAAAGTGATAGAGCACTCTATCCCCTGTCAGCCTATTAGGGAATATTATCGCGCAGGCAAGCGAGATAACCCCTTATTGCAGCTGGCTATCAAACAATACATCCCCTTGAACAATCCCATCCCAAGTCCCGATGATGTCACCATCATTGCTGGGCATGCCAATGGAATCCCCAAGGTTTGTATTATCTAACTATTCCAAGATTCCCACGAGCTCCGAGTCTTCATACTAAGCGTGAGTCGTCCTAATATAGGAATGTTACGAACCACTCTGGGAGGAGCTCCTTTCATTGACGAGCGTCAAAATCAGAGCTATCTGGATCGCGGACTCTTCCAATCAAGGTGCCAGTGGCGTGATGAATGAAAATGAACTTGGTGATGAGCGTAAGTGACCGATCATATCCCGGATCATGCACGAATGAGTGGTGCTTACCTCTACCATTAGCAAACTGGTTTGACCACTCGCGGGATCTCCTACAGATGGTGAACCATTTCCAGGATCAGATTCAATCTCCGATCATGGGAATTGCCCACAGTTTCAGTTGCTCCCAGTTGTGCGTACCTCGACTATTTATTAAAATACTTATTGCTAACTATTTCACCAGTGTTCACCTTTCAATAATGCATCCTCGCTTATTTCACTCAGTTGCTTTCATCGAGCCTATGATTCAAAATGAAAGTCCTAGTAAGCTAGGTGGGCCAAGCCCAGCACTTTGGACCAGCTCCCGCCAAGACGTCTGGCCTTCAGCTCAAGATGCTGAAAAATACATCCGGGCAAATGGTTTCTGGCGGAAATGGGACTCAAAATGTGTAGATCAATACATTCAATTTGGGCTTCGACCAGTCCCAACCGCTCTTAACCCCAGCTCCAATCTTGGTTCTGGGCCCGTGACACTCACCACGACAAAAGCACAAGAAGCTTGGTCGTATCTCCGTTTGAATGCCACCCCTCGGGATGGAAGCGGCGAATTCAATAAGGAGAGATTTATCAACCCGGACCTCGCTAAAGTCCCGAAAGAAGGCGACACCAATAACCCGGATTGGGCGCTTGTATGTCCATGGTGCTGTATTGCTTTCGAGTACTTGCTTTATATGCGTCCTTCCGTATATTATGTCTTCGGGGAAAAGAGCCACATCAATCCACCCGAGCGGAGACAAGATAAACTGGAACGCACAGGTAAGGGACTGGGAGGGAGCGGTGGTGCTGCAGCCAACTGCGTGAGATCTGAAATCATCTCGAAGGGATCGCACATGGTTCCACTCGAGAAGGTTAACGATACGGCACACCTTCTATCAGGCTGGTTGGAATCCCAGGTCAAGGCTTATCGAGGAGAGAAAGCTTTCTGGGCTCATCACGATAGCGGCAAGTCGGAAGGTGGTAGTTTGGCTTTATCGAAGCAATGGATGGCATGGGTAAAGCAGCCCGTGGAGACTAAACGGCCCGTTAAGTCGAATTTATGAGAGAATCAGGTAACAGAACTAACATAGAAGTCTGAGGATGACTTCTGTGCTGCTAAATAGAGTTATCTATGGAGTATACGGAGTAGAATCTTACTTGTTTCTATCTTCAGGGCTGCGAAAGGGGAAGGAAACCCGAGCTGTGTACTTAGCTGGTGGTAAACTAGTAGTTTAGACCGTCCTGTATGTCGACGGTATTGTATTTTTATCGAGTATTTGATCTTGGCTTCCTCTCCTTCACGATTTCGCAATTAATATGGCCTTGGCTTTACTGTAATTCCGTTTTGGAAACTTTCTGCCATATGAAATTTGAAATGGATTGATTAGCGGCATCTCTGGCTCCACCGGAGTCCGGACCCGACTAAGTGCTAAGTTCTAACCGCCGGCCCCACGACGGTAATTTATCAAACAAACATTAATTCAAGGATCTAGTATCAGCACTGTATTGATCCTTTACTCCTTTTAGTAGAGTCCTGCAGATCTGCAGTGAACTCACCTGCAGTTCTCTCAAATCGAATCCATGATGTGATTTCGGGAATCGGGATGAACCTCAGCAATCCAGTATTCACCACCACATAACCAAATATGTACAATTTTTTTTTTACTCCGTACACACTATTCACCGTCCAGATATCCGATGATGAGGCGATAGAAATCCGATCTCTGCGGGCCGGCCCTTTCCATAGGCCGTGAGCTAAACGGGGCAACGGGGTTGACTCCGTGGCCACTGAATGAATTGATCTAATTTCAGGCTCTAGCGGCTAAATTTTTAAGGGGCCGTACACACCCCCAGTGCTGGATACCTCGTATCCTGACGATAGTATTGGTAGATCAAGATTACGCCAAGTCCTGTGCTTAGTAGATGAAATTTTGCGCAGTCAGTCTTAGCGCATTTAAGTCTTTTGGCTAAAATAAAGCTGTGAATCTGGATCTCTGTGAAAGATCAAAAATACAGATACTCCTAGGTCCACTTCCAAAGTTGAAATCAGATTTGGATTCAGCCCCTCAGCTCAGGCGCTAAATTGCAGACTCAAGATTAATAAATTTGCCGGGAATGACCACGTAAGCTTCCCAGAGATGTTTGCAACGCACAGCAATTGGTGATCTCTTGCCCACTGCAGATAATGCTAGTACGCATTTGGGTATTAGTACATGCATTAGAATGTTTTTTTTTGGGGTTCATTTTGCCGAGGTCAGCGGAGAAAAGATCATGATTGACTTCTATAGATACACGTGTAGAAGTCAGCCAATTATTATCGTATTTTTAGCGTCGAACATTGGTCAAATATCCAGAGCAAACATTGAATGAGCCCAGTTCAAATGTTCAAGCGATCACTCTAGTGGATTACGGAAGAATTAAAGTGGTAAATAAAGCAAATGCCAGCCATTTGACTAGTGACGAATGAGATTGGAAGCTGCAGTCCATGCCGTTCTAAGTTATAAAGCCGATGTAGTATTTTTTGAAACAGCTAGTCCGTATTATATCAACCAATACCCGAGATTGAGAGGAGAAATGTTTCAATGTTCCAGATGTCCAATCTTTCCTCTCCTTGTCTAGATGCCCGGAGTGCCAGTTACAAGGTAAAAGCCAGCACTTGAGCACTTCAGTACTCTCTTGCATGTGCTAGGGCTCCCGAGGTCTATAACACTGTGTATTATGTAGCCACTAGCCACTATATTATCTTCCGAGGATCAATGCCCACTTTAGCAATCCGAGTCGCTAAGATAAAAATAGTCGAAATGATAAGCATCGCCCCCCCAAAAGACTGAAGTCCAACCCAGCCGCCCTTGTGTAGCACAGCACCGCCTACTGGAGCGCCAACGAGAACACCAAAGCTACAGATGACGCAGAGCATACCCATTCGAACCCCCGTTACCCCTAGATGTGGACTCAATTTAATGACGGCACTGAATGGCAATGTCATGTATGTCCCGATGAAAACTCCATAGAGCACCACAAAGACAATTAGACCCGGTGTGTTGCTAATGCCGATCCACGCAAAGGATAAAACGGCTAAACCGAAACATGTAGGTATAAACATGTTAATTGGACCAGTTTTGTCAGCTGCATACTATAAAGTCATTATCAGTTAAATTGTCAGTGCACGTCAGATAAGAAGATGCAGGGAACAGCTTACGTTGGGAACGATACGTCCTAACACTGATCCCGCATTGAGAATGGGTATGAGATAACCCACAGCCGGGGAACTCATCTCTTTCTCAAGGGCATAAGATCCAACATAGTACAGTGGCATATAGACACCCACGAATCCAAAAAATCCCCAAGCCAAAAATAAACAGAACGGAGTTTCTGTCAATGTCGTTGAGTCGAAAAGCTTTCGTACTTTTCTTGGTTGATCAGGCGTAGCAGATTTTACTCTCATGAACAGAAGTGGGAAGACGAGGGTAGCCAGACTGATAAATCCCACAATACGAGAAGCCCAGCCAAAGCCTATAGTTGTCTGCAGTTGTTGGAAAGTGATAGAATAGACAATTCCTCCTAATGTTGCTGTCAGCTTTAAATACGGAACATTTGAACATGGCTTTTTTTGACTTACCAACACCACTACCGCTCCCCGCCACCCCGATGCTGAATGCTAGATGTGACCTGAAATATAAGGGCAGAACAGCGACACTAGGGATAAAAAGACATCCCGCACCAAGTCCGACAACAATGCCCTGAGCGAGAACAAAATGCGAAAACTCAGTGCATATACTAACCATCATCATTCCAAAAACTATCAGGAATGTTCCCGCTGCCAGTAGATGTCGAAAATATCCATAATCATAAAGCGGCCCGGTAATGGCCCCAATGAAGAGTAAAAGGCACGCTTGAATTGAGCCAATCCAAGCGATATCGGATGAAGAATGATCTGACAGGATTTCATTCTCATAATAAGTCTGAAAAACGCCGTACGAGTTGACAACCCCCCTAGAGAGACTTTTAGAGATTTCACTTTCATGGCGAAGCAGCATAGGATTTTTAGATTTACCAGCAGTTAAACATCAGACACCAGCTTCCTGCAACTTGCAGCCAAGCCACAAGACCACCATCGGGCGGGCTCACTGGGGGCGGAAGGTTATTGTGAGGGTCCGCGACGATCAGTTCTTCTTGGGCGCTCCCTTGGTTTAGCATTTCCTGTTTTGAGATGGATGTATGGCTGGATTGACTTTTCAAGGATAATTGGCCCGAACGATCCATTGTGGCGAAGAAGAAATAAAGGCTCCGAAGATTCAAACATGAAATTAATTCAAAGGCTCAATGTTATGTTGGAAATGATGAACCGTTCTGGTCTCGGAAGTTTTTAAAGAATCGTAAATAATAAATTGATTGCTTGTTTTATGGGGAATAGCTGTATTTGTCTTAAGCGCTATGCAGATCTATCGCCGGAGCCTTGCAAGGTCGGAACATTGAAGAATCAGCCCCCACTGCCCAGTGACCTCCTTGAATACTTCTGAAGTGCCAAGGTTCAAAGTATGGTGCATGATCATGATACCCACATGTATGCTTTTCGCCCCCATTCGTAAATTACAAGCGAACATTTGAAGACCAATTCCCCAACTAGTTAGAGGCTGAGGTGCATCATGCAACTAAAAACCATACTAGGGATGTAAGGTTACATACGCTGCATGTGAGAAAGAACTTTGCAGAAATGACGCCTAACTTGCAACCCCCCCCGCCATTTCCAAGGTTTAGGGCTCTAGTGGCACAAAGTGATTATATTACCTGCCCTCCTTCCTGCAGACTCGTAAAGATCCACTTCTAGTAAGGATCAAGCGTTGCCCCCAGGTGGGGGCTCAAAAATTAAATAAAATTTGGGTGGAACCCGTGGACTCCAGCTTTTACACATTCAATGATATCGGCTCATATATAAGATACCCAGGCTATGTACACCGTCCCCCATTCAGAGGTCCCGTGTATTCGCGATCCCTCGGGCCGACTCCGGCTTTGATCATAGTCATGACTTCAGACTCAGAGAGTTACACAACAGAATACTTGAACGAGTATTGCGGCGGGGAGCTTATTGCCACTGCGGTGGTGTTCATGGTCCTGGAGATAGCATTTTCGACCATTCGATGGTATGCGAAACGGAGGCAGGAGGTGCCCGTAGGTCTGGATGACTGGTTTATCTGGCCTGCACTCGTTGTCAACCTTATTCTTTGCATCGAAGGCTTGAGTATGTCCATACCTCTATCAGCGCTCACTTGGTTTGAAACTTGTAGTGCTGGTATTAACCGTCTTATTCATAGTTCTTATTCCTCTCGCCGGCGTGGGACGACATCTTGTCGTAATCGAAGCACGCAGTCCAGAGAAGTTGGTTGTCTGGGCCAAGGGCGTCTACGCGTGTGTTTGGATATGGGCGCTAGCAGTGGCTCTCCCCAAGATGTCAATTCTGGGGTTTTACCTCCGTTTTTTCAAGTCACCTTATGAACGCGCCACATGCTACTTTTTGATGTTCGTCACCGCCGCCAGTTTCATCGGCATCGGACTTACCGCAACGTTTGCGTGTACGCCTGTGAGCTATCAATGGGAACGAACAAAGCCAGGCGCAACAGGGAAATGCATCGACATCACTGTATTCTATGATTGGATGTCATTCCCGAATATTGTCACAGACGCCATTCTCTTATTTCTACCACTGCCGATGATATTACGGCTACATCTTCCTCGACACCAAAAGGCCGGACTGGTTCTTATCTTCGCGACGGGTGGAGCGTGAGTACACACGATAGACCTGGGTACCATCTTGAGAATACTAGATACTGATACATACCCAGAGGAATTATCACATCATGCCTCCGCTTCGCTACTTTTTACAACAACAATGCACTTGAAGATAACACCTGGACTTCAGTTCAACTCCTCAAATGGACGGACATTGAGCCAGGAATCTACTTTCTCGCTGCGTGCATGCCTTCATTCGGTCCTCTTTTACAGCGTGCTTGGGGTCGCTTTATCGCACCTCAAGTTAAAAGTCTAAGGAAGTCGTCAGGAAAGACAAGTGGGTCTGATCGCGGTAGCAATGGACTCGCATTGTATACCATTGGAGGTGGACGCAGGGACCATAAGCCTGGAAACTATAGTGATAGTCATTCCAGAGCTTTTCTGAGACTGAGCGAGGACGAGGATGAGAGAGTGACTGTACCACAGGGTGCCTAATGGGAATATAATGCTTGACTACCTATATTTATGTTCAAAATCCATTTTACAATCATCATTTTTATGGGAAGCGTACATAGCGCATTGAATAATAGCCAAAGAGACATTAACTCTGAACAGATACAGTCCGGAGCCCTGGAGGGCTTTTGAGAAAGTCGTGTCCACCTGGCAGTGATCAAACGAAATGTGTAGAGCATAAATTCACTTCCAAGGTTGTTGATTTTAGGACCAGTTGACACAGATCTCTGAATATTCTGGATGTAAGGTAGCAAATTGTCCAGTGTGCATAGCAGCAAAAATAAGCGATATATTTATGATCCTCACAAGATCACAACAGTTAAGAAGCTGGCAATGTGACCATAACTTCCTGAGCTCAAATTGTGACTTATATCACGGATTCATGAAAGAATCAGGAGAGGACTAAGAACTTTCAACTCTGGACACATGGCACGTGACTTTTTTTTCAAAAGTGAAATTTGTGTATCCTTTGATCAACTACTAGTAAGCATTGATGCTAGTGCATTGCTCAGATATCGTCAAATCCGTGTGCTCCACATCAAAAATGTCGATTCAAAAACCAAATGCTATCTCACATGAAATTGTTCTTCAAAGTCAAGACTTAAGTAATAGTCAAGACTCGAGAGTGTGCCGCGCTACTATTCCCCACCGCGGGGCCGATCCTCGCTTAGTCAGTGCTGTAGCCTGCCCGCGGCAGGTGGACTAGAGCTGTGATGTGTTGTTGTGGGGGCCAATGTGGCATCATTCATGATTCACCTACCTTGACTTGTATCATATGGTGCCTGGCTTTTCTTGTTGCTATATCTACTCGGTGTTATTCCTGTGGTTCCCCCCGGGCGTTTCATACAAGGAAGTTTCTTGGATCTTGACAACAAAGCTCCCACTTTGGTTTTCTTACCAGAGGCACGCCAACACCGCAGTTCTTATCCAGCACCATCAGGGACTCAAGGGGTATCGAAATTTACCTTATATTCTGTGAATCAAGACTGGCTCAGTCGAAGTCGCATAGAAATGCCACCTCTCCCAGACCGGTCGCTTGAGCGACGAAGAGTAGTTTTATATCATCAAACCCTGATCCCAGGCGCGGGCCCATATGTCCCCATGATGCCACTTGTGGAACACAATACTGGCATCACACATGTGATTCTAGCAGCTATACATCTCAATGATGACCCAAACCACATCACTCTCAACGATGACCCACCTGACAACCCCAAGTTCGACCCCCTATGGGCCGAAGTGCCCCAAGTTCAGGAGGCCGGCGTGCAGGTCATGGGTATGTTGGGAGGTGCGGCACCTGGCTCATTCACGCGACTCGATGGCGACCAAAACCAGTTCGAAAGATTTTATGTCCCTCTGAGGGACATCCTGCGCCGATACAATCTCAATGGACTCGATCTCGATGTGGAAGAAGAAATGTCTCTTCAGGGCGTGATTCGTTTGATTGACCGACTCAAGGCCGATATGGGCGATGAATTCATCATCACGCTCGCTCCAGTTGCCGCTGCGCTCCTTGGCGCGGGCAATCTCTCTGGCTTTGATTATAGACAACTCGAGCAGGCACGGGCATCTAAGATTGCCTGGTACAATGCACAGTTTTACAATGGCTGGGGGCCTGCTGAGGACCCTCGGATGTATGGGGCAATTATCTCGCAGGGCTGGTCTCCGCGCCGAATTGTGTACGGTATCCTGACGAACCCGGGCAATGGGTCACAGGGCTATGTTTCGCGCGAAAAGATGAGCCCTGTTCTTGCAGCCCTAGTTGAGCAGTTCCCGACTTTCGGCGGTGTTATGGGTTGGGAGTATTTTAATGCCTTGCCTGGAGGTGAAGCTGAGCCATGGCAGTGGGCGGCCGAGATGTCAGTTAGTATGGGCATGAAGGACGTGGTGACTGCTGCCAAACAGCTTTTGACCATGAATAATTTAGTGCGTGGTATGATGAACCAAGGGAGATGATTTTGATACACATCTGAATGTATCAATTGAATTATCATGTGATTTACATCAAATGAGCGACTGATCTACTTTAAATATACATCGATTATATAAACATTGAAATCAATGTTATGAATAGTTGGGTCAAATTAGATGAAGTCTGGCACATATTCAAGAAAAGCTTCCATACTAATCAATTCTGATTTTGAAAATTTGCGTACATGTTTTAGCCTTGGAAATGCTCGTATTTTGAGTACACCTAGATCTATGGATGATCGTGAGTTGCGCTGTGCCCAAATCGTCGAATGTTTCTTGAAGTTGTATACAAATGTCATTGATGGTGGGCCCGTGGCTGGGTATAACGTCATTCCAAATACGAACACCAATCAAGATGCATAACAACAACATGACCCCCTTCAACATCCTCGAAGCCTCCCATTAACCAGCTTCAACATTCTCCGAACTCGGAACGTGCCATGTTTGCAATTCTTGCTGCTTTTGTCGTCTGAAGAGTGACAATGGTCTCCCTGCGGCGAGCCGTTACGGCCATCACCTCGGCTACGATCCGGCTGGCTACCTTTGTTTTTCTAAGATGGGTATGGGCAACAACGCCACTTGATTCTTATCAGACTATTAATTCGTCTTTTTAGATACCTGGATTTCCATTTGCACCTATTATCTTCACATCTTTGGTCGTCTATTTATCGTCGCTCCTATCCCTGGTTCAGGATGATCAATCCTCTAGGGATCGCCCCGACAAGGGCGGAAAGAATTCAGCCAGTGAGCCAGTCTCCTGGAAGCTTGGGATGTACCAATGAACTAAATGCAATATTAGAAAATCGTGCCATCAAGTCAGAAACACCTCATTCCAGTGATTCCGTGTTAAAGACACTTCTTACAGGCCTTCCTTCCAAGCGCTCACGCGTTTGGACGTTGGCCACAACATTAATCAACGTCAGTGCGGCGCTATTGGCACTTGACTTTTTGGTCAGAGGCTTCCTCGTCTACCCTACCGAGGATGTTACATTCTCACGCATCGGATATGTATCGCCGACCACTGCTAGCTTGGTCTTCCGAGAGCCCGATACGGCTCAACTGCCTGTCGTGATTTCTTTCCAAGAAGTCTCCAAGAGTACCCAAAAATGGCGCCAAGAGGGCACTGTCTACAAGTTAGACAACAGTACAGATTTTACAGCTTCAGTAAAGTTGAAGAATCTGAAACCCGGAACCCATTATCGATATTCATTATCAAACAACAAAACAGGCAACTTTGTGACCTCACCGCGTCCAGGATCCCCCGAAGCAAACAAAATGTCTTTTGTCACTTCAAGCTGTCTGAAACCAAACTTCCCTTACAGCCTTTTCTCTCATCCGCTTCGAGTCCCTGGAATTGAGCAAATGACCGAAGTCCTCGGAAAGCTGCCACCTCTCCTCAAACCAGCATTCATGCTCTTCCTCGGCGATTTCATCTACATCGACGTGCCCTTCCGATTCGGCTCTTCAATGGATCACTACCGCAGCGAATACAGACGTATCTACTCATCCCCCTCATGGTCTTTCAGCGCAGGAAACAAATCCGCAATCGATCTTCCCTGGATCCACACACTAGATGACCACGAAATCGAAAACGACTGGTCGAAGGGTAACAAGACCGCTCCGTACCCAGCAGCAGCCGACCCATTCACCCACTACCACGTTAGTGCAAACCCGCCCGTCCCCGCAAAAGCATTCGCGCATCCGGACGATGTAACCTATTTCTCATTTGTGAATGGTCCTGCTTCATTCTTCATGGTCGATACCCGCACGTATCGCTCCGAGCCATCAGAAGCAAACTCAACTATCCTGGGATACGCACAGCTGCAATCGCTCTTGCACTATATCTCCACGCCCGAGCCAGCGGGTGTTCATTGGAAGATTATCTCATCGAGTGTCCCTTTCACTAAGAATTGGCACGTCGGTACGGCAGATACATGGGGTGGTTACCTCGACGAACGACGTAAAGTCTTCGAAGCGATGTGGCGCGCTGAACGCGCCCTCGGCATTCGAATCGTCCTTCTTAGTGGTGATCGTCATGAATTTGGAGCCACACGATTCCCTGATCCAGAGCTTGCATTGTCGTCTGATGAGCTTCAGCCTGATACAGGTGGACTAGGTCTTCATGAATTTAGCGTGGGCCCCCTCAGCATGTTCTACCTTCCTATTCGAACCTATCGTCAGACGGATACGGAAGATGTGGCGGTGAAATATGCTCCCGATGGAAATAGCAAGTTTGGACTTGTTGATATTGCTGAGGAGAAAGACGGAGTGTTCCCCTTGGCGCGCAGCTCAGTTCTTACCTATTCGCTCTATGTAGATGGCAAGGTTGCGTGGAAGTATCGACTTAGCGTTCCCCTTGGAAGTGGAGCGGGTGCTAAAACCCTCCCACCTGGACGTGTGCTTGAGGACAACTTGACCCGCGAAGGCTGGGATGTCGTTATCAAGACGGCAATTGGAACAGCAGAAGAGATTGGAAAGTTGCTCATCGAAAAGGCCAAGGTGGCCTATGAAGATCTTCTGGAATCTTTGCAAAAGAAAGGACTTAATTAGATTAGCACATACTATTCCGAGATGGTTCAATAATTTCTGATCATGTCCATGACTTGTTGTATTGTGCAGGTATAGAATGTACTGGGAATAGGATTTCTCGAACGCCAAACACCGGCCCAGATGCTAATATGGAAAAATGATAGATAGAAAACATGTAAGAAGATAAGCAGGAACAGTCTTGCGGCTTGACTTGCCGACTACCGTCCTCCTCTTCCACGTCCACCACTACCACCTCCACCAGCACCACCCATGCCTGGCATTCCGCCCATTCCACCCATTCCACCCATCAAGCCGCTCATCTGGCTCATCATAGCTTGCATATCCATGCCTCCCATGCCAGGCATACCACCGCCTCCTTGACCACCACCCATCATCTGCATCATCTTGCTAATGTCTCCCATGCCGGGCATGCCTCCCATTCCTCCCATTCCTCCCATTCCACCAGCACCACCCATAGCCTGCATACGCTTTTGCATAGCAGCCATTTGCTGATCCTTGTTTCCACCCTTCAGCATGTTCTGGGCACGCTGCATTTGCTTCTTCTGGCCACCGACACGCTTAGCCATACCGGCCATCATGCGGTGCTGTGACAGCAGATCTTCAACCTCACGGACGGTGGTACCACTTCCATGAGCGATTCGGACCATACGACTGGGCTTGTCAACAAAGACCTTGCCATCACTGTCCATCTCAGCCGCCGTCATACTGTCGAAGATGTAAACCATGCGTCGCAGCTTCATAGAACCATCCTCATCATCCAGACCCTGTGTCAAGTTGGACAGACCAGGAATCATACCGGATAACTTCGAGAGAGGTCCCATCTTCATGATAGATGTAATGTTTTCACGGAAGTCACGAATGGTGTAGATACCCTCGGCAATATGCTTGTAGGTCTCCTTAGCAGCAGCAGAATCTTTGGTGACGGCTTGCACATGGTCAAGTAGCCCGGCCATATCACCCATACCTAGCAACTTTGAGACAAATGAACGAGGCTCGAATCGCTCCAAGTCCATCATGTGTTCACCGGTTCCAAGGAAAATAATAGGAGTGTTCGTAGCGGCAACAGCAGAGATGGCACCACCACCCGCTGCGTGACCATCGGTCTTAGTGATAATGATGGCACCAAAGTTAGCAGAAGCCTTGAACGCCGATGACTGAGCCTCTGCGGCCTGACCGATAGTGCTGTCGAGAACCATGATAGTCTGGTCGGGAGTGACGGCCTCTTGAATTTGAATCATTTCATTGAACAGCTCCTCCTCCTGTCGGTGACGACCACTGGTATCAACAATGATGATATCGAATCGCTCCTTCTTAAATTGGGCCACACCCTCAGCCGCCACAACAGCAGGATCTGTTTGGGTCAAGCTACCATAGTAGGGAATCTTGGCCTTAGTTGCGTTCTGCTTAAGCTGGTCGAAAGCACCGGCACGGAAGGTATCCGCGCAAACCAGCGCTGTCTTGAATCCACGCATCTGGTAGTGGCGGGCAAGCTTGGTACAGGTGGTCGTTTTACCAGCACCCTGTAGACCAACAAACATAATGACATTAGAGCGACCCTTCTTAGGACGGAAGGACTCTGATTGAGGATCAACCAATGTCACCAGCTCATCGAAAACGGTCTTCTGAATCAGGCGCTTCTTGTTGGTGGCGGCGGGAATGGAAGCAAAGTCGACACTCTTCTTGATCGATTTTCGGAGGGTCTGAACGAGCTTGACGTTCACATCGGCGGACAAAAGGGCAGCGCAGATCTCCTTGAGCATGTCATCGAATGCCTAGCTGAATTAGCATCTAGTCTCGGAGTTATTTGCAGTGAGTGAAACACAAGACAAACCTTCTCGTCGAGGTTGTTAGACCTCGATAGGTCATTGACGGCGGCGTTGATGCGCCGTCCTAGATCCTGAAGGACCATGATGGATGGATATATTCAAAATAAACTTGAACAAGTATGGTTCAAGCACAGGACACAAGAGCAAGTTGTGGAGGGGCGAGAAGCGGAAAGGCCAAGGAGGCAATGCGGAGAGCCAATCGGCGTTCGGGAAGGTTTCACCGCCCAAAAAAAAGTTGCTCGGTAGAGAAACTGACTCTGCTCTTTCGTTCTTCTCTTCACGTTCAATTGTGATTTTTCTTTACATTCAAAATGGTTGGATCCTATTCCAAGAAGCGCAAGGTCGCTGATGGCATGAAGGGCAAGACTGCCCGCCCAAAGAAGTTCCGCAAGCAAACCACCTACCACAGCTCAGATGATGAAGAAGAAGGCACCAACTTCTCAGCTGTCAACCTTGCCGATTCAGACGACGAGGATGGAGTTGTCTCTGTGAATAAGACTCCACTTGGAGAGCGTCGCCCGTCAAAGAAATCGAAAACCGAAACCACATCCAAGTCCAAATCCACCACCAAGAAAGATTCCAGTGACAACGAAGACAACGAAGACAACGAGGATCACGACGACGACGACGAAAATGATGCTTCTGGCTCTGATATTGAATTTGACGACGACGAGTTCCTTTCCGACGATATGGACGCCAGTGAAAACGCCGGTGGCAAGCGCCGAGCCGTTCCCAAGCGCAACGATCCTACCGCCTTCTCAACCTCTATCTCCAAAATTCTGGCTACCAAACTTACATCTGCTGCCCGAGCTGATCCCGTCCTGTCCCGAAGCAAAGCTGCTGCCGACAAAACTAGCGATACCGCCAATGAGAAGCTCGACAATGCCGCCCGAGCTAAGATGCGCGCAGACAAGAAGGAAGAGCTGGATCGTGGCCGTGTCCGTGATGTGATGGGTATTGAAAGAGGACTTGCTGGCCCCGTGGCTGAAGACGAGAAGCGTTTGCGCAAGATGGCGCAACGTGGTGTCGTGAAGCTGTTCAATGCTGTCCGAGCTGCGCAAGTCCGGGGAGAAGATGCCGCGAAGGATGAACGCAAGAAGGGAACAGTCGGTATGGGAGAGCGGGAGAAGGCTACCAACGAGGTCAGCAAGCAAGGATTCCTTGAGCTCATCAACGGCAAGAAGGGAAAGCCTTTGAACATCGAGGAGGCTTAAATCGCTAAAAGTCCTATGATTCCCCATGGCATGTTTTCCGGCGTTGGGCGATTTGTATTTTACTAGTATATTACACTTGACATTGTAAATCCATCAATCTCTTATGGTCTTGTTTTAGAAATAGTACAGGAAATTTTTCATTCGGTATCTTGTCCGGCTTGACGCAACACAAATGCACATAGTAAAATACAGGGTCCACCATACATAGTAGCTACTATATATGGACCATCTCTGGTCTGTTCGCCAAAGCTTCAACATCCACTCCAAGATTAGTAGGCGCTTCGCAATTATTGTTAATTTCAAGGCCTTATTTCGATTCGAAATCGCTAGCCTGTAGGTTCCGTGTCATTGTCGGCAGCTTCACCACCATGCCGTCCATATCCTTGGTGACCAAAACCTGGCATCCTAACCGAGAGGTCTCGGTCAAACCAAATGCCAGATCAAGCATATCATTCTCGTCGTCTGATGGTTCCTCCATCTTGTCGAACATGTCCGGGTCCTCCACGATAATATGGCAGGTAGAGCAAGCGCATGAACCACCGCAAGCACCTATAAAACATCGAGGGTCAGTAAATCCGCGTATTCAGTTAAACAGAGTTTCAAGAGATTTGACGTACCTTCCATCTCAAGGTCATTCGCCTGTGCAATATCGAGCAGGTTGTCTCCCTCAGCTACCTGTAACTCGACTTTGGTGCCATCCTTCTCAACAAAGGTAATGTTGATTCTAGGGTCATTGTCAGCAATTGCAGTGTAATATGACCAAGCGCAATCCGTGGATGGCTTACTCCTCGCCGGCTTTCGGGGGTGTGACGTGACCGTGGGCAGCTTGCGCAGAGACAGAGAATGTACGCTGAGCTGACTTCCACCCTTGCGAGGGCAACTGGAGGCTCTTGTTTGTGGCCGACCCCCACCGGTTCACATTGACCGTTCCTCCGATTCTCCGCGGGATTGTTGAACTGGCATATCTCCGTGACTGAGTCAAACACGCCTCACCAGTAGCCTTAGGCACTACTCGGCGCAATTGCTGGTTGAATCCTTGCCAGAGGGCCATTGCGATTTAATAAAGTAGAAGACAAAATGAGAATGAAGTGAGAAAGTTGAAACTAAGAATCACAAGGGAAAACAGAACTGGGGCGGAGGGAGAGGATCGTCCAATAGCCGCGGAGGGAAAAAAAAGACTGACAAAGCCAAAAGGCGGCGGGCTCGGACATCTCTCGCTGCTACTTTCTCCGACCCTTTTAACCCCGACCACCCCTCACTCGTCCATCCAACCATGGCCTCTCGTGACGGGATCAATCCCTTGCGGCCTTACTATATCCCCCAGTCGGGGCTGTCGCCAACTCCAAATCTGACTCAAGAGGTGTCGGCACCGTCGCCCTCGTCAGCTCAGGTGTTTGGGAGCTCCGCGCGCGACCTCATCCCAGATATCGACTACTCAGATTATCTCGACTCCTCGCCCTCGGTCACAGATTGGTGCCGAGAGGCTGTAAACAACTCTCTTATCCGCTATGCACAAGTTCTGATCGCGCAACCTTTTGATGTCGCCAAAACGATCCTCCAGGTGTATGTCGTATCTGACACCGCAGAGGAGGACCGGAGGTCGACTCCGGGACCTGGGAGCAGCACATATGACTCGGTATGAAGGCCTTGTTACTGAACAAAGTGCGACATGTAGCTGACAAAAGTATCTATAGGAGTCAGAATCTTCCGACGATGAGAGCACCTATTTCACCTCCGCCGCCCCTACTACACCAAATCCAAGTACACCGCGATCCCGAAAGGTCCGGCATCGCATCACAGACCGCAGTGGCTACATTCGCCCAGATGACGGATCAGGATCATCCAAACATGCCTTGGCTATTAAAAACCCGACGTCGTTAACAGATGTGCTTTCCCAACTCTGGACTACTAATGGACCGAGCTCCCCTTGGAAGTCATCCAACGCCACATTCATCTATTCATTGCTCCTCCCCACTTTGAATACATTCATTCGCAGTCTCCTCTCTGCTATTATTGGCTTCCCAGAGGAAGATATTGCCTCGTCCATGACTGCCGATATCTTGACGGCACCTTCGCCTCTCGCCACGCTAATCCTGTCATTCGTCTCCTCCTCGCTCTCCGCACTCATTCTTTCTCCCATCGATACTGCTCGCACTCTTTTGATGCTGACTCCCGCAACACACGGTCCACGCTCCCTTATCCGGGCCATCCGTCAACTCCCCACCCCCAACTCCACGATTCCTCCTCATCTCGTCCCGATCACCATTCTCCACTCCAGTCTTCCAAACTTCATTACAACCGCGACCCCTCTCATCCTCAAATCATACCTGTCAATTGATCCTCTCCTCAACCCATCCACATGGAGTCTTTTCACGTTCTTGGGCTCTGGTCTCGAGCTTGCGGTGAAATTCCCGCTCGAGACTGTTCTCCGCCGCGCCCAGATTGCCACATACACTTCTCTCAGCCTACGTCAAAAGTCCTCGGGCGGTAGTATAAATGCGGCATCTATTGATGCTGCTGATGTCGAGACTATTGTTCCCACCCCGCGCACTTACCGCGGTGTTATTGGTACGATGTGGCACATCGTTCACGAAGAGGGTGTCAGTCCTTCTCCTACCGATGCTGACCGTGTCCGCACTGTTCTCGGCAAAACTACGACCCAAAATGACAACCAGAAGCGGCAACAAGGCCAGGGTATCCAAGGCCTTTACCGTGGCTGGCGAATAGGGATGTGGGGTCTCGCCGGTATGTGGGGCGCCAATATCCTCGGTGGACTGGCCGGTGGCTACGAGGACGAAGTTACCATGCGCGGTGGTCATGGACGCTCCAGCGGTGGCCGGTTTTAGTTGAACCTGGTTTCTTGAAGGGATGCTTCCTAACGGTAAATTGGATGCTCGGTTTTCGCTGAAGACTCATTATTTCGGCCCATTTTCAAACAAGAGAATTATACCTTCAACAAGGTCCATGTGTCTCGAGAAAAGGATGACACTTGCCTTGTGTTACCCAGAGATAGGAACCTCGATTCACGCTCTTCATATCATTTATTTCGACTCTCTCCTCCTTCCTCTGCTCACATCTTATACCCCAAGGAATGGATCCAGGGGTCAAGCAAACGGCGCTTTTGATTTTACACCTTGTATAAAACTTCACACTACATAGGAATTCAATTAACTTTCGCTTTTTGGAGAACAGCCATATCTACTAGTAGGTTCAAGATGTCAGTCATCTCCGCATCTGAAGAACGCATTACCCGACCTCAGGTCAATGCGCACTTAGGCTGTATGAAAATTCCAACCCACCGAGTAGCCCGCAACTGCGTCAACCACACCTGTTGGAATAGTATCTAGTTATTCGACACCGCTCTTGGTAATACCTTTCTAAGTAAATCCACGGAACTTTATCAAGTTGATGACAGCTAGCGTATTACCTTGTCTTTAAATATTGGAATCGTAGCGAGTTTTCGGGCAAATGAGGTGTCTGACCTCAATGTACATGAGAAGGCACCAAGAGAAAGCCAAATCTACACCTGACTTTCTGATCAAGATTAGAGATGTTGTCTAGCTACGAAAGTCTGGATGACTCGAAACCGAATATCTGACAACTAAAGTCTAAATCTATGTAGCATTTGAGCCTAGTAACTAATCATACCACCCAAGTACGTTTCTACCTCTACGATGACAGAGAAGGGCAAATGTAGGTTCATTTATTGAATCGTGAAATTTTCGAGTATCCAGTCTCTGTCAATCATTCTTGGCCCATTCCACCGTCAACTCGTGTTTGAAAGTTCAAATTTTTGCTCTTGCTTCCCCCCCGAAATAATCCGTTAGAACCGTCATCACGCCCCATCCCTAGCTGATTCTCGTGTTTTGTATCTTTCAGGACCCCAATATCAGATTTTAATTCATTTCCAGCCGTACTCGAAACCTTGAAGTAGGTGGAACGGCCAAATCGGATGGCAAATTAACCGTTTTAGGCATCAGATTGCTTGGGTTGGCGTCCAGCGGCATGAGTTGCTAGAAGTTCATCGGAGATAGCCAAAGGTCGAGCTTCTGGGTCAAATCCACTCTCAACGGCCTTGTTAATGATTGTTTTTATTGTACTTCTTGGTATACCAAGAACATCAGATATTTTGTAAGGGTTCAGTCCTTGGGATTTGAGGGCAAGGATAGCACCCCGGTTGCTGAGGTCGATTGGCATGATGGTTGTGTGGGTAGGCAGGTAGAAGGCAGGTCTTTTTGACTCCTGTAAAGAGACTATCAGGAAAGGAGTTATTAGATTGCAGGTCAGATGTGTTCTAGCCATCTGGCCAAGAATTTGACAAATACCTTCTTGATGTAGATGGTGTGTTCACTTTTAAAAAATGATTGCGGTGACACAAAAGAAGCTGAAGATGGTTTGAAAAATATCAGCGTTAGATGTGATGTAGACGGAAGAGAAAGAGAAGAAGAGTGAAACCTTGGAAGATGGGAAACACTCCTAGGGCTGGTATTAATAGGTAGCAAACATTCAGATGTCAGGTGACTAGTCAGAACGATTGATGGAATGATGCTACTAGTAGGTATTACTAAGGCTGAGTGAGGATTACCTGTACTAAGAGTCAAATAGGCTGGCTTAATAGACGGCCACTTTCTAGGTAGTACATAGTAGTACTAGTAGTTGACGAAGGTACATTCTTGTGTAAGATGACTTAGCTATCTAACAATTCTATACTTGGCAGCTTGCATCAATTGATGATTCCCGGAGTCTCTTAGGAATGATTGAATACTGAGCATGGTCATACGCAGCAAAGACTGATCCAAAATGGACATCTGATAGCAAGAAAGTTGTTTGCAAGGAGCTTCAAGTCCAACATTCTCTCGATCTCGTTGTGGATGCTCTGCAGCCAGAAATTATCACGAAAGACTTTCGCCAGAAAGGCCAAACCCTTGTTCAATATGGACTATCCAACGACATAGGAGAAAAAGACAGGCGATGAATATATGGAGGGAAAGCATATGTATGGGCTGTGGGTAAGATCGTAGGGAGTACGAAGATCTGGTTGATGGCGGATGGAGATTAGTGAGAAAAGGCAGATTTTGGGGTTGCGTGAACTCACTTTACCTTTGAAATGCCTAAATTTCCAGTCTTGCTGGCCTACTCGGCATTAAGAGGTATCTAGAGTTGCCTATTGCAAGTAGCAAAATCCGAATTCAAATCTTGATGGTGAAGATAGTGAAAAAGTATAGGGAAAGAGAATATTGTAGTTCGATCATTCAATTCATGAGAAACAAGGTGTATACATCACACAAATCGCCAAAGATAAAACGCCGTTCAAGAAGTCCCAACCGTCTAGACTAGAATGGAAAAAATGGGTACAATGAATCCACCACAGGAATCAACCCTAGACCATTTTCATATCGGTCAGATTCCCCGTTCAAGCACATAGGTAGTCTACTTATGCAGAACATAGCCACAGAGAAGAATCAAATAAAACATTTGCTTTTGGAGAAGAGGGTCACAAGTGTGGGTTGTGTTGTGGAAACCTGTAAAAGACGAAAGACAATGTAGACCATGTGGTGGTACACAGCAATCGGGGCGTGGGTATCATTTTGCCTCGGTGAGGACAAATAAAAAAGGAAAGCCCGATGCAGAATCGAAAGAGAGGAAGGGTAAAGGGGGTATAGATGGTCTTCGTTGGTCTTTTTTTTTGACTCTTTATTTCGAGGCAAATCGCCTGTCAAAGTAGCGGAGTACGCCCATCACGCTAGCAGCCTCAACCTCCAAGGCGCCTCGGTCACCGTTGGCTTGTGCGGCGAAAGCAGCAGCCTGGTCACGAGGGTTCGGGAGGGTGTGAAGCTTAGGCAACCAGGTGGAGATCTCATCGCTGGCTCGGGAGAAATTGGGGTGGCGGGACAGAGTGGTGAAGGCATCGGCACAGCTCAAGGTGAGCGCGTTGGGTGTAGAGGGTTTGGCTGCAACAGGTTGCGCAGGCATGGGGGGGTTGTTACGCGTGGTCGGGGCGGTGGGGGCATTTCTTGACATGCAGCATCCTCCGTCGGCTCCCTTGCCACCGCAGCAGCCTCCCCCCGCTGGAGTTCCGCTCGCTGACCGGGAGGCTGCCAGCGTCTTGCAAAAAAGGGTGCTTCGAGGATCGGCAAGACACTGGGCGCAAGTACCGGGTCCGTTCGCACATGGGTTGGTGGCTTGGCTGATAGGCGGGAGAGTCACATCACCGTCGGAAGGGGGTGGGGTGAACTGGGAGATAGACTGGATGGGAGCAAGACGAGGGTTGTCGAAAGAGTTGCGGCGGGCACGCTCCTCCTCTTGGGCAGCCATCTCAGCACAGATGCAGGGAGTACCATCTTGGCAGAAGCCACAGGGGTCGACTGGGGGTGATGAAACGTTGTTGTTGTGATGGTGGTGAGAAACCGGCTGGACAGGAACACCAGAGAATCGAGCGGTGAAATCAATCTCCATCTCCTCGGGATCCGGCTTGATTTCCGGCTCCGAGACTTCGCGTTCGGGACTTCCAACCCCGTGGGGAGGATATCTACCTCGAGACTCGTGAGTATCAATGGGCATACCGAAGGCATCTTCGATGCACTGGCAGTGCGCAGAAGAGCAATCGCCGCAACCCAAGGGCACGTTGTCGGGTTCTGGCTCCCGGTTACGCTCGACACGGGTAGTAGCAACAACACCTTCCATCCGGGTGCTGCGAGTAGAAGGGCGAGTACGAGGCGGTAGAGGAACCGAGTCCGGCATCGGGGACTTGGTATTGGAACTGGACATGGAAGCTCGGAATTCCTTGACAAGAGCTTCTTTGGCACTGCGTTCAATAGCTACTTCCTTCTCAAGAGTGTGGCATCGGTCACGCCACCAAGCCATCTCCTCGCGGCACTGGTCGACTTCCCGCGAAAGATTGCTGATCTGCTCGGCGAACGTCGAAGATCGATTGTCATGGTTATCTTCCATGTCTTTCATCAATTCTTCCAACTCCTGGACTCGAGCAGCCCGACGCTCGCGGAATGCCCGCTGAGCAGCTCTGTTCTGAGCCTTGCGCTTGGTGGGTGGCGTGTCGGTGGCTGGTTTGCGACCAGGCTTCGGTCGTGGGGGGATCACCCATTCTTTCGATGTGATGGAGCCGGGCGTACCGGGACCAGGTGACGGTGCCACGGAGGGTCTGGCAGCTAAGGCAGGGGCCATGGCCAGCGAAGGGGCCGAGGCCGGTGCAGGCGTGAGAGACACGCCTGTCGTGGCCATTGTGGTGGCTGTAATCAGTTCAGGTGCTGCGTTGGGGTCAGCAAGAACATTGAGGGGATCACGAGTCGGGTAGGTTCGGGGGTATACGCACTAGCCGTTTGTCGGTCGGAAAAGCGGATGTGCGCTCATACGACCCGATAAGCGAGCTAGGACCACTCTTGATTAAGAAAATTGACCAAAGAAGGGAGGAATTGAGGCAGAAATTGACAACCCTGCAGGTGGGAAGATAAAGGGTCGCATATATAGCTAATAAGAAGCTAGGAAGAAATTCGGGGAGAAAAGTGGGAAAGGAAGGAGAAGAAAAGGGCGATGATCAGATTAGATTGTGCTCACATGATGCCGGTCTCGGATGGTCCAAGTCGGCTGTAGCGGGGAGGATCCATTATTACAGAGTTTTCTCCTTATTTTCCTTACATATTATTCGAATTTTTTTTTATCAGATCCGTGTGGAGGTCAAGTTGACCGAGTGGGCTGACTGGAGTCAGTAATTATTTCTTCTACATGGTCTATGATTCGTTCTTTTCTATCGCTAACCGCGTCTATATAGTCGGGACTCAGGAGGAGAGAGATGTACGTATACAGTAGTACGGTTCAGTACTAACCGTTATAATAGTGAGTTGGACGTGCAATGACCATTCACAGTTTTAGTGTCAACCAGGACAAGAAAGAGAAAGCAGTCAGCCTATGTAGGAAATCAGATAATAATCAGATTTTCCCATAAAAAGAGGCAGCCAAGTATCAAATCCTGGAACGTGGATGGACTACCTAGGCCAAGTCCCCCACCACCTTCGGTGTAAACCCGGCCATTACCTAGCGGAAACGGCGATTCAACCAATAACAAATGTTATGGTGCGCGAAATCCTTTTTCCCGGGACAGAACTAGTCTCTATTGGTCTCATCTCCAGCGGTGAGTAGGCATGGATCGACCAGAACTCCTGCCGCGTCCTTGACGTTCTTTGGTAGAGCCCTAACTCCCGCAACGAGGTGATCTTATCTGATGGCGCTAGCCAACCTCGCCTGCCCCCTTGGGCAATCCGAGCGCCCCTCGATCCACGTTTTTGAATCATCAATGATGCTGCAACGCAATTGATTTTCTTCTTCTTCGGGACTCACGGACCAACCGTGCTTTGCTGCTAAATTCGTTTCTTTCATTGGTCGGTGGTCCAACCGCGTCTTTGGGTTGTCTTCTTGGCGGTTCCCTCTCCACATCAAATTCTTATCAATCAGTGGCCATATTTTGCTCATCGAGCCGAGCAAGGGCCGAAAAACGGGAATTTTCGCAGTCACAGCTCGCTTTCGGAAGTTTAGCCCCTACTTTCATGGGATTCTGCGTCGTTCTGGAAGGCTGGAGATTCCCTATGATGGTTTCCAGCACAATTGAATCCACCATGGATTTTGGATTCCGTCATCTTTAACTCTAGCGGCATGGCTACGGATCAGTGGCAAATGAAAAAGAGGGGCTATCGGTGATCCATTCCGGTGTAGCCCATTACTTTCTGCTAAGTAGCACGTCAGGACTCAGACCCTGCTAGTATTTGATCGGGTAGTATCGGCCGACATGCGGAGCTTTTGAACAACAACCGTAAGCCATTCAGATCAAAAGAATTGATGCTGGCGACAATGAACAATGGAATTTGGCACAGTATGAGATTTCTTGTGGGGATGATGGGAAAGTCAGGGGTGAGGTGTCAATGCTTTACATGCGGACTCGGAGCAAAGAAGCCGGCACCAAGATCTCCGAGAGCACCTGCACACCTTCCATGGTTTCGCCTGTAATGTCTGTCAGTCAATGATTCACTAGCTTTAAGTGGATGAATTATCTTCGTTGTGTGCGAATTTCCTTGGCTCTGCCGAAGACGGATTGATGTACCCTTTGAGAGATTTTGCTGGAAAACAAGTCGTTGGTCTGCGCCGCGCCTGCAGTTCTCCAAGGAATTTTGCGAGAACTCCAGACATCATCAGGGTTCATTTTTATTTGAAAATTTCCACCCGCTCAAGGTTATTAGGAAATTACAATCCCGAGACTGACGCCAAGCTCTGGTCGCAGCAAATAAACTAGCTAGGACTATGTACAACCTTCAAAGGCAACCATGTCTTACGAATACTAAAGTTGCAGTTTGTTTCTTCCCATCGCAAATCATCCTTTATACCACAACCTTGGAAATATTAAATATACATGTATTGCCAAAATTTTGGACTGTATGAGCACTTGAATATTGCGAAGTAGTTTGGGGAGTATCACAAAACATACTACTACAGGCATAAGTTACCAACATCTCCGCTTCCCTATAATCGGACCAGCTTGCTTCAGCCCGATTGGATTCTGATGTATCTGTACTAGCTTTACTAACTTATGCTTCAAGCTTCAAATGTTTGGTATAGCTAGCAATCTTTCATTTTGAATGATATCTTCAAATCTTACCACCAGTCTGCACTTGCACTGGCTTAGTCATAATGAAACATATGCAGAAGTGATTATTCTTACATATAGTCAATATGATGCACGTTCTTTGAAAAGATATCACCTAAATTCCAATATTCGAATGTCATCTGCAATACATTGATGTTGACTGGGATCACGTCATTTCATGTCCAGATATGCACACACACTCACTCGGAGTCGGATTTCGGAGTTGTCGGACTTGGACGTTGATGGGCAATCCACCAAAGCTTCAGAGCTGTGGGAAGGATCAAGATCATGGCGTGAGAGAAAATTCTGGAAATTGAATTATTTCCAAGAATGAAGCAAAAGCTAGCACTCTCTTTTAACCTGAAGAGTTCATGTTAACACCTAAGTCAATTTCCCGAAGCAGCCGTGTTCCTGACCCAAGTTTGTTATCGGCCAATCAAAGGGAACCTCGGCGATAAGGCTGCAAGGGACCGTCACCCCCCAGCCTTTTCCCCATCTCCCCTCACGATTTCAGTCTTCAGCTCCAAACCCACACCTGTTCCACATCCCACTTCACATTATAAAGACCCAACCATTAAATATGACCCGGAAACACACATTCGGTCTCGACAAGCCTTGGGCTTCCCAGTTCGCTGCTCAACTACCTCAACTGCCGGACTACTCCTATGGCATGCCGGCTCCAGTTCCAGCTCCGATGTCCAAGCCAGCTGTGACCACGGCTCCCATCAACCCCGATGACTACTCGAAGCCCTACCTTGAGTTTATGACCTCCAACCCCACCATTTTCCACGCTGTCGATACCTTCGCCAAACAGCTTGAGCAGCATGGCTACAAGAAGCTTTCCGAACGTGCGGTGTGGACCTCGGATCTAAAGCGGGGCGGGAAATTCTACGTTACGCGCAACAGCAGCTCGCTGATTGCTTTCAATATTGGCAAAGAATACGAGAGTGGTAACGGTGTGGCCATTGTTGCTGGCCACGTGGATGCTCTCACCGCTAAGCTGAAGCCTGTTTCGAAGCTCCCAGTCAAGGCCGGCTTTGAGCAGCTTGGCGTTGCCCCATACGCTGGTGCACTGAATGACACCTGGTGGGATCGTGACCTCGGTATTGGTGGTCGAGTTCTGGTCAAGGACCCAGACACCGGAAAGGTCGAGACTAAGCTGGTCAAGCTTGACTGGCCCATTGCTCGTATCCCCACTCTGGCTCCCCACTTTGGAACCCCCGCGAATGGCCCGTTCAACAAGGAGACGCAAATGGTTCCAATTATCGGCGTTGATAACTCGGATCTGTTTGAGAAGTCACCGACTCAGTCTATCAACATCAAGGCTGGAACTTTTGCTGCAACCCAACCCGAGAAGTTGGTGAAGGTTATCTCCAAGGAGATCGGTGTCACTGATTACAGCACGATTCTGGAGTGGGAGCTGGAACTCTTTGATATTCAGCCCGCTCAGTTTGGTGGTTTAGAAAAGGACCTGATCTTCGCCGGTCGCATTGATGATAAGCTTTGCTGCTATGCTGCTCAGGAGGGTCTCTTGGCTTCCGATGATAACAAGTCACCTGGTATCGTGAAGGCCGTCGGCATGTTTGACGACGAGGAAATTGGTAGTCTTCTGCGCCAAGGTGCCAAGTCAAACTTCATGGGCAGTGTCATTGAAAGAATCACTGAGGCCTTTGCAACCCAGAACTACGGTCCCAACCTCCTTTCACAGACTGTTGCGAACAGTTTCCTGGTTTCATCCGATGTCATCCATTCCGTCAACCCCAACTTCCTCAACGTTTACTTGGAGAACCACTCCCCACGCCTTAACGTTGGCGTGACGGTCTCTGCTGACAGCAATGGCCACATGACCACCGATAGTGTCAGCTCTGGTATGCTGAAGGAAATCGCATCCCGATGTGACTCGAAGCTACAGGTCTTCCAGATTAGAAACGATTCTCGCAGCGGTGGTACTATTGGTCCTATGACCAGTGCCCAGATCGGTATGCGAGCCATCGATTGCGGTATCCCACAGCTCAGCATGCACAGTATTCGAGCCACCACGGGTAGACTGGATCCCGGACTTGGCGTGAAGCTGTTTAAGGGTGTTTTCGACTATTACGAGGAAGTTGATAAGGAATTTGCCGACTTTTAAAGCATTTGCTAGAATATTTCGGCGTACAAGATTTATTCATTTTGAGCGAGCCTCATGGCTAGTCTCGGTGTTAATACTTTCGGATTCTTTTGCTAGATCGGGTTGAAAAAGAAAAGATTAACGCTTTGTTCATTCCAACTCCATACCCTTTCTCTCTGGTATTCTAAACTGTATGTCTGATCTTGATATTTGTCTCTCGACGCCCACACGTACTGAAGTCTGAAACTCACACAAAAAAGAAAAGAAAGATGACAAGAAAACAAAGATTATAAAGAAATAACATATGACTGTCTGCTGCCAGATTAGAACTCGACCACACCAGACTGAAAAGAGCGAGCAGTCTCAAGTGGTAAGATTCCTCTAAATCCCGAAGTTCGAACCAACCCGAACCAAATAAATGACTCCCCAATTGACTCCCAAAGAAGGTACCCCCATAGAAAACCTGACATGACGACATGGACACGATACGATCAATCACTGCTGATAATAAACAGACGTCTCAGACACTGTATGGTTGTGAAGGGCCTGGTGGCCATATTCGCGATCCCTGGGCCCAGCAACCTCAACGACCCCAGGAACACCCAGGCCCACGACCTTCTCCTCCCTAGACCAGCGTCTTCCATAGCTATCCGCCCCGCTCGGAACAAGCTCCAAAATTCGCTCAGGGTCTCCAACTCCATACTCAACATCCTCACCAGGCGCACCAAGCGTAGACTCGTCATTCCACGTAGTAGTACGCCGAGAAGTAGACAATTGCTCATTCCGCCGACTCCCATCCAACGTCGACAAAAGACCCGGTGCAAGTTTCGAGATGAGCGGCTTAAGAGTCGGCAAACAGGCGCAGATAATACCCGTATTACACTCGACAGCAGACCAGGATGCAGCGCCCACATTATCATAAGTGGGATCCGTCGAGTCGGAGATCCTCTTCAAACTGACCAGCCGCACAATACTTGTGATACAGACAAAGCCACCTAACCCAAACAAGATCATCAGTGCCGCTTTCTGTCTGCGCGGGATCTCGATGGCGATGAGAGCTGGGATGGGGATGATAAGGATCACGAGATCCGTGGTGATGTGCATGCTGGCGTTGGAGAACCAGAGCCCTGGTTTATTGAGACAGAATCCGGCGATCGAGTCGTCCCAGAATTTGGCAACAGGGATGCAGTTCAGGAAGGCGCTGAATACAGCCCAGGTACCATATATCGCGAGGATGGTGATCATTATCCAGCATACAACTCGCATGCGGTGTGTGGGGAAGACGCGGAAGTATTGCATGAGGATGGATGCTTTTGCGCAGAGGACGGCGGCATTATAGAAAGGTATAGTGAGCCAGAATGCCTAGTAAAGGGCATAAGCTGTTAGAAATTGGGGTTTCCACAAGCTTTTAAAGACGTCATGTCAGATATAGGGTGTCCAAGTGGTCCTACCTTCATCTGTCTCTCGAGGATCGCTGGTGGGATGTCCTTGAGATGCATTCCCATTCCACTGGTGGCCTCAATCATATCGAGGCTCATGAAAATATATGAGTTGACCTAGTATTCAAATCATAAACTTTCAATTCTGAGGTTCAAACTCTGGTGGAATAAGTAGGAAGAACTCACTAGTGCAACGACGATCATCCAGTCATTTGCCTCCATCTTCCTTAAAAGCTTGGTCCGAGTATATAAGCGCAGGCCGACAAATATAGTTGCCAGTGCTGTGAAGACAACGCTGCAAACCAAGCCTTGCACACCCCGAGGGGAGAGGTAGGTGTTGCCATTGTCACGCTTAAATAGATCCATCTCGACTTGGTCGGAGTGGAGTGGCAGTCACCAAGTAAGATGACGATACCAGCATTCCAAGGTTTCCAAGAACCTTTGTATCTGACTACCTTCCTCGGTACCAAATGTTTAGTAAAGGGGATGGAGGAAGTATAAAAGACGACAAATGAAATATTAAAAATAATAAAATGAAAGACAGTTCACCCAGTCTCATAAACCGATCAACAACAACGATCACCAAGACCACCCGCTATAAAAATAGCAGATCTGGGAATCAAACGAGCGATAAGAAGTTGACAGGTTCCCCAGATCGACACACAAGAGGGGGAAAGGGTAAGGATATAACTATGCCACGCGTTTACATCGCCATTAGCCCCCAAGGAACAGATCCATAAACAACAAGACCGGACAACGGTTGGAGCCGAAATCCACTAGTCCCGTCACCCTAGGTGAGAGAGGGCAATGAGAGCGGATCTCCCTACAACCGGATCTCCCTGCGTGAACCCTCTCCTCGCTCCCCGGATTGGCGGTACAAGACACGATCCCGGTCTAGGGGAGCATAAGGTGCAGTTGTGCAGCGCAAGGGGCTTAGATCCCGACGAATCAGGACTCGGGTGGTTTGCCACGCTTAATAAATCCGTCCTCCTGTTGAACTCTATGGTTATTTGTTCTCCCTCCATTCATTTGGCTTGATCTTTGGGTTTGTTGTTTAATGAGTGATGAAACAGGGCGTTGTTTAAAGTTGTGAATGTTTTGAACCTATTTTTCTTTACTTCTATTGCTATCTCTTTGGTAGTTCAAGTTTTGTTTGGTGGTACGTACTAGTAGTAGTAATTTTCCTGTATTTTGTTTTATCCGTTTGATTTTTAGTCTTGGTCACAGTCCTATTTCTTTTAGGTCATTGCATTGATAGCGCATATGGAGGGGCGAAAAATTGGGTGGTTCCATTCAGCTGGTAGTCTTTTATGGGCTTACTCCATGGTCATAGTCTAGACTCAGTGCTAGACTAGCCTGCAACATCGATATGGGGGTTTCCCCATGACCATAATCTCCTTTACACTCAATGTCATTTGATGACGAAGTAGCACCAGAATAAGCACCTAGGAGGACAGACGGTCGAAATTTGCAATGAAGAGTGGTATGACTCTTATCTCCTTTTCTTGCTCACATTGCTATCGGAGTTCGAACGAGATCCCTGAGAGACTTACAAACGCGTAGAGTATCCGTGAGAATAACTTTGGTTGGCTATTCACTGTGCATGGAGCGTAGTCCAATGATTGGTACAAGGCAATTTACATGATGCATATGCAGCCAGACCAGGGCAAAATTTAACATTTCAAGATGCAGGAGGCGTGCGATCTATCGACAGAGCCTGCAGATCACCGTGTGGATCGGATGATCGACACTCTTTTGGGCTTTTGTCATATTCTAGCACTGTAACCTTGGAACATTATGGAAGGCATTGAGTAGAGCACGGGGCAAATCTAAAATGTAATTACTGAGCGCACTTGGCATATTCAATTCAAGTTTCTATATATCGAATTTTACGTCATGGCTTCTTTAAGCTAATCGCACGGATCACCAGGTGCAAGGGCTAGTCAATTACTAGTGCGTTCCTTTGTAAACTTACCCCGTAGTCCTAGTGCCATTTCCTGGCCTTAGAGTTCAACTGTCAGATGGATCTCAGAGATCATCATTCGGGCCAACGGAGAGGGAAAGGCCTTGGTTCTTAAATTCTCAGGTGATGTCCATTCAGCGTACAAAAAGAAAAGAAAAAAATAAGAGCCTGTTTGCCATGATTAAATTCATCTCCACATCTGTCAGATCTTCAGGAGTGTGAGAGCACAAAGGGCAAAGCGCAAAGCACGGTCTGAGCTTCATGTCGCACGCCCTGCAAACCCCAAATAATGAGAATTTGACCTCACACAGAAGCAACGAAGTGGAAATTAAGAAAAGGGGAAACAAAGAAAACTTCCAAGTGACCAATTATAACGCATCTTTTCTCTGTCCGAAGAAATCTCCGCTGTATACTCCGCTAGACGGGGACGCCACCCCCACTAGGGCCACCATGACATGATCTATCATATTTGCAGTTTCTTCTATCGATTCCTTCCACACCATAATTTCTGGATTTTTGGTTTCATTCCACGTTCCTCTGGTAAGCTGTGCAACTCTCATTTGCGTTGAATGGGTTAGGTCGCTATGGCTCTCTATCACATGTGACTTGACCTCGTGGGACATGGTTGAATAAGCATGGCCCTGATCAAAATCCGGTTCCTTGATCAAGGTCAATGCTGCCAATGTCTTGTTCATTAAGAAAAACGACTCCAAAGAATTAAATGTTTTCTCTTCCAACTTTCCTAGGAAGATTCCCATACAAAACTTGTGAATTTTTTTACTTTCTTCAAATAGACAAGCAGGTTTACCGGTCCGTATGTAGCCCTCCACCGGTATCTTCTCTTGAAATGGTATAGCCGCCGTGATGGCATGGTAAACTGCCTGGTCGAGATTACAATCTCATGCACAGACGCTGATTTCTTTGTGTATACCGGTTGATCTGCAGCCGTCAGAATATTACTGAATTTTGAATGTCTAGTCCACCTGGGCACGACCTTTCCACCTTTTTGACCGCCAATCTCAAGTGCTGTCGTCTGGCTTCTCTGTGCTTGGTTTCGGGACCCTGGAGATGGTGCTCCTGCTCAGGTGATGTGACAGCCTGAATTGTAATAAATTTCTATCAGGGTCGGTTTATACCCAATATTAAAGTGAGCGCAATTGAGGGCAAACATTATGTATTGATGTTCAAGGTAAGAGAACACCCATGTGATATATGTATTCCCAGTAAGTTGACAGTGCTTTTAACATTTGAAGGTTCCAGGGTTAAGATAGATGGTATCATGTCCATATGAAAGCACATGTGTAGGAAGGGTAAAACGTATCGACATAACCAGTAATATTTCAATAGGCAGTAGTAGTATATCTGCATCTCTGAAATGTTCAAACCTTGGAACTTGAAAGTCAACTGGTCCTGGTACCTTGGAAGCGATAAGATAAACCCGATAAGCGCGCACAGACCAACTGGCCGAGAAATTTCATTTTCCACATCGCTGCGCCCACTATTTCCCCTCCACAACGAGATCCGAGTTTCTAGTTCCTTCGTTTCGAAAGGCCTAGAAATACACATAATACAATGGCGGACTCTGTGTCGTCGCCGCCCAAGGCTATCCACACAATCGTGTTGGATGCCGGTCCCATCCTCAAAAATACCCCGCCGCTCTCGACCCTACTCGCCCAATGTGAGGAACTTATCACCACACCCTCTGTGCTTGCCGAGATTCGCGACCCCGACGCTCGCCTTCGTGTTGAGACCTTGTACCTTCCATTCTTGAAGCAGCGCTCCCCCAAACCCGCAAGCTACAATGTCATCAGCGAATTCGCCCGCAAGACTGGTGATCGCAGTGTCTTGAGTCGGACCGATATCGAGGTGCTGGCGCTTGCCTACGAGATCGAGTGTGAGAGCAATGGAGGTGATTGGCGATTGCGCAGCGTCCCCGGACAGAAGCGTATCAACGGAAGACCACCTGTGAAGGAGGAAGAAAAGGTGGAGGGAGCTGAGACCGACGGTGTCGAGGCAATTACCGAGGGTGTCCAGGAGGCTACTGTCACGGACACCGTGGAGGAGCCCAAGGAGGAAGAGCCTGCCACTTTGCAAGAAGATGCGTCCGCGACCGAGGATGCCGTTGAGCCCGCGACGGAGATTGCGCCCACAACCGAGGATGTCACTGAGGCTGCGGCTGAAGAGAATACCCCGGAGGAGGACCTAAATGAGGAGGGAGAAGATGATGCCGCCGATTCCGATGGCGGAGAATGGATCACACCCACCAACTACAAGCAGCGGCTGGCCCGCGACGACGGTGCCGATTCTGCGCCGGAGGTCAAGGTGATGCAGGTCGCCACCATGACCACCGATTTTGCGGTTAGTAAATTACTCTCCAATATGAAAGAAGAAATATACGCTAATCAACCTTGCAGTGTCAAAACGTTCTACTGCAGATGAACCTCAACCTGCTGTCAACGACAACCTTGCAAAGAGTTCAGCATCTTAAGACCTTTATCAAGCGCTGCCACGCTTGCTTCTCCACTACTAAGGAGTTGAACAAGCAGTTCTGTCCTCGTTGCGGCAAAGACACACTCACTCGTGTTTCGTGTACCACTACTGCTAACGGCCAGTTCAGCATGCACTTGAAGAAGAATATGCAATGGAACAACCGAGGCAACGTCTTCAGTGTCCCCAAGCCCACCCACGGCAGTTCCAACGGAAAGTGGAAGGGAGGCGGTGGAAAGAACGGCTGGGGTCAAGAGCTCATCCTCACTGAGGATCAGAAAGAATACACTCGATCGACCGCCGAGGAGGAGCGCCGCCAGCGTCGTGAGCGTGATCTCATGGACGAGGACTACCTGCCCGGCATCTTGACTGGTGAGCGGAACAAGATGGGCGGCCGCGTGAAGGTTGGCGCCGGTCGCAATGTCAACTCCAAGAAACGTTAAAACTTGGGACGACTTTTGCATTACGGATTACATGGGCTGGAGTTTGGGTTATACGCACAAAAAGTCCTTGAGTTATCTCCATTTGACGGAGATGGCCCCGCCTGTTGATGAGCAATGATCAAGTCTTTGTCTAATGGCTACAGAACCTTTGCACATAGATAGTACGGAATAGAATACCTTGAACGCATTTTTACGAAATTCGAAGATAAAAATTTTGAAGACATGTCATTGGTAGCCAATATCAAGGACCTACCAAGGTCCTCCTAATAGATCACACCTCAAACACTCGGCTAAATATCCGAAGCAATGCAAATCGCAGCCGTCCATCGACTGTACAAACTAACACCATGCGCCGAAACACAGGCCAAAGCACCTTGTGATCCCTCAAACCCAATTTTTCAACCTAGTTTCTTGTTTAAACAGCAGGAGCGTCCTCTGGGCTGGAAGTTAGCTTTCTGGCGGAAATATTAGGGTAATATGGGACGATTCATACCGGTCTGCTGGGTGAGCAGGAGGCCGTAGCGCTTCTTCAGGGTAACACGGTGACTAGGAACAAAAATGTCAGTCCGGGTCGTCTGCTTGTCGAAGTTCACGATCCACATACCGGGAGTACTTGTCGTCAGGAGAGAAACGGGCGGGGTGGCTTCTGGATGTAAGTATTTGGAAATAAGGGCTGTCTGTAGGGTTGGAAGCATACGCGGACTTGGAGACCTTGCCATCAACGACCTGAGGAGAACTGTTAGCCCTAGGATCCTAGGCGGATTATAACTATCAAAATGACCTACCTTCTTCAAGGTGTAGACACGCTTGCCATCGGCACCGATAGTGTACTGGTTTGATTAATTAGCGAGTGTGTTCCTGAGGGATTCGGCGGGATTGATCGTTTGGTTCGTTCGGCGATCGTAACTGATTCGAACATACCATAAGATGCATTCTAATGGGTTTAAAATTAGTAAACGTCTCAAAATCAAAGCATATCAAAATGCGCCCAAGGCTCGAATACTCACTTGGAGGTTTTGTTTCGTGATTTGGCGGTAATAATAGCTGGGGTCTTGGTTGCTGGAGCCGGAGGAATTTTTTTTTGGCGCCGACGCACTCGGGGCCGCTGCTTAGTCATGATGTGCGCTTAAAAAGCCGAAGCTCTCCAGTTTTGACTTCTTCCCACTTCTGACTTTCAGAGAAATCTGCTTGGGAATCTTAACAGTGTTGATGATGCACTGTTGCAATTGCTGAGTAGGTAGCCGTCGTAAGCAGCTGGAATATTTTGCAAGTTACTGCTTTTGTTGTTCCTTCACTTGGCCCAACCTCGACAAACTTCTTGGGCCGCAGAGACTTCAGGTGAGTTTGAACAAAGCTTCAAGGAGCTCATCTGCTTTTTTTCCCTTTGCTTCACTACCCCCCTCTTTTATGATGACCAAAAACTTAACATAGGCAAAGGCACTACTTTGATTTCAGCCTTTGCCGTTGATGTTACTTTTGACTACAACGGTATCTGAGAAGATCACCACTATGCAAATCTATTCACTCGCATATGTGTCAGAAGAGTTTGGCTAACCCTGCCTCTTCATAGATTTATTATTTATTATTTCAGTCCTGAATCTCAGTAATCCTTCCAAGATGGCCGAATCTACCAGCTCGTCCACAGCTGTCCCTGTCAAAGGGAAAGGCCCACGGAATCGTTCTACTAGGCCCAACTACAGGCATATTCATCGCTTCCCTCTCCCTGTCACTATCCACCCTGTTCCTCCTGTAATTCCTCATAATCCTCTTTCTCTCATTAGTGTTGCCCTCTCGTATCTATCTTTTTTGATCTCCCCTCCTCGCCAAGAAGTTTACAGTGCATACTTTGACCTGGCTACCTCTTCCGTACATGTTACAGATGAGAAAGCAATCAAGGCTTTGTGGCAGATGGGATTCTTCGGCAAGGGTAATCTGAGTCGAAGTGAGCCCAGCTGGCTGGAGCGTGAGAAGAAAAGGAGAGGTCTCCTGGGTGGGAGCACTAGTGAGGAGGCTACAAGGAAGCGCAGAACAGAGCGTCGGGAATTGAAGCTCGAGCGCGCAAGGGTGGAAAGGCTGATGGTCGAAGAGAGACTTAAAGCTGAAGCCGCAGCTAGAGAGTCCGGCGCTTCGTCTTCAGTGTCCGCTGATGCCTTGCCTGCTGCACCTATCTCGGTAGAAAAGTTCTCAGTCAAGAAGGCCATGGAGGCCAAATACCAAAGAAATCGGCAAGCGGCGATGCAGAACGGCAATGCAAACCCGCCTACTACTGATGAGACCAACGCATCCAATGAAAAATCCGTGCGGTTTTCGCCTGCCGTCCAGGAGAAAGAATCGACCAGACCTGTTGACGATGATGCCGATCTCGACATGGACTTTGATAATGAAGAGCATCTCCAGATCTCAAATGAAGAGACATTCTTCTTGGTCTATGGCCTCGGCACTTTGCGAGTCGTTGATCGCGAGACCAATGCCGTTATTCCGACTTCCACCCTCTTCTCCCTCCTATGCAACCACTCCCACTACCCGCCGCGCCTTCCCTCCTCCGATATGCAACCCGACGACCCCTTCCTGATTTCATATTCGGTATATCACCACTTCCGATCCCTCGGGTGGGTGGTCCGATCTGGCGTGAAGTTCGGAACAGACTACCTCCTTTACAACCGAGGCCCGGTGTTCTCTCACGCCGAGTTCGGCGTTATAATTGTTCCCTCGTATGAGGATCCCTACTGGTCAGAGACTCAAGAGCGCAGAGACCATGTGGCTCAAAAACAGGATCGAAGTTGGTGGTGGCTGCATTGTGTGAACCGCGTCCAGGCTCAAGTGAAGAAGAGCTTAGTAATTGTCTATGTTCAAGTGCCACCACCCCCATCATCCTTTGACGATATCGGGACTGTTCTTGGTCGCTACCGAGTCCGCGAATTTCTCCTACGACGATGGATTCCTAATCGGAGCCGTGATTAGGAGATATCGTTGGTCAACTCCAATTTTTTCTGTATTATTATGATGAGGGCTTCAGATACCCAATCATCTCCATAAATATGTGCCAAAAAATACATATTCACATGATAATGACATTGTTCATGAATTCATCTTTGATATTTCATCTAGATAGTTTCTCTCCAGCTGCGGCTGCTTGTAAGAAAAGGGACACGCTAGACCGCATTGGGTAATATTACTGGTTACCAGGTCACGTGGGTCACGCGTTTCGCGTCCGCTTCAATTCTCCATCAAGTCAATCTGTACTACGTAATAAATGCCCAAGATCTATGAACCATATCATATTGCGACATATCAACCATGTTAACGAATGTTTAATTCATTTGATCTACGGCATCAGGGATGGAGACTCAGGACAGTATCGATATTGCACATCTGCAACGCGTCGCGTTGGGACTTGTATGTGTAATGACCTGCAGCGTTCCGGATTTCTATTGGGCTAACAATTTTGACGTCTTCAGGAGCACGACCCATATGTCCCTGGACAAGCACATCTTGACAGCCCCTCGCAACCACGGTCGACCCATGCAGATGAGGTTGTCAATCGTTCCTACAGTGACAGTTCCCCGACGGCTCCCCGGAATTTATCTCTAGTCGCCTCGAATCCAACGAGCCGTTCCCATAAGCGTAACTCCTCTCCTCAATTACCTCGACACTATGAAAACTTCCCCATGAATCCTCCCAGCGAGCCGAACAAGTCTATCTCAGTTTCCAGGTCGATTGTACCTGCAGCAATGGATCCCACGGATGCCACCCCGAGTGACACTCAAGTTGTCTCACAATCGATCTACGATAGTATAATCCAGCGAAATGGGGAGTCCATGTATGGAGGAGCTTCACAATACGGCGGAGATGGTGGCACTCTTAGGACATTACACGAGGGCGATAGTGGCCATATTGATCTTCTTGCCGAATTCGATACAGCACACCACGAACCCAACCTCTCTCCGATCCAAGATGAAGAAAGCAACTATGACCCGGATGAATCGTCTCCAATGCATTACCAGCCCGAGTTCTTCCCTGAATCCCAACGCTTTATGGCCACGACTCCCGGGACATCGATAAAAAAGCCTCAGACTCCAGGCACACTGACGGAGACGCCCACTCAATCGAGGAACCCTCTTGCCGGAGATATCGAATCTAGTGGGGGGCTGATGGGCTTGAGTCAGTTATTTCGAGCAACTCAGGCCCAATCGTCCCCCTTGGTTCATGGCCAACAACCGGAACTTGTATCAGATCGTCCATCGCCGAATATTCCCATTCAGCGACCCCGCATAGCTAATAATGTTTCCTCGCCACTTGTTCATTTTACGAGAGAATCATCCGAACCGAACCTCCACTACATATCCATGAAAGAGTCACAGTCAAGGAGGGATAAATCTCTCGGGGAAAGATTGACACGGTCTGCGGATAATATGCAATCGGATGATCCGCTGGATGAGGAGTTCAACAAGGAGTCTAGTTTTGTTCAAAATGCACGGAGACAACGACTATACGACGAAGAGACTGCTGCGCAATTTGCGGCCTTAAATGCCCCCCCGCGGTCCGAGGACCGTGCTACACCACCAGATTATCTAGACGAGAATGCGGATGAAATTGCGACCGCTGGAAGTGAGGAAGAAACGGAACAAGAAGATGAAATCGCACCGCAAGTTCCCCAGTCGCAGGAATTATCGCATCTTTCCGAAGAAGACAAGGAAAACAACCCCAGTTTTGTAAATGAGACTGATAGTGCACACGACCGGCTCTCACAAGCCCTTGGCATGGAAAGTGGTCCATCATCTCGGGTCAATACAGCACCGGAGGCTGATGTTAGGTATTCTCAGCCTGAATCGGTCGACGTGCATGACCGGTATCCATATTCTAGTCGATCCTCTCAAGTCATGGTAAAAGACTCTCAACAATCGCCACAGCCATCGCCCAGGCCCAACAGATATGAGGCCCAAGCTGACCAGCAATCATTTACGCTGCAGCTTGAGCCCGCCCCTAATAGTATCGACGATGGGAATGTTTCACCTATCCGACAACGCCTTCAATCTTCTCCGCCTCCTTCACAACTAGAGGATGGGCTTAATTCAAATTTCGATTCCCACGAGCAGGGCCCTGATGTCGAAATGGAAGATCATGCGCCGTCCAACGATGCTGTGCCACTACAATCTGGCATTGCTCGTGCTTTGCCCAAAAGTGGGCTATTCTCCAACAGCTCCCAAGGTGGTGCCGGGAATAAATCTTCCTCGATGCCCTCGCGTGTTACTGAAACGCCTGTTCACCTACGTCCAGATCCTGAAGACTTGTCCCGGTTAACAAGCATACCAGAGACCAGCCCCAGCCACATCCAATCCAATGAATGGGAAGCAGGGTCCAATGCTGATGGATTGAATAATGAGGATGATGACCTGCCTCCTATGCTACCTACAGGTGTTGAACGATTTGGTCAGATGCACCATTCACAGTCCCGTGCCCTTTCATCCCCAATCAAGACCCTCATTTCCCAGGCACAATCCCAGATTCTATCTAGTCCAAGTGGAAGACAACGCCGTGCTTTGACTGAGATTGCTTCGGATTGTTCTCCCCAAGCTGATTTCAAGATCGGGGATATCGGCTTGGATTTCTTCACTGCCGACGATGATGATTTTAATTCATTGGTCATTGATGGTTCCCCGACTCGCCCTCGAAAGAGAAGACGAGGCAACTTTGGCCAGTCCTTCAATACGTCCGACACTGCTGTTCCCGGGACGCCTCGTGCACACACCTATAAGACTACAGCACCCATCCATGAGAGCCCCGCTCAGCATCTGTCCTCATCAGCAGTTACCAATATTCCTGCACCTCCCCGCAGACAATCCAGACCTGCTGTTAGAGATGATACTGTATGGGAAATCGGAGACTCTCCGCAACAACCGACTGTACGACGAAGATCAAGGCACACCGGAGCTACTGCTCCCCGGGACATGGGAAAGCGACATGTACAAAAACATCATACAGAAGTTCAAGCGCCAACTCTGCCCGTACCCACTGGAAAAACCGCATCAGTCACATCTTCTGAACTCACTGAACTCACTGATGTTGATATCACCTCAGAGGACCAGCCTTTATCAGATAACAACATCACCAATAGCCCTCCTACCACACCTCAACCTGCCCGGATATCTTCTGATAGCACCTTGATTGCTCCCAATCAAGTCATTGCTGTGTGGAAGGGTCAAAAACGGGCATATTACCCTGCTACTTGCTTCGGAACGCCTCTTGGTGTCTCACAAACCAATTACACTGTGAAATTTGAAGACAGTCTTCCTATCGAAGTCCTTAAGGGGCTAGTTAAGAGGTTTGAACTTCACATCGGTGATGCTGTCAAAGTCGATATGCGTGGTATTCCAAAGGTCACACATCTCGTTCGTGGCTTTGATGATAAACTCACAAAGGAGGAGCTTTCCCAGGCTGCCGAAAGTGGGTTCTGCCCCCAGACCGATATTTACGGCTATTCCTCGGTTATCCTTGGGCCCAAACAACGCAAAAGCCTTCCCAATGGTGGTCTCAATAATTCCGAAAATGTGATTAAGGTACCAATGGGCCGCATCTACCTCGACATGAGTTTGTGGAATCAGCTCAAGGACCGTGACTTTACCTATCAACCCGAGCTGGCGCCCCAACCAACAGTCCAAGTCACAGTTCCAGCACCAGCCCCAGCAGCTGCATCTCATTCGCCAGAAAAATCATCACTGCCAGCCTCTCCGAGTATTCGCTTCTCTCGTTCTTTCCAGTCTGGCAGCGGTATCTTCACGAACATGGTATTTGCGGTGTCCTATACGGATGACGATGGTTCCAAGAAACGTGTTTCAAAACTCATTATGGATAATGGTGGCTCGGTATTGCATGATGGATTCACAGAACTGTTTGACACCTCTTCGATCCTTCCTTTTGAAACACCAACAAAAAGCGAGAAGAGTGAGTCCAGTAGCGCTGGACTTTGTCTAACACCCCTTGCTGAAGATGTGGGTTTTACATGCCTCATTGCTGATACATACTCCCGCCGTGAAAAGTACATGCAAGCCCTGGCACTGGGTCTACCGTGTCTCTCGGGCCGCTGGGTCGAAGATTGTGTTGCGAAGGGTCGCGTTTTAGATTGGGATGTTTACCTACTACCCGCCGGTGACTCAACTTATCTCAATGGGGCCACCAAATCCCGAATGATGATACCGACGTCGCCTTGCGAGTCTCGTCTATCTGACACCATCGCGGCAAGACCAAAATTACTGGGCGGAAAGTCCGTTCTTATCATCACTGGCCGAGGAAAAGCACAGAAAAAACGCCAAGCCTACATATTCCTCACATTTGCGCTTGGAGCTTCCCGTGTAGAGCGAGTACCAGATCTTGAGACTGCCCGCGCATTAATGGAATCTCAGTCCGAGGCTTCGTTGCCTTGTAGCTGGGACTTGGTTTACGTCGATGATGCCGATCAATCTTCTGCGCAGTCCATGTTGACCCCGAGACCGAAAACACAGAAATTTTCCTTGGTTCATGGCAAGAAGCGCAAGAAGTCAACTATACTCACTTTAAGAGATCCTGTTGACAGTTTATCGCCCATTACACGAGTTGTTGGAAATGAGTTTGTATGCCAGAGTTTGATCTTGGGTAGATTGTTTGAGGAGTGACAAATCTCTTTTTAGCTTGTTATTATGTTGATACCAATTTCATTTCAGCCTTTCCTTTTTCGGGAATCCATCTCTTCGCTTTCAGAAAAAAATCTTTGCTTTTTACCTAATCTAGCTAACTCAAGAAAAGCTGGTGTGGGTCACCTCCGTAACCGTGATAGTCTCATGAATACTGACATGATACGGATTCCGAACCGCCCCATCAGCCGGGTACAAATGTTCTTCACTGCTATTAGTTTGGTCATAACCTCGTTCTCTCGGTGAAGACACACTCGTCACCATACCCTTGGTGTCGTCGATATCCGGGCGCCAGAATTTAGGGTCATTGGAAAGCTTTGGCCCAGTCCCGTCGCCGTTCAAAGTAGCCAGCGGATATCTTACAGAACCGCTTTTTCCATATCGCTTATTCTTGCCGTAAAGACTGGCATCGAGGAACCAGCGAAACAGAGGACGGAGTGTAACCAGGCTTCCAGCGATAATACCCAGGCCAGTTTCGATAATAGACCATATAGCGATTTGGTAAGTTGAGTCTAGCAGTAGATACCCCAGATTAGCATCCTGCTTTCATATCAAACCGCAGAACGGAATCTTTTGAACATACAGAGAAAGTCGCGGTCCAGATAGAAGTGAAGAAACGGAAGTCGGATAACCACCGCTACACTCGCACTGAGAATTGTTAGCACCTGTGTCCACATCTCCTCTTCTCCAATGTCAAGAATTCCACATACATGGCACCCAAGCTCAGAATTCCTCCGACAGCAAACTTGGTCCGACTACTCATTTGCAGGTTCCAAACCAAAACAATGGGCAGGATCCCCAGTGTGAAATCGCATAGTATCGTGAGTGCGCTATAAAGATAGGCGATATTAAGCAGAATAGTTGATGAAACGCAGGATCCCTTCGCTGTGGGATCGGCTTGTCGCCAGAAATAGGAAATTGGATGACAATCGAGAACCAGAACGAAAAAGAAAAGAAGGGCATTGGCGATTGAAAGCCCGATGAGGCAGTATAGAATTATTCTGTGCGTTTTTCGAATTGTTAATCGCAGGAGCGCGACGGCGATGGAAATCTTGGTCACGGCCGAGGACCAGACGTAGAGGATTTGACTGAGCCACCACCACTATCAATTCATTTCAGATTAGAATTATGATTATGAACATTCCCGAAAATTGATTGCATAGCTTACACGCAAGGCAGCTTCGTAGAGTTTGATGTTGGTTCCGAAATCAACTAGTTGGTGGCCAACGCCATCCTTTGCGCCGATGATACAGCAGACGATGAGGGAAGTGTAGATCATCTAGATAAGAAAGTGGGAATGAGATGTTAGCACTATTATCAAATGATTGGATTTTATTTGGGTAAATTTGTCTTAACCATACCAGTGCTGCGACCATAAGTGTATCATCCCAGCCAAACGCCCTAACAAGATACCCACGAACAAAACATCTGAAAGAGACGGTTATAACAGATAGACCCAGCATTACACACGAAAGCGTAAACATAGCGAGACTACGCCCGACGAGGGGCAACCCCGAGTGCATCGCTGCGGTCTGTTCAAGGTTGTCTCTGTGTCAACGAAATAAGTATATCCCGTAAGCCCTTCAGGACCAGTTGACTGGTTGGCTCAATGCCATGAGGCCAAGCAAAATGACGAAGTTAGAATAAGCCGAGAGCCTCAACCAAAAAAAGAAAAAGAAATTAACAGAGCCGGAGCTCTGAGAACAAGCGTACATATAAATGGAGCCCGGGTCCTACTAAACCTTTAGCCATGCTGGTCAGGAGGCCAAAAAGCCGCCAGAACTCCGGCCAACGCCAGGATTTCCCGCGGTCAGACCTGCTTCGTACCTACACTAATGTAGGCAATTAAGGAAAGTTCAGTGCTAGCCAAAAACCCCACATCTCGAATCTTCGCGTGTGGGGCACAAGGGGGCTTCTAGTCGTTTGGTGCCGAGATCGATTGTAGCCAGATCGATGGACTAATAGCCTTGCCGAGGAAAGATTCATCCATCGCCCCGTTTATTCGATTAAAACAACCAGTCCAGACCTGAGAGCGGGGTTGCGCTAGGTCTGAAACAGTGCACGGCACGCGAATATCCACGATTCGCTAAAGGGAGTGGGCAAATAGGAGGCGTGACGCGCATCAGCTGTTAGTAGTCTGTGGTGGGCGATATAGCCAATCAGGTCAAATCAGGGTGAATATTCCCCCGTTTGTTGCTAGCGGTAAGCCACCGTGGGCGCTATGGGCACCGGCTCGGTCCTGGGTGCACGAGCACTCGAGGCTGAGGTACAATCCTCATGGTGAACGAGTCTCGGCTTTGTTTTGGGCTTGCCGCTTGAGTGTGTGACAATGGCATTGTTTTCGAGGAGAACGAATGGCATCAAAATTATTTTCTGAGGATTGAAGCTGGAGTGGATTCGATTAGTGATTGATTGAGGCTCTTTTCCCATTTGACACGTTAACAGGCCGTTCGCCTTACGCGAAAGCTACTCGGTACCTTTTCTGTTGACTCCACTTTGCCCAGTGTTTTATCGCCCCCGTAGTTAAGGCATCCACCCGGAGTGCAGCAATTTCGACCGAGGAGCTAGCCGATTGAGGCCCCACTTGGAAGAAAGCAATTTGTCAGGTACGGCGTACTCCGTGAAGTGACTAAAGTGATAAGCATAGAGAGAAAATCAAAACGCTGAAGGCGTCTGAAATGCAGAATCCTTGTAAAAGAGGCTTGCTGATCAAAGATGGGGAAGAGCGGACCGCGGGAAAAACAGGCCGAGAATATGATAAAAGCGATAAACATCCGTCAAGTGGGGTTTTATCCATGAAAATAATGTTTGTGTATTACTCAACCCTGTTATGTAGTTATATTTTGCACCAATGATTCGTGACTGTGTTGATCTTTCACCTTTATAGAAACTTCGTGACGAGGGTGGAAAGGGTATATCCAGCGTCCACTTTGCTACGTACCGAACGCCGGCAATTTCGGATCTATGAAACCCGTGGCCTAGTTTAGGGCTTACATGAGTTTCAGATCTATGGAGCATAGATTAATAAACTGTGGATGTACTCCACCGTACTCAGCTCTATCACTCTGTACATCGACACTATCAATCCCGCATTTCTCATAGCTCTAACTACATACAGTCCTTGAATAGCTCTGAATCGAATTAGTTTTGAGAAAGTTAGTTCAGTCAAGTGTCAACAGCCCAACATCAGAACTCAGCTTGAGGTTACCTTTCATACTCTTCAGCGGCGTTTGGATGTCCGGTGAAATTCAACCCAAGGTTTGGTCGGATACAATTGCCCTTCCTCATGTGGATGCCTTTGGACCGAATTGACCTTTCCCGAGGTTTGGTGTAGGCTCTTTATTTAATGGTGAATGTACCATTCTGGAATGAAAAGCCACCACGGAGATTGGGCTTTCTCCCGGGTTGGGGATATGAAAAGTGATATGAAAAGCACAAAATGAGAAAATATGATCCGATGAGCATTCCAATGGCATAATATGAGGTTAAAGGATGCAATTGCTACCTTGAAAGAAAAAACCCCCCTCCAATTGACTACTCGGAGGGGGTTTCAAGGTTTGATGGTGTAGTAGATTTCGATGTTCGCCATGATAGAAGATTCTCCGGGCAAATGCATGTAACTCCAGGGCTGTTCAGATCACAAGTTATTACTAACATGTGTCAACCTTTCGCCATTAAATCCCTCAAGCATTGCAGATTCTCTGTTCTCACACATAGATCCTGAAGCTGCGAAGCCCGGGGTCATTCTATTAGTAAACGAAGGTTCCTTTCGTCTTTCCACCGAGAAAAGCCACCAATTTCGGAAGAATTCTCGATGAGTCAGTGAGGTATAGATTGCAATGTCAGTTCTCTCCTGCAGGTAAATCATTCACATCACAGGAGCAACAAAATCTTCATCTTCCAGAGGCTCAAGCTCCTAGAATTCATTTCAACACTGCAATAAACAATTCATCAGCCATATACAGGAATGCTGGACAGGGGGCCCGAAATGACAAGCTGGTGGATCCTGTATAATCAGATAACGAATAGTATACTCGCCTGGCTAATACATACTTCCGTGACACAAAGAATGACAACATTTGGATTCAAGGTTCTTGGAAGGTAGAAAAAAAATCAAAACAAAACGGGCTGCCGGAATCTTAACCCACCAAAACCCATTGGATCCTACCAGCTCAACAGCTCAGCAACCAAGTCATTCGGCAATCAGAACTGACTGCATCCATGGTTCGACAGGCGTGGTGGTCTCTCGTTTGGGGGCTTGCCCTCGCTTCATTCTGCCAATGTGAAGACAATACTATCTTTCGCGATGTTGCTATTATAGGCGGCGGGGCCGCAGGAACCTTCGCCGCAGTGAAACTCCACGACGCAGGCAAATCGACCATCTTGATTGAGAAAGAAGCCATTCTAGGTGGTCAAACCAATACTTACCAGGATCCGCTCACCAACCAGACGGTCGACTACGGTGTCCAGGTATTCCACAACCAACAGTTCGTCAAGGATTACTTCGACCGACTTGACGTACCCTGGAAAATCACGGACAATGCTTTCGTCGCTCCTAGTCATGCATACTACTTGGATTCACAGACTGCTAAGCCTTTCAACTACACCAGGCCGAATCCCAAATCTGGTCTGGAGGCATATGTGGAGCAACTTGCAAAATACCCAGATATAGAGCAGGGCTTCTTTCTTCCAGACCCTGTTCCTGAAGACTTACTACTGCCGTTCGGCAATTTCATCAAAAAGTACCCCGAGATTGCCAATGCCACACTTGCAATTACCAACTTCGGTCAGGGTCTCGGCGACAATCTGGAGCAGACCACTTTGTATGTGTTCAAGAACTTCGGGACAGACGTCGTCCGTGATATTTCTATTGGCTTCTTGATCTCAGCAAATATGGACAATCACGAGATCTATGATCATGCAACACAGCTGCTTCAGCCAGATGTCTTGCTTAGTAGTGTCGTGGTCAGCACAACACAAAGGAATCATGAAGGAGTGGAACTGATCGTCAAAACACCAACCGGGTACCAAAAAGTGAAAGCAAAGAAGCTTCTGATTGCCATCCCACAGAAACTTGACAACATGTATCCCTTTGACCTGGATAGACGAGAATCCAACATCTTCGGCAAATTCATGAACACAGGCTACTATACCAGCTTGGTGAACAACACCGGGCTGCCAGCGAATTTCTATTCCTATTCCATTAGCGCTGACACACCATACAACGTCCCCAAGTTACCGGGTGTTTACGGTGTCACGCCTACGGCAATTGACGGTGTTTTTGATATCAAATATGGCAGTCCGTCCGCTATACCTGACGAGGATGTTCAATACGAGATTCTTTCTTACGTTAGGGCACTCCAGGCCAATGGGCTGGCAGAAAAAGTACCCGGTAGCCCAGGGTTCGTGGCGTATAATAGCCATGCTCCGTTTGAGTTGACTGTGTCTCCAGATGAGATCAGAGATGGATTTTACAACGATTTGTATGCTTTGCAGGGTTATCGCAATACTTGGTATACCGGGGCTGCTTTCCACACTCAGGACTCGTCTTGGCTGTGGAATTTCACTTCGAACTATGTTTTACCTGGGCTGCTGGAATAGGACTTAATACTGTCCACCAATACGACCAGTGCTGTTCCGTTTCTGTTATCCAGTTGGATTTTGTGCTTCAGCCTTATACTCACCGCAGTTCAAACTTGCTCAAACCCTGCATCGATCTTAAGCTGCACATATGTTTTATCAAACCTTGTTTCTCGCAAATTCTCCTTGGAGAATCCGGAAATTATACTGCCATGGATTGTTCCATTATAATAGCCACTTAATTAATCCGAACAATCCCCCAGGATATCAAAACTTGAGCTCTTGCTTCACAGTGCTGTTAAACAGACCTCCCAAGGTTCAACCCGCTGGATATAGTGCACGCCAGGACCCTCGTATACCCGCTCAACGAGCTTTAAACAGACATGTGTGAGCTGCGAACCCGCCTTTCTCATCGCAGTTTCAATGGTTAGGTATCATTTGTGGAACAGGTCATGATACAGGTGGAGATATCATTGAAGGAAAATCTTTCTATAATACAGAGAAACACCGGAGACAAACCCTCATATCGCTACAGAAGTCCAAGATCGAATGGATTACATGATGCACACTTATTTGGCCGCCTTCTTGCCGGCCTTCTTGCCACCCTTCAAACTCTTCATCTGGGCAGCCCGCTCAGCACGAGCCTGGCGCTTCCTCCACGCAAGCCACCGGTTCCGGTTATCATAGGGCTTAGCGAAGACTCCAGCCTGCTCAGCAGCACGACCGATCACCCAATTGGCCTCACGGTACATATATCCGGGACGAAGTTGCGGGCCAGTCTCGGCATTAGCAGCCTCCACGGATCCAACTTGAGTGCCATTCTCATCAATCTTGACCACCAAGTCCGACTGCTGGGCAACAGGCTCGATTCGCGGAGTCGACACCATGTTCAACCTGCGCCGGCTGGGCGCATTACGCGGGTACGGCAGCTTATCCTCCTTGTCGAAAACAACTCCAATGTACTTGCGGTCGGGGTGCTGCAAGGGGTCGAGGTAGTATCGGACGTAACCAGCTTGAGTAGCGTAGATGGTGTGGTCACGGCCCATGGCGCAGTTATCACCGGGGAACCATAACGAGCCGCGCTGTTTGAAGATGATGCAGCCGGGAACGACGTATTCGCCGCCGGAGCGCTTCGCGCCGAGACGCTTACCGGCGGGATCGCGCGAGTGTCTGTTGGCAGTTCCCTGGGAGGCGTGGGAGGCGTAACGCACTTGGGAGAATGGGAGGAGGGAGGGTGTGGGTGTGGTTTTCGGGAGAGTGAGGCCTGCTGAGAGCGTTCGTGTGATGAGGGATTGTGGCTGGCAGAGACTGGGAGTCGATCTGATGGATGGGGCGAAGGCTCGCTCCAGCGCCCGGAGAGGCGTCAGGAACCTAGGTTGCAGCATTGTTGGGCAATTGAGGATAGTCTGTCTGGGGTTGCGGAAGTTGAAGCTCCAAAGGGGAACTTTTTCTCGGAGGCTTGGCGTCACGTGTGCGGGCCGTAAGCTGGCTTCATCTATACTTGACTTCGCGTCGGGCGGTCTCGACTCTCGACCACCATCATTTTGATCATACTTGAGTTTTTGTCCATTGCACCATGATGAGGTCTATTCTCCAGACTGTGTGGGCTCTTTTCATGCTAGTGGCTGTTGCCCAGGCCCAGTTCAACTTCTTCGACCAGATGTTTGGGAACAACCAACAACAGCAAGGTCATCGCCAAGGCCCCCAGGATGTCCCAAGCGATAGTGTTCGGTACCAGAACTCTTGGAGTCAAGGTATGTGGAATAATACAATGTTTCAAAGATGAATTAATTACCTGCTTCAAATTCGCTGACAATAAGTCCTCTCGCAGCTCAATGCAGCAACTACCTTTGCCCTGGAACCCTCGCTTGTGTGAGCGTCCCACATCATTGCCCATGCCCACACCCCGATGTCGAAGAAAAGGTGGAACTAGGAGAAGGCAGTGCGATCTGCGTGTCGAAAGGGGGATTTAAAGCGGGCGAAGCGCTACGGAAAATCGAATTGGCTCGCAAGGGACTGCTGTGAGCAATTTATGGCCTATTGAGGCATTTCGAGGCATACTCTTTATATCACCGGCACCTCTATCTGGGGCTGAAGGCCTTCCACTACAAAAGGGTTTTTCGCTGCAGGTCTGGGTTACCGTCCGCAAATATGAATTTAGCGTGTTTTCTTTCCCACTACCTCTTTTCTGGTACAACAAAGACAAACCAAAGGACATAATGAAGACTTTGACTTGGTTTCGATTCACCACGGATTAAATATCAGCACCTAACTAGGCAGATACCTACTAGTAAGATGGGTAGGTAGTTTCCGCTTGCTGGTTTCTTGTTCATACCGCGATCAATAATCGTGTTGTAAGCCAAATAACATTGATGTGTTTCAATGCTCCTGCATTGGGTGACAGAAACCATTTTGTTTCCAAGGTCGAGAAAGATCAAACTCAATTTATAGTTCATGTTTTTGAAGGATACCATCTGTTGTCCAAGTTGACTCAAGAATCGTGGTGCTGAACTACAGGAGCTCGCCGAGTCATCTACAATTGTATGTACTGGCTTGAGCGATTACCACGATCGGCATAGCGCTATCTCCGCTTAATTCCGCCGCAAACTTCCGTCATTGCAAGACTTCTTTGCGCCCACTCACTTTCCGTTTACATCGCATCTCGATCCTGCACCGCGCCTAAGAATTGGCAGCTCACATAAATATGTGGGGAATCAGACTCCGTATAGTTCCTTTACGAAATGTCCCCTCTCAGCAAGCATACTCGACGCTAAGGAGCAGGAATACTCGTGGCTCTCGCGGTATCTTCAGACCACAGCAAAAGCAACCCACCAGAAAAACATCGGAGGAGCCTGAAACGCCCGAATCACCAAATCCTTCAGAAACTGCGGTACCTCAGCCTCAAGATGGGCCCAATCTTAATTATGATCCTTCAAAAAACACACTCCTCTCCCCCCGTGTACATGCCAGAGGACCCGAATGGGGTGCTCAAGGAGAACCATCCCGCGACTCAAATATTAGCAAACTCTGGGCTGGTAGTTCAGAGACAACTAGAAATGATGAACCTTATGATGTGAGTCTGGAGTCAAGCCTACTAGCGCACGGTCGTGTGGCTAACGTCTTTTTCTTGACAGTGGCTTCGAACAAGCAAACAAATATGTTATTATGGATGCGCAAGGTAATCACATCGGGTACATGGCGGAGCAAGAGAAGGGAATGACCAACACCATCTCGCGTCAAATGTTTCGCACCCACCGAAGCTTCGTGACACATGTTTTCGATCGCCATGACAATGAAGTTTTGCGTGTAAGGCTATTGATCCCGGACTGAAGTATTGTGGCTAACGAATGCAGTTCCATCGACCATTTTCTTGGATCAATTCTCGAATCAAAGTCTATGATCCTCTCGACGTTACCACAAGTGCCTACACTTCCTCCACTGCTATCCAAAATACCACACCTGGGTCCCTTGTCTCAGCGAACGCAGCTTCGAATCCGCGCATTTCACCACTGAGCTTCGATCAGATGCGAATAATTGGTGAAAGTCAACAAGAGTGGGCACCCCTACGCCGGAAATACAACATCTTCACATATCATCAGTCTCCGAACCCAGCGACAGACATGGGTGCCCAAAAATTCCCGCTCTCAGGGTCAGATCTGTCGAAAACTCAGCAAATGCAGATAGCACATGGATCTCAGTCAAGTGAGGGCGAATTCAACCAGTTTGCATATGTCGATGCCCGATTTCTTTCTCTAGATTTCGATTTGCTCTCTGCAGAAAACAAATTGGTTGGGTCCGTTAACCGTAACTTTGGTGGGTTCGCCCGAGAGATCTTTACGGATACCGGTGTATATGCGCTGCGTATGGACTCTGCTGGATCGAGCACAGAAGCGCTGCCTACTGAAAATGCGCCCACCGAAGTGACCAAGGCTACTGGTATGACACTTGATCAGCGTGCAGTTGTGCTAGCCACTGCTGTGACAATAGATTTTGATTACTTCAGCCGGCATAGCAATAGCAGCGGGTTCGGCTTTATGCCTTTGTGGTTCCCTGGCATGGGAGGGGAGGCTGCTGGTGGCGCAGCGGCCGGTGGTGCAGCGGCCGGTGAAGCTGCTGGGACTGCTGGAGCCATTGGCGAAGCCGCAACAGGTGCCATTGGTCGAGCCGGTGCAGCAGGTGGGATGGCAGAAGGCATGGCAGCAGGCGTAACTGGTGCCGGTACAATGGCTGGATACGAAGCTATGCAACGCGGCATGTCCGGTGGACAAGACAGCCAGGCACCTACAAGTGACCATGGGCAGGAACAACCTGGTGCCACCGGAGATGCATGGCCCGAAGAAAAAACGCAAGAAGACGTCTGGGATGAAGATCCTTGGGATGACTCAGGAGATTCTGGAGAAGGAGGATCCATCTCTGACTGGTTTGATCTCTGACTGGTTTGAATAACGATTAAGGCTCTATAACCTTGTATGATAGGAAATCTCTCTAATGTATTTTATATTGGGTCTTCAAAACCCGGACTGGAGCATAATATTTTATTGGATTGTGCCTCGTAGATAATCTCTTATAATTTCTTTGTCTTCTACCTGGGATCGACGCGGGGCAGACCAATGACGGCGGTCCCCACTGTTCCCAGCTCCCGCGGGTACACACTTCAACTCTCCTTGCACTTTTCTTATTCTTTCCACTCCAGGAACATTCTCTATTATTTATTTTTCAACTGGCCCTCTGCATCAGACTCTACCAGAGTCACGACATCGTCTTCGCTTCCAGTTGACCGCAACCTCTTGATCCCTCTCTCTCCGCACTCTCGGCGGAACTCCACCTTTTGCCACCTCTCGAAACCCAACCCAAACCCACTTTCTTCAACAAAAGCCCAAATCTCTCAGACCTCGATCTTCTGGACCAACATCCAAACTCCACAAAATGGCTTCTACAGTCGCTCAAAAGCGTTTGTTTCACGAATATAAGAACCTCTCCACAAACCCACCAGAAGGTATCACTGCGGGTCCAGTGTCAGAGGATGACATGTTCTACTGGGAGGCCCTTATCGAGGGCCCTGGAGGCACCCCCTTCGAGGGTGGAGTATTCGCAGCCGAGCTCAAGTTCCCCAAAGACTATCCTCTCAGCCCGCCAACCATGAAGTTTGTCGGCGGCGGAGTGTGGCACCCCAACGGTAAATCTTTCCCCGCAGCGCGTATCATTTTTGATACCCTGTATCCACCAGGTATTGATCGGAATACCGAGCGATTACTGATTCGATCTTTGATATCTTAGTCTATCCCAATGGCACAGTCTGCATCTCCATCCTGCACCCTCCCGGCGACGACCCGAACCACTACGAACATGCCTCGGAGCGCTGGTCGCCCATTCAAAGCGTGGAGAAGATTCTCATTTCCGTCATGAGCATGCTTGCCGAGCCCAACGATGAGAGTCCCGCGAATGTTGAGGCGGCAAAGATGTGGCGTGAGCGGAGACCCGAATACGAGCAGAAGGTTCGGGATGAGGTTCGGAAGGGACTGGGACTTTGAAAGGATTTCTTTTGCGAAAATTGATAACGATGAAGGACACAGGTTGATCACTAGGCGTCAGTTGGTGGGGTTTGGCTTTGCATTGCTTGGGCATCGTTTGTTTGTGTACAGTTTGTATGTCTAACGACTAAAAACGAGAGCGTGAGATTTTTCCATTAATCATTTGGTCTCGGTAGTCCATATGCTTTATATGAGATGCTTATTATCCCAGAAGCAGTGGCCCTTGAATAAGTATACTTTATGCCTATCGGAACATCTTTCGATCAATCCATCCTTCAATGCCACCGTCTTGCTCATAGAGTGTCTCGATCTCTGCCTTCACGTTCAGCATCAACATTCTCTGCAACTCCACACGCCACTCAGGTTCCGGTCCGTTATCTGCCCAGATGGGACTATTGCATAGCATGCACTGAATCTTCCTGCGGTCCCTGGAACTTAAAGAGAGAAGGACGTTCTGCGAAACCCCAGAGTCCATGACTGCATCTGATACTCGGATTCCAAGATACTTCAATCCGGGCAAGGTAAGTCTTGCATTCTCGTGAGCGTGCGCCACCGACCCATACTTGTACGTCGACATGACCGATATGCCATCGGGATCTCCATCTACGAGTGCATAAATTGGCGGCGGTCGCCCATTGTTATTGGATGCGTGATCGAAGATCCGTCGGACGAATACACGCGTGCAGATATCAGGATATCCTTTGCCCTGTTTCACGATCAATCAGTTGCGATTCATGAGCATAGAGACTGGAAACTTCAGGCCCACGGTGATTAGAATGCCTTTTCCCGCAAGAGCTGTCATATGATAATTATTTCTTGCGAGCCGGTGGAACACTGCCTGGTATCTGTCAGCCAGCCCAGGTATCCCGTGACAATGCTTTGAGATCTGCAGGATATACTTCTTTTTCAATAACGAGCACCCAGCGAGTACCAGAGATATCAATTTCGTCGCTTTCTTGGATCCGAGGAATCAAGGTGTCCTGGCTCTGTCAGATTCAAAGCCCGACTCCCAGACTCCTGGTGCTTCTTTTACCTGGAAAGAAGATCCAGCATCTAGCAAGAGCTGTGAATCGTGCTTGAGGACAAAGGACCCAGTCACCAGTCCTTTCCCTGCTGCTTCCTACCAAGCGTGAGCATACTCCCTCCATTATCGCCTGGGTCCAATAGGAACCCACAACATTCAACGCCATCCGATCCACCCCGATAGTGTATGCAAGGTCATCCACAATTCTATCAACGATATGCTGTGATTTGAAGTATGCCGGGTCGATATAAAATATATCCCTGGTGCAGCGATCAGTATTGCCTCGATGGTGGGGAACATGTGAAACGGCTCACCTCTTTGAAATAATTTGACCCATTCGTATCGCCTCATCAATAACCGCCAAGATTCGAATGATAGCTGCTATATGAGGGTATTTGATTCAGCATGTCATATGTCCAAACCAAAACAAGTACCATGAAAATGGAAGCTCATACTGAACCTCCATGCTTCAAATGACGAGTTCCCTGGCCAGGAGTAGGTGCGATATGATACTACTGGTTGAACTGCTTCCAGTGCACCATTTTGCTGGTTTATTGTGTATCCTGTTGGATTTGATCTGCGCCGCAGAGTGATTGAGGGCCGTCCTTGGGACTGTGGCAGCGAAAGTTCTTGGAGTAAAGCCGTGAGGACATTGTCGATGTAGGCGCGCACCGTGGTCTCTGAGCTGGATTCTTCGGGCATGGACAAACTCAGTGGAATTGATGACAGTGCCTTTCTGAAGTTTAAAGTACTGGTTGTATAGAATCAAAAGACGATGGATTGAGGTGTAGTCCTAGATGGGACAAAAACGTGACCAAGTCCATACTAAGTAATAGATGGAACTTATTCTGCCATAGCGGCGATTCCAATACTCCGGATTGAACATTACTCTAACAATCTAAATTCTTGATTTGGAATTGTGCCATTGGAAACAATTGCTCATTGGTCTTTACTTTGATGTCACTACAAGTGTGTTACTGTGTGTATCAACCCCTTTTGGCTGTCATCAATTCCCAGGTCCAACCACCTCACCTATAACTATTTTACTTCACAACACCAGAATAGTTTTCCCCATGTCTTTTACATGTAAGAGGCGAAAAGAATAAAAAAAACAATACACTATCGAATCCTACATCATCTGGAAATTCAACGCGTACTTTATTGTACCGTGCAGGTTTGAGACCGCTGACTCAGCTACCCCAGGGGCAGCCACGACCCACTTTAAAGGTGATCCAAGGCTATCAATTCCGCTTCCCAGGCCACAGCTTGACTTCTCCCATTGAACCCGGAGAAGTTGACCAAATAACAATCATGGCTTCTCCTATCGGTCCCTGGAGGACAGACGCTCAGGGCCACCTTAAACCTGATGAGAATGGCGACCCAAAGACCGACTACACTCGCTGGCGGTTGGTCAATGAAGAAGGTCGCCAGACTTGGCGATATCTTGAATCCGACACAGAGAACTCCGCCTGGCTACAGACAGTTGCTGAAAAGTATCATATGGGACTCCCAACAGTATGTGCTCATGCTTTTAACTCAATGGTGTAATCTCTAACATGTTTTTCATCAGGGTCTCCCAATCTTGCCAGAGGCCAAAACACCTCTCCAAGCAGCAGAGAATGGCTTGTCTTTCTTCTCAAAACTTCAATTGGAGCCTGGTAATTGGGCTTGTGAATATGGAGGTCCTATGTTCCTTCTTCCGGGTATTTTGATCACCTATTATGTGACCAATACTCCCATCCCCCCAGAATACGCTGCAGAGATCAAGCGTTATTTGTTTGCCCGCCAAAACCCCGAAGATGGTGGCTGGGGTTTGCACATTGAAGCTCACAGTTCATGCTTCGGCACTTCCATGAACTATGTCGCTTTGCGATTGGTTGGTGCCCACGAAGATGACCCACGTATGATCAAAGCTCGTGGTCTGCTGCACAAGTTTGGCGGCGCTGTTTACGGACCTCACTGGGCTAAGTTCTGGCTGAGTGTCCTGGGTGTTATGGACTGGGAGGGTGTGAACCCTGTCCCGCCCGAGATCTGGTATGGTGTTCGCTTCCAGAGTCTTTGAAAATTTACTAACTGATATCTTCAGGCTTCTTCCCGACTGGGTTCCATTTGCCCCTTGGCGTTGGTGGATTCATATGCGCCAGGTCTTTTTGCCTATGTCTTACATCTGGTCCAAGAAGTGGTCTTTCCCTCTCAATGATTTGACCAGACAGCTTCGTGAGGAACTCTACACTCAACCATATGACTCTATCAACTTTGCTCAACACCGCAATTCTATTCACCCGGCCGACAATTACTACCCCAAGACCTGGCTTTTGAATGGCCTCAACGAGCTACTAGTCCGGGTTTGGAACCCGTTCCTCCGACTCAAGGCAATTACCAAACGAGCCGAAGACTGGACTTGGGAGCTGATCCGTATGGAAGACGAGAACACCGATTACGCAGGTCTGGGACCTGTTAACAACCCTATGAACATGGTTGCATGCTATATTCATGATGGTCCCGACAGCTATTCTGTGCGTCGGCACCGTGAGCGACTCAATGACTACATGTGGCTCAAGGGTGAGGGTATGTTGGCAAATGGTACCAACGGCGTCCAGGTGTGGGACACAACATTTGTCACCCAGGCGGTTGTGGTCGCTGGACTTGCTGATGACCCGAAATGGCGGCCCATGTTGACAAAGGCCCTGGAGTTCATTGAGGACCATCAGCTGCGTGAGAACGTGCCAGATCAAGAAAAATGCTATCGTCAGCACCGCAAAGGTGCTTGGCCTTTCAGTACCAAGACACAGGGATACACAGTCAGTGATTGTACTGCTGAGGGTCTTCGATCCACTATCCAGCTGCAGGAAATGCACAACTTCCCTAAGCTTATCTCTCTAGACCGTCTTAAGGACAGCGTTGACTGTCTGTTGTTGATGCAGAACCCCACTGGTGGCTTCACTGAGTACGAGACTACCCGTGCATCCCCAAAGGTTGAATGGCTGAACGCTGCCGAAGTTTTCGGTGGAATCATGATCGGATACGACTACCCAGAGTGCACAACAGCTTCGGTGACAGCGTTGTCTCTTTTCAGCAAGTTTTACCCCGACTACCGTGCGGCTGAGATCAAGGCCGCCAAGGACAAGGCCGTTGTCTACATCAAACGTGTTCAGCGGGCTGATGGAAGTTGGTACGGATCTTGGGGTATTTGCTTCACCTATGCCGCGATGTTTGCGCTCGAGAGTCTGTCCAGTATTGGCGAGACTTATGAGACCAGCGAGAACTCTCGCCGTGGCTGTGACTTCCTCCTATCCAAACAGAAGGAAGACGGCGGCTGGGGTGAATCTTATCTTAGCAGCGAAAAGCATGTATACGTCCAACATGAGAAATCCCAAGTGTGCCAAACCGCTTGGGCCTGTCTAGCTTTGCTGGAAGCTCAATATCCCCACAAGGAGCCCCTTGAGAAGGCCATGAAGCTGCTGATGTCGCGGCAGCAAGCCAATGGCGAGTGGTTGCAGGAAGCCATTGAGGGCGTCTTCAACCAGTCATGGTAAGTCCTAATCTCTAATTTATAAAGTATATGAAACTGACCTGTCCTAGCATGATCTCCTACCCCAACTACAAGTTCTATTGGCCAATCCGGGCTCTTGGCCTTTACGCTAAGAAATTTGGTAATGAACAGCTCCTGTGAAAGCTAACATGAAAGTCTGAGAGTGCTTGGTGCCATACTTTCCCAATAATTAATAATAACAGAGTCTTCCAACTCAGTACATAGTACAAATGCATATATTCTCGGACAGCGTAAATTTTCCAGTTATCTGCCTTGTAGCTGTGGGGGAGCCTCATCTCCGCATTACGTAATCGAGCGTAATCGAAGCTCTAGCGGAGAAAGCTGTAGAATATCGGACTTAGGATTTCCGATTGTTTTTTGACGCATCCTCATTCACTGATTTGTCCAGTCTAGTACATAGTAGGTACTCAAGTCCTTTGATACTGTCCTACATGCAATCGCAAAGCTTCCAACTTTACCTCTAATACTTTCCCAAGCAAGCCCCTAACTACAGCACGATCCTTGCCAAGAATACGTCCCCTCTTTCCCTCGTTCGCGACCTGGAGATACACAACCGATTTAAATATTTATTGCCATCACGATGAACTCCGCGTCACAGGGTGAGAAGGCCCTCGCCGAGTCAAATGCTCCCCTCGCAATCCAACACTTCACTCGTGCCTTAAGCGAGTTACCCCGCGCCCCAGCATACTACATCCACCGCTCAACCGCCTATTCTCGCCTCAAGCCTGCCGACGGTGGTCCTAATCGAACTGCTGCACTGCGCGATGCTGAGATTGCTGTGTTTCTTGCCCACGAGCGGGGCAAGCGGGAGCTCATCCTGTCTGCACAGATGCGACGCGGCATAATCCTCTTCCAGCTGGAGCGGTACGGCGATGCCCACTTCATCTTTGAGCAGATAGAGGCCAAGACAGGTGGCCCACCTCAGCCTGTTGATAAGTCCCAGGGTATCCAGAGTGCAATGGCCGGTGGGTGGACCAAGAAGGATGGATACAGTGCTGAGTTGCCGATTTGGATGATGAAGGTTCGCCGGAAGCTAAGTGAGCTGGAGGGTGATGAGAAGACGGTCGTCTCCGTTCTTGAATACCCTACCGATATTCATGTTCCAACGGAGAAGGAGTTGAAGGCTGAATGGGAAAGACTCAAGTCCGGAAAATCAGACGTTGAGAAATCACCGGCTGCCCAGCCTGCGTCCGGAGCTGCATCTTCATCGACAGAGACAAAGATGAACACCTCTGAGCAAAATACTGCAAGCAATGTTGTCGCACCTGCTGCGGAGAAGGTCCGCCATGAATGGTACCAATCCCAGGATTCGGTTGTCGTAACACTATATGTGAAGAATGTGCAAAAGGATAAAGTCGAGACTGAGCTGAAGGGTGACTCGGTAAGTTAATCGCATCATTATTTGTATCCCCGATGAAGTGCACGAGCTAACCGGTACATGCATTTGCAGATATCCCTCCAATTCCCTCTTCCGTCTGGCTCCGAATATGATTTCACCCTCGATCCCCTCTACGCATCTATTGATGCATCGGCCTCCAAGGTCACTGTCATGGGCACAAAAATTGAAATTGTGCTTCAAAAGCAGACGCCAGGCCAAAAGTGGAATGCTCTTGAAGCACCCGCCGGCGCTACAAAGCTCACAGATCGGCCGTCTGCACCAGCTGCATCGGTGCCGGTTTCTTCTGGGCCCGCCTACCCGACCTCATCTCGCCATGGCGCAAAGGATTGGGACAAGGTCGCGTCTTCGCTGACAGCCAAGAATTCCAAGGAGAATAAGTCCAAAGACGCAAAAGACACTGCTGACGGGGACGATTCCGATGCTGAATCTGTAAACTCGGACTTTGGTGGTGATGCCGTGGATGGATTCTTCAAGAAGCTCTATGCTGGTGCCGATGCGGACACTCGTCGTGCTATGATGAAGAGCTACGTCGAGAGCAACGGTACATCGCTGAGCACCAACTGGAGCGAGGTTGGAACCAAGAAGATGGAACCTCATCCTCCATCTTGAATAGATTAAAGTGGTGTATGGCTCACTTTGCTTCTGCTTTACCTTTTGTGTCTGTTTAACGCATCCAGCGAACGGTGTCTTACCGCATGTCTTTATTGAATACACGACCGGCCTCATATGGGCGAATAGTCGAATTAACACACGCTCAGTGCTTGCTTTGTCTTCATCTACCAATATGTACGCTATCCCATTTGGAGCTCGTGAGCAAATCTATCTGTGACAGGGCCAATGAAGCCCCAGGTGCCCTCGCTCACGTGAAGCATGGGGGAAAGTCATATTTATTTGATAATAACATCCTTCTTAAACTCAAAAGGCGTGTATGACCTTCCAAGGTGGTGTCATGTGTACTTTGTGAGTATTTATGACTAAAACTGCCCCGGATCTTTCAACCTTCACATCCAAACTTGCTGGATGTTCCGATTTATTCCACCAAAAGCTTACTTATCCGAGGCAAATCCCCCTGCAGGGAGTCCCATTTAGCATTGATCATCCAGCATTATGCTCTCATTTAGAGCGCACTCATTGGTTGGAGAATAACTACCGGAGATATGAAGGAGAAGATTCGGCTGAAGATCATTCACAAGGTTCCATAAGAGCGGGGAATTTCCGAGTACTAAACCACAAATGCTCCATATTTGCATAGAGATGCGAAATATTGCCCACATCGTTCAAGTCAAAACTCCAATAAAACTCTTCAATCAAAATCAACAGAGGAAGATCTCACCGGGAGTGGGGCTGAAAATTAAGCTCATGCTCCGCGAACCCTAACTTTTACCTAATTCTCCCGATCAATTTGGAGTCTTTTGGAGTATTCTTGGCACCACCTCTTACGCGGCGATGGTTTTTATTACGCATGTACTATCCAGTCTAACTTTTTTGGCCAATATCCCCGACGGCATCTTGGAGTCGGCCGTTGGCTTATTTTGAATCAATCTCCAGTGGGAAGAAGTAATCAAGTAAACCTTAGAACATAAGAGACAGCACTAAAAAGAAAAAAACTATCCACCAAAAACACACTTACTCCTACACCTTACTGCGTCCACATAAAATATCAAAAGCAAACACTGCAACCCTCAACATGGTCCGCAACATCCACATTGCAGTCTTGGACGTCGACATCCCCGCTCGACCTCTATACGAAGCAAGAGGGCTCTGCAGCGCCCACTTCCGCGACATCCTCCGCGAAACAGCATCCCACCTAAACGAAACCCACCCAGAAAACACAAACCCCATAAACATCACCGTAACAGCCTTCGACATCCGCGGCGGCCACTACCCAGACCTGGATCTCCTCCGCGGCAGTCCCGCCCAGAAACAAAGCCATCAACAATGGCCCGTCCTCAACCCCATCGACGCAATCCTGATAACAGGTGGCTCACCCGGCGTCTATGAAATGGCCCATTCGCCCTGGATGCAAGTACTAGAGAAATTCATCCAAAACGTCTACGACAACTACCCCGAAGTCCGCATCATGGGTACCTGCTTCGGCCACCAGCTGATTTCGCACGCTCTTGTCCGCGTGCCGGATGACCAGGCCCGGGACGTATACGTTGAGAAGTGCCCGCTAGGACGGGAAGTGGGTATTTATACTGTGCAGTTGGAGGAGGCCTTTGTGCGCTCGTTCCCGACTGCCTTGGGCCATTTGCCGAAGGGTCAGTTGCGGATTCAGATGTTCCATGGGGATCGGGTTATGGCCGTTGAGAAGGGGGTGGCTGTTTCCTTGAGCGAGTCGCCGCCTGTTTGTTTGCCGGCGCCGTGGGTGAATATTGGCAGTACGCCCATCTGTCCTATTCAGGGACTTTATAATCCTGGACGAGTTCTCTCTGTGCAGGGACATTATGAGATGGATGCGTTTGGGTTGTCGAAGATGTGTGTGGAGGCTGCGCCGGTTATGGGGTGGAAGGAGTCGAAGTTGGCGCTGTTTTTGGAGCAGGTTGGGCCTGATTTGGTGGATCGGCAGGATGATGCTAAGGCTTTTGCGTCAGCCGTTGTTTGTTTCTTGGCTGATCTGGAATGACTTGAATATGTTCTTAAGATTTATTATATCTATAAAAGTTTCTATTTCATGATTTCAAATCCATGGATGTTTCTTCTCGTAAATGTATTAAGTATCTTATTGAATCTAGATACAAGATTCGAACATGCGTAGCTTCGTTGATTTCCAGCGCTGTCTACAGCGTATATCTGAACGAAATGTTCTGTCGGTCTGTCAAATCTGCAAAAGCATTTGCCAGCTCCATCTCTTCGGTCATTTCAGCGACATCCTCCAGCTCTCGTTTCTTGTTTTCCAGGCTATAGAGGATGTAGAGAACGGAGAAAATCAAGATGCATGCCACAAACATGCACAGCGAGGTCACCATACCAGTGGTGTACTTGGGCGCCTGTGCGGTAATGAAGGTCTGCGGCGAGATAATATTGGCAATACAGTTAGACGAGAAGAACATGGCACCAACCATGACTTTCTTCGAATAACCGGCGACATTACTCGCAAGGAGAGAGTACATGATACCCGCGCTAACTGCAACAATAGGCACAATGAAGATGGCAAAGAGATGCAAGTGCTTTGTCGAAGCCTCGATGGGGCTGCAGTATAAGATGGATGCAGAGATGATTCCAGGACAGTAGCAAAGGATCATGCAGAAGATTCGCTTATTCTTGCCCCACTTGGAGGACAGGAATAAGCTGACGAGGATCATGCTGGTGGCCATGATGATTCCGGGGGGAATGTTCAGCAGAACGGCTTCGTAGGTACTATATCCGAAGCCCTTGATGATGATTCCCATGAAGGTTGTCTGGAGACTGTTGGTCATGTTGTGGCAGAAGATGGCCAAAACAAGCATCCAAACACGGATATCGAGCAAAGTCTCCTTGAACTGCTCTCCCTTGATATTGCTGTTCTTCACACCGGTTTTATTGCTCTTGAGACGATCCACGACGATGAATCGCTCTCGCTCTGTCAGGAATCCAGCAGTCATTGGGGTGGAGGGCAGGAGCCACCAGAGAGAGATACCGAAGCAGACTGTTACGGATCCAAAGATAATGAACATCCATTGGTAGGCGAACAAGCCACGTGCCTGATGAATAGAGATGATCAGCGAGATTCTAGAGAGAACAAGACGTATGCTGCAGGTGCAGGGTATTACTCACGTGAAGATGCGCGATGGCATAAAAGATTGCCCCCGAAGGCGCACCGATCAAACCATTGGCACTGTACCAAAGTCCAACACGGGCGGGCTGCTCTTCACGCTTCCACCAGGATGATGTGATCAACACAAAGCCGGGGTTCAGGGCGGATTCGAATATTCCGAGGAGGAGTCGAACGGTCGCCAGGGAGCGGAATGTTGTGCAGGCTCCGGTTGCTGTCAAGGTAGCACCTATAGATTGAGAAGGTCAAATGTTAGTTACTGAATCTCCTGAGAACCTTGATAATCAAAATGATCACATACCCCAGAGCACAAATGTGATACATAAAACTTTCGAGATTGGGAATCTCTGCATTAACCAATTGGCCGGCCATTGAGCAGCCAGGTATCCAATATAGAAGATTGTTGTGAGCAGACTGTATTGTTGTCCGACCAAGTGCGCCTCAGTCTCGAGACCATATGTTCCAGCATAAGATAGGGTCTGTATCGATTTGGTTTCCCTATTAGTTCAAGAATCCCATGGAGTGTGACAAGAGGGGAAATAATCACATTCTTATCCACGAATTGAAATCCGTTCACAATAAGCATCAATGTGAGCATTCTTATATCCACCTTCCGGAGAACACGCTTCTCCTCCTCCTTTGAGTAGGGCTCATGACCCTGCTGGAGGAATTGTAGTGCATCATCGCCATTGTGAATTTTGTCAATGATTTCTGTAGGGATAATTATAGGAGCAGTTTGAGCATTCTCAAGCTGGTCAACAGAGGGAGAGTCCCTCTCGTCGGTCTTCATTATGGAAAGGTAATATAGAAAGAAAAGTAGAGAGAAAAGTACTGAGTCCCAAACCCCAGAATGTGGGGGATTATATAGCTGTTATTCGGTAGGTTCGTTCATACCCGCTTATCCACCTTCTTTCCACTCTTTCCTCTCGTCCGTTGCTTTTTTTTCTCTTTCGCGCCCTGTGCCTCTCTTTTGCTCCTTTTCTTCTCCCCACAATATCCACAGCTACCCCGGATAAGCGATGGATTGTGGGGCTAACCAATCAGAAACAAACCGGGGAAGTGTTGATCCTGCGGGGAAGTTGCCCAGGCACTAACAACTTGCCGACATATCTCCCTAGCTTCGCTTAACTACCTGGTGGCTTGGCTCTAAGCTTGTTTGAGACCAAACCATGTGAGCTGAATGGTGTTTTTAACGCAAAGGCTGAAGTTTCCATGCCCTTGGTGCGGGCTAAGCTAATATCCTTCCGAGGGGAATAGAATGGTTGATTTATGTTTTTCCGGATATAAAGATGCCCCTCATATCCCCCCGCCTAACAGATCTCCTCTCCCTTTTCCCCCCAATAACTTCGCTTCAAAATGACCGACACTACTACAATTCGCATTAGCGCCCCTTCATTGGGAGCCGAACTTGTCGGCGCCCTCGACAATGACACCAATATCGCACTTTTCCGTGGAATTCCTTATGCAGATGTCTCCAAACGTTGGACGCATAGTGTGACTAAGCACAACTTGGAAGGGGAGACATTCGATGCGACACAGTTCGGTCCTCGCTGTAATCAGGGAAATGGCATGGTCCTAGTCACAGGAGGGACCAATGACCCCACCCCCGGCGATGATGAGTTTAAATGTCTGAACCTCAATGTTGCTGTTCCGAATGAGACGCTCGGAAAAGCCGGATCATCCCTGCCCGTTATGGTATGGATTCATGGGTATGTTAAATCAACTAATACACATGTTCTTCACAAACTAACCCATTTTACAGAGGAGGTTTTGCCTATGGAGCAAACTCCGTCGCCCGTTATCGTCCTCAGAGCTTTATGGTCAACGCCCGGAAATCGAATACCCCCATTATCCTAGTCCAAATGAATTACCGCCTTGGCGCCCTCGGCTTTTCCGCCTCAACAGATTTGGCCACAGAGGTTGATGACAGCAGCAAGGAAGCACTAGGAAACTTTGGTCTCATCGACCAGCGTAATGCCTTGGAGTGGGTGAACCAACACATCGCCGACTTTGGCGGAAACCCAAACAACATCACCGTCTTCGGCGTCAGTGCCGGTAGTGCCAGTATTCACGCTCACCTGCTTGCCAAACATGAGTTGTTCGATCGTGCAATCCTCATGTCCGGTGCGGCCCCAACTCTTTTCCCAGTCCGCATGGAGCTCTTCGAGGAGCAGTGGAAGCAACTTTGTAACCGGGCGGGTGCTGTCGGATCCACGCCTAGTGCCCGACTGGAACATCTTCGCAGTCTGGATATTAATGATATCCTCAAGCACGCCGGTCGCGCCGTGATGGGCCCAGCCGGTGATGGGAAACTCATTCCCCAGACCTGGACATTCGATGATAATGTTTCCAATGCCCGTTGCAAGTCTATTATCCTCGGCGATACTAACATCGAGGCACTCATTTTCGACGGCATGCTAGGAAGATTGACACAAGATAAGCTCCACCAGGCCGTCACACGGGCATTCTCTGAGACCAAGGCAAAGGAACTCTGTCACCACTTTGGCTTTAAGCAGGATCAGTCCGCCGACGACTTCCGGAAGGCCTTCCGTCTCATGCTGGGGACTGTTCTGTTCCAGTACCCTAATATCGCTATTGCCGAGGCATCTCGCAAATCTGAGTCATGGAAGAATAACGTGTTCTTGTACCATTGGGAAGAGCCGTCACCTTTCCCGGGTGCTACACAAGGATTGTCTTATCATGGTCTTTGCGCTCTTCTGTTGCATCTGAATGAACTGGACTCTTGCCCTCAGGCTACACGTGATGTCTCGGTGGAAGCTGCTCGTGTTTGGGCATCTTTTGCTCATGGTCAGCAACCATGGGACGCGTACTCGACTGGTGGTCAGTTCATGCGCTTTGGACCAGAAGGAAAGTCGGGCATTTCTTCATTTGCGGAGGATCATACACGAGTATACGGCTTCCTTGAGTGGCTGGGGGAGAACTTTGATGATGTGAAGCGGTTCATTCGGGAAGACTTGATGTATAATCTGGAAAACGGCACATTATAATCTGAATCTTATATACTCGGATGATCATCGGCCTTAGCCATGCACATGTGAGCCATTTTTTCAATGTTATCTAGAGTGGAATAAATACATAGAAATTACATAGAATGCTATGCTCCCAGTTGACGACTTTTATTTTCTCCAAAGAGTACCGTACTTCCACATTCAATACTGGTCAAGTTATTGACTTCTAACATCAATTGATTCATTTGAAAGCTTCTCGATATGTACCTATAGTGGAAGATAATTAAAGAGGCTTCTAGGTGATGCACATACAAAATAAAAGAACTTGAAAAAAATGTCACTCGCCGCCACTATTATAACCTTGGAATTTAATATATCAGGGCTTCAGACCAAGTACCCCTCCAGGCCCTCCCAAATTCGCAGATCGAAATCAGAATAAATAAAGTAGATGATAGTAAATCCAATTCACTGGTGGAATAAAAATTTAAAAAAAGAGGAAGAAAAGGGGGCAGATACTTCATAGCACTGAGTAGGTCCGCGGCGGAAAGTTCTCGCTGTCCCGCTCAGTATTTGCCAGGATTAACCCAGGCTGACAGAGCACCGAGTTTTTCTTTTCCTCTTTTTCCTTTTTTTCCTTTTCTCGTTTGTGTTAATCTGTGGGTGATAGTGCCTGATTTTTGCTTTTGGGGACATGGATGTATATCATGCACGCGGCGATTTTAAAGTTCACGTGGAGAATCGTGTTACACAACATTGCATTACGCAGCTCAAGTGCATTTCAAGTTACCCCTTGCTCAATTATTCAAAGCTAAGTGGCTAACCAATGAGCAAAGTCTAACACACATACACCCCCACTGTGATGGCCTCGTGCGTGAAATCGAGCATTCGTGGGGTCAATTACTCAGAGGGGTGAGAATTGATCGCCTTGCACCATTGGCGATATTGTCTACTAGTAGTATTCCAAGCTTTCCTTTCTGAGATCAGATTTGTAATTGATTTGAAATCGCGTAGATCTCTTAGGTAGTACACAGGCTGTTATGTATGACACAACTTGAATACTTTTCAAGCAGCATTGACTGAAACCCAATTAGGTAGATGTGCCCCCGCGGGAAGTACACGAGAACCTTCGAAGCTGATCAAATATTAGGATGGGAGAGTGCATTCAAAGTCGGTGAGTCCCTCGGTCAACTTGATCGACAACAGCTTGCAGATAAGCTACCTCAATATGTGTCACAGACTTCAGCTGGGCAGCTATACTATTCCTAATTGAGGAACAATACGAGCTCCAAGCTGAACTTTGGACGTGAACCGCCGAAATTTGGCTCATATTCTTCATGGTAGATCTCTGGAAAGCTACACAGAGTCTTCACATTGGAAAATGAGGTCATGACTATCAATCGAAAGTCCCCCGAGATCAACTTGCCATCTCGCATATAAATAGGGCTCATCATCTCCTCTCAATTTCTATTCATCAGCATCCAATCCTACTCTTCTTCTCTCTTCCAAGGGCTCCCTCTAGAGCTCCCATTACAATTGACATCAATCTTTCCAAAATTGGCTTCCATTCCTCTATAGGGCTATACCATGTCTGAAAACGGCACCTCGCCCCTCAAGCACACCGTTGGCTTCGGCCTGCGTGAAGGCAAGGGCTATCTCCTTGATTCCGGCCACAACGGAAGCCAACGTCTGAACTACCAATACCTCATTTGGAAGCAATGCCTCGGCTACACCCTGCACCCCGTCATCCGAGACGCAGTCGGAGACCACCCGCGCATCGCCGATATCACCGCGGGGACAGGCCTCTGGCTTCTCGACACGGCACACGATTTCCCCAACGCCATTCTCGATGGTATTGACACCAATCTCACCCGACTCCCACCCTCTGCCTGGCGCCCCAGCAACATCCACCGCCTCTACGACTGGAACATCTACGATGACGTCCCAACCGAGCTGGAAGAGCGATACGACGTGATTCACCTACGTCTCCTTCTCCTTCTCATTGCGGACAGAGACCCGGCTCCCGTGATCAAGAATGTCATCAAGCTGCTTAAGCCTGGTGGCTGGATTCAGTGGGACGATCTGAGTACCGCGCACACGTATGTCGAAAAGACAGACGAGAAGCTTAAGACTCCAGCCCTGGATAAGATCAGAGAGTTTGTGCACTCGGAGGGTCGTCATGATTGGGTGTTTGATCTTCCCTTGCATTTGCTCAAGCACGGGTTTGAGGAGAGCCAGTTGACGTTTTATCATGGACGGCCGGATTTGATTTGTCACGATACTGAGATTCACTTGATGACCATTAAGGAGTTTAATGGCCAGATGAAGGCTGATGGGCGTGAGGAGGAGGCGAAGCACATCGATGACCTTGTTGAGGAGGCCTATGCGGAGGCGCTGCTCGGTGCCGGAGTTACCACTCCACGTGTTGTGTGTGTTGCAAGGAAGAGACCGGTTCCGTATGCTGTCCGCGAGGCCCTTTTTTTCTCTTGATTTTCCAAGGTTGTACATACATCAGTCTATTTTTGAGTAGTCAGTAATCATGCATGTGTATGTATCCTTGATGGATACTAGTATACTCAAGCAAGGTTGGAACGATTCAATGTTTAGGGTAGGCCTTGACATTTCTGTATGAAATGGATGATAATCAATTGGCCAAAGGGTTATCTCAATAATGAAACATTTGAAAAGAGCTTTTATGTTCGTGTAATCAAATATATACAGATCCATGTACATCCAGTATCTATTGATCGTATTCATCAATGTCCTTGGCATCGCGGTACAAGAAAAATTGCACGAAGATCGCTCCGTCCAATAGTAGTGTTCCAAAGCTGCCAATCAACCACGACAGGTTGACCAAGATATACCGCCCGTAGATAGCGGTAGCCTCTCCCGGCCCACACTTAGCATGGTGGTGAGAAGTAACATCCACATTATTGGAGCCCCGACAAACGGGAGAATATGCCAGGATAGATAGCACATAGGTCAGATTGCCAATGCAAGCAAATAGGAAGAAAAGAAAAGAGACACCATCGGTAGATTTGCGTCTGAAATTCAAAAGAATTTGAGGAAGACGAGAGCCGAGATACAAAGCAGCGCATAGGTATCCGAATACTTGGCCCAGTGTATCCATAGTGAGAGGCTCAGGTTCCGAGCTTGATTTCTTCGTAGCCGGGCTAAAGTACCACCCTAATACGCCTGCAGTGCAGACGAGGGCAATGGCAGTGGTATTGAACAGAATAGCCTGAATTGTGGAGATTCGGCGTTGGCGTCGACGCGCAAGAGCAGCAGCAGTGATACTTGCGTCAATGAGAGGCGTCGCGGGGGAGAGATGCGTGCCATCAACAGAATGCAAGATATCCCGAAATGAGGTCGCGGAATGACGCCGTCCATGTTGATCACCGTTGCCAGGTACAGACGGCTCCTGGATTCTAACGTGACCATTGGGCTTTGGCAGCAGGGCTGATTGTTCAGTTGGTACCAGGGCAGAATCAGTACCCTCACCAGGGCCATCTAGTGCGCCAGAGGCAGCAGGCTCGGGGGTTGGAGAAGAAGAAAATTCCTCTTTAATGTTAAATCCACGGTAGTAGAAGCACTGTCCCAGCAAAACGATATCTGCCAATGTGTAATAAACAGCCAAGATAATCATGGTTGGCAGGACACCCTGCATGACGGCTCCCAGGATATTGAAGACATCACCAGCCAACCAAACAATGAGGAAAAGCAGCGAGAGGCCATCTGCGGAACCACGTCGGAAGTTTTCAATGATCTGTGGAGAAAAAACCACTACCCAACAGACAAGGGAGATCGAACTAAGAAAAGATATTAGATTATTGTAAGACACGCTTTTGGTATGTGGGGTTGTGACTCGTGAGTCGTGCGTGACGGGTCAAGTTCGTCGATCCAAGTCGAACCAATGCAGGTGGTATAGATATCCAAATACATCAATCGCCACAGAATATGGACCAGATTTATGAACATTTGAAGGTATTAGGAGATTATTTTGCTTACCCACAGATGCCGCTGAGGGCCTCAATGTTTAGATTGCCCACCTGTGGGGGGAACATGGCGTATGCTGGAGAGTCGTGATTCAAATCGAAAAGTCCGCAACGAAGGACACTGTAGTGGTATGTCTCTTTATGCGGAGCGCTACAGTCACACTTGGCACGTATTTGTAAACGAAAATTTCCCCCTTCCACACGTTAATCATGCCAATTGACGTGAAAAGAAAAAAGGTTGGAGAAATCCGCGGGACTAATGTGGATGACGTCGGGTCACGTGTGTTCCATCTATATCGTGATTCCTCATAGAAATGACACTTGTGGGCTTATAACGTACGACTAAATTGAAAATACTATATGCACGTACACAGGGAAGATTGAGATAATTCCATCAAGAAGATTATTCTGCCCAAAAACGCCCTGCAATGCACACATGAGAGACCACCTGAAATACCACCGAAATATACTAAATAGATATGCGATAATGCTTGGCTTGTTTTAATCTGCTTAAGGCAGATGCATCTATTTGGCTTGGCTAGCCAACCACGCCTCGTGAGCCTTCTTTTGTCGCTCCCAGTCCTTGCGAAGCTTCTTCGCCCGACTCTTGGTGATCTCTTCTCCAGCGGTGTCACGAGTGGGGATACCCTCGTCATCCCAGGCACTATACTCGTTGGTACGGAACATCTCTAGGTGGCTGAGTTTGCCCTTCTCCAACTTCTTGCGAGCCTCCTCTTCCTTAGCCTTCTGGGCTTGGATCTTTTGGAGAGCGCGTGCAGCCTTCTCCTCGCGGGCCTGGATCATTTCCCGGGTGACGGGGCGGATGAGGGCCGGGAGGTTATCGCGATCCTCGAGGTACAGGCCGAGATCGAAGAGGTCGATGTCTCGGACACGATCACAGAGAGCCAAGATGTCTTTCCCAGCGTTTTCGGAGGACTGCAGAGCAGAGGCAGTGGCACGGAAATTAGAGAGCACTTCGGCGTAAGGCTTTGAGGAGTCAGAAACCTTTTCGGATGCCGACTCCTTGGTAGCCTGTTCAATCACCTCGGCAGTGATTCCATCCTGTGAGCGGGCCGCCTGGCGGAGAGTATCACGCATGGTAGAAAGAGGGAAGATGAAAGGCTTAGCCTCCTCGGGGACGTCAATGCCCGACCATCCAATCTCAGTGCTGTCAGCGGAAGCGGACCCATTGAGGCCAAAGATGTTAACCAATCGAGTGATAAACTGGGCCGCAGCCTTCACATCATCCGGGTTGATGGTGGCCTTGTCAGCAGCGTTGTATTTGGTGATGAGCTCAGAAACTGTGTTCATAGCTCCAATTGTGTTGAAAGAATCGCAGAGGAAACCGTCTACAGCAGTCTTGGCTGCTTCCAAGTCAGCACCAAATGTGCTATCAGAGGCAGAGCCCTGAAGAGCAGCAGGGTCCTTCACCTTGATGAAGAAGTTGTTCACCTTGTCCTCCCAAGAGCTGCACGAACCGACAAGGTCATCGGTAATCTCAACACCTTCCTTCCAGCCACCAAGTAGGAACACAATTCGCAAGCTTCTTGAAGTCCAAGTCTCCCGCTCTAGTGCTTCCCGGATAGTAGTAAAGTTCTTCAAGGACTTGGACATCTTAGAGCCCTGGATGGACAGGTGACCCATGTGCAGGAAGTAGTTGACCCACTGTTCATGGTTGTGGAAGTATGCCTCACTCTGAGCCAGCTCGTTATCGTGGTGGGGGAAAGCAAGATCAATACCACCAGAGTGGATATCCATCTGCTGGCCAAGTCGGGCGGATGCCATGGCCGAGCACTCGATGTGCCAGCCAGGCCGACCCTTGCCCCAAGAGCTGTCCCAGCTTGGCTCACCAGGCTTGGAAGACTTCCATAGAGCAAAGTCGGAAGCACCACGCTTCTCGGTGGTCTTGCTAGTGAGAGCTCCCTCTCCCTCGGCAGCTAGCTTGTTATCCGACCGACTCCATGGCTCAAGACGGGCATAGGCATGTCCTGCACCCTCAAAAGCGTCGATATCGAAATAAACCGATCCATCTTTGGTAACATAGCCAAAGTTATTCTGCACAATACGCTCGACAAAGTTTGCGATCTCGGGGCCATATTCAGTCACACGCGTCAACTCGTCGGGATCGAGAACATTAAGGTCCCGCATGTCATTCATAAACCGGTCCTCGTATTTGCGCGTGAGCTTTGTGAAGATTCCATGGTCATTGGCATCGATTGATGCGCCCTTCAAGGCATCCAGGTAGGGGAGAAGGACGTCCTGGGCACTGGAGTAGAAAGACTCGGCAAATGACGTGGGATCAGCAGCGGTGCTAGCCTCCGCTTGGGCAAGAACCTTTGCAGCCGACGCCACGGTCTTGATGTGCATTTTAACCTTGGCTTCATCATCACCCGCTTTCTCATTGCCGGCGAGAGTTCCGCCGCTCAGCACCGTCTTATAGATCTTCTCCACTTCACTTTGGTATTCTGCGGGTGCGAGGCTGGGGGCCAGCAAGGGGAGGTTCTTTGTCACGTAGGCGACGTAAGCCTTCTTTGTGGTATCCAGGACTTCTGGTGTAACAGTTGGGTTGGTTGCAACGAATTCGCTGAAGAGGTGTTGTTGTCTCGCGCGTAGAATGATCTATAGGTGGGGGCTATGTTAGTCGTCATTTTGCGCAACCTGGGGTCCAAACTACCAAGTCCGGGGGCCATACCTTGTCGTCCACGTCTGTAATGTTCATAACAAAGTGCACGTCGAACTTGAAGTAGTCGCGCATGATGCGCCGGATGATATCGGTGGTCACATAGTTGCGGGCGTGTCCCAAATGCGAGTCGTCATAAACGGTAGGTCCACACGCGTACCAGGAGACCTTCTTGCCAGCAGGATCAATCGGAACAAAGGGAGTCTTGGACTTTGTCAAGGAGTTCCAGACTTTCAAAGCTGGGAGTTGCTGCGCTTCGGGGTGCGAGGCAGGTTGCCGCCATGGCGGCTGTTGTCGAGACGACATGGATCGAGATGTAACAGTAATCGATACAGACAGAAAGCGAAACTGCCGCTTGGGAAGGACAAGAGGCCGGGGAAAGAGGGGCATAAAGGAATGAGAAAAGACAAGACCCAGGAACAAGACAAGAGGGGCACTTTAGCATGGAAACACGCAGATCGAGTCATCGCAACAGTTGGAATGCTCTGTGATTGGTCCATGCTCAACATTGTCCCGCAAGCCCTGAGCCCTAATGTCCAAGATAGGAAATGTCAATCTGCATTTTCTCCAGTAAATCAAAGCTTCTCTAGCTCATGATCTCTTCAAGATAGACCTTTCACGCCCACAGGAATTATCCCCGTTACAGCCGCTATAGTACTTGGAGCCGATTAGAGCTCGCCCACATTAATGCCGTCCCCTTTCCTCACCCCGGGCGACTGCTCGCAGCCCGACGGCCTCGCAATGCTCCATATCCGTCGCGATCAAACCATGCCGGCAATCCTCCGCACCCACGATAATGAGGACACGGGTTACAAAGAAGGAAGGGTGGCCAATACCCGCTTTGGATCGTTCCCTCACAGCACTCTTCTCAACCAACCCTGGGGCTCACAAATTGCCGCCTCCAAGGTCGACACCGGTTCCCGCGGCCGCAGACCCAAAAACCCAGCCAAGCGCAAGGCCGAGGAGCTGGATGCTTCGGGCACAACCACCGGCGCAGACGACGACGATACCCCTTCCGTTAAAACCCCAGTTGCCGCGGCAAGTGGTTTTTTGCACATGATGTACCCAACGCCCGAATCCTGGACATATGCTCTTCCCCACCGTACCCAAGTCGTGTATACCCCAGACTACAGCTATATTCTGCACCGACTCCGCGTGCGCGCCGGATCCACGATCATCGAAGCCGGCGCTGGTAGTGGTTCGTTCACCCACGCCTCTGTGCGCGCTGTATTCAACGGATATCCCAGCGAGGAGCAACAAGGACCCTCGACTAAGAAGAAGAGATTCGGAAAGGTGTGCAGTTTCGAGTTCCACGAGCAACGCGCCGGAAAAGTACGAGAGGAAATCGCAGAGCATGGTCTGAATGGACTGGTTGAGGTCACCCACCGCGACGTTTACGGAGATGGATTCCTTTTGGGAGACCCGAAGACAGGAAAGTCACCCAAGGCAAATGCGATCTTCCTCGACTTGCCCGCCCCATGGCTCGCACTGCCCCACCTAATGCGCAAGCCCGCTTCAGGCGCCGAGTCTGCACTCGATCCGTCCTCGCCCGCATACATTTGTACCTTTTCGCCGTGTCTTGAGCAAGCGGAGCGCACCATCCGCACGATGCGCAAGCTATCCTGGCTGAATATCTCCATGGTAGAAGTGCAGCACAACCGTATTGACGTGAAGCGCGAACGTATCGGTCTCGATGCCGAAGGTGTACGCGGAGCGACTATCTTCCCCACAACTGTGGAGGAAGCATCCCAAAAGCTCTGGGCTGATGAGGAACGTGCTAAGCGCATTCGCCACAGCCAGGCTGAGAAGAATGCCGATTCTGAAGAGGTGTCTGCCCAACAAGAAGATATCAAGGCTCCGGCGAAATACTTAATTGAGAAATCCACGGCACCGGCATACACGCTCGGTCGCTTGATTCATCGCCCCGAGCCGGAGTTGAAGACTCACACTTCATACTTGGTGTTTGCCATTCTTCCCCGGGATTGGTCTGAGGAGGATGAGCAGAAATGTCGCCAGCAGTGGCCGTCGACCAAGGTGGATCCAGCACTGAACAAGTCAAATGGGAAGAGCAGGAGGCAAATGAAACAGGAGTTCAAAGCGCAACGGATTAAGGAAGAGGAAGACAAGATTAAGGAAGAGGAGGTCAAGATTAAGGAAGAGGAAGACAAGACTACTATGGAAGAGTGAAGTCAAGAAAAAAACAGAGCAGCCAGCTTCAGAAGATAAGACTGAAGCGTGATGAAGATGGTTATATCAAAATAATACATGTACTATTAAGCGGGTTGTCTTGAACATGGTCAGGTTTCTTCAACATTTAAATGCTTTTCAACTCCGAAATCCATCTAAACATTGAATTTCATCGCAAAGTGATTGATGTCTACAGCATTTGTAAAGTCATGCAATTAAACACTTCAAATGTTCTTTGAGACCTACTATAACATCACCGTTTTACAAAGTCATATATCTACAAGTAGGAAGTAGTAGGCTCATATATATGGAATTTTGCAAGTCATAGTCTCATGGGTCACATATGCAGCCAATGCATGCTGTTAATGAAAGATGTTCTAAATACTATCCCCAACGCAAAAGGTATGAGGGGGAAAATCCGGTGATGGTGGTATGTGACAGACAGCGCAACAATGCTAGAAATCAAGACAGACAGTATAAAGCTCATAGGTTATTCTCCAACCTAAACTTGTCCCATGCCTCATTCAGGGTTCCGAACACCGCACCAGCAATCATGCGCTGCTCTGTAGTGGCCGTGGTAGAAATCTGTTTGGAAGAAGGCAGTTAGCAACTTGACCACCAGCCCGTATATTTAGCCTCGGAGTAACATACCTTATCAGGGTGTACCTTAGCAATACCCTTCATATACTGAATTTTCACCTTGTTCGGCAAGACCAGCTCTGACAAGCCGATTTTCTTCCAGCCAGCCTCGGGCCATAGCACCGCATCCAAGCTGCCCAAAAGCGCACGCAAGTTATCCTGCTTCCCGCCTTTCCAGGCTGTAATCCTCGCGTCAACGCTGTCTGTGAGGGCAAACTTCTCTTGGTCAGCGCGCTCGGCAGCTTGATTAGCTTCACGCAGACGGCTGACAGCTTCCGAGTCCTGGCCAGAGCTCGAGCCGCCCGAGAGATCCGACAATGCAGAGACCTTCTTGGGCGCAGGGGGTGCTCTTTTCTTGGCGGGGACTGGCGGTTTGGACGGCGGCTTGCTGATCCCAGCAGCTTTCTCGCATCTGTTTCGACCTTGAATACTGGTGCTTCCACCATGGCCTGACTCCACCGCCAGCTTCCATGCCTGCGCGGCATCGCCCCAACGCTCGAGCTGTTCCAAAGCCTCAGCCTTGCGCATCAATGCTTTGCCAAAAAAGTCTTTCATGGGCTTGGCGGGCTCGCCATTTCCTAACTCAATGAGCTCATCTTCGCCCTTTGATGGTCCGATCACATTCAGAATGATATCGGCGTCGTCGATCGCAGTCTTGGGTTCACCGGTCTTCAAAGCCGTCATGGCACGGTTGCTGCGGATCACGATGGTGATTGGGTGCTTGTCAGGGAGCATGCCAAGGGCAGTAGAGAAGCTTTGGTGTGCAGCTGCATAGTCGCCCCGCTTGTATGACTCTGCTGCTTTCTCACGGTGGCGGTGAGTGGATTGGAGAGCCTCTGGGGAGACAGGAGGGACAGGACGTGGTGGAGCTTTGGGCCGTACAGGAATAGATGCCGAGCGTGCAGGAGGTGGTGGGGCAGACTTAGATTGGGGTATGGGGTTGGATCGGTTAGGTGTAGGAATAGGAGAAGCGAAGAGATCGACATCGGGTTCTGCTGCCGCTGGCGGCGCTTGGGGCTGGACCCGCTTGCGTCTTGCTGGGCTGACATAATTTTGCGCGGATTCCTCTTCAGCGGCAAATCGTGAGAGTCGGGATTTCGGTTCCTGGGAACTGGGCGGTCGTTGAAGAAAATTGGGTGGCTGCATGTGTTGACCAACCGGAGGAGATGGCTGGGGGCGGAGATCGCGACCTCCTTGGGCGGATTGAGTTGGCCGCGGCGGTTGACGAGGGCGCGAATCTCCTGAATCAAGCAGAATTGCTTCATCTGTAAATTCTGCGGCGTTTTGTTGCCCTTGCAGTTGACCTGATCTATCGCTTCGGCGGGTGGGTTGTGGCTGAGAAAATGACTCCTCACGAGGAGCAGCCGCATCCCTCATCCATTTGGGCTGACTTGAGTCGTTTTCTGTATTGAATTCATTCACAGCTTGCTGAAACTTCTTGCTGCCCGTTTTCCACAGCGAACCCGCTGTTTTCAAAAAGTTGGTGCCAAATTGTTGTGCCATTTGAGCCGGGTCTCTCTCGCCAGCGGCAGGACTCCGGCTGTCATTGCGCGATCTCCCTTCACTCATCCAGGATGGTGCTTCCCGATTACGGCTTTGACCTCGTTCTGGTCGTTCATTGGGGTGACCGTTAGCCGGAGATTGTCCCTGTGACTTTTGTCGAGCCTCGGCGTGCGCTGTTGTCAAGAGCCAACCAACAGCGGCTTGTACATCAGTACCCGACGGAGTGGTTTTGAGGGCCTGGCGAGCTTTGTCTGCCGGGAATCCCATATCAACTAACTCTGCGATAGCCCGGTCCACTTCATTTGATGGCATAGGCGATGAATCACTTTCCTCTCGGTCACGGCGAGGAGATGCTCTTCTTTCCGGTGGTGCCACCTGTTGACGTGGTACCTCCGACACTGGCTTGCCCAGCAATCCAAGGAAATCATCATCCTCGTCTTGCGCTGGTGCGGGTGCAGGACGGGAAGCCGATTTCGCTTTCAATTCGCGCAGACCAAATGGATCATCATCATCGAATGCATCCATTCCAGCCGTGTTGTCCTGCATCATAATTCCTCCGCCATTTGATCCTTGCGGTGTATTCGTACCGATTCGAGGTGATGGAGAGGCGCTAGGGATGGGAAAATTTGTTGACGCATCAACCGGTGCTTTCGCATTGAATGCAGCTAGCAAATCATCGTCGTCCGCGGGGGGTGCGACAGATTGCGACAGCGTTCCTCCTGCAGGGCTTCGGGTACGGCCTTGTTCGAAGCTGTCCCAAAATTGCGAGTTCTGACCCCCATATTGCGACTCGAAATGACTTCTTTTGTCGGCCTCTTTCTTTGCCTTCTCGGCTTCTAGTAGCTTCTGTTGCTCGAGCAGAGAAAGGTTCTTGTTGGCGGCGGAGGAATTAAACGACACCAAGTTCGCGAAGCTGTCTCCGGTGGAGGGGGCGGGTTTTGATGGTGAATTGGATCGATTTGACGCTATAGACAGGGGGGTTGATCTGCCGGAGGCGCTGTCTTGACGGAAGTTAGGAAACATCATGCCTGCAGACATTGGAGGTGGTTTGCTGGGTGGGGTGTTTGAGTTGGAGGACCAGCTCAGCCCGTTGAGGTCATCCATGGCGGGTAAGGTGGTGCCCGGGGCCGAAGATGGGAGATATAGGGGTCTATAACAATATTCGAGGCGTCAATAATTGCATCGCAAGAGCGGAAAAAGTGAAGTTTTTTGGCATACCACGGTTAATGGGATGTTTGGTCTAGACAAGCTTCATTGAATCGTCGACCACAGCCCCCTGTACATGTGGGGTGGATTGGCACGTGACGTTTCATCATTGATGCCTCCAATGTTTCGTAGTATCTTCTCGTGTATACTAGTAGACTGTACTTGGGAATTTTAAAACTATAAGTGAAGAGAACGTTTGATTCGGTTTGCCTTACTCTCAATCTCCATGACTACTTACCACTCGAGCGGTGCTGTCATGATGACCTTAAACTCCGTACGGTTCTTGCTTTTTACATACTGGATCCTGCCGAGATCGGCATGGGATCTATCCTCTTTTGGAAAGCTCTGATCACCCCGGCCTATCGTCTATGAGCTTCCGAATTAATATACTATATCCTTCCTCATTCTGGGATAATCATTAATTACATAGTACCAACGGCAGTACATATTTTACACTGCACTACGTATTCTAATCCATGGATGTTGGCATACAACTTTCGAAAATAATTTATACCTACTATACATATATCCCTAAAGTCACTCGATGTCCAGAGCTGCATGTGTACAATCACTTCAATGTTACTCTTCGGCGCAATTCCTCAGCTGCAACAGAAAGGGAGAATTGAGGTTATGAAGTCGGGAGCGGCTAACCTTGGAAGCTCAACTGGTTCAAAGCACCAGTCTGTTTGTAAATCCTCACCTTGGTTGACGTCTCACGGGCCTCCTGGGGTCCTGATGTCTTTCGAGGTTCGCACGCGTACCTACCTCTAGGCTAGGCCTATGTCAAATTCTCCTCCGGGGCCGTGCTACATCCCCAATCTGAGGCGAGGTCAACTTCCAAGCTCACATGCAATGATTGGTGTTCCAGCCTGACAGCATCCATCGGGAACAAGTACCACTATATATGCATGGGCTGTAATTTCCAGAATGGAGCCTCCGGATCTTAGAAAGGCAGTGCTACAAATCAGCCCGAGCACCGTGCTGGACTCGGTTTCTTCTGCGGCGCTGGCTATCACTCGCGAGGTCATGGCCGCGAGCTTCGACCTACGCGTTTAAATCCCCAGCCAATTCACAACCTTGGAAGGCTGGGACAGGGGGTTCTACCAACATTGAGTTCCACACCTCAAGTGCTGGGCATACAGGGACATCAGTATGTATGCATGTCCAAGTGGATGTGCGTTTGCATTTTTCGGAGCCCCTACATCTGGATAATGGCGCCTGGTGAGAGTGTGCTATTGAGTCTTTGGCAAGCAAAATGATCTCACTGATGTCAAATGATCGTCGGCGCCCTACCCCATCCCCCAGGTTGTGTAGGTACGGGTCCTTCCAAGGTTTTAGCTGGATGATTTTTCGGTCCTTCCATGATTTCATTACCCAAGGCAGACCTGAACATAGAGCTGGTGTTTTATGAACGGAGCTTGGAAGGCTGTGCAGAATTATGGGTTCAGGTTGTTCATTAGACCAGTTTATTATTACCGCGACTCCGTTGCCGAAATCCAAGATCGGGGCTGCAGGAACGGATTGTATGGATTGAACCAGTCAATTTTTCTTGGGGGACTATAGGAACGGGCCCACCACCAGCACAATTATTATTCCTCAACCCAAGGTTCGTCTATTTTTTATATTCCAAATTGGGATCCAATGAACCTACACTGGGTATTTCATTCCGTAACATTATTGATTCAGCTTCAACTCCAAACGCCAAACGTTGCTTATCTCCCCAACGCATTTTGTACAGACAAACTTGACTCACCAAACAATGAAAAACAAACCGACACGTGTACTGGGCTGTTGAGTTGACGAGCAACACACCAAGCCCCGACGCGACTGTTGGCAAGCTAATATGCATCTGGTGAAAAGGCCCAATGACACAATGCAGGATTGTTGCGTGCTAAAAGCGAAATGAAGAGCGGCATTGTCTCAGATGCTTACCGAGTTTCCCTCCTTGCCTATCGCCGACAGTCAATTTTCTGCCCAACCACAGCCAGGAACAATGCACGAACGGGAAAAAAGTGGAAAACAAGTGGGAAAGAAGTGGCTCCCAGTGCCAGACTAACGGTATGATAGGCCAACCGACGTGCATGCATAACCTCCAGAACAAGGGACCGAACCAATTGTCCAATGCGCGGCGATAACTAAACAAATCGGGCTTCCCCCAGCCCCACTTAGCTCAACCCCTAGTTCGCGGAATGGCGTTGATACCTCCGAACTTCTGATGAGCTATCGAACGATTTGAGCTGAATGTTTTTAAATTTTCGATGCAGCCAAAAAAAAAACTAAAATTAAATAAAAAATTCAAAAATTAAGAAAAATTGAATAGAACAATTGGAGGCGTTCAGATACGGTGAGGCTCGCATACGAGGTAAGTATCATAATGGCTTTATTGCCGATGTGACAGATCAGTCAGGGTACATTGGGGAAGACTGCATTTCCGTTGAAGCTAGAGCTGGGGATCAACGGGGGTTTTCTTGTTTTTTTCCCTTGTTCTCTTGTTTGTGTACTTGTTTTTTTTTTTATCTATTTATTAGTGATTTTTTTTTGCCATTCGAGGTTAGCTCATCTTAACAGTAACCGGCCGCCAGATCCGAGACGGAAAGGGCTTGTCAAGGCGAGCGCGAATAGGCAAAGAAGAGGTAAAAGGGGGGCCAATTCAATTTCAATTTCAATTTCCACAAACGACGCTAACCGGACAAGTTATAGGTTGCAAGCCATAGCAGGATTTCTGGCCATTGAAATGCACGGTCAAGAAGTTGAGCCATGCTTAGCCTTGTTCGATCATCCTCGATCGGCGGGTCATACATGATAATGCACCACTGAGATGCTATAGGATTGACCCATCCAACTCGCGTGGTTCAATACATGTCGGCACGTCTAACCCCCTAAAAAACTCAAATCGTTCACAATTCCAAGCCCCGCGCTCTAGATTCTATTGTTCCGATTTTCTTCCCCTACTTTTTGCTTTTCCATATATGTAGGGGCCGTTTGGGGCTGGAGCCATCCTTGTGATCTTTCTTGTCCAAGTATTGAAGGGCCTGGGAATGCCCTTCTATTCCTTCTAATCACCTGGTGGTCTCTTAATCCCCCGTCAACCTTCCCCGTCGATCTCCATATACCGTTTTCTTTTGACATAATTATACCCGAGTCATGTGCATGGTCCAGTGATCGAGGTTGAAATCCGAGAAAAAAAAGGAACAACAGGATTGAAACTCTCGTTTCCCCGTATTAATCGCGTCGATTCCAGCCATCAATCGCATCTGTGCTGTCTTAATATAGCCAGTCAGCAAATATGCGGTGGTGTCTATTGGGGTTATTGCTCCTCTGTCTTCACTGGAGCCAGACATTCGCGGCCCCAGCGGAGTATAGCTACCGTGATGTCAACAATGTCGCACTTCTAGATGCCAGAGATGACACAGAAACCACTACAACCGCGTCCGAAAGTAGTACGTCTAGTCAAACGACTGCAACAGCAACATCTACCACAACTAATACCGCCTCAACAACCACCTCATCTACTTCCACAACTCACACGACTTCACAAACCACCCAGGCTACCCAATCAACTCAATCGAGCCAGACCACATCTGTTCCATCACTGGGCACATCTTCAGGTTCAGGTTCAGGTGACGGATCAAACACAAACTCAACGAAAGGGACCTATACCGGTGGGTTGCCGATTCAGCCGAGAATCACACCGGCGTTGGGTGTTGGAGGATTTCTGCTTCTTGCAGCTGGTGCGGTCCTGGCCTTTGTTGGAATCCGCAAGCCAAGGTAATTTAATTTGCCGCATAATACACTTCATGAACTTGATGAACTTGATACTAATGGTGTATAGAATCTCGATATTTTTATCTACGGGGATATTAGCCGCGCTTGGTGTCACAGTAAGTTACTTCCGTACCACACAAGTACATAGCCTACCTAAACATTCTCTCCTACCAGGTCTTGATTGAATATGTGATGAGCCCGCCGGTGAGCGATGCAGTTCAGGGTGGATACCTGGTCGCTATATTCTTCACAGGTGCTATATTCGGTGGTCTAGCTCTCGTTTTCAAAGAGATCACCGAAGGTCTCTGTTGTCTTCTAGGCGGATTCTGCATTGGCATGTGGTTCTTGACGGTCAAAGCTGGCGGTCTGGTCACGGGCGACGGAACCAAAATAGGATTCATCCTGGCCTTTACTGGAGGCTTCTATTGTCTCTCGTTCAGCCACTATACCCGCTCATATGGGTCCATCCTGTGCACTGCCTTCGGTGGTGCGACTACACTGGTTATTGGTATCGACTGCTATAGTAGAGCTGGATTGAAAGAGTTCTGGCTTTACATCTGGGGTAAGTCACACAACATGCATGCAGTTAAAAAAAGCAAAACAAGGTTTAACGTTCAATTTAGGGCTGAATGACAACATATTCCCCTTGGACACCAACACCTACCCAATCACACGAAACATCCGCGTTGAGCTGGCGATCATAATTATTGTCACTGCTTTCGGTGTTGTCTATCAGCTCAGATTGTGGAAAGTGATTCAGGAACGTCGCGCGAAAGAAGAGATAGCCCGCCAGGAAGCTGACAGGGCAAAGGAAGAGGCTGAAGCCGAAAATGGTCGCCAGGTCGAAGAGAAGAATCTCAGAGAGCGAGCGGAGTGGGAAAAACTATACGGCAATGGCAGCGAGACAAAAGAACCATCTCTGTCTGACACAGCCGTTGCCGACGATTCGCGACGCAGCTCAGACGCGTGTGGGTCTTCAGTTCGTGAAAAGGATAATTCAATTGAGATGACAGAGATGACTGGTGCGGATCAATCTGGCCGAGTATCTGAAAACGGAAATCATCTCGAGGCGGTCGAAGAGGGTGAGCCAGAGACTTTAGCCGAGGGACAAGACGGTCAGGAGGGCCATGAGCTTCCCGAGGACCAAGGAGAAAATCTAGAGGATGGCCAAGAAGCTCCGGCAACTCCTGTCTTGAAGAACCTGCACATTGAGACCAACATACATCCCGACAATAGCTCTGAGCATGGGGCGGTTTTGGGATCAGAATTCGGCACACCACGCTCATCCAAACGCTTCTCTAGCAGATCCCTGATGAACAGGATGTCATGGCGCAGCGGACATACAATGAAGCAACTCCCGCATAATGAATCCGAGGAGGGCTTGATAGCCGATGCATCATCTTCTGTTGCTGGAATCATTGATGACGTCCAAAGTATCACATCTGAGGCACCAAGCCTTGCAGAGACCGAGGTGACGGCCGTTAGGAAACCTGAAGTTCCTTCTGGCGAAGAACTCTCGCGTGAGAATATTGTCTCTGAGGATAAGATTGACTCTGATGAGACCAAAATCCTGGATACCAGCACAGATATTGTTGAAACAGCTGTTCAGGGAGAGAACGCTCCGGATATTGCCACAAAACATAAGGCTGTGCAGGAGAATGGCGCCCCTCAAGAGAATGCCGAATCTGCAACGCGCGAGCAGGCAGCACCCGTTGAATTGAAGAGCCAAGCTGAGCCCGAACCCGCCAAGTCGGACCCCGTTGTGACTCAGCACTCAAATTCTCCAAATACTTCAAATCCTGCAGCTCCAGAGCCAGCCCAACCAAAGACAGCAGAACCAAAGGCAGCGGAACCGAAGGCACCAGAGCCAGCAGAGCTTGAACCCCAACAGGAGACCTCGGCAGTGAAAGCTGAGGAAATCAAGGAAGCTGCTGTTGCAGAATGCAAACCGGATGCCCCAGTTCAGCATGAAGAGAAGGTGAAGCAAGAAACCGTCAATCCGCCCAACGATACTGCTCCGGTTCCACCAGTAGTGCTGGTCTCACAAAAGAAGGCAGCCAAAAAGCCAGTCAAGAAACCAGCCAAGAAGCCCAAGTTAGATGCCTCAACTGTGCAGAACATCCCGGAGCAAACCTCGAGGGTTGTTAATTCATTCCGTACCAGGGAATGGGCAAAGCATCTTGCCAATGCAGATGAGCCAGATTTTGAGCCGATTCAATTTGAGACCGAGCCAGAAGATCCTACTGCGTCCGAAGAAACAGCAGCCCCAGTCGACATGCACAGCCTGCTACAAACCCCTCACACTGCGATGCCTCCTCCAGCGGTCGCAAGGGCAGTTTCAAGTCCAGATCAGACTTACTATCAATCTCCTACGCCATTGGTATCTCCCGATATGTCCCAACCCAAAGCCAGGCAGAGCATTCAACATACTGGAGGCCCCAACTCCCCAGGTGTCTACCGGAACGTATCTTCAGGCTCTTCAGGCCCACGGGAATTCAATGACACACACGTGGTGCGTAACAGCGTGTCGACTCCATTCTTGACCATCACCACAACAAATACACCCGAAGAACCCGCAGATGCTCCCAAGTGGAACGGACCTCCACCCCTTCTGGCCGTACGGGAGAATATGATTCAAAATCGAATGTCTTCAACATCTCTCCGTTATGACCCATGGGGACCCCGAAACCAATCTCGCCAGTCTCTGGGAGAGCCCACCCGAGTCATGTCACCGACATTGCCGATTGCCGAAGCCGACGAGGTTTTCGAAGAGCCAGCACCTCGCAACGAGGATGACATTCCCCTTTCTAAACGACGCGCCCTGTTGCAGCGCCAAACTATGCGATCGCCATCTGGAAACAGCACACAAAGTCTTGAACAGATTCGGTCCCCCATCTCCCCTTCACCTTCTGCTGATCCAGCCAGATCTGAGGCTGTCATGTCTGCATGGCGACAGTCTGTGCGGGAGGACCTCTCACAGCGACGTGATCCCCTGGCTATCAGATCACCCACCCCTGGGCCTACAAGCCCCGTTAGCCCCGACCGTTCTCGCAATACATGGGGATCTGTGCAGCAAATGCGTGACGCCTCTTCGAACCATATTGGCAACGTCATTGCCGATGGGATGCAAAAAGGAAACATGACAGATCTCCACCGCCAGGCTATGCGGCGAATGCAAGCTTCTACGAAGATGAAATGATGAGGAAGGACCCCTCACTCGCCCATTCTGCATTCTTCAATGGGCTATACTAGTACATAATGCGACCTTTAATTCTAATATTTAGGCTAATGCCTGCATTCCTTTCCCCCTCGGACTCATTCAGCCAGAAACTGATGTCTTTCATTCTTTTTGGGTCCCTCCGACCACCCAGTCCCTGCAACAACCGCGGGGCAAGGGAATTCCGCGCTCTCTTTCGCTCTTGACTTTCCTTCTCCCGTGAAGTTCAACCTTGTGTTGATCTTTTGAAAGTTGATGGTTGCCTCTCATCCGAAAGAGTTATCAGCTGATACATGTATATATTGTTATTTGTCCCATATTATGTGGTCGCTTGATCACATTGTCGTTTAGTGTGATTACTTGAGATGAAAATTAATATGACTTTACAAGACGGCGAAGATGTCTTTCCAAACCAATTTGAGAAGGCACGAACGCTGGTCAACACCATAAAACCCCCTATACTACTGCTGTACTAGGTACTAGTACTGCCCAGGTAATTCTTTCTAGTTCCAATGTTCTCATGCCCTTTTTTTTGGTTTGAAATTTCTTTGAGTTCTAAATACCTACTAGTGTTATCTACTAGTACACAACCCAGCACTTGAGCTAACTCACTGCAAAAAGTGTTTCGGAGCCTTCTCAAAATGCTTAATCGCAGCCTCCAACTGCTTCTCATACTCCTCCACCTCCAAACTCTCCTGATCATCTTCCCCAACACCATCCTCAAGCAGACTCTGACCCTGGTTCTCTTCCTCATCATCATCTTCCTCTTCATCTGCACGCACAAGCCCCAACTCAACCCCCCTCTTCGCTCCATCCCTTGCCGTATTCACCGACATGATATCTCGATAAAGACCCATCGAAGCAGGAAGCTTCACATCCCCCGCCCCACCCTTTCCCATCTTAATAAACTTGGCATCCAGCAAACGGAACTGAGCAGCCCACACATGCGGCTCGGCAACCTGCATCGCCATCTCCCATGTCGAACCAACGCCCAGACTCACGGACCCGCCGACCGGAACCCCAGACAGGGCCCCGATAATGGACGAGGAAACGCCCGCAGATACCTTCGACGATTGGCCCCGTGAGACCACTGTGCGGGTATCCTCGAGCAGATACAGTCCCGTTAGCATCCATACTTTGGGTCTGCGGGCGAATTTGAAGTGCACGACAAAGTCGCTGTAAGCGGCGGACAGCCACAGTTTGAGTTTTTGCTGTGCTACGTCGTTGCTCAGGACATTTTTTGTGAGGAAGGTTTCTGGGCTGGGAGTTGTTAGTTATAGATACTACCTTGAGGAGGAGAGAATGGAAGAAATGAAATGGACGCGGCCGTACTCTTTGAGTAGGACTCGGGTACCCTTCTCAGCTGTAACGATTCGTTCAAGATCCTTGTTATAAGCGAGATGGAGGTTCACGATGTCACCGGCCTCAAGTCCGATGGATGGACTAAGCCGAGAAGTTCCGTGGAAGACGGCGTTGGTGACGTTAGTCGTGTAGGCATGCTCACGTAGGGCGTCGTCGCTGGTTATAAGAGTCAGATCGCCAGATCGTCAGATAGCCAAGTTCTCCAAATTTAGATCGGCTCCGATAGGACGAAAATGTAAATCCAAATACCTTAAAAGCTCATGAGTGTAATGACGAGCGATCATTGGCTGCCAGTACTTCTCCAAGACCAACGAACCCAGGGTTAGAGCCTCGGGCCGTTCCCCCATTCCATACAGAAAGAACGACTCGTCTCCCATGATGTCAGTTCTCCAGCTGTTATTCACTTTTATTTTTACTTTCAATGTTGATCTTGTCAGATTTAGTGGATCGCCAAGGTCTCAGTGCTCACTCTCAGTATGCAGTGTCAAGGCCCAAGGGTCCGTGAAGAAAGTAAGAGTCGGGCGGCATTTCAGCCACTATTTACTCTTGTCTTTCTCGGTGCCTCCGTGGGGTTTCAGTCCGTGCTGACCAGTGACGGCTTATTCGGACGCTAATTCGGCAACTTTTGGCGAGACCCATTCAGAGTGATTGGAGTGCTAGTGGGGAACCAATAGATAGGGCGGGGTACTAATATCCATGTACTAGACTCTGTTACTAGACCCTGTTCCCCCGAGGATGAAAGATGAGACCATTTATCTGGGCTGTGCCCTACACTACCCGCCCAAGCTGACAGCTGCAAATGAGTCCTTGAAATTCATGTGCAAAAACAGAAAAACATTATGGACTTTGAGCATTTCCTCGATTTATGCGGCCGATCGCTCTTCGCGGAGGAATACAAAGGAGATCTCGATGCAGCCTGGGACTACCTCGAGCTCCACTCAGTGCAGCAAACCGACGAACCGGACGATCTAAATAACAAGGCAGAATACCTGCGCTGTTCGTCTATTTACGGAATTCTAATCGGCAATTTCGCCCACGCATACGAACACCTGAATTCCCTCTTCGACCTACTCCCCAAACTACCGCAAGAATGGGGTTTGCGATACACGAATTATAAAGTTCTCGCCGATTACACGCGCCGCTTCTGCCCGGCGCTCCGCTTCTACCATGAGCGAGGGTTCCCGCTTAACGTTGTCATGGTCGGCGATATCGTCGGGCCACAGGAGTTTTCCGTGAAATTCATGGAAAATATCCACCAATACATGCCCAAGGGAGTACCCCGAGATCAGGGCCTCGCGCAAGTCTTGAATGTGGTGCAATGGATATGTGTGCATGTTCGGGACCTGACGTCTCGATATCATCCGCTCTCACCTGGTGGATCAGGGTATAAGCCTGAGACTAATACTTCGCCTGATATCGCAGGGAGGGCAAATGGATTGTTGAAATTCCGGGCGGCGGCAGATACGAATGGCGCGGCTAGTCTTGCGGCCTATTTGACTAGGCTGGTTGTTGAAATGCATATTGCATGTCAGAATCCCGAAACGGGAATCATGCTGGTCGACTTGTATCAGCGGTGTGAGAGGGTGAATGATTATGCCGGTATGGCAAATGCGAAGTTGATTGAAGGGGATAGTATTCTGTGTGCTCCGTTTACGAGCCCGCTTGCCATGAACCTGATTGTTGTTAATGCCTCTGCTGCGATTGGTGACGATGCTCTTTGGGATCCCATTGAGCTTGATCTTGAATTTGAGTACTCTGCTGAAGTCAAACAGTGTTATGAATCTGCTCTTGAGCTTTTTGATAAAGGCAGCTGCAAGAGAGGTCGGGCGGCTGTCTTACTTCGACAAGGGTGCTGTCTGCATTATGTAGCACGTTTGCAGCGATCCATGAATGGGGAATATCTCACTCTTTTGGGAGAATCAGAGGTCAAACTGCAAGAGGCACAAGACATGTTTGGTAGAGATGGAGCCAGTAAACAACTGGTCAAAGCACATCAAGTACTGCTTAGTATTTCCAAAGGGAATGCTCAACGCGTGAAGCTGGCCGCGCGAGAGATTGGAACGTGGTGCGCGGACGCAAAGAATGAGATGCTCGCCCATTTCATTGGACGGTTCTTATTACGATTCGGTAATCAGGAATGGTTCAAATATTCCAACATGGACACAGCAATACAGACTTGGGAGTGCGCCTTCGAGGTCCTGAAGCCAACTGGGGACCTTGTTCCCTTGTTTCAGTCCGTGGTAGCTCGCGCATCTATTCAGCACGAGTGGTTCAACTCGAGTGCGGCAAGAATCCTCATCATGGAGGCTTTGACCATGGTTGATGGAGTGCGAGAATATTTCCAAACCAAGATCTCATCTGTACCAGAGACCCCACTAGATGAACTGGACCGGACAATGCTGCGGACAGAACAGGGAACTCTTTTCTGGACTTTCAATCAATACGCTAGCAGAGTGTTTTTCTCAAACGAAGATATGCAGCCTTTATATGATTTGCGGACAAGGTACAAAGGTTGGCTTGAGACTGACGACAATTTCCGATTCTGGAGGGAGCTAATAGAGAACCCTGGTGATATCGGTAATGGATTTAAGCCTCAAATTACATTTGGCAAAGACATGTTCAAGGATCTCTGGCAAACATCAATGTCTGATGAGGAAGCACATATCAGGTACAAGTCGGCAGAGACCGGTTTCAACAGGTTATTGGCCGAAGGTGATGTCTTAGGGGCAGAGGGGCTATTTCGTCGATACCTAAGTGAAGCGAAGCACCAAGACAAAGTCCACATGAGAGATCTTTACCGGGCCCTGGCTTGTCATAGGATTGGAGATCAAGTCCAAGCACGGGAGGTCCTAGACTCTATGACGGATGATGTGTTGTTTGAGGGACACCTAGAAGCTTTTCAGCAAGGCATCGCTATCAGGTCTGCTCTTCCGCTACGGGCGCAGAATGCCTTGACCTTTACCTTGTTGAGTGGCGATATGGAGAGGGGCCGAAAACTCATTAAAATGATCGTCGAGATGAGTCCAATGTTTTTCAATTCGGTGCTGGACAATGCCCTCGATTATTCGCAGCGGCTTACTCAATACGCGGCCTTCATGAAGGATGTAGAGCCTGAGAAATCTTTTGAAATGCTTCTCCGTGCTCGAGAGATCATTGAAACCAAGAGAAAGCAGAGCTCAGATTTGGATGCGCGCGTCTCGGGCTCTGCTGCTGCTTGGAGTTTCGAGATGTATCTTGACCTTGCACGTATATGCCTGACCGCTGAAAGTGGACATCTCCCTTTGAGCGTTTTATCAGGATACGATCATGGCCACTTTGACGGGATATCGTGGAAGGATCATGCATTGCTCTTCATTGAGATGAGTAGAGCACGTGCTGTGCTAGATTCTTTGCAGAAACAAGCAACCCAACCTTCAGGGCTACCTGGAGCCCCTAAAACCGCGCAATTATCCGAGGCTGTCCAGAAACGCCGTCTCTTGAGATCATTAATGTCTCTGGGCAAGTTGTCCCCGGATCAAGAGAAAGAAGTTGCACAGTTGCAAGAGGAGATCAAGGATTTGGAAGAAAATGGGTCGCTCTCTTCTGCAACTACTTTTATCGAGACGGTGAACACCATCATTGAGCCGAAATATTTATACCAAAGCATCGATCCCGATGCCGTGGTTATTGAGGCGACATTTGGATCCCGAGGATTGATCGCGTTTGCAGTGACCAGTGACGGTATCCAGCAGACATATCAGTCATCGACAAACCACCCCGATATCCGGAGACCTGTTATGAGAGCCATGCAGATCATGAGAGAGATGACTGGCTATATTGGGGAACAGGAGGAAGCTCAGAAGAAAACGCTCAATGAACTTTGCAACGAGGTCTCCAAAGCGTTGCTGGTGCCCTTTGCCGAGATAATCCGAGCCAAGGGGCATGTCATCTTCTCCGTGTCCGATCCGTTGACTGCGTTCCCTTTCTCAGTCCTCCCCTTTGATGACAAGCCTCTGGTAATGCAAGCCGTTGTCTCTCAAGTCCCGAGCTTGGCAGTACTCTACTATCTTTCCCAACGCAAGTCGACATCAGCCTCACCGACCGTGTCAGTTTTGGCTAAAGCCCCTTCAGAAGAGCCATATAGTACCACCCGGGGAGGCCAAGAAGTCAATCTCCACATGGCGGGTATAGAAGCTGTCAACATTGCCCGCATGTTCGCAACATGGCCTATCGAGGCGTCTCAACTATCACGGAAAGACTTTCGGCATTATGTCGAGGGGGGATCATTGATCATGCATATCGGGACGCACGGTGACATCAACTCTCGCAACCCCCTCCTTTCGTCTATTTCGATTGGCCAAGGCCAGGATTTCCGTGTGGTGGACATGTCAGCGATTCAAAGCAACGTGAATCTCCTGGTCTTTGCTGCTTGTCTGAGTGGTATGGGCAAGGCAACCATCGGTAGCGAAGTTCTAGGCTTTTCTCACGTTGTGCTCAGTACTGGATGCCAGGCCTATATCGGATCCCTGTGGAAAGTGAGCGATTTTGGCTCGATGTTGGTCATGACGCTCTTCTATCGACACCTGAAGGAAAATCCGCAGTGGGCTGTGGCGCAAGCTATGAGAGCGGCACAGTTGGATCTATTGCAGCTGGACACGGAAAAGGCCGGGATCCTTCTTGATCAGATGTTAGATAATTGGACGTCCCCCGGTGCAGACGACGGGCGACAACCTGCAGATTTCGTGCCCGACGCTGAGTTTCTTTTGCTCACGTTGAAAATGATCTTGAACCAGCTGGACTGGTCCAGTCCGTTTTACTGGGCACCATTCACCCTTGTGGGGTATGGAGGATTTCGGTTCATTCATGGAGAAGATAGAAATGAGCCGAGCGAGAGAAAAGATCAGTCTGTGTAGGATTTTAGTGTTTTTCAAATGCGATGTACATGCATCTTGAGCCCTTGACTCTTGACTTTTAGCTCTTGTATCCACTCAGGTGGAGTGTGCATCCAGGATCAGATCTGCGGGATGAAACAAGGGAGGAATCATTGATCAATATAGAGGTGAAACACAAGCAAACGACTCCAATAAAGGGAAGGAGAGTTTCCTTGGCTGTGTATATAACGGGCAGATTCCCTCGGGGAGACTTGATCAAGACTATCGAAATTGATTTCCTTGGATCGAATCTCAATTGATCGAATTTCTCCACAAGTGGGCTAACGCGATCTACTTAAGTACGCGGCACAGGATTCGTTGCCTCATTTTTCAGCCTGAGGATCCAGATGGAATCTATGATTCTGATGTTGGCTTCATTTTAAACTCTTTGAAAACCTCTTAAAACTTACCGTTCATTTGTTAATTGTTTTATTTTTATTTTTATCTTTTTATCTTTTTATTTTCTTATGCACTTCGTCCATGTTCTCATCTCTCCTTCCATTGATGGGTCTACCCATGAAAATCTGCCGATCTTAAGCTTTTACTGACCTTTCCCTCTTTCTTTTCTTTTTTTCCCCTTTTTACATACTCTTTTCTCCAAAACGGCGTCCCTCACAGCTACCCCTCAATCGAGGGAGGTTGAATCGAATTCCTCTCGTTATCTACCCGTGCGTGGCCAACATTCCTTTGGCTTTCGGACAGCACCCGTGGAGCCGACTCCGTCATTCGCTCGAGCACAGCGGCGACATTGCGTCCCCATCCCGGGCCCGTCGTCGTTCCCTGCAATTCACCGTCCTGCGGCTGTTCGACTCGCGAACCCCGTCAACCACGTCCCCCGCATAACCCCTATCACATTCCAACCCACTCGATCGGACGAAAGTCTCCCCCTCAGTCATCAACGCGACGCACACCCCCTCCTTAGCGTCCCCGAACGCCGTCGCAGTCGCTTAACCCCCTCCCCAACTAGTCTTATCGTTGAGCACAGCCACGGGGAATCCGAAAGCGGGCGCACAAGCATCGCTCTCCCTCCAGGTCATCGGCGCAGCGGTCAATTTTCCCCCACAGTTGAAATGGCGGCAGCTTTTGCTGGGAGTGCGGCGCGGGATGTCGAAAATCTGCGACCACCCGAAGAAGTCCATTTCGCACTAGATGGCACTCGATCCCGAGAAGACGGCCGACCGCGTCATGCACAATCTCAAACCTCTCTCCGATCTCAATCTCAAATCGCCTCCGTTCCCTCGATCACAGGCCCCGCCCCCGATGTTGCTGAAGAGCTGGCTTGGGGCCCGGCGCACCCCTGTTACCCTCACCTCAACCCTCATGTCCCTATCAATTCGCCGGAATATCTCTCAACGCGGGTCATACGTGTTCGACGCGATTGGATGATCAAGGCGGATTTGGCACCTACATTTTCAAATCTTTACCCTGAGATTCTGGATCCGTTACTGTCGGAGCAGGAGTTCCGCAAAGTCATCGCCACCGTGAATACTGGGGTCATCAAAGCTTTTGATCCGTTCAGCTTACGGAACTGGATAGATGGCGCGCTTGGCTTGTTGACTGGCTGGATCTGGGATGACTTGAACGGGCCTGGCGTCAAAGACTCATTGCAATACGTTGAGACATGGCTCGATAAATGGAACCGGGAAGTTGGTTCCAAAGATGGGGTTCACATCTGGAGTCTAAGACGCACGGCATACATGTCCCTTGATATTCAGATCCCTGATCCCAAGGTTGGCATCGTCCCCAGCGAGGCACCCTCTTTGCCAAACACCAGGCCGAGTACCGGAGTTGGCCCCGCCAATTGATGGATGAACATTGCATCTGATGGGCTCTCTTTTGGTTGTATACTTCCTTGTAATTCTTTGTTATCGTTCGGGCTTTTGCATGATATCCCCTCCCCGGCGGCGATTGCTTCATTCTCTCCTACGCTTTCTCCTAATTTTCTAATTTTCCTCCAAAAAGGCTCCATTTCAATCCTTCATCACGTCGCCGGGGACTACTTGTTGTTCTTTTCATTACCTTCCATTGTTTGCCATCTATTTGTTCATACTTTTTATATCGGTTTCTACATACTTGTTAATCTCCCGAGAACCTACAAATCAAATACCAAGGCCATGTGGTCTACGTTGAGCACATACTACTAGATTACTCTCCGTTTTCTCCTAATGGAAGTAAGAAATTTACAACCCTATGATTACCTAAGTTGACATCTAGATTCATCAAACAGAGGTGGCAGATAACCAAGCTACGAATACAAAAGTGAGCTTCTGAGGAGTCAGGGGTATTCATTTTTGTGACATTTGAAGACGGCTACGTGTATCTACTAGTATGTAGGCATGTATCGCACGAAACAAAAAAAAAAGACTCCGATAGAAGTTTGATAATCCTTCTGATGATATCTCACAATCCCAAAATCATCCAATCACTTAATTGTCAATCTGTTCTCTTACATCCATTGTGGCTCGTTGAACCCTGAAGCTCAGGCGGTGTCGATAACGTTAATCCAGACTCCCCCCACATCTTCCCCCCGTGAAGCTCTCCTTCACTCCGAACCTCAACGGGATGAGCCCTGGACTTTCACGATGCTCTCGGGGATCCTGATCTTTAATCAGAAGGGCGAGAACCTCATCTTCCGCGCTTTCCGCAGCGACTGCCGCCCGCGCCTGGCTGATATTTTTCGCATCCAAGTCATCTCCAACCCGCAGGTCCGCTCCCCGATCCTGACATTAGGCTCGACCACCTTCAGCCATGTCAAGCACGAGAATATCTACTTGGTCGCTGTGACCAAGAGCAACGCCAATGCTGCTCTTGTCTTCGAGTTCCTCTACCGGCTTATCATGCTGGGCAAGAGCTACTTTGGTAAGCTGGACGAGGAGGCCGTCAAGAACAACTTTGTGTTGATCTACGAATTGCTTGATGGTGAGTATAACTCTTGCTTCCGACCGTCCGTTGATACAGCTCTAACCAAGCTTCGTCTGTCTCGCTAGAAATCCTCGACTTCGGATACCCCCAAAATACCGACCCGGATACGTTGAAAATGTACATCACCACCGAAGGTGTCAAGTCAGCCATCGCAAACTCGCCTACAGACTCTAGTCGGATTACTATGCAAGCGACGGGTGCGCAGTCATGGCGCCGCGCAGACATCAAATACCGCAAGAACGAAGCCTTCGTGGACGTGATCGAGGACGTCAACCTCCTGATGTCAGCGACCGGCACCGTTCTGCGCGCCGACGTAAACGGCCAGATCGTCATGCGAGCATATCTCACCGGAACACCGGAGTGCAAGTTCGGACTCAACGACCGATTGCTCCTCGATACGACCGACACCTCCGGGGCGACCAAGAGCCGCGGTGGTGGCGGGACATCCGGTGCTGGAAAGGCCACCCGAGCTGCGGCGGGCTCGGTCACATTGGAGGACTGTCAATTCCACCAGTGTGTTAAGCTGGGCCGGTTCGACGCGGACCGGATTATCTCGTTTGTGCCGCCGGACGGCGAGTTCGAGTTGATGCGGTATCGTGCTACGGAGAATGTGAACCTGCCCTTCAAGGTTCATCCTATTGTGCGGGAGATTGGTACGACAAAGGTCGAGTATAGCGTGGCTATCAAGGCGAACTATAGTGCGAAGTTGTTTGCGACGAATGTGGTTATTCGTATTCCCTGCCCGCTCAACACTGCCACGACTACTGAGCGTACTAGTCAGGGACGTGCAAAGTATGAGCCCGAGCACAACAATATTGTCTGGAAGATTCCGCGTTTCTCTGGCCAAGCTGAGTTTGTCCTCAATGCGGAAGCTACACTTACTTCCATGACACATCAGAAGGCCTGGAGTCGTCCGCCGCTTAGCCTTAACTTCAGTCTTCTTATGTTTACCTCATCCGGTCTGTTGGTACGCTATCTGAAGGTCTTCGAGAAGGGCAATTACAGTTCTGTCAAGTGGGTGCGCTACATGACCCGCGCTGGCAGCTATGAAATCCGGTATGCTTACTGTCTTTTACTACTATTTGTCTTTCCACGATGCTAACCTTGACTTTTTAGATTCTAAACTGCTTTGAAATTGGATGAAGCGAGCATGTGCTTCGTACGGTCTGTTGTTACAGTTGTCTATGACCATCAGGCTAGGTGTCTGGCGTCGGGGGGTGTTTTGTACATTCATTCTATACTCCTAATGCATTCCATGCATTCTCAATCCGCATTTGTAATGCTTTTGCATGCTTCATAACTCAGCCAAGAATAATCTCCCAAAAAAGAGAACATATTACACAACAATCACCTCCATACCCGCTTACTTGGATACAGGTAGTGAAACGACAACGTGTCCATCATGGTTATGGTAGGAAATGTTCCCACAAGCACTTATCGCTGGACGATTGGGTGGTTAGACGTGTCCCCCGGGGCTGACGCCTATTATAGGCTGGCTTTATTAGTATGTAGGATAGCCTGTAGGGGATACGCGCGCTTTTTTTCTAGCTTTTACCGCATTACCTTTGTCTGCACCGCTTTATCTGCACCGCTTTACCTTTGAACCGCCTGCGTGATGTATTCGTTTGACCTGCGACGTGACGAGTTGACGGAGCAAACACTTCATATTTGATTGTTCAAACTCAACAACGATTGACGTGATGATTTTGAATCACCCATGACTCCATTCACGCCAATTCGCTGGAGTCACTAGCTATATGAAGTAGAGTTCAATCATCATCAAACATATGCATGCATGCATACTATCAATCATATAAATACTAAATGAGATAGACTGAAAAACTAAGAGGTAAGAAATCTGGATATCTCCTTCCCTAGAGGTCCCCACAAGGTCTAAATACAGTCAAGCCATACAGTCCAGGCAGGAACTGCCCATATAGCTATAGAATCAGTAGCCTAACAAGGTATCACCCACAATGGCAAGATCCATTAGTGGGGGTAACGAAAGAAAGAAAAGAGCCCCTTGGTGTGATATCCATAAGGAGTAGGAGAAGGATCATCACGGCCAACCAATTGGTTGTAATAGAGAAGGGTGTAGATTAAGTTCCCTCGGTCCTTCAAGCTAGTACTTGGGGCTTCCTCAATTTGAAGACAAGGACACCTTGGCCACCGGGAACCTTGGAAAGGGAGAAAGGAAGTAGAGTGGACGGGTCGTGCGAACAAGGGTCGGGTTTTGAACATGATTATACTAACACTAGGCCAGTAGGCCCCGTCAAAGGGGAGAGGGAAAGGCTAACCTAGAAGAAGTAAGCTCGAAAGTTGTGGTTCAATCTGAATCAGATGGGTCTTTTGAGCTTTGTGCCAACAAAGGAGCAAGTCTGTCACAGAGGCCGCCACACCTGGCAGGAGATACCACCCGATAAGCGTGTCGCTGAATCTGAAATCCATATCCATACGCTATATTCGCATGCTGTGAAGTTATGACTGGGGGCTGAAAATCCAAGTGCCTTGAGCCCAGATATCAAGTGGGATCTCTATATAGATCAGTATGAGAAATCATTTCTCAGTGACTAGTAGCAGCATCGGGATTCAGCGCTGCTGCTCAAGTGGGCCACCAAGTAGTAACAGCATCCAATCATTAGCCTAGCTTTCCACGCACCTAACACAATGATTCAGGCATGGGTTCACCGATCGATCAATAGAAATCAACGATCGCCTGCAGCCACAGCGGAAAATGTCACATTCCCTCAATCGGGCCCACGAGGATAAGACAAAAAGACCTGAAGACCCGCCGCCAAGACATAGAAGGCCATCCAAGAAGGTGGATTTGTGAAACCTGATGAATACAGAGGACGGATTTTGACGAAGGAGTGCGTAGCCCTAGCGGGCCTGGTTGGAGGGGCAACAGGAGTAAGCCAGCCACTGCGGTGCACGAAGTCTGTGGAGATGATCGCCGCTTAGCGCCCGTTGTGGGCAGAATGTCTTGCATAGGTCGTGCAGGGGTAAATAACGGACCGTCTTTAATACTTTTCGGGAAGGTTGATATGTTCTGGCTGCGTATAGGACATGATAACATGTTTTGTTGATGGTAAACAAGATTGTACTGTAGAAACTAGACTAGTATGTGTCCCCCAGGGCCCGAGGCTTGAGGTTAACTTTGAATCGCTGTTGGGCCTATAAGGATCATGAGTTGGAAGGGTAGTCGCATTGACCCCCTTGCATGGGAGTTGAGCCACTTTCCTTTCAGAGTGGCAGGAGCTTGTGCTTGTGCTGACGGGCGGGTCGGGTGTCGGGCCAGTACAGAGCCTCTGTCTGCCAGCCACACTTTGGAATGGGCATAGATCCCTTTGTCTAAGGCAACTGAAAGGGAGAAGGGGAGCTAAGCCCTATACCCTGTGTAGGGAGTATCCCTGATCAATCGCAGAGCGGGTTTTGTTCAGGTAAGAAGAGGGGAAGGAATAACCGACTAATAGGTGTAGGTCAAGGGTATGGCCTGCAGCTACATTATGTTGAATGTCAGATAAGATGGATGCAGTGTGGAAGATGCAGCACGTTCTTGTATCTGCACTCCGTAAGTGAGGAAATGGATTGAAAATAACGTTGCAGGCGGCTCTGCAAGATTATGCGAACTTGAATTCAATCTTGCAACCTACTTCGTAGATCTAGTCGGTCCAATCGATTCCGCAGGAATGCAGGAAGCAAGGATGACTGCGGGGTATTGTTCAACAAGTTACAGGAGTTGAACAAATTTCATGACCCCGTTCATGAAAGCAGTAGTAAGCACTAGTTCGGATTTTGATATGGAATTGGAATAGCTTATACAACTCTATGTCAAACTAAGATGAACTACTGAAAGTTGAAAGAGAATTCGAGCTATTAGAAGAGTTATTGATAGATTGGACTTTGTACTCTCCGAGTAGAACAGATCAAGGTTCACGCTATGTCCTATTGAAATTCCTTTTTTTTTCCTTTTTCTTTCTTTTCTTCAATAGATTTTAATTCAAGCCCTTTCCCCGATTTCTATCCCTTGTAACATTCCTTTGACGTTCTGGAATCTATACTTAGAATTACGTCGAAATGAGAGGAACTCGGGGTCATAAGACTCATAGTAGAGTGATCGTCAGGTACTGTTTTGTAATTGGCCAATTAACGTGGGTCTGATCAACGCTGATTGGCTACTACTAGTACGGAATAGACGCGTTCCGTCGCGTGGCTCAAGGTTTTCACACGCGACTTGACGCGTGCCAAATACGAAACCGTTTTTTAAAATACAGTGATACATACTAGTAGATTATCATAGCTTCGATTTTCATGGCAATGGGAGCTTAAACCCCCATTAAAGGAATATACAAGGCAGAGAAAAGGACAGAAGGATGAGAATGCTCCTGTTAGGCTTCACCTTTCAAGGCATTGGCATGGGGGAGAAAAGTACTCCGTTACTCCTCAAGGAGAAAGAAAACCCTGGGTATCTTGGAAGTATTAAATCGCGTCGGCCCGCACCAATTGGGGTGGCAAAAAGCCGCCAAAAAGTCATTTGGTGTAAAAATCCACTGAGTGTACCTGATGCACGGCCCGTTGCACGTCATTCTAAACGGGATTTTCAGTGGATGTGGTCATGAGGATGATGATCGCTCCCGGACTTGGGAGTCATTTCTCAATGATTGTATGGAGTTAGAGCGGGCCTACAGCCCAATTAGGAAATATAATGAAGACACTATACAATGCACGGTGCAGGTCGTTTCAGGGGCCATCTCGTGTATCTCAATGATCCCTCTGAGAGAAGTTGGGATCCCTTGCATGGGTGGGCAGTCTCTCCTTTGAGCCCTGCCCTCCTTTGTTTCACTGGGCCACGAGTAGAGTGGGATGAGTACGAGGGGCAATCCTAGATCAGAGTGTAGAATGGCATTATAATAGAAAAAGCAGAGTACTTCTCTATCTTCAAGTTGCCAGTTTCTACAGTGTCAATCAGCACCTGATAGCCATCGTCATCGGTCAAGTCATTCGTTACCTTGATCTGGATTCCTTTCGCTTTGACTTTATTTGTCTTTTCTTTTCCATCTCTCTCTTACACACACCATCTTCACGTCTGACACAATTCTTTGAAGAACTTTCCTTTATCCTGCATTGCTACTATTTCGGGATCCATACGTTATACATTCTTTGATATTTCTGAAGAAAAAAGTGGAGCCTTAGCCGTGTTGATGTTCGCTTGACCGTTTGCGTCCGAATTTCTTTTATCCTTTTATCGCCCCCGTTTCGCCCCCGCCAACTCTTCCCCTAACAACCAACACCATAACAACAACCACTTCCCAATCACGTCGCCAGTTCTTCGGAACCGGTGGATTCGGAAGCGCATATCGGCGACATTATATTCCACTCTTTATCTACTCCCCAACACCGTCGCCGCGCCTCACAACCACCTCCGGCGCAATCACCTGTCGCAAATCGCGCACAAATCCACTCGAAACAAGTCGCAACTCGTCAACTCTAGACACCAATTTTCCTTCATACCTTTCCAATACACTCTTTCCGGAGCCTCTCTCGCTGCGTCAATCAAAAATCATATTTTTGCGCAACAATGCTGCTCCCATCCGCTATCCCCTGCGATGTGCGCCGGTCGTCTCGCTTCACTCCCAACCGTCTCTTCTCGACTCCTCCTCCCTCAGAGCGAGGATTACCATCAGGCAATGGCCTCCTAGGCACATGTCGTGCGCTCCAATCTTTGCTTAGCGGATCACCGGCTCTCTCACCGCGCCGATCCAAGACATTGCGCCTCCAAAGTCCACTTCCCATCAACAACGCTCCTCGTCGCTCACCGCGCACGCGCAGCAAGGTCGCACGACCTGCTTCGCCGCGCCCAACACCTCCCCCAGTCACACTCGCTTCCACACCACCACCGCCTCCTTCTGCGCCCGCGCGCGGCGCTAACAAGCGCCGCCGATCTTCCGAAGATGACGACAGCGACTCGGACATGGGTCGCCCGCGCAACCGTCTTTCCACACCTAAACGCCGTCGCCACGCTCCCTATGACCTGCCCCTTGGTCTCTCTTCAACAGATTTCTATTCTCTGCACTCTCCTCCCATTACACAATCTCCTCCTTCTCCTGCTCAGCGTTTGATTGATATGCGCATTCAACAATCGTCTGCGCCCATCAATCCTGATGCGCCTCTTCCTTCGATTGAAGTAGAGGACGCTTCTTCCCCGGCACCTTCTGACGATTGGACTGCCGAGGAAGATCAAATTCTCATGGACCTAGTCCTTGAAAAGTTCCGACTCTCCCAACAAGAATGGGATGAGTGTGCGCGCCGAATGGGCCGCAGCAACCAGGCCGATCTAGGTCAGCGATGGACCTCTCTCGTCGGAGAGGGACGCGTTGGTCTACGTCCACGCCGCTAAAACTTTCCTTTTCTCTTTTCTTTTTCCTCAACCCGTGACCTATATGTACTATATGACTTCCTCCCCCTGATGCCCTACCTCATTGCTGCAAAGAACCAACCCTGTATTAACACACCTGTATCATCACCTTTTCTGTTCGAGACCCATTGTTTTTTCTTTTTTCTTCGGGCATGACCCCGATTCTGAGTCGCATCTGGCTATGTGAATATTCACCATCTACTTGATGGTCTCTTGCACATTGATTTTCTGCTCCTGCAACTGTTGAGCGATGTATTCATATGAACCTGTACTTTTACCTATCGAGATACCACTGGACTTCAATCGCATTATTTCAAGATGACTTCTTTTTCTAAATTCGCTTCTGCATACCTTACTCGTACGTATCTGACACCTTGGCAAAGCTCACTTGGCAGTCAGGTGCATCGTAGTGCATACTTTGCCTGTCATCTGATTGAACAAAAGCTTCGTTTATACATGCATGCAAATTTGTCCACTATCCCCACTTCTACTAAACCCATCTGAGAGGACCCACGACCTCGGGATACCTCTTATCGATTACTGCAGCCCCATTGCGCTGATTTTCTAGCGCCACTGCGGGGGTGCCGCTGATATAAGTGGTCCATCTGAAAACGAGGCCTCGATCGATGGTTTTTCGAGCCGAGCCGGAGAGGGGAAAGCTGAGAATAGTTGTTTGTGCATGTAGTGTAGAGTACTATGTGTACTCATTTCTGATATCTGCCAATTCCCCCCGGGGGCTTTGGTGTATAAAATTATGTTCATCACCTCCATCTAACCATCAACGCATTTGCTATTTTGAACTCAAGTCTGACATAAAAATGGTGCCAAAAACCATGAAAGCCGCCCTCTGCACAGAGGTACGTTGTGCAGGGAAATTGAATAACCCCAAATCAAAAGCCCGGCCCACCTGGGCACCAGTCTACATACTAGCTAAACAAATCGCAATATCGAACTCATATACCGCAAAATACATACCTTAACCAACCCAAAAATGTGAAAACCACATCATACTAACACAACACTCTCAAAAGCCCGGCGCCCCAATCGTCATCGCCCAAATCCCAACCCCAACCCCATCACCCCGCCACCTCCTCGTCCGCGTCGAAGCAGCAACCCTCTGCCACAGCGACATAGCCATAACCGAAAGCGGCGGCTTCGGGCTCGCCACCTTCCCCCTAGTCATCGGCCACGAAGCCGTCTGCACAGTGGAAGAACTAGGATCCAGCGCCGCAGCATACGGCTTCAAAGCCGGTGACCGGGTCGGCGCGCCGCTCTGGCGCGACATATGCCTCACATGCGACGAATGCACGCGCATCGGGCCCCAGTTCTGTCCCAACGCGAACATGATGGGGCTCAGCGCTCCTGGATACTTTTGCGAGTACACGCTCGTCGATGCCGCTTGCGCGGTCAAGATACCGTCCGGCAAGACGGTGCAAGCGGCGGAGCTGTCGCCGCTGTTTTGCGCGGGGATTACGGTGTGGGATGCTATTTCGAGGGCGGAGCTGAAGGCCGGGGAGACGGTTGCTGTTGTTGGGGTTGGGGGGTTGGGGGAGATGGCGGTTAAATATGTGCGGGCGATGCGGGTGGGGGGTCATGATGATGGGGGGATGGGGAAGGTTCTTGCGTTGGATGTGTGTGAGGGGCAGTTGAGGGGGGTTTTGGAGGCGGGCTTGGTGGATGGGGTGGTTAATACGGGGACTGTTGGGGGGGTGGAGGCTGAGGCTGAGGCTGTTAGGAGGTTGAATGGGGGGAGGCTTGTGGATGTTGCGGTTGTTACCTCGGGGGCGTTGAGGGCGTATGAGACTGGGATTGGGATCTTGAGGCCTGAGGGCCGGTTGATTGCTGTTGGGGTGCCGGTGGAGAATGTTTCGTTGCCGATGATTTCGATTGTGAATCGGGCTTTGAAGTGAGTTCTTTCTTTCTTCCATGGGTCTTTTTTGACTGTTGATAGCTGGGATGTGCGCTAATGTCTCGGTGTTGTGTTGGTAGGATTATTGGAGCAAAGGTCCCGGGTCAAATTGGGTGCGCTGAGTGTGTGGCTTTTTCTCACGAGAATAGGGTTTATCCTAAGATTCATCCCAGGGAGTTCCAGTTGGAAGATATTAATGAGATGATAGAATTGCTGAAGAGTGGCAAGGTGGAGGGCGGAAGAATGGCTATTCGTTTCTGATCTGGGTTTCTGGATACATCTGATCTGGAATCCTGGATACGGTGCCGCTAATTATACTAAGTAGTAAGCACATCAACTATCTTGATATAAGGAGCGCGCGGAGAAGAGCCTGTCTAAATTTGCGCGCACTGGGAGTTGGTTCGGATTTTAGTCCCCTGCCTCCTTCAAATTTCCTATAATGGTATACTACTAGTAGGTAGTTGATGAAATTTAATTCAAATGATAGTATGAACTGGAAATCAAATATTTTAAATCACAATATCTGTTAAGCTTCCCAATATTGAGTCTTCTAAGTCTACCAAACTCAATAAATTCCACGGTCTATCGCGCGATCTATACTCATCCATACTTTTCAAGTGTCAATACGGACGGCGGAACCGTTTGCACGGCACATACGCCCACTCTCCGAGATGGTCCAGTCCTCAGAACCAACAGCAGTCTTACCAAAGAAGAGATGGTGAGGGTCATACTTCTTTTTGATGCTGCGGAGAGTGTTGTAGTTCTTGCCATAGAAAGCGTATTGCCAGTTAGGCTGGTCAAAGTCACACTAAGCGCACAATTTGTTAGTACTTCTCGATTTCTTTTCCAGTTGAGAATTCCACTAAACATTCCATAGACATACCTCATTAAGATAAGCACCAGAGGCAGGGCCCAGCTTGCTGACAGCAGGCACCAGCTTGTGGGTCATCAGCTCTCGCTTCTGACGCATCTTCTCCGGCACATCGTACTCCCAAGGGGTGGACATGAGTACATGGGCGATGGCGCTGCGCCACGCGGGGTTCACAGCGTTGAAAACATCACCAGTGACTGCTCTTGAGACATTGACAGCAACTGTGGTGAAAGTGGCGTGTTCGGCCAAGACGGTGCGGATGGACTGTGTCAGCTGGTGATTGTTGCTGGAGTTCTCGACAACCGACCGGGGAAGAAGCCAGCTACCGTACTGAGCAACTCCAACTTCAACGACAGGGACCTGAGAGTTATACTGGTCCATATAGGTGTCGAACTCTTCAGCCTGATAGGTGTAGTTGATACCAAGACGCTTCAGCTCGTCGAGGACGGGCTTAATCAGGCTTTCGAGTTTCGCCAGGGGAACACCGGGTCCAGTCATGGGCTCCACGGCAAAAGAAGCATTGGTCAGGAAGTTGAGAGTCATGACACCCTCATCCACGATGTAAGGTAGACGGGAGTTGTAGAACTCCACAGCCTTGAAGAACGTATCGTCTGAGATTCCCGTGGTTGTGAAAGTAAGGTTCAAACCAGACACCTTGCTATCTTGATGAGCCTTGGAGGTCATGGACCAGACGACGCCGTAAGTACCACCACCTCCACCGGCCAGCGCCCAGTAGAGATCGGTGTTTTGGTCACGGTTGGCAGTGAGGAAATTCCCGTTGCCATCGATGACCTCCCACTCGAGGACTTGGTCAGCACCAAGTCCGTACTTTGAAGCCAAAGACGAGTGACCTCCTCCCTGACTATATCCGCCAGCAAGGCCGACTGTAGGGCACTCTCCTCCGACCATCCGAAGGCCACGTTTTTGGGCCTCGTCATAGGCCTGAACACCTTGCACACCAGCGCCAAGCTTAGCGGCCTTTCCGGTATAGTATTTGTCGCTCCAGTCCTTGAACTCGATATCCTTTAGGTGGTGAGTCCAAACCGAAAGGGCGCCGGCGCCGGTGGATTTGCCATTGTAGCTATCATGAATTAGTGAATTATAATTTCAAGGTATCTTGAGGAGTTTCATGGCAATCATACTCATGACCAGTGTTACGGATAATAAAACGAATATTATGCTGGGTCGCGAACTTCAAAGTCTTGGCCACATGGGTGGGGGTGGAGACATTGACGGCATATCGAACAAAGTTGCCAAGGGTGCATGGTTTGGAAATGGGGTGGTAGGGATCGCAGGTTCCATTGGTGAAGAATGGGGCCATGAATGACGAGGAAGATTGGTAACTGGTACATTTGTCAACAATTCAATTCGATTGAGACCGCAACCTTCTTCAGCAAATCACTCACTGCTCCTCTGGCAGATCCCAGCCAGTCTTCAAAGAGGCACATGCTTCCTCATCATAGTGAGGTGTATGGCAGGGAGTGGCAAGAGGCACTGTAGCCACCAGGCGGCCGTCCACAGACTGGTTGAAAGCATTCCAAACAGAAGTTGAAGGCCAGCAATCATCCCCAGGGAAACATCGGCACTCGCTTGATGAGCTTTCAGATGCCTGGACTGACAGTGCAAGGGTAGTCAGCCCGAACAAAGCTCCAACCTTGAGAGTATTCAGGCCGAACATTGCGGATTGCAATTGCAGCCTTGATGCTCTCGTGAATTAAGTTTTGGGTCTTGACAAGGGAAAGATTAAAGGATTTCTTTTTTCTCCCTTGATTTCGCTCATTTTTATGAACTGCTAGCAAGGCCCCCCCTGAGTTCCGGCTCAAACAATCTAGCTACAGCAGGCGTAGTTATGTGGAGTTTCTTTGCGCCAACTCTGTCTAGTATAGACTGTATAGTATAGTGACATGACGATCGGCTCCGTGGAAAAGCTTCCACTCCACTCGAAAGGTGCGACGTGGGATGTGGAGACCTTTGTAGTCCAAAAATCAATATGTACTTTTGTACTTGCTTTTTCGTTTAGGCAATGCGATCCATGCAACACGGGTTTTCAATGGCTCGTTTAAATCGCCGATCCCTTCATCGACAGTCCTTGTCGATCTTGAGCCTCTTAAAGCGGCTCCTCTTTCTTTCCAAGAGGTCAAAGCTGAGAATGAAGTGAAATTGAAATCATTGAACATTGAATTATCTATCGGCACACCCAAAATAAAGTACACCAATTGCTATCACTCTACTTCAATGTTTAATCAATGTTTAATCAATGTTTAATAAATCCTCTACTAGTAATGATAATGCCATTCTGCATGATTTCTTTGAAGCAACAACTATTCCATTTTTCTCGCATTTCCCAATGACAAATTAATTATTCTCCAGGATTCCAATCCTGAATCCCCATTTTTCTCTCCCCATCACCAACCAGATCAACCAACACGCCAAAGTGGATCAATTTAACGTAACGCCCCCCGCTCCCAAGTCCGCCCTAATGCAAGCCAGCAGCCACAAAGGATGCGCTAGATATACGAATGGCAATTCCTCGCTGTTTTCGGGCTTTCACCGAGTACTGTTCTCCGCGTAAACTTGAGCCAAGGTGGATCGCGGAGTTACTTTTATCACTGTCGCTTGCATCCTGCCAACGCTATGTATGTACAGGGGGTCTGGCCCCCAGCACTATGGGCTGTTATTTGCAATAATGACAGTCCATGCACGACTGTAAACGTCAAAAGGCACGGGTTGAATCACACATCATCATACATCAGCTCTACCTATTGACTGGCGTTTGATGCTCAAATATCTCTAACACTCAACATTTGAAGATGACCGACAAGGTTGGGGTGGTCGCTCCGCCCCCTGGGGTGACGGCCGATTTCGACTATTCTCATCCTTGGAAATTCAAGTCGGCCTTGATCATTGTTGCCGTCGGTCTGACTTTAAGCACCCTTTTTCTGGCTATGCGGATTTGGACTAGAGTGCGGATTTTGTCAAAATTTGGATGGGACGATGGTATACAAGACTTCTTCCCAGGCAACTTAATCAAAGACGCGGATTGGCTAACTCGGTCGTGAAGTATCAATAATTGCAGCCTGGGTAAGCATCTTAGGGGTTGCCAGGAGTCCATGATGATTGTGATTACTGACGAAATGGGATTACTATACAAAATAGATTTTCTCCGTCGCAACACAAGCCGTATGCCTATGTGCGTGACAATATCTCCCCAAACCATCAGTTCGATTCAATTTCTGACATTATTCTATTAGGCGGTTATATCTATGGCGGCTCTGGAATTCATCTATGGAACGTGACAGAGCCAATGTTTAACTACTTTCAAAAGGTACTTGAATGACCGCCTATCTGAATCTGATTCCGAATCATTCTAACCTAAATCTATCCTCAAAAGATTATCCTCGTCGCAGCGGTCATCTATGTGCCTTGTCTGGCTTTCGCCAAAGTCGGTCTCATTATTCTTTATCACCGTATAATGAACCGACAGCCCGGCTATCTATGGACACTTTATATCATCTCGGCTATCGTGTGTGGATATAGCATAGCTATCATCTTTGCCTTGATCTTTGCTTGCACCCCCATTCAAAAGGGTTGGGACTCCTCAATCACAACAGGACACTGCGTCAACCGTAGCGGTCTATACATTGCAACAGCCGCTCTCAACATCGTATCTGACCTGGCCCTCATTGTGGTCCCAATTCCTCTCGTCATGGGCCTGCAGATGCCCCGAGTTCAGAAGTACGGACTTATGGCCATGTTCATCGTCGGTTGCGCGTTAGTACTTCTCAACTTCATCTTTGGCTGTCTTGGATCAAGCCTCCGTTTCCGTTCTAACTCAATCTTTTCAGTACATTCATCACGAGTATCCTGCGCCTCCAAACCTTGATTCCATACCTCACAGCCACCGATACTACATACCAGATTGCACCGCCGCAAATGTGGATGTAGGCATTACCCAAACTTCTTCAATTCTAAACAAGTCAATAAGCTCACAAACTTTCTATCTTGCAGTTATATCGAAGCAAATCTGATCATTATTTGCCCATGTCTGCCCTTCCTCCGCCAATTCTTACGACGCTACTCCCCCGCTTGGATAGGAGAGGCCACCAGCTCTGGCCGACGATATTACAAGGACTACAGTACAGGCACTAGTATTCCACGCAGTCGCCGGAAGCCAGGTCTTACTCAGCTTCAGGACGAGATCGCCCTTGCTGAGAATGCAGAGAGCACTCATAGCCAATCTTATATTGTCAAGGAGATTCAGTGGCAAGTCACCGAAGAACGACTGGACTCGCAAACAGAACAGGAACCCGGTATCGAACTATTTCAAAGGATTCCTAGGCATAGTAATGGGGAAGAAAGTCTCTGATAGGTATTTATAGAATCAAATGCAGGTTACCTGGTTACCTCTCCTGCAGACCTAATAACCGAGGCATAATTTTAGACCATGCGCCTACTTGTAGTAATAGAAGTCAAGCAAAAAATATTAAAAATAAACTGAAGTTAAAATTTAAACGCACAGAGTGTGTACCTGAGGGGAAAGTACTTCAAGTTGGTAGTATGTATTGAAGAACAGAATAGTAGGCGTCCAGATCTTTGATGAAATGTCCGGGTGATATTACTACATAAGTTAACATTAACAGAGAGGGTCACAGGCATCAATAGCAGCACTCACGAGTCAACTTATTCCAAGGTTGTTCTGAGATTGATTCCAAGGTTCTAAAGCAGTAGTAGTATACTAGGGGACGCTCGGGAGCTCCAGGGCTGCAATTAATCGGTCAAACTAGTAGTAGGTAGTAGTTATGCAAAACGCGCAAAAGCAGAACCAGTGTCCTCCCTCTTTTGATTTTAACTCTCCTCCCGTGCTGGTTTGTAGTAAAAAGGCTTTATGGAGAATACTTAATATGTCACAATGTGAAAATTGAATTACGTACTAGTAGAGAATGAGGACGCGTAACAATACAAGGCATGAAGCAGTAAGGCTACAGTGGCATATAATGTGGCCGATACCATTGAAACGGGCCGTTGCTAATCTCATCAATTCATCTCGACTCATCTAGACTACATGAAGGGCATAACGCTAAGTTGAGTTATGTATAGGAAACGCTAGACCTCCGTAATGAGAGGTAGGAGATCAAATGACATGCAATGTGAATGCAGGATGCGCGCACTCATTTGCCCTGCATTCGCTGGAATCGCTCCTCTGCCGCTCTCGCCCGTCGCTCTCGTTCCAATCGCATCTTCATTTCAGGAGTCATTCCTCGTGTCTCATCGTCTCGTTTTTCGGCCGCTGATTTCTCAACAGCGCCAAGGGTGCGTCCACCAGGTTTGTGTGACTGCTGTGCAGCTCTTTCAGCTCTTTCGGCATCCTCCTTCTGCAACCGCTCCAATCCAGCCTTGCGACGGTTGTTCTCCTCCTCATCGGCAGCGGTCCGCTCCCGCTCAGCTCGAGACTCAGCATCTGCCTTTGATACGGCGGCTGGAACCTTGGCGGCCGTCCAATCCCACTTCGATTCGCCTAGCTCATGGCGTGCAATGCGGAAGGCATCACGGGTGGCCCGGTCGCCTGCAAGCTCAAACGGCGTCCTGCCCTCGTTATTGACAACAGTAGGGTCTGCCTGTGCCTTGGTGAGGAGTGCATTCACAACAGCTGGTGAGTTGAGATTTGCGGCAAAGTGGATAGGCATAGGGCAACGGAAATTTTGTGGGGAGTCGGCAGGTTGGAACACGAATGACGAGGGGATGGAGTTAGTAGAGATATATGACATCAGAGCAGGGATCTTTGATCGTCGGATGAGGGCTTGCAGCTGCGATGTATGCAACAGTGCGGCTTCCTCTTCTTTTGACAGCTTGGGCTTGGGCTTCGGAGGCTGCGGACGCGGTGTCGATTGCTTAGCCTCCTCTTTCTGCTTTGCTGCCGCTGCTGCCGCTGCCAATGCAGCTTCATCAATCTCGCTGATCTTTATTCTGGTCAATTCTTTGAAGGATCGCATGAGCTCTCCTTGAGTCGCCCGGCGCGTGTTGAAAGGAAATCCTCGAATGCGAGGATCGTTCTGCTTGAGAACCTGACCATCGTGCTTGTCGTAAATAATCTTTCGATTCGTCCTTCCAGTTGCGCGAATAAATAACAGCTCAGCGGTATCAATCATTTTCCGCCAGTCAGATAGCAGATCTCGGATGTCTTTCTCCAGAGCGGCCTCGTTGTAGCGTCGCAGGGTAGAACCAGCCGACTGCGCTGCACCTCGAGCGGCATCGCTTGCACCCTGAGATCCACCTTGCTTTCTCCGAGTAGTATAACGATGGAACGTCTTATGCGCAATGACGCGCGCCTGTCGTTCCTCGACACCACCCTGCTTGCGATGAATTTCGGGTGCTAGTGACACCAACATAGCTGCAAAGTGACCACCTCCGATCATACACATGAATATATGAGGACCAGATGCGGTGGGGTCCTGGGCTTGTGCGTTATTGGTACGCGCTTTCACTGGTGCCAGTTGTTTTTTCCGTATTGTGTCCACCAAGTGACCCGGCTCATCCTGCTCGGTCGCTGAGAAAATGGCCCGATAAACACCTAGCGATTTATTTGACGGTAAACCGGAGCTCGATAGCCAGAACAAGGCATTCTTTGCTTCTCCCTTTTTCACGACTTCTTCCTCCTCCTCATTATTCCCTGAAAGCTTGGCTTGCTTTTTGAGCAAGGCCGTGAGTGTCGTGTCGGCGCTGCCATCGGCTTCGTCCGACTCCGACTCCGAGGATTCTGAGCCCGAGATTGATTCGTCAAGATCGCCGACTGCCTTCGCAAACTGAATCTCGTCAAGAGGGGCATTGCCACGCAGTTGCGCTTTGATGTTGAAGCGGTGGTGGTCGGAGCGCACGTGGCTGCGCTGTTCCTCGACATTGGCATAGGAGACTTTGCAGAGAGTACATGATGAGGAAGTTGCGATGGAAAGGTCCTGAGCCGAGACGTCGGTATTTCTCACGGGGTCGTCGGGGGTGGGGTTATCGATAGGTTGGTGTTCGGCTTTCGTAGTTAAAGTCGCAAGAAGCTCTGGGGGAAGGTCATAGACTGTTTACGAGTCATTAAGAGAACTACCCCTCAGGTGTTTGTTTGGAGATCACCTACCATAGAGAGGCCTTTTTAACAGGCTCTCAATGTGTGTTGAGTCGACCATGATGAACCTTGCGTGTTCAAATTCGAATCCTTTAAATGGAATGATGATCGTCCTGTAGGCGATCGGTTAGGTGCTGACCGCCCTAGCACAGAGATGGCAGGCGGGGCCTTTTATAGTATGCGACAAGGAAGAACGATCGCGCACCTGGCCTTCTACTACGTTCGAATTTTATGTTCGATTGGAGATATTACTTGAAGATTGAGGCACTGCTTCTATCAAATTTTGTCCAATCAAAAGCGTATAAATTTGTAAAAGGTGGCTGTACAAGACAAGCTACGCCAAAATAGTTGCCCGACGTGACTCACGGTGGGGTTAAGCAAACAGCTTTCCAGCTACTACTACATAGTCACATAGTGGAAATATGCGGCAGTGACCTCAAGGAGAGGGTGTATCAATCAATTACCTGCTTTGAAATTAGTATGTGGTACATCAAGATTTGTTTTGTACTTTGGAACATTGGAAGGTCCTGGAAGAAATTACAATTTGAAGATTTCAAATGTTGACAGTTTCATGCTCTAGCAGGTTCGAATGTTCAAATGTCGCTGCATAAGCAGTAGGAACGTGTGCTAACTAGTTACGTCATTTAATGTTAGTTACAGGCATCAATGTTTTGTCAGCACTGCCCAGTTGTCCATGGTAACTACTAGTTGCCCTTGCAATCTCAAGACATTGCCCGCATTGAATGCTCGAGTTCCAACGATGAAAATTCTAATGTTATGTAGTTTAGTTAACATTTGAAGGTTTAAATATTACCTTGGAAACATGTGCATCCGTGGATACATGTAGAAGTTCTGGTCAACTGGTATTTTACCACAGGTAGATGAATCAGTTGACTAATCTATTTTTCTACATACATATATATTGCACGTAAGTACATCTAGGCAGTGTTCAATGTTCGATCAATCGATGTTTAGGTCAACTGGTACCTATGCCCATACCTAGGTATACATCTAGGTCCAAGTTGCCAGGCGACTGGACTCGCCCTGCTCAAGTACCTAGTAGTAGGTACATAATCTCCATATGCAAGGACCCGAAGATGGGATTTGACGGGGTTGAATTCGAAGATCGTTCAAGTGGCCTTTGTTAAACACAACAGTTGAAGTAACCAATCAGATGAAGAGGATACAGTATTCCTCGATCGCAATCTAAATCCAGATTTGGCTTAGCTGTTGCTTATCATGCAAAACACGTGACCGGTCAATAGTACCTAGAGAGGGGGCACGCAAGGGCATTACAAGCAACATAAAACTGAGAAAAAAATACAACTTTTAATAGGAAATTTCACCCATATCTACAACCCCGAGCGCATGTATTCTAGTTTACTTTACCAAAAGATCTCTTATTTTCTTGTCTTTTTCTAGACGTTGTACAGTGGAGACTAAGTCTCCACTATCTCTCTGGGGCTCGTTGCGGTAAGCAAGGCCGACCGGAATTTACGGCGTCACTAGCTCGGCCTTTTACTAAGCAACCTGCGAGCCTTCGAGTTTCCCGACACCGTCCCTTTTTCTCCTCGCGCTATCCCGAATGGAATATCGGGCTCTTGCTGCTTGACACCAAAATGTTGGACGGCTCTTCCCAGGTGTTTCTGGGAGACTCCCAACCGGGAGTCTCGCAATCACATCTCGCAACCGTCTTTGATCGTCACCGGCATTCTTTCTGTAGCGATTCGGAGGGATGGGGGCCCATGAGCTCCACGGGCTTCCACCTCACCCCATGCTTTCTGGACGTCATTGTCGCTTTAGTCGCGGTATGGGGATTCATTGGTGGTGCTGGTGCGCTATGGCTTTTGCTGAAGAAGCGCATTCCAGCACCTGTCTCGAAGAATTGGCATTTCTACACCAAGTTGGTTCGTGAATTCCTTATCACTCTCTCCCTGTCGTTACACCAGATCTAGCCGAACTGACACATTCCGTCTCAACATAGGTCGTGCTCGCTCATATCTTATTCGTCACTGCTCTCCAAGCAGCCATACAAGCCGAAACACAACCGAAGAAGTTCTGGGTCGACATCCGTTTTTGGTCCTCGGTCCTCACCTTTTTCTCACTGGGCGTCATCTATGCAGTGCAGTACTTTGAGCATTGGCGGAGTCGTCAACCCAATGGGGTAGTGCTGTTTTACTGGCTCTTCTTCATTATCGCTTATGCCATCAAGCTGCAATCTCTTGTTTCAAGAAAGGAGTACTTAACCAGCCTACCATACTTTGTCTGCATCAATGTCAGTCTAGGATTGGCGCTTCTGGAATTCGTGCTCGAGTACCTTGTTCCAAAGAAGCAGAGTGCTTATGATGCTCTTGGTGACGAAGACGAATGCCCTTATAACTATGCCGACATCTTCTCGGTTCTCACGTTTGGTTGGATGACTCCCTTGATGAAGTTTGGGTACAGCAACTACCTCACCCAAGATGACCTGTGGAATCTTCGCCGTCGCGATACTACCCGTGCTACCGTTGACGAACTAAATGGCGCTTGGCAGGTAGAGCTGAAGAAGAAGAACCCTTCTCTCTGGATTGCACTCTTCAAGGCGTTCGGAGGTCCTTATATGCGCGGTGCTATGATCAAGTCAGCCAGTGATATGCTTGCGTTCGTGCAGCCACAGCTGCTGCGATACCTAATCACTTTCATTGATTCATACCGCGGCCCCGAACCTCAGCCGGTTATCCGTGGTATTGCCATTGCATTGGCCATGTTCCTTGTCTCGGTCTGCCAGACCAGCTTCCTCCACCAGTATTTCCAGCGAGCCTTTGACAGCGGTATGCGAGTGAAGTCATCTTTGACTGCCCTTATCTACGGCAAATCTCTGCGTCTTTCAAGCGAGGGCCGCTCCGCCAAGACCACTGGTGATATTGTCAACCATATGGCTGTCGATCAGCAGCGTCTTTCGGACTTGACCCAATTCGGTACTCAACTTTTATCTGCACCCTTCCAAATCACCCTATGCATGCTTTCTCTCTACCAGTTGGTTGGACTGAGCATGTTCGCTGGTGTGGGAGTGATGATTCTTATGATCCCGCTCAACGGGTTTATTGCGCGGTTGATGAAGAAGTTGCAGATCACGCAAATGAAGAACAAGGATTCGAGAACTCGCCTGATGACTGAGATCTTGAACAATATCAAGAGTATCAAGCTCTACGCCTGGAATACGGCGTTTATGAACAAGCTTAGCCACATCCGAAACGATCTGGAACTTAACACCCTTCGCAAGATCGGTGCCACACAATCCGTGGCCAACTTCACCTGGCAGTCAACTCCTTTCCTTGTGTCTTGCTCGACATTTACCGTCTTTGTGCTGACCAGTGATCGCCCTTTGACCACTGACATTGTTTTCCCTGCCTTGACTCTCTTCAACTTACTGACTTTCCCACTCTCGATTTTGCCGATGGTCATCACCTCCATTATTGAATCGACCGTTGCAGTTAAAAGATTGACGGAGTACTTCTTGGCCGACGAACTGCAAACCGAGGCTGTCACCTTCCAAGACCCTGTGGAACATGCAGGCGATGAATCCGTCCGCGTTCGTGACGCTTCCTTCACCTGGAACCGCTATTCCGGCACTACTGTTCTGGAAAATATTGATTTGAGTGCACGCAAGGGTGAGCTCAGCTGTATTGTTGGTCGGGTCGGCGCCGGAAAATCCTCCCTGCTCCAGTCGATTCTCGGTGAACTGTGGAAGAGCCAGGGTGAAGTCGTTGTGCGAGGTCGCGTCGCCTATGTTGCACAGGCACCTTGGGTGATGAATGCAAGTGTTCGGGAAAATATTGTTTTCGGTCACCGATGGGATCCTGCTTTCTACGACCTCACCGTGGAAGCCTGCGCTTTGATTGACGACTTCAAGATTATGCCCGATGGAGATCAGACTGAAGTTGGAGAGCGTGGAATTTCCCTTTCTGGAGGACAAAAGGCCCGATTGACACTTGCCCGAGCAGTCTATGCCCGTGCAGATATCTACCTCTTGGACGATGTTCTTTCCGCAGTTGACCAGCATGTTGGCCGCCATATTATCAACAAGGTTCTTGGTCCTTCTGGAGTTTTGAGTGGCAAAACCAGAATTCTTGCGACCAATGCTATCACAGTACTTAAGGAGGCAGACTACATTGGCCTGCTTCGCGACAAGACCATCATTGAATCGGGTACCTACCAGCAACTCATGGCCATGAAGGGTGAAATCGCCAATCTTGTGAACACCAATCTGGTGGAATCTGAAGAAGAACGCACTCCTATTGGCTCCGACGACGAAATTGCGAGTCGCGAAGGCTCCGAGGAGACCGCGATACTCGACAATGAGGATGATTCGGACAGCGAAGATTTAGAGGAGCCCGGCTCCCTTGTCCCTATCAAACGTTCGAGCGAACCTGGGCGCAAGAAGAGCTTTGCTACTCTGCGTCGTGCCAGCACTGCCACCTGGCAAGGTCCCAGACGCAAACTTGGTGACGAGGAGAATGTCCTCAAGACCAAGCAAACCCAGGAAACTTCTCAGCAGGGCAAGGTCAAGTGGGGCGTGTATGGCGAGTACGCCAAAAACAGCAATCTTGCTGCGGTCGCAGTCTACTTGATCGCCATGCTGGCTGCTCAAACATCCCAGGTTCTTGGAAACTACTGGCTTAAACACTGGACTGAAATGAATGAAAAGCAAGGTGGCAATGAGAGCACAGGCATGTTCATTGGTGTCTACCTGTCCTTTGGTCTGGGTGCCTCTCTTCTTGTCATTGTGCAGAACTTGATCTTGTGGATTTTCTGCTCTATTGAGGCTTCTCGCAAGCTGCACGAGCGGATGGCGTTTGCTATCTTCCGTTCACCGATGCAATTCTTTGAAACCACCCCATCTGGTCGGATTCTCAACAGATTCTCTAGCGATATCTACCGAGTCGATGAGGTGCTTGCCCGTACCTTCAACATGCTTTTCGCTAACACTGCTCGCGCAATGTTTACGATGGTCGTCATTGCAAGCTCAACGCCTGCCTTCCTGCTGCTGGTCATTCCCTTAGGTTATATCTACCTCAGCTACCAGAAGTACTATCTGAGAACTTCTCGTGAGTTGAAGCGTCTGGACAGCGTCACTCGTAGCCCAATCTTCGCTCATTTCCAGGAGTCTCTGGGTGGTATCTCGACCATCCGTGCCTATCGACAGGAGAACCGCTTTGCACTGGAAAACGAATGGAGAATGGACGCCAATTTGCGGGCTTACTTCCCATCCATTAGCGCCAACCGCTGGCTCGCTGTTCGTCTCGAGTTCATCGGTTCAATCATCATTCTGTCTTCTGCTGGACTCGCGATCCTTTCAGTTTCCACTGGCAGCGGTATCTCGGCAGGTATGGTCGGTTTGGCCATGTCATACGCTCTTCAGATCACCCAGTCCTTGAACTGGATTGTTCGCCAGACCGTTGAAGTTGAAACCAACATCGTCTCTGTCGAGCGTGTTCTTGAGTATGCTAATCTGCCTAGCGAGGCACCAGAGGTCATCTTCAAGAGCCGACCTGCCATTGGATGGCCTGCTCAAGGTGCCGTGTCATTCAATAACTACAGCACCCGTTACCGCGAGGGCCTGGACTTGGTTCTCAAGGGTATCAATCTCGATATCAAGCCACGCGAGAAGATTGGTGTTGTTGGTCGCACTGGTGCCGGAAAGAGTTCGCTCACATTGGCGCTATTCCGACTCATTGAGCCTACCAGTGGTAGTATCAGGTAAGAATGACCCCCAGTAAAGTATATATCTCATTTGACAATTATTCTAACATTCTTACCAGTATCGATGGTCTTGATGTGTCCACGATTGGCTTGTTTGACCTCCGTGGTCGTCTGGCTATCATTCCTCAGGATCCTGCGATGTTTGAAGGAACCCTGCGTGACAACTTGGATCCTCGACACGTTCACGACGATACTGCACTGTGGAGTGTAATTGGTAGGATTGAATTATATCTATCTTTTGCACCACGGAAGCTAATTACATATACCAGAACACGCTCGCTTGAAGGACCACGTCTCTGGAATGGAAGGCCAGCTTGACGCTGTTATCCAGGAAGGAGGTAAGAACAAATAAAAATCCACTCAAGCCAAATTCGACCACCGCTAATCTGGTCACAGGATCCAACCTTAGTCAAGGTCAGCGCCAGCTGGTATCACTCGCTCGGGCTCTTTTGACACCTAGCAACATTCTTGTCCTGGACGAAGCTACTGTTAGTCAATGCGAATTTCTTTCCATCAAGTCTCAAAAAGCTAACCAATTCATCTAGGCCGCGGTTGATGTGGAGACTGACGCTCTGCTCCAGCGTACCCTGCGCAGTGACATCTTCTCAGACCGTACTATTATTACCATTGCGCACCGAATCAACACCATCATCGATTCTGATCGAATCGTCGTTCTGGACAAGGGTCAGGTGGCGGAGTTTGATACCCCAGCAGAGCTGATCAAGCAAGGCGGCAAATTCTACGAGCTCGCCAAGGAGGCTGGCCTGCTTGATAGTGACGGTCTCGCCAACTCGCAAACAGCGTAAAAAAGCCATCGATCGTATTTAGCGAGGCGTTCCCACATGACGCGGCGGTGTGCTGAGCCTGCACTTTAGAGGCGACCAACTCCGTGATCCTGAGTGGCTCGGGGAGGCCGGGAGTTGGAGCCCTCGGGCCGATCTTTGGAGCCTGGATTGCTGATTGTTCGAAATACCCCATTTCCCCATTTCCATCTCGCCTGGGCTAAGCCATGGGCTTGACCATTCGAGACACAAAGACCCCCGCCACAGTGGGTGCGGGTGTGGGTGCGGATGTGTCCGTGCTGAAATTGATATATCCCTGGACAGGGGACTTGGTTTGAACAGGGAGCCCCTGGGAGGAGATCAAGAACAGGACAAGAAGGGGGAATTTCTTGTTTTGTGTCGTTCGATTTTGATTTCGCAAGACTGACATCCCCCATTTTTTCCGATCCTCTTTTTTCTTCTTCCTTTCTTGCCGATGCAAGCAACGCAATCGAGCGCCATTGATCGGTTCCTGGATACTTTGAAAAGTGCTTTGTTTTTGTTGTTTGGTTCCTTTCTTTTCTTTTTTTCTCTCTCTGATCCTCTTGTTTTCTTGGCCATCTGTTAAACCCAGATTGCGTGTTTGTACAGCACCTGCAATGTTTATCTGTTAATACCATTGAAAAATATGTTAACCTTAAGCATATACATACATTCTTATTTTTTTTTCATCCAAATCTGCATCTTCAAGGAAAAATTCCCCATACGAAAGATGAATTGACCGTAATCAAGATCTAGGCCCATGCCAAATAACGGCCTTTACAAATACGCCCATCCCAACATCGAAATGACATCAACTCTTCCAATCCTCGGACATTCTCCCCCTCTCTGAGAACAGCTCAGGCCCAGTTTCGCCATGATTATTTGCAGTAGCGCCGTGCACCTAATGTGGCGGTGACATCTTATATCAAAGGATTCTGTCCTACATGCCCATAATCTCTTGTAGCGGTGAAGCGGGGCCACCTGGCACCTGCACATCAGAACATACGAACATGCGAGCAAACCACTCAACGCTTCCCTTGTCATCTGAAACCCCTGCCCGCAATTACCTTCACAGTAAATTCCAGGCATCTGCGCAATCGACATTCAATGCCCAAAATGCATTTGGAATATTTTTCCCCAATCATCACATGGCCCATCCGCAAGTGAGGTCATATGCAAAAATCCTTCTTCCTCGATCCGAGATCGACCTGAATCTCGCTTCTACTAATTAATTGACTACCAGGCATAGCGAGTAATGTACCTGCTAACTATTACTTCGCACTTAAGACTGATGAGAGGCCCGGAGCTTCAAAGTAGAGTAAATTGTCAGTACTCGACGCCACAACCACAACGTCCCCCACCCCAGGTCCACAGCGCGGCGCCTCTCGTTGGAGGCTCACATTAATTTACAACGCCAGGAATAGATCGCGAACATTGAAGGGAAATACAAATAGATCCCTGTCAAAATTGATCCAATATACAGGCGGGGTTGGGCGGAAATATGAAGCCGAGACGCATGTCGCATCTGGAAATTGAAGGATGAAATGTCGCGACACGCGGGACCTCAATAGTGGCAGTGGCAGTGGAGTGGCAACACGCCCACGCTCCGTATTCTCTCTAGACCTCCTACCTGGTTGGGAGTATTCTTGGAAACCCCCTTGCTGGATGTGTGCGTTTGTGCGGGTCATCTAGCCGGGTCCGTGTACTTTACTACTTTACTTTGCAGTAGAGTACGGAGGAGAGTGCGTCTGGAGTCTGTACGTATGCATGGGCATACTATACACATGCACATGTGCATGGTGCATGCGTCGACAGGAAAGAAAGAAATGCATGGTTAAGGGGAATGGGTAGGAATGGGATTGGGATTTCGGATTTCAGGTGTTTCGATTCGGGATATGCTCTTACAAGTTACAACGGTGGTTTGGCGATTAGGTTTGTTCAGCTAGATGCACTTTGTCTGGCAATGGGAATCAGATGCACGGGGATTTAGTTTTTCTTGGTTATGCAAGTAGGATGGAGTACGTAGTTGGAGTTTTCTTTTTTCCTTTCTTGTCAGTTGATTTCATGTCAGATCTTCAAATGTTCTACGCAGATGCGGTGGATTATGCATTGTACCTGAGAATGGAGGGGGAAAGAGGGGGAAAAGTCGGAAAAAGAATCAAGTTTCAATATATCAGATTTTTTCTCGCGTGGCACAGCAGGTATTTGCATTTCGTACACATTTTGTTCCCCCTCGCAGATTCCATTCTCTCTCTATACCAGTAGAGATGGAGCTTGACTCATGTGTAGTTCTAGAGCCAAGTAATTTGCCTCCAGTATCAATATCATCTTACGTTTAGAATTCTTATCGGTGAATTCTTTCCGCATCGTTTCAGTTCTCACTGGTCCCAGGCAAGGGGGACTTTTGACAGAGGTCAGTGCTCTTGCTTTTGAATTCATTTAATTACGGAGTTAAGTAACTTTTCTTTTTTTCTTTTCTCCCGGTCTGCATTCTGACATCCGCATGAATTCATGTGGACTATTAACTTTCCCGGGGAAGAAGGGAGCGGTTCCAGTAATCTTGTTCAATGGGCCTCAGAGCACCGATGAACCAATAGGACGGTGAGGCTCTGATCAGATCCCGGCTCTGATCAGATTCATAATCTGATGGCAGATCTATCTTGCATCGGGGATCTCTGACAGGCGCCTGCAAGTCGTTAGAAACGGAGAGAAGATTGAAGCGAGAGGAGGATAGAACGCTATGCAAGCCGCAAGATATCAAGAGGGGCGTCATTTGACCGGACTTTTTGAGCTTTAACTCGGAATCTCCGAATATGTATGCATTCATTCTTTTAATTTTGAAAAAAAGAAATTTTTTTTTTTTCTCTCCATTTTCTGTTTCGTGAGGGCGAATAACCCCGTCAAATTTCCTCATTAAGCCCCGAACATATCCGCGAACTCAAGCTAGGCTCTAGGGTAGAGTCTAGGGTATACAGATGAGCTTTTCTCCAAAACCCAGAAACCTGGAATGGAATCTAGGCGGGGTTGTGTGACGTCGCATGATTCTAGGTTTGTGGATTTCTTCAAATCTTTTCTCTATCTGGTGGTCTGTGGTTCAAATGGTTGAACATGTTCTGCAACCGTGATCTTGCACATGTACCACATGTCCATGTACAGCATGCCCGGCCAGAGCCGTCCCGCTCAAAGGCCGTGACACCAAAGTGGATTCGGTTCTCGGGATTTGCATACATTTTTACATACATTTCCATTGTGTATCTCAGCCAGCCTCCACTTTCCCCCGATCGACCACGCCAACTGATCTACTGTAGTATTCCAGTGTTCCATAATGGCAGATACCGATAGGGGTGCAAAACCACAAAACACGAAACAAGGAAAAGCGCGGGAAAAAAAAAACAAAAACAAAGTGATTGTGCGTTGTCTCCATGGAAAACCAACGGAGAAAGGATCCTAGTGCAACTACTAAAGTAGACCGTACGTAGCCTCCATCGGTACCGGTCTCATGGGTGTCAACCCTGGTAGTTTCGGGATTGCCTTTTGCCTGTTGCCGATTCATGTGCGTACAGATCCGCACTTAGCCATGGAGGGGTAGATCTAGTTCCATCCAGCCTTTTCCAAGGTTTTCCCATACCCCATCCCGCTGACCGAGGGGATCCTCTCATATCCGTCCCTCTGGAATGATCGATCCGGGTGTGCAGATGATCATCATCGAGGACCAGGATCGCGGGTTTCTCAGATCTGGCTGCATCGCGGCGCTTAGGCCTCAAGCCACGGAGGAGAGGAGAGAAAAAGGGAAAGTGGAATGGGGACGGATGGGGAAGGTATCCGTGGATGGGGCAATGGGAGACTCTTCCGTGAAGGTTCAGTGGGGGCTTTTTTTTTTTAGTTCTTTTCTTAGTGCAAAATTTTGTCATTTTCTTTTTATGCTAACTCTGCTTGGCGTTTCTCCAGGGCTGTGGATATGTGAGGGGGCGGGGAGGGCGCTCTGACTCTATGGCTTGAAGGCTGAAGCTATCGCGGAAGTTTACTGCCTGATTCGGTTTACTTCCATCTTTGTAGTGTTCGTCATGTCGTGTGGATACTGCACATGTGTAATTTGGCTAAATACCCAAGCTAGAGAACAAGCGATGAACTGGATGAGGAAAGGGCGATTATGATATGATAATTGAACTGCATGCACCTGTTAGTATCAAGGGTATTTGTCACGGATCAAATCTTGGAATATGATCGACTCGCGTGGGGAAAAGTGGACCAGCTCCGTGGGTTTGGTTGACCCTAGAAGACATCTGGATGGTCGTGGGCCAAGATCTCGGGAAAGGCTTCTCTTGCGATTTCTTCAATTGGTTCTACTCTGCTTGGGTTCGATCAGGAAATCAAAGACTCTCTGACCCTTTCCACTAGAGAAAAAAAAGAAAAGAAAGGCCCTAGAGGTTAGGGACTCAAAAAGTAACCAGTTGACCACAACATTTGAATCTGAATGATATTGTTTCAGCCACATGTACATTTCCAAAATTTAATTTTTTTTCCAACAATTATATTTCCTCTTGCCACGATTGGGCCCGGGCGCATATACCCAGGGACGATCTCAAAAACGCCAGTTCGGGCAATTTCCCCGTCCCTGCATGCCTCGAGGCTGGAGTGCATTGCATTATACATTTGTACAAGATGACGGGCCACTCAGAGGACAGCTGATATAAATAATTTTGTCAATGTTTTATTCTTTCTTTCATAGCTTGAATAAGTTAGTCTCCAAGGAACTATGGAAGTTGCGGACCGGCGTTCCTAAACGCAAAAAGAAGCGAAAGTATATTAATGCGGGCCCCAGTGGGACTGGGTTAGATCAACCAATGCACGACGTGAAGAAAGCAAGTTTCCAGCGTGGTGGGTTGAAGTTTCGCGGAACTTTTTTACATGTTTTTTTTTTTCTCTTTTTAGTGTGCGAGGAAGATTTGGGCCTTGCACTAATCGGGACTTAGGCGATGAGGCGCCTGCCACGCTACTGCAGG